AAAAAAAAAAAAAAAAAAAAAAAAAAAAAAAGCCTTACCAAATGAGAGCGGGTCTTTAGATTATAAAACACAATCTATGTATGGCAGTCGATTGAAAACATGTACAGAAAGGTCGAATGTGTACAGAAAGGGGACCGCAAAGGAGCGGAGCGTCGTCAAGAAGGTCGGCCGGGTTAAAGTAGGAGCGCCCAACCGCAAATGAAGCTCGCAAGCCCGCCCTCGTTTGTCGGGACCTCTTCTGGGGGAGGGCGCAAGGTCGACCAAAAGAGCAGGCAGCCGCGGGAGCGAAAAGGATGCAGGCGGGAGAAAAGCGAGATGAGGAGGAGGAGAAGAAGAAGAAGAAGGAGGAGGAGTAAAAAGATGACTCCCACCTGCGCTGTCAGGCGGATTGGCGAATAATTGGGGGCATCCGAAGATGGATTCGACGAGAGCGAGAGCTGTACAAATGTCGGCTTCCCGGATGGGCTTGTCCGCAGGCGCAAGGGGGTACAAGTCGCATGCGCGAGGAATGTTGGTGTTGCGAGGTCGCCCTTTAGAAAACACCCCTCAGGGACAACAAGCAGACGTCCGAGAGTATAATAAAGGTGTGTAGCGCGGGTTGCGTTGCTTGTGCAAGAAAGACGTGCGGGAGTTTTGTGTGTCGGGTGTCTGGCCTAGATGGATGTGGGGACTGGGGCCGTCAGGTAAGGTGTGTCGGTAAAGTGTGTGGGAGATGGTGTGTGCGGGTATGCGTGTCTGGTGCGTTATGGGGCTTGGGGGGGTTTTTGGGTGGTTGATAACGGGGGCTCCGAGCGAGAGGACCCGCCCCGATGGGTTGAGATGTAATGTTGGGGGGTGAGTGCGAGAACAAGAGAAAAAGGGAAAGAGTACTCGTAGACTGGTTGTATAAAGTGGACGAAGGGGGGGGGCGAAGAAAAGAGAGAGAGAGGGAAGAGAAGAAGCAATATGGCTTAACCCTTTCCTCGTCCAACGTGGGGGTTTTTTTCTCGAATCAAAATGAAGAGGGATGACGATGAAAACAAGTGCGGTAGAATATGAGGTCAAATCATAATAATGAATGGGATGAAAGAAGATGAAGCTAACTTGATGGGTTGGACCAAAATGGATTGGTGGGTGCGGGTGCGACGCCGTCAGAAGGGAGAGTGATAATGTGGATTCTTTCGACAACCGTAGAGAAGAAGAAGAAGAAGAAGAAGAAGCAGTGGCATTTACGTACAGTTCACAAGTGATTGCCAATAGTTCTTATGAGGCATTACCTTGAAGCAGTAAAGATGAGAATAGAGCGAATGAGCAGAAAGTGAAAGAAGAGGAAGAGGAGAAGGATGGATAATGCGGATGCTGATGATGTCGTCACTCTGTTTGACCTGGGTTGAGAGATTCAAAGGGACGTATCGGAGTACTACCCTACGTTGACTGATCAATTTGATTGACAGACAGGCAATAAGACAGATGGATTTGGATTTCGTCGATACGACCAGATCGAATAAGAATGCCAGCCAGGGCTGGTCAATTTGCTATCTCGTCAAATCTGGCCGAATGGGCCAAAAGTTCCTTTGTCTGGTCGATGCGATAAAAAGTCCGGGTCGCCGTAGGGCAAGGTGGTGCGATTTTGCTTGTGATCGCCAAGTCAAGATCAGAATAATCAGCATCAGGGGATCAGCACTAGGGAGGAATAATGCTTGTAGGGAGGGCACCAGCCCGCCCACTGATGGCGCAAACGACGACTAGGGGGCGCCATGGGTCACTGCTATCCCAATGTCATCAAACGCCATCCCTGGGGGTACAGAAGTACTGTAAGGAGCCTTGAGAGGCATATATCGTTCAATTCGCCTTTGTGGCATCTTAAAAGCCATTTTCTCCCCCAGAACATGAATGATCTAAACAGGTTTGCATGAAATTACAATCACAATGCATTGTCGTCTAGAGACACTTTTTAATAGACTCATGATTTCAAATATTCTTTCCTATTCTTCTCTTTGTTTGTGAGGAGAGCGATCGATCTTGGCTCTAAAGCTATAGCTTTAGCCCAAGTTCAAGCTAAACCCCAATGGAACGTTCTGGTGGCGGTGACGGGACGAAATGTGCTCGGCGAACCCCCCTCGCCCCGCTCAGGGATCGTCTCATTTACGTCGGGAGCGAGCGACTGGTGGACCCTGGGGTAACTAGTCCTTGGTCGACTTTGGTAAAGCGCCCGCTTGCCAACAGCTGCTCTAACGTTCAAGGCGAAGAGGCGAAAGGGGTCCAGATGCAAAATCAGTCTGAGAGCATCTTTATCCCCTTTCGTTATTTTTGTCGTTGTCATAGGCAATCCTAGCCACTTGTCTCCGCACTAATCGTCTGAGAAGAAGATCCAGTCCAGTCTCTTCTTGGCATTTGCTTCAAGCGCAATGGCTTGCATGAGATTACAGCGAAAGGGGGATGTCGCTGCTATGCCTTACATTACCATATCCACTCCCATGGAGAAATGCCGAGACCTTCCCAATGAAATTGCGTAGTGTTTGGTACTGATTGGCTTCGTTACTCGCATTGCTTCATTTCGTCTCAGCTTTTGATTTGTATTAACAAACTGCACATAGCCTTGCATGATAACTTTCCACAGTTGGGGAGAAATGAAAGTCGATCACTCCGACGACACAAAGAGGCGATAAGGTAAGATGCTTTCGCGACGCAAGCTTAGACAACAGGGACCTTTTCACATTGTCTGCTTGCTCATGGAGGAGCTTGAGCTGTGAAGGCGTTAGAGAAAGCTAGATATATGGAATAACCCGAGACGAGAGTCGCTGTGGATCATATATGGTAGTTTGCAAATCTGATAGGCATATCTCCGATAAAAACTGCTGTTGCGGGAAAGGTTACGATTCCCATCTTTGGCTCTTTTCGCAGATGGTTGTTTATTTTTGTGTCCTGTTTCAGAGCAACAGCAGTAAAACCTCTCAGTTTGAAACAGAAAGTCAATTCAACTTGTTCGTTCCAAACTTCAGTCTGATTGCCTCGCCTCTTCCGAATATTTGCAATCGAATACTGACAGGGTTCTGATCTCGTATATTGCCGCATGCCATACCTCACTCCGTAGTAGCCAGTCAAGAATAGCGGTGGGGCATAGCAGAGGTCCAGCATATTTTGAATTGCACAATCACGGCAACTGACCGCCTTCAGGTGCGTCAATTAAGCGGTGTCGTGAGACTTGATGTTGCTCCATAACCGTTCCTCATATAGGGCTTTTCTATAGAGGTAAGCCATAGAAATAGACTTGGTTGGAATCAGCCAATGGTCAAGGCGGGCAACACTGGTGGCTGATCAATTGCAGCAATCTCCCAATGATGCGGGTGCCTTATCTTTTGGATCAGGCACCGGCGACTTCTAGAGCGCAAGCAAACAAGACAGTTCCAGCAGGCAGAGTGAGCCACAGAATGACTGCCAGCTGTTACTCTTCTGTTTCACCAGGCTCTTTGCTGTATGCCATTCGGTGGCCAACAGCGATCAGCCGAGAAGTCTTCGTAATGATCGGGAGTCCTTGTCTCCTAACTCCGCATTCATGCATCTCAGCCCGGCAAATAGCCTGGTTTTGTTTGGGATGAGGCCGTAGAATGGCGAATCTTTCCTGTTTGCTCTCCTAGCGCCTGTATTCCCGGGGCATCATCTGACCTAGCCACCTTCATCGTCTATAAATCTCCCCAGTAGCCACTGTGTGCAACATACCTACCTAGCTTGTACAACTGTAACTTTCAAAGACGACAAACTTTGCCCCTGCACTATTGAAGATTGCAGGAGTTTCTAAAATCTGCACGGACTTGAGCCATCACTACGATAGACGATCATCTTGACTTGAGGTAGCTTACACTCTGTTAAACTTGTATCCTCATCGACTAAGCAACCCTTCTGCGCGCTCCAACAGTTATGTGGTATCTCACTTATCGCCACGGTCAATGTACCACCTAAGCAACATTCCAAATATGAGTGGATAAGGAAATATTGAGTGAGTGCTTTGATATGATGACACGACAGTACATGACGGTTTACAATTGATTGAGCTTTCGAATAGAATCAGGCTCTTGCTGCAAATCATTGCATACGTTAAGGATGAGAACGGCAAGATCCCGACAATTAGATACTTAAGGGAAATGGCAAAACGAGGGTTGGTTATCGACTATGTATCATCAGTAATCGCCTAGGCTTTCGTAGCCGTGCCCTCCGGGCGCGGCGATGCTGTACAGCAGAGCCGATTTAAAGCCCGCGTTGAGCGATTTGTACTGTGAAGATAGACCATGGCCTGGAACGGTTAACAAGGTAAATGTCTTGACTAACTTTAGCATTATGCCATCGTATTGTTCTTTCATAAACAGATCCTGGTCGTATCTGGCAAGGATCATTGATTTGAGGCCTCCTCAAGTAGGAATTGGGGGACTTCACAGACAGATGGTTGAGGCCGTTTCTCCCATATAACAGTCCCTTTTCCGTATAAGATCTCCTGCCTTGAATTCGTAAGACGCAAGCTTGAAATGTATAGTTTTTACGCCGACTCGCAAACTGGGCGGGTTCTAACCGTAGAGGCAAATGCGATTATGTCAGGAGAGCCCATGATCCTATGGAAGAAATCTCTTCAATCCTCCATATTCATTCATTCGTCCCCTCTCATTTGATAGGTAAGTGCATATTTACGCTTTACGCATGAGTGATTATGGACTCATGACTGTTCATAGGATTATCAGTAGAACATTGTCCGCACGGCGTCAATTTACGCGCCCTGTGCTTCCACACAACCAGTGAATAAAAGGGGTGGTCTAGGTTGTGGTAACGACGTTACTTGGCGCCATCTTCTGCTCAAGCACTGCCGAAAGCCTTCTCTACACGGACAGACTTTGAAGCCAGAACGGAGAAGATGGGATATCGGAGGCGCCTCAACTAGAGGGAGGCGTCTATGCTTCGGCTCCGATTATTCGGTAGGCCCAAGAACCAGCATGGTGAAGAGTTCAAATGAGTAGAGTTGGACTGTATTAGTTATAGCGAAGAGCTAAGAGACGAGTTATCGGTCAGCATAATCACGGAATTGGGAGGCCCGAAGCCAATAGAGAGCATGGTGGAGATTAGGCTCAGAGCCCTGGACAGGACCTAGGAGGAAAACTGGCAAGCAGATTTCAGCCTCAGCGCGAAAAACGTGAGCCGATTGGAAGGATGAGAGAGGGGAGCGATGCTAGAGATGCTAGAGATGCTCAATTGTTGCTGAACCGGCTTTTAGGGGCATGACGGGCCCATGACACCGCCCGTCTCTCTTTGTCCTGATAGTCAGGAACAGGTACACGCGTCGATCTAGATTAAAGTACCACTTACCTATAAACAAAGCGGGGAAATACTTACTGTTTACCCCCCTGACAAGTACTCTAACACTAAATCGAGCCAGTAATTTCCCATTTTGGAAACAAACCATGCTCTCCCCCGGGGGGTTCGTTGGTCACTGCTTCGCCCGTTTCTCTTCTTCTTCATTCCCTTCTCTCGCTCCCTTCGATCCTTTCCTTTTCTCTTTTCCCCCCCACGAGACGACAAAACCTGCCCAGTTCCTCAGGTGTCAACGGTCAAACTTTCCACTCCCTTCCCTTTTCACACTCCTTCATTCCAGCGGTTTTCGGCTTCACTCTTTCAGCCGAACTCCTTGCTGCCATTCGTTCTCTGAGTATCGAGTTTCCCTCTCTTTGACCGATCAAACGATCAGACCTGCTTGCCTTGTTGCATCTCTTCAACGTCACCAGCTGTTTCCCCAGTTCCGGACGTGTCCCAAACCTCATCTTTCCCCAGATCTCTCCACGCGGTTAGGTATGCTCAATAATTTCATTTCTCGCTCTCATCTTTCATGCCTGCAGAGCCATTACGATCAGTTCTGGTGAACTTTTGCTGATGCTAGTATCGCTGCTCAGTTACCGACCAACCCGGTTTCTCATCCCACCGACACTCTCTTAACCCTGGTTCAACGCCGTACCTATTACCGGCTTTATCCTCAATCACAAACTTTCACAATGGCGCCTGTCCAGCTATTCGCCCGTCACAGCTCAAACTCAGATAGTAACTTGACGCCGGCCATGCTCAATCTGCTCATCGCTCTGCTGGTACTCGTCTTCCTCGGTCTCATGCTTGTTGCTGCTCTCCTTGTCCTGCGGAACCATCGCCGGTCTCGAAAGCAAGCTGAACTTCCCCTCTACAATGAGAAACCGGGCAGAAAGAATTCCAATCACCGTCGTCTTACCATTACTGCTGCTCCCTATGGCAACCGCTCCGAGCCTGTCTTTGTCTATGACGAAAAACGCAACTTGGTCGAGAACTCTTCCAGCCCTCCCGAGAGCCCGATTCCTGAGATCCGCATCACCTTCCCGGAAGAGGAGGATGAGGGTGGCAAGCGAAAGTCGGGCCGCGTCCTGGTTGTGCATGTCGGAGACAAGAGCGTGGGAATGGAGCCCCTCGAGGAAGACCTGCCTCCGTATCATAAGGGAGATGATGGACGCTTTCAATCCCTCGACCTGGAACGAATCGGAGGCCTGAAGGAGAAGGAGTTTGAGCAAAGATTTTCATGATTCTTGAATGGTCTTGCTTGGTACTTTACCTTCATTCAAATTAGATCTAGCCCACTTTGCACTGCAATTTGAGCTCCCGTCTTCGCTGGCCCATATACCCGTCTGCTGATTTACCAACGGTTGTGTTGCGTCTTCCGTCTCTCTGCAAGGCCGATCTCTGCTCCTCAAAATCTATTGATGACCAATTTCCTGTCCATCCTTTACTCGACGGCACGAATACTTTTCTTTATCTTTTTCCTGTTATTGCTGGCTGTGTGGTTGTGATTGGTTCGGCGCGTTTGGAGACCTAGTCAAGCGTCTGCGTACATGCTCCTCTATCACCCTGACACGGAAAAGGGTCGCACTGTTTTCATTCAGATGGACGAGCATGTCACCCCTTACGTCTGTTTATATCGAACCTGGGGGTTTTAGTACGCCGACGCTGTGAAACACATATAATAAGGGGGTTTCAATTTTCATTTTCTCAAGCTTTTTCCAAGAGGCATCTCTGTACAGCTTCGAACATAATGTATTTCATCTAATCATTACTGTAATTTATTTCTATTCAATTCATTTCTCAGCATCTATTGCAAAAGTGTCACTTGCCTTGACCTCTTCCTTTCTGCGACCTCGAAAGAGCTTAACAATTAGTCTGGAGGGTCCAAAGATGGCCCAATGGTGACTGATAGAGCGTCTGGCGGTAGCTGCTGCTGCTGATTCATGAATTAACAGTACACAAAATTGCCATTGCACAAGGCTGCTCATCCAGATTAGCTAGGTTCACTTTTCGTGGTTAAGCAATGATTAGTGATATAAGTACATATTTCGTGTCCAGCCTCTCTAAACAGTCATCTCACTGAAGATTTAACGAGAGTCTCTCATTTTCGCATTTTGAAAAGAGATACATCAATCGTCCAATTTGTGGGTTTTCCCAGATATTTGGCAATATAATTGGCGTTTCAAATATTTTATTTATGAGACTGATATCCGTAACTCTTCAAGTTCACAATTTCACAAGAGCACTTGACTGATTTTTAAAGCAGAAAAAGACGTTTATATATGAATATCTAAAAATATTGGAGAAAATGAGTCCTTATAAATTAATAACGTTGCATCAAAGCACTACGACTGCAGTCCAGAATTAACTCCCCTGATACAAAGGTAGCTATGGCGCTAATTCGGAGAAAAGGTGCCGGAGCTCGGGCTATGAGCTAAACCACTCACGGCATGTCCCGTTGAGTGTTTCGAGCTTCATCATCCCCAATTTATTACTCCGTAGAGCTCCCTCTCATCGCACAAGGACAACGCTCACTGGACACAATTGGAGCTTTTCGCTGCGGAGGCGCGATGGCCAATTTGTCTGCAAGCCATTTCATACAATAATTTTATCTTTACACTCGTTTACTTGCTTTGCTAGTTGCACTTTCAGGGCCAGTAGCTGTCCATCTCGCGACAAATTTCTCTAGCATCAAGGACTCGACATACAATTGACTGTCCCAAGCATCGAAGATCGCAATAGAGATTGTTCCAAAATGGGGAGCGCCGCTCGATCGAACCAGCCTCGTCCAGAGCCTCAAGAGATTTTCACGCCCATAGTAGACCCTAAGCTCCAAGCCAAATCAGACAAGGAGCAGGCGGCGGCCGCTATTGAAGAGCTGAAGCGCGCCAAGACACTCCGAGCGCAGCGGGAGGTTCAGTTCAAAGCCTCGCACACTCTTTTGCTTACTTTCTTGGCCTGGATTTTCGTCCTTCATGCAATTGGATTATATTTCTTCACAAAGGGGTTCCTCTTGACGAGGCTGGTGCTGGATGATAAGTCGGATTGTGCGGTATTGCCAATTGAGTCTTATCAACAAGAGCACAGTCCGCGGTCAGCCTCAGAGGGTTGCTGGCACCCCAAAGTCTTTGACAAGGCCGTCGTCATCATTGTTGATGCACTTCGATATGACTTTGTTGTTCCCTACCCGCCGATTCAAGGGCAAGATGAGCTGCGGCATTTCCACAATGCCCTACCACTATTCCACGAGACCGCAACGAATTCTCCTCATAATGCTTTTCTCCGACCCTTCATTGCCGACCCACCCACGGCCACGTTACAGAGACTCAAAGGTTTAACGACTGGAACGTTGCCTACCTTCATTGACGTTGGCTCCAACTTTGCTGGCACAGCCATTGAAGAAGACAACCTAATCGCACAATTGCGAGATGCCGGTAAAAATGTCGTACATCTCGGCGATGATACGTGGCACAAGCTTTTCCCAGACTACTTTGACCCCGCTCTAACCCGCGCGTATGATTCATTCAACGTGTGGGATCTGCATACCGTGGACAATGGGGTATCCGAACATCTCCTACCCTTGCTTGACCCCGTCAATGCGACCAAATGGGACGTCGTGTTTGCACATTATCTTGGAGTCGACCACGCTGGCCATCGGTATGGTCCTGATCATCCGGCCATGACCGACAAGCTGCAGCAGATGGATACCGTGCTTCGCCGTGTTGTCGAATTGATTGATGACAAGACACTTCTGGTTGTCATGGGCGATCATGGCATGGACGCTAAAGGAGACCATGGCGGAGAGTCCGATGATGAAGTTGAGGCTGCCCTCTGGATGTATTCCAAGGCCGGTCTCTTTGGCCGCAGCGTGCCCGAACATGTTGAGCCTCCTCGAACTGCAAAGGAGAGGCCTGTGGGGCAAATTGATCTCGTCCCTACGCTCGCGCTCCTCTTAGGTTTACCGATTCCATTCAACAATCTTGGGTCACCCATCGAGGAGGCCTTTATCGGGAACCAAGGAAAGGACTGGGGAAACATGGCTCTTGTTAATCGAATCGCGTCCGCTCAAATCAAACGCTATCAGCACCAGTACGCGCTTGCACGCGGCCTTGATGAGTCAACTGCGACGAAACCGCTTCTCGCCTGGGGCGAGGCCGAAGAACAATTTGAAAAGGCCAAAAAGGCCTGGAAACCAAACCTGGAGCAATGGCATGAAGCTTCACAGTCATTTTCCCGTCATCAGCAGGAAACTTTGAACATATGTCGCGCGCTATGGGCTCGCTTCGACGTACCCAGCATGATCCACGGTATTGCTATCTTGGCCGCAGGGGTTATTGCATTGGTTATCTATGCACGAAGTTTCCGAGAGGACACGACTGCTCTTACGCCAGCTGTTCTGCTCCGTGTACTCGTCGGCAGTGGTTTTGGAAGTGCTGCTGGTGTTTTCTTGGGCTTCATTGGTCGCGCTACTCTTTTAAACGCCGTGCTCTCAGGTTTCGCGGTCGGCGGCGTAATTGGATTTCTCCAAGCGCTTTTCGCGGCGCGAGAGTCTCTTTCCTCCCCAGTTCCAAAGTCCTTCTGGGGCTGGCTGGCGGTCGTGTTTACCGTTGCACCTTCAATTGGCTTCGCCTCCAACTCATACACCATCTGGGAAGACGAGATTATGCTCTTTTTCCTCACGAGCTTTGGCGTACTTGCATTCATTTCGTCCTTGCGGCAGCGAAGCAGCCTTGATCGAGCCCTTGGAACCTACCATTCAGGACTGTTCATCATCATTTCCCGAATCGCCTCCTTTTCCCGTCTCTGTCGTGAGGAGCAAATGCCATTCTGCAAATCCACATACTATGCCTCAGCAACCTCGTCGACCTCTGCGCCCTGGCAGCTCGCTATTCCTTTTGCCGTGGCCATCCTCTTGCCCGATTTCATCAAGACATACTACAAGGGCACACGATCGTACGAAGGCACCGCAGTGTTCTGGATTGGAATCGCCCTCCGTCTAGGGCTCCTCTTGTCCGCTCTATACTGGACGCTCGACGCGGCCGACGACGGCGGCTGGCTCGACATTGGCGCCGGGATCATGAAGACTGTGCGCGTCTTCATCGCGCAGCTCGTTCTCGGCCTCGCCCTCGCGGCCGGTACCACGGCATTTACCCTGGCCCAGCCGTGCATCAACATCATCTCAGACAAAGACAACAACCCCTCCGACTCCGCCGACTCCTCCTCCCCTTCTTCCCCCTCATCAGCGACCGTCAAATCGTCCTCCAAACAATCCATCACCATCCTCGGCTACGCCAACATCCACGGCTCGCGCTACTACCTCCTCGTCACCAACTGGCTGCTGGCCATTGTGCTCCTCCAGAAGCCCATGGGCGGCGGCACCATGGGCCTTCTCGCATGGCAGATCCTGTCCCTCATGGAAATCATCGACACCAACGACCTGTCCTCCAGCGCCATTGGCCCGATCGTCCTGGGTGTTCTTGGCTCCTTTTACTTTTTCAAAACCGGCCACCAGGCCGTCCTGTCTACCATCCAATGGGAATCAGCATTCATCCCAACTAAAACCGTCCGCTACCCCTTCTCGCCCATCCTCGTCGTGCTCAACACCTACGGCGCCCAGATCCTGGCCGCCATTGCCGTCCCCCTTGTCGTCCTCTGGAAACAGTCCCCCCGCAGACAGGGGCTGCTGGGCGATATCACCAAAGCGGTCGCCACACATATTCTGTTCTACGCGGTCATTGCCCTCGCCACCGCCGTCTGGGCGGGCTACTTGAGGAGACACCTGATGCTGTTCCGCATCTTTAGTCCCCGCTTCATGATGGCAGGTACGGTGCTGCTTGTGGTGGATGTAGCCATTGCCGCAATTGCGGTCGGTGCGGTTCGCGTCAATATCTTGAGCGTCGCTCAGCTTTTTGGTCTGGGTGGTTAGTCATGTCCGTTATTTATGTCTTTTTATCTTTAAATGTATCTTTTTATATATATCAAGTGTGTCCGTTTATTTCGAATTTTCGTGTCTTCTATATCAAATGTGTCTTTTTATATCTCGCTGTTATCCTTTTATATATCAACTGCACGTTTCCTTGTCGTGCGTACCGTCTCCTTTACACTTCCTCCCCTTTTCCCCTTTTATCTCATCTTATTTTTGAATACTGTTCTCCCTTTTTTCGATAAAACCTTTCATAGATCTATACCAGTACACATGTAAATACGTCTCTAGTCTTTACTCTCTACACTTGTAGATAGCATCATATAAAAAGTGTTTCTTATAGTACGGGGATGCCCGATAGACACAGCACTTTGATGATATATATGTGACATATGTGACATATGTGATATGTGATATGATACTATATATATATACGGTATAGAGCAGCAAGCTACAATACTCCTTTCTCTTTCCTCTGTCACCTCCGCCTCTGCCCACCTCGTGTTCTCTCCCAGGACCCACAAGATTCGACCGAAAAAAAAAAGGAAAAAACTTTTCAAAACACTACTAACGCCGGATGTTTCTGCCGATCCATCATGATGGGATTGCAGAAATGGAAAAGAGGGAAAAGTTTCTCACTCAAAAGGGAGACAACAGTTGTCCCGGGACGCCCAAAACCAAAGTCAGCCAGTGGGGGGAATATATACACGGTGAAATCAAGACCCGGGGGTAACAGAATAAAAATGATAAAAGACGGGGAAAAGGAACAAAAAACAAAAATGAAAATAGTAAAAGATGGGAGAAACATAATAAAAATAATAATAAAAGACGGGGGACAGAAAATAAAGATAGAAATTAAAGAAAGAAAAAGAAAGAAAATAAAAGGTAAGGCTCAAGATGAGAAAGGCTTTCTGCAATGCCAAGAAGAAGAACATAAATGGAAAAAAAAAAGATGTTACAACAAAGAAAAATGCAGCGAGATGAAGGGGACAAAGAAAAGATGCAAAGATTGCAAATATTTCTTGAATACACACGGTCAGAGATTAAGCCCAGCGACTAAAGTCAAACGACTCAGCCAGCGTCTCGACGGCGTTTGCTCCATTCTCGTCTCGTTCTGTCGTGCTGCTGAGTCCGCTGCTGCTGACGCTGCTTCTATGGCTGGCAGTAGCTTCACTGAGGAAAGCAGCAATGCTAGTGCGGCGAGGTCCCGCCGCGCCCGAGAGACTCGAGGAGAAGGTACTGCCGGCCTGGCCGAGGCCACCTGGGGCTTGACCATGTGGACCGTGTGGGTGATGGGAGGAGGAGGAGTGGAGATGTTGGGCATGTTGATGGACGGGAGAGGTGGAGGTCGGGGAGCTGGCGCCTCCTGTGGTGCCGCCTGCGTTTCGTTCGCGGAGTTGGTTGATCTGGCGTAATCGGTTGCGCCAAGGCGAAATGTGTTCGCCGCCAGCGCGATTCGCCCAGACGAGCGAGAGGGTCGACGAGTTCAGGGCCAGCATTCGGACAAAGGCAGGTAGGCTCTGGCCACTGACCATTTTAATCTCGGAGGCTGTCGAGATGCGTGGGAACCCGGGCTTGCTCATGACTTGGACTTTGTAGTATTTGCCGAATCCGCCGTGATATGGCGAGAGCCGTGAGACAAAGGCTGCGCGAGACTCTGGAGTGATGACGATATTGACATAGTTGAATTCAGAGGGAAACGTGTCAAAGTTGAATGGAAGGCCAGAGTTGTTAAAGACAATATTGACAAAATCGTTGCCAGTGTGTCGCTTCTTGTTGATACACTGCGGATCATGGTCTAGATTGGTCGGCATCATCGTCGTTGTGTGGAAAACAATCTCAGATACGCGGTCTCGCCAGCAAATGGCATATTCTCCGTCGATATCGAATTCGCGGTCCAAGCCTTGCGTATTGAACGTGGCGCCCTTGAGACGGACTAGGGTTCCAATCTTGGTGATGAAGTCGGTATAATCGGGTGACCCGACCTCGTTTGACAAAATGTCTACTTCATGAGTCTGGCCTTCTCCTATGTATATGATCCCGACCTTGTACCCGTCTACCGTAGCATTGCGGTCAAACATATTAATGGCGCGTTTGGTCGCATCGTCGTCGGGCAGAGGAATCGGTTGCAAAGAGCGCGGCGTGACCGCAGCAGCTGAATTCAAAATGAGGGATATGTAGCTTGGAAGCACTGCCTTTCGCGATGCCGGATTACCTGGCTCGGAAACGGTTTCGTTCCACAGCGGAACCTGATGCTGCGGCGGTTTCGCTGCCTGAGGTCGAAACATGAAATAGTCGGTGCCAGAAGGCTGTCGCTTCGTAATCTGCGAAAGACCCGAGGCGGTTGCAGTTTCAATCGTAATAATACACAGGCCGACAAGATACGATTTGGTCAGTATATTTCCGTCATGCGCCTTGGCAAATTCAGTATTAGGCAGTGTCTCGTCCCGGTCCGAGTACGCAACCCTCTGCATCATATCGATGGTGACCCGGCTCTGTTCCTCGACAACCTCCCTTCCTGATGAGTCTGTATACACAAGGCTCTTCGTCATCCAGGGAACGAATTTGGGCCGGTCTTGTAACTTGAGCGCCATGAACCAAAATGTAATAACATGATAGGCCAGAGCGTAGACATATTGCGGAAGGTCCTGGGCTCCTTTCGAGGCTGAACTAGTGCTGTCAGGAGATCCCGCCGCTGCTGCTGCTGCATCTTTTGTAGGACTTAGGTGTTTGTTAAGCCCCGGGTGACCCCGAAGTGAAGGCGCGGATTGTCCCTTTTCCCGCTGCTCGCGTACATACTGAAGGTAGCGGAACCCGATGCCAATGACGGTCCGGAACTCGTCGTCTCGAAAATTGACATAAACTTCTGGCAGTCTTGCAAGACCGACAAGGAATTCGAGAATGTGCACCGTCACGTGGGATTGGGTAATAATCTGGGACATCTTCTGCAGAATCTGGTTCAATGACTTTGTCACAGAAAGTGGGAGCTCGTAGCAGCAGACCGAAAGCGCGTGGATACACCCAGGAGAAGTCGTATCCCAGGAGCCCACTCCGAGGACAAAGGTGCGCACAATCTCGTCCTCTTCGCTCTTGGCGAAATGTTTTCGAAAACTGACCAACATAGAAAGGACTTGGAAAAGGCAAGTCGCAACATCCGATCTTCTCAGGCCGGTCGTCTGAGGAGGGTCGTAGAAGCTGGTTGCCCGAATTTGCTCGCACAAGATATTCCGGAGCATCCTAATTTGCGGCCTTGATCCAAGGAAGAGCGCATGATTGGTGAGCTGAGATCCTAGGTGGAGCAAGACATAACTATATATCTCCCAATCGGCGCCTTGTTGCAAGATTGGAATGACCGCCTCAAGCCACAGGTTCATCGAGATTGTAGCGCAACCAATTGGCCGCTCAGTCGCCATATCTGGTATCTCGTCGGTTGAAAACAGCATAGGACTGGATTCCTCGGGTGGATCTATTGGAAGGAAGCCGTGGCCAGAATGCATCCAAAGTGGAGGTATCGCTTTAGTCGCGCGAGGCATTCCGCTCAAGGGTCGGTTCGCGGGTTTTGAAGGATGGGAATTTGGCCGGTTCACAGATATACTTCGATCGATTCGCGATATCCGTTGCTCGTTCCGGGCCTCGTCAGATCTTGAACTGCGTATTGTCCCAGTCTCGTCTGACTCGTTCGACTCGGATGTCGTCTCCAGTGTCCGCCACAATGATGCTGCAAGATTTTCGCTTTCCGTGAAAGGTATTATATATATGGCATAGTTGGAGTCAGCTCGGAGCCTAAACAGCAACTTCAGAACAGCTATTTTGGCATCAATTTCTGCTGTTTCAGACCGTGCAATATGCAAAAGTTCTGTGTAAGTCATTAAGCCCTTGAAAGATGGTGATTTAAGAGACCCAATGAAAATTTTCACGAGCCCTTCAGCAGCTACGCGAAACGTGGAAGTCCCTGCTTGAAATTGGGACGCAGCAGGTGAAGTAGACGATCGCAAGGGCGACGGAGAAGTGGAACGGGCTGCGCCTGAAGCGGCGGACAGCGAACGGCTTGGCTCTATTGCGCGCTCCCGAAGAAGCGTAATAATTTTGGAGAAAAGGTTCTCGTCAGCATCACTGGCCACTTCAACGGCGAATGTTACAAGAGGATCTAATATGCGAACATCCCTCTCGACTTCGATGCAATCCAGTACAGACATGGCAAACTCGCTGACCACATCGTGCGGACATATGTAAGATATCGTCTGATACGCATCGGTGAGCGTTTGTATTAGTTCAATCCGAAGAGCCGACGGACGATCGCCCTGTTTCAGATACACCTCAACAAGCCTCCGCGAGTCTACCAACCACCTCTCATTCGAAGGATAGCAGAGGTTTTCCTGCTTGTAATAATTTACTAAGAGCTCGGCACAAGAGTCGGGAAGTCGGTCAGCAAGCTCCATGAAGAACCACATGACGCTTGCTCGCTGAAAAGGGTCCAGATTTTCGTACAACGACTCTAGACGGCTGAATATTGGCGATAGGAGAGGCGGCAGATCCCCAATTGATCCATGATCCTTATTTTCTTTTGGCGCTAACGATCCTTGTTGGTGTGAAGTTTTTCGATTCCCCGACACCTCCTCTAGGTTCTTCGAACATTGAACCACTACCTCCAGCAGTGAGTCCCATGTCTTCTCCGAGGTTGACTCCATGAGGTCATCATTTTCGAGAATGTGTGTCAGCGCTTTCAAAATGTCCGAACTCAGTCGAGCGCTACGAGCGGGCAGCGCCAGCTCGAGTGCTCGGACAAATTTTCTCAGTGGTACGTTTGGAAGTCTGTCCGCCGGATTTGCTGTCTCAACCCGTCGCATGATGCTGATCGCGCCACAGATCGCATTCATGTTGCGACCACGGTGGCTTGCAGCTTCTGAGATCATTGCAAGCAGAAAATCCGAAGTTTTCTGGGCAACATGAGAGCGGAGAAGGTTGCTGATGGCGTTCCAAGCTGGGTCGATGAGTCCCTTGATGCTTCCGTAAATGTTGCACAAAACTTCGATGCACGACTCTAGCATGGCATCCGGAATATAAGCGTACGTGATCATGGTGTCGATGAGTTTGATGGCATTGTCCACGTCAACCTCCGCTGTCGTCTTCCGACAAATAGCCAGCACTTGCTCCAAAAGATCCTGAATATCGAGCTCGCGAAACGATCGAAAGTTGAACTTGATAATGTCCCTCAGGAAATTGAAAACTTGCGTCAAGGTAGCCTCTTCTGCCAGCGTCGCAGGGGCTTTGGCGCTCTTTTCCTTTCTCAGGGCGGCGCGCGCTAGGGTTGCGAGTTGGAAGCACTGCTGCAGCCAACGGGTGAGGACCGGTACCATTAAGCCTTCAAAAGATTCAACGTCTTTGCCCCGCTTTGCCAGCTCCTCCAGCGCCGCGAGTTGGAAAATGAAATCTTCGGGATTAGTGATCATTGTAATCTCATCAAAGAAATGGCGCCGTTCCAGAGGAGTCAACTTTGCATGTTTCACACATGCAATCAAAAGCCCGAACCCTTCCTTGCGTGTACTTGCGACATTGTGTTTATCCACCAGACTTCTTCCCGCCGACCAAATTGCAGCCACATTCTTCAGAGGATACAACTCGAGGATACGTCCGATCTCCTCGGCCGCCGAGACTCGAGCATTCATGCTCGACGCCGGCTGTAATTGCTTGAGAAGTTGTGCAAGTTCCGGAGGCCCACCTAATACACCTTCATCTGGGAGAGCTCTATTAGGTTCCTTTGACTGAGACTCGAGGGTCGAGGAATGAGCTGGTTCCAGTGTCGTGAGCGTGGGCAGAGGGTCCATCGAAGATTTCAGCCGACCCGCGGTAAGATTTCTGAAGACCCCCGCCAGCCCGGACGCAGCGGTCCTTGTCTCCGGAGCCGACGGGGATGCATCTGAAGGTGGAGGCATATGCTCGGCAAGGCTGTCGGTCACCGTTGGAGCGGGAAGCAACTCAGCGAACAAACTAGAGAAAAGGCTCCTCGATCAGTAAATTGATTCGGAAAAAGGCAACCTTCAGGGCGACCGATCAGTCATTGTGGTCAAGACGTGATCCGATTTTACATACGGAAGTTGTGCTTAGCAGCTCAACGGCGGGCTTGATCGCTCATCGCGCCGCCGGCCGCGTTCAGTAAAGAATCAGGTAATGTCAATTGAATCGGTAATGACTGGGGTTGCGAGGCCGCGCAACAGCTGAGATGTGCATGAAATAGGCGTTCAGCAGTATATCCCGGCGAAGCAGCATCCAACAAGATCGCCTTGAGTTTGACTCTGCGGTGGTGTCTAGTAGATGGGCTCGCACTCAAATGTGCTTCTTCCTCGATGCCTGCAGATATTCAAAATCCACCTTGGCGCGGTTTCCCTGAACCTCTCTGTTCCGAAAATTTTCTTTTTTCCTTTCTCAGAATTCCTGCTGCCTGTTTAGTGCTAGGGGTTGCAATGGGAAAGTGAAGCAGTGGCCTTTCGCGGAAGGTGATCGATCGCATACAGTACAAGGGCCGAGACCAAGTCGGCGAAACAAGCGGCCTGAAGACCCGCTCCCGCTCTATAATGTAGATATACGACCCTGACAATATCTTTCAACACGCCTTTTTCTGCCAAGAATATCATCGACACATATAATCAAATTTATCAATAGAGTCTGCTCAGATGAATGTCTACAAATAAAATTTCTAAAAGAATTCCCTCTCGAAACATTTCATCCACCAAAACGTCACCGAGCCAAAGGAATATATTGAGCCTCGGAGGTTCGCGCAGGGTCCCGCAAATAGTCCTATCTCGGATAAAGAAAGTAGAGTCTTCCCTGTAACAAAATTACCCTGTCCTCTGCGCCGTGATACTCATATTCTTCTTTTACTCTTATTGGCCGTACACTGCATATGAACACTTCAGCTGCATCGGCTTTTCGTAGGCTGCAGATACTCTGCCATTCTGAATCAAAGTGAAAAGATGCGTATTGCTTGGTTGTCAATGGACATTTTGGGCCAACCAAAGTGGGAATTTTAGCGGCCAAGTGGGGGTTTGAACAGAACAGAAGAGGAAAGGTCCCGTCGAGCTGTAGTCCCAAATAGGCAGGTAATTTGTCTTTAGTTGGCCTAGTTCGCCATGCCGCTCAAGCACTTTATTACAGAGCCTCACCGAAGAGCAGTACCAACTTGTACTTTTGTCGCACAAAGTCTTTTATAGGTATAAAAGTAAATAGAAGTACCGCTGGGAAAGCCGTTCACGGTGAAGTGCTTCATTACATAAGCACCCACGCGAAACCCCAAACAGAAATCTACGCAGCAACGAGCGTGGTAGGTGATAGTAACTTAGTTGTAGCGGGACAACACCAACAACAATAATATACCCTTTTCACTAAGCTCTTTGACGTCGTTTCTTTGGTCTTCATCCACTCATTTCCTTTTCTCTTAGACCATACCAACGGCTGTCATCATGGCCGCAAATCTGCAAGCCGTGGTTCAGCTTCTCGATGCTACATTGGATCCCCGCCAGCAAAAGCAAGGCAAGTCTACATCATCTGTCTTTGTTTGCCGGAGTGTAGAAGCATGGCTGCAAAAGCCCAGTGGGACAGGAGCTGACTTGATGCTTTACAGCGGAACAAGCACTTTTGCAGCAGGACAGGCAGCCAGGATTTTCATTATCTATTCTGCAAATCGTCGCAAATAACTCTTTTCCTTACACAAGCCGACTCGCTGCGGCCCTCTTCTTCAAAAACTTCATTCGCCGGAACTGGACGGTGCGTACAAAGGAAACTAGAATACTCACAAGGAAATATTCCTGACTGATGGGATACAACTTTAGGATGAGGAGGGAAACTACAAGCTCCCCCAAAATGAAGTGATTGCGATCAAACAAGAGCTCATCGGCTTGATGATCTCAGTTGAGCCGGCGATTCAGGCCCAACTAGGAGATGCTATTAGTGTAATTGCTGATAGCGATTTCTGGGAGAGATGGGATACCCTTGTTGATGTACGTTTACACTTTTGGCAGAATTGACCGAATAACAAAATTTTGAGCTGACCCGAGCTTTGCTAGGACCTGGTCAGCCGATTAACACCGGATAACGCTGTCACCAATAATGGTGTCCTACAGGTCGCACACTCCATCTTCAAACGTTGGAGACCGCTTTTCCGCTCAGATGATTTGTTCACTGAGATCAACCATGTGCTGGGAAAGTTTGGCGGTCCGTTTCTTTCGCTCTTCGAAGTGAGCTCCACCACCGCAGAATGCCCCGCTGTATCATGATCACTGACATTTCTGTCTAGTCGACCGATGCCTTGATCGAACAAAACAAAGACAACAAGGCTGCTCTACAACAGCACTTTGCGACGCTAAATCTTATGATTAAGCTCTTCTACGACCTTTCCTGCCAGGATCTACCGCCAGTGTTCGAAGACCACTTGCCCGCAATTACGACCCTGTTGCACAAATATCTCACCTATGACAATCCTCTGCTCCATTCAGATGACGAGTCTGAGTCGGGTCCTCTTGAATTTGTCAAAGCTGGAATCTTTGAGGCGTTGGTCCTGTACGTGCAAAAGTATGAAGACGCATTTGGTCCTTTGCTCGGTCCTTTTGTGGAGAGCTCATGGGTCCTTCTCACTACCATTGGACCGGAGACGAAATACGACATCTTGGTCAGCAAAGCGCTTCATTTCCTCACCTCGGTCGCTCGCATCTCGCACCATGCGCAAAACTTCAATAACGAGGGTGTCTTGGGTCAAGTCGTGGAAAAGGTTATCCTGCCGAACCTCAGTTTACGGGAATCGGACGAGGAACTGTTTGAGGATGAGCCGATTGAGTTTATCCGCCGAGATCTCGAAGGCTCGGACAGCGACACGCGCCGAAGAGCCTCTACCGATTTCCTCCGACAACTCATGGAGCAGTTTGAAGCGCTGGTTACTGCAGTGGTCTCGAGATACGTGGAGCATTACCTTGCAGACTATGCCAAGGATACGAGTGCGAACTGGAAGTCAAAGGACACTGCTGTCTATCTCTTCTCGGCTATTGCGGCCAAGGGCGCAACCACTTCTATCCAAGGTGTAAAGACCACCAACCAACTTGTGGACATTGTGGACTTCTTCCAGAAGAATGTGGCGAGCGACCTGACTGGTGGTAGCGCGGTTCAGCCGATACTCAAGGTCGGCGCTATCAAATATCTCTACACCTTCCGGAGCCAGATGACAAAGGAGCAGTGGCAAAGCGCTTTACCGCTTTTGGTCCAGCATTTGGCCGAGTCGGACTATGTGGTTTACACTTACGCTGCCATCGTTCTGGAGCGTGTCCTCGTGCTCACTACAGAGACGCGTGAGCCGATATTCGGCAAGGCCGAGCTCCAGCCATTGTCAAAGGACTTGCTGGAACATCTCTTCCAACTGATTGAAAAGGATGCTGCTCCCGAGAAGATTCAGGAGAACGAATTTTTGATGAAGTGTGTCATGAGAGTTCTGATTGTCATCAGGGATGGAGTTGTTCCGATTGCAGACTCTGTCATGACGCATCTTATCAACATTACACAGATCATCAGCGCGAATCCAAGTAACCCTCGCTTCTACTACTACCACTTTGAATCGATTGGTGCTCTGATTCGGTAAGCTTTTGTCAGTCTATTCTCAATGACCACTACTGACGTCTCAGATTTGCCGCGCCGACGCAACCAGAGAAGATGGAAAATGCCTTCTATGGCCCTTTTGCAACCGTCTTGCAGAATGATGTACAAGGTAAGACTCCATCTCGTTGTTCGCTATCCGTTCCCAATCTCTGACATGTTATAGAATTCATGCCCTATGTGTTCCAACTTTTCGCTGCGCTCCTCGAGGCCAACCCTTCAGGCTCATTGTCTGATTATTACAAGTCGCTCATCTCACCTATTCTCATGCCACCTCTTTGGGAATCCAAGGGAAATGTCCCCGCTCTGGTGCGATTGCTCTCTTCGATCATTGCCCGTGCTGCGGAGGATATTGCCAAGGGCAATCAGATCGAACCGATTTTGGGTATCTTCCAGAAGTTGGTATCGACAAAGGTGAATGAGAGCTATGGGTTCGACTTGCTCGAGTGTGTAGTGGAGCATCTCCCTGTGTAAGTTTGATTTCTGATAGACAACCATGGCTGTTTCTCTAACTTTGATCTCCTGTAGGACTGCTCTTCAGCAATACTTTGTCCCAATGGTCCAGATTATGCTCACCAGACTTCAAAGCTCTAAAACCGAGAACTTTGCGCTTCGATTTGTGCGTTTCTATCACTTTATCTCAGCACTGGATGACAAGGGCCTGGGCGCCGATTTCTTCATCAATGTCACCGAACAGATTCAAGCAGGGTTAGTATAATTATCCGACGCCAGTAATATATTTATGCTGAACAGTACAGTGTCTTCACCCCCGTATATATTAGCATCATTCTCCCGGAGACCCAAAAGCTTGCACGTCCGCTTGATCGCAAAACGGCCGTAGTGTCGTTTACAAAGACGCTCTCTGACTCTGTTGCCTTTGTCGAAAAGTACAAGAAGGGCTGGGCTTACACGTGTGAGGCCTTGCTCAAACTCTTGGAAAACCCTCCTTTGCCAGTCTCGGCGGATGACACCATTTTGGATCAAGACGTCGATGACGTGAGCTTTGGTGTTGGCTTCACGGCTCTGAACACGTGCAAGAAGGCGCCCACCGACCCATGGCCTGAAATCAGTGACGTGAAGAAGTGGGTGGGCTTGTACCTTCGACAGGCTGACGCGAAGCACGGCGGAAGGGTAAGTGCTCTTACTAGAAGTAGTCAATTTTACGATGGTGGCATGCGACTAACATGTGTGTGTGTGACAGATTTCTGTATTTGCACAGGAGAGACTGTCGCCCGAGGCACGCCAGGTCCTTGCCGTCTACATGCAGGGCTAGAATTGCGCGTTTGGGGATCATGGCTTTTATTTAAGAATCTTCTTTTCTCATTTAAGAAAGATAAAAGTTTGCATTTGCGGGCGGTCTATCTAGAGGTTATATTGCACCTGCCAATGGGGGCTTGTTTATATCCATGGCGCATTTCAAGTACATAGGGGAATAGTTCAGACATGAGTTTGCTTGATACTCTTACAACCATCTAGATGGTCGTATCGACCGTGCAGCTCTAACATGTGAAGTTGTGACGTGTCATTTCATTGAGGAGTCCTGGATCGAGTATTTTTATCTTGTTAATGCCCCGTCGAATGCAATTCCTGGCTTATTGGCCTATCTCGATTTCGCTGCGAAATCTCCTGGCCCGAAGGTCGACAGAAATAGACCGTTTCGCCTCCTCCCACATAGTTATCCCCGACCAGTGCGCCAATGTATCGCTTATCGCCTACGTATTTACTCCTGTTACCTCCAGCCAGTCCGGAGAGAAACACTGTGAAATCTTCAGTTTAAGCGCCGTGACCCGGTCCCTGTTGTTTTTCACCGTGCACGGAGGTGTCCCGGTAATTGTGAGCAGCCTTGGTCCTGAGAGGTATTATTCCTCCCCTGGATATACCGTAGTATAGTACTTTCTCCTGCATTAGTGGCGCGGCGTCGCGGTGTCACGGCGGCTAAAGTCTTTATTTTATTTATTTATTTTCTTTTACTTATTTTGATTTTTGATTTTTGATTTTCATTTGTTTTGGGTTCTTTTTTTTCTTTTTCTTTTCTTTTCTTTCGTTTTGGGTTCTTTCTTTCTTTCCTTCTTTTTCTTTTCCTTTTCATTTTTATTTTTTTTCGTCTTTATATAGTCAAGATAAGTATCTTATGAACATGACATGACATGAGTATTGCAATGTGATGTATCAGATTGGATTTGGCTGACATACTGTCATACAGTTACTCGGTGAAGTATTACAATTCACAGTGGATTGTGAGGACTGAGGAGAGACGAGTCGACGACGTTGTCACGTTGCAAGTGGCAGGCCACCAAGGTATTTTATACCGGTCGTCAGCAATAGAATAGCCGTGTTTTTTTTTTTTTTTTTTCGTTTGGTTTGTACTTGTGGACCTGTGGTAGTATAGTATCATGTAAATAAATCGTGATTTTCGATTCAATTGTCGAATAATACAATACATGTGACATGAAATATAATATGGGATAAAACCGGATATGCTAAAAAAAAAGATGGGCAGAAGGTAGGGTGGGGAGGGGGGAGAGAAGGGAAAAATGCTAAGAAAAAGACACAAAAATGTCGAAAAACACCAACCGAATTATTCTCTATACCGTTGAGCTTTGAAGCCAAGTCCATATGAAACCCATTCTGCGGAACCTACGAGTTTACGCATGCCATGCACTTGCAGCAGCGTGGTCCACGCGAAAATACACAGCATGTTGGATCTTCATGGAAGTGGAATACCTTGATCTATGCTACATCTAGGCTAAAGACATATTGTAATACTACAGCCTACAGCGTTCCGACGTTAATTTAAATATGTGTATTTTGGAGGACGTGGGCAAAACAAGAGATGTTCTAGTCCAGAGGCTCAGAGCAGTTGGTTTCGAGGGCAGTCTGGCTGTGATTTGCTCAAGTTGAGGCACGTGAGAAAGACATGACCATAACTTTGTTGTACAAAGGGACATATTTTTTCGTGAAAGTTATGAGGAGATTATTTTGAACTCTTTAAGGCTGTTGTTGCATTACAAGTGGCATCTTAATGGGGGATCAAACTGCCTGGTTTACGTATGTACTCTCATCTGCCCGAGTATTGGCAGTCTCTTCTCATGCTGCTTGAAAGGACCTTTTATACTCTTTTGTTAAATGGTAATTTAGGTTTTTAGATAATAATTGGGAGTATCGTAGTCTTAATGGAATTATTTAAAATATCCCTATACTTATGTTGCAATATTGTGAAGACAGGGAAGACAGGAATTTGAAGATTGTTCTTGGTCGAGCATGAACAATACTATTTGGATAAACCTGCAATGTTGCAGGCGTGAAAGTTGGCACTGAAATGTACAGGGCGCTTTAAAGGTATACGTAACTTTATACGAAAAGGGGGGTTTGGACCATGAATAACAATATTTTCTAGTACATAAAGATAATGATCAACCTATGTCTCCATGTTCCACCAGTACTATTTTCACTGCTCGAAAAATGTGGTCTTCGTTAGGTCCCCTTCTAAGTTCAGCCTTGTTGTCATTGATTTCGATGAAGACAGCTGGGAAACCTGTCACTATGTTCCAACCCAATTATGGGTTCCCAATTCTTCATCATGAGAAAGGAGCTGGTTTTTCCTGTCGTGCCTTTTCTGAAAAGGCTCAAGAGCAGCATGTAGAACTAAACCAAAGCTTTCTTTGAACCTTTGGTAGCATCGCCACAGACGCCCAATTCTATCTTTATCTGCCATCATGGTCCATGACCAATGGTATCCCCCATTATGTGACGACACAATCCCAAAGTAATAGGGCTCATATCGCAGCGTCAAAGTGCAACCATTTTTCAATACATTTGATGGCGACGGTATGGTGGCATGGACTTGTCCAAATGGCGATGCAAAGCGTTTCTCGAGAAGAACGTCTTCTTGCATTTAGAACAAGCCATATCGCCTCAGCCAAAGTATGCTTGGTCGTTGGGCTCTTCTGTCGAGTCCTCCGGGCCGTACTCGTCCACGAACCATTAGATAACTCAAACTCCTTTCCGGCTATAGGAATGTGTGTAGCTAGACGGCTCCGATAAGCTTCTCACACCCTCTCATCAAAGGAACCTTTCTCAGCACCATATCCCGCCTGAGTCCACAGCTGTGGATTGCCATATCTGGCAGTAAACCACTCGAAAAAGTCTTTTGTTGCTGTTGTGACTTCACCTGCAAGCGGTCTTGTTCCATTTTTGGCAAGATACTTCAGCAAAAACTTGATATCGTGAGCATCCGCATCTTTCCTTTCGTCTGTGGCCCTGCCTAAGATACTTCGGCATTTGGCGTTTAATATCAGTGCCGGCTTGAGTATCTGCACGCCGTCGATAAAAACAGTCGGAGTCTCTGAATCGAAATTTTCTTTAAACAGAATAGGTGGCGTCAGTATCTCGATTCTTATAGGAATGTCCATTTCGGCTTGATAATATGTGTGTGCTGTTCGTGGCTCAACTGTGAAGCCTTCTCGGACTCGAAGTACGTTTCGGAATTGAGCTGTCTGGCCTTGAGGCACAACTAGATCAACATCATCTGTGCAACGTTGCGATCCCAGTAGTAGGCAAGCTGCGCCCCCTACAACTGCATATTTCCTGCTAGCGAACGCAATGCCTATAGCTTTTGCGGCCTCGAGTACAGCGCTTAAAACTTTTGGAGAAGAGGACATGGTAGCGTTGAATGGATCTGAAGAGTAAGTTGTGTAATTCTGGTTTTCTTCCCGGAAGAGATTTTAGAAGATATACGAAGTACTCAAAAAGGAAACTTTCTTGGAGAAGTTATATATGAGAACTACTTGTACGTGGCAAAATGGACTAAATGATCGAACTTTTCAGAAGAGGTAGCTGCCGTTTCTGTGCTGTAACTAATTTAAATTGGGGCATAGCCGCATAAGTATTGACTTCTTTAGGTAGTGAGGAACAAAAGGATTGCTGCTACTCTGCAATATATACTGGCGCTGATAGCTGACGTGGCCTCAACAGCAGTTAATGTTGCGGTGGTAAAACAGATAAGGAAAGCATTGAATGCTGAAGTAGGCGCATGCTAATATGTAGCGAGATCTGGTGCGTACATTCATGACTTCTACAGAAGGCAGAGAAATTTATTATGTCATTGGGAATTGAACGTTGATATCATATAGCATATGCGAATGGCGGGAAAAAAGAGGCTACATTCTGAGGCCTTCAGTGACGTACGTGGAATAGTGACTGGCCTTTCGCCGGATCTGGATGAGCATAATACGGTATATTTTGTTTCTATTGTGTGTATCCGAATTTTATGCAAGTTGCAAAACGGATTGAATACATCGAGATGAAGCTTGATTGGCAGTTGGGCTACGCAGAGTAATTCATAACTATACTTAGTTGAGAACCCCTTCGGGCCCTTCCTAACGCAGATTGGAGGCCATATTACGATGCATACAGAAGATACAAAGAACTATGTCAACTTATTCACCGACGTAACATTCCACACCTGACCAATGTTCAACCGCGACCTAGACAGCGTAATGATATAGAAAAAATAATAAAATAAAATAAAAGATAGGGGAAAACCAAAGGGGTGCTGTATACAGAGTATGGCGAAAAAGTGTTTGGCATCAGTTGTTTGGTCCGCTCGGCCTTGAGACAACGCCAGTCGCTTAACCGAACCATTGACTTCTACGCGTTAAGCGCGGCTGCCATGCTGTCAGGCATGAGCCTTACCCCTGCAGCACTTGACATGTACGAGTCATCTTTCAGGATCAGGGGTTTCATTATTTTCAATTGTTTTGATTGATGCATATCTTTCTATCACATGTTTCTTTTATGACGACAATGCTTTGTTTTTGTTGCTGTCTGTGTCCTCTTTTATGACATATCAATTGTCCGTGTGAAGATTCAATTGCTTTTGATAGCATCAAGCTGTGCCGCATATGACCACCTGTTCGCACGTTTTGCCATGCTTACTTCTTGAATGGCTGAAGCCCTACAGCCACCGCGTTTGTGTTCATATCTAGCTCGTTGCCTGCTACTGCCGGTTGACGTATAGCGCGCTCAGATACCTCGTCTGTGTCTTGCAATGAGACGAATGGCAATGCTTCGGGCGAGCCGCAAGTCTGACTCTCAGACAAAAGGTGTGGAGATTTTCCCTTCCTCATCTATGCTAGCCAGTAATGCTGGCCAGCAGTGATAAAAGGCGGGTCACACAGCCCCTAAGCTGGGAAACCAAACGGACGATAGCCATTAAGATTAAAGGTGCGCACTCTGTCTTTCGTCATTTCATTCTCGCTCCTCAAAGTCCTTTTCCGTGGTCTGAAACTGCGGGGGAAAGTTGTTACTGTCTGTGTGTCGCTTGTTTGAGCATCTAAATCGTTTTGTTTGGTTCGTTTACAACACTTTCTACCCTCAACAGTCAACAGCTCTCATACCTAGAGTCTGACCTGTCATTTGCTTTTTCGAGAAGCGCTCTAACGTCATCAAGCATTTGTTTCTATCGTTACTTTCAAATCGGTATCCGATCATAACTCTTTCCGCGCAGGTTTTCCGCCACCCAGGTTTTAAGTTACTCGTTGGATAAGTTGCCAGTGCCTACAATTGGCTGATTGGGAGATTCAAGTCCTTAATTTTATGCGGCTTGGTTCCGGAAAATCCAAGTGCAGACATTTTAGCAGCTCAACTTGACATTCGTGTCTCGAATTTATTGGACGCGTCTAATCATTCCAATTGATCGCTCCATCTCTGAGGTTTGATTCGACGGACTTCCATGACAACTTTCCGCGCGGTTCCGTGATGGGTAGATGCCTCAATTGGAGATGACGTCGGTTTAATAGAAGCTACTTTGGCCATTAAATGCCGGCCAGCGTTATATATAAGAAGAGCTTGTTCATTCTCGAAGCCAGACTTTGCAAGAACAAATCCTCGCAGTATAATTATTTTTTCATCTCCCACGGGTGGTTTTACAATTCTCGATCGATCACGAATTCCACCAAACCGTTCTTCTCATTTGCCGGCCAGCGTCCTGAATAATAAGGACTTCGTCCTATTTGGAAGCCGGTCTTTGCAAAAACAACACCCAATTTTCAAATCTTTTCATCTGCGGCACCCAAATATAACGTCCTTGGTCATTTAAAATCCTATCAAGACGCTCTCCGCTCTTCTGGTTTGCGACCCCCTTGTCACGCTTCTTCAGTTGGCACATGAGCGACTCTTCATCATGCGTCTCAACTTCTTTCTCTGGATGCTCCTGCCGTTGTTCATCGATTCGATTCAAGCGCTGCCCCACAAGACAACGAGCCCCGCCCAGACAATGTGTCAAGAAGAATTTACTTTATGCCAATATGAATACGGTACATGCCTAGAAGAGTGTACACAAGCTTGCGACTTAGAATCTTGTCCATGCAATTGTGTCGCATGTGTAAGTCGGGTCCCATATGTCCACACATTATAGGCCTGCTTTTGGCTAATGGCTCGTCTAGGTGAATAAGTGTTAGCCTCCGTCCCTGAAGTTTCAATAGCGGCACTGGCCGTTAGAAGCGTCGAGTTTCCTCTATATTATTTGACAGAGGGAGGACATCGCGACAGGCGGACATTTGCAGGGAAGTGAAGTCTTTTATTCTGGTACAAGTGGTCTAGATAATTGCATAACCTTGCCGAGTCAGCTCGAAGAGATATTTAGCTTTGGGGTATGAGGAAAATCATTGCGAGCACGCTTGCTTGTGGAGGAACTGCCTTGGAAATGACAGGAAGACTTTACTTTGATTCGGATTGCATCCGAAACGAATAAATTGATTATTTCTATTTTTTTATCGTATTATCGTATTATCGTATTATCGTATAAGACTACTACTATTGCCGCTTCGCGAACGCATTTCCTACGCAGTCGTGTCTCCCACGTGTGATGTTAACTAGCATATCGAAGGCAGCTTAGACCGTATGAGCATCTATAAACAATGACAAAAAAGACCTTTCCCCAGATTCAATATATTTAAAATTCCTCTGCTAGTTGTAAAGCTGATTATCTTCACTGCAATTTAATTGACCTGGGCACAGATAAATGGCAAGGATGGCGAATGAGCTCCAATCCACTTTCGCCCACGTGCACTGCTCTCCACGGCCCCCAACATCATTCCCGGGCCCCACCAACGGGATCAACTACCTAGCTGACTGCATAGAGCTAGATCGGTTCGGAAACTACAAAAGCTTGGCAATCTCTCTAATCCCGCGTATCATTCAGAAATGCTCTCTCGAATGGTCTTCGAACGATAGTAAAAATTATTACTATACCATTCCGTCAATGAGCTCTTTCTAAAGAGGATGAGGCTATATCGCAACGTTCTCAAAGTTAATTTCAGCCTGAGTGTCGCTTCTAGTTGAATCTCAGGAGGTCGGTCCGGCCGGGAGGGGATCTTTCCAAGATTCAGGGGTGCCCGGTTCCCGCCTTGGCGACATCGCGTCTTATTCGCTATATAATTTGTGGCTGATCCTTGAGAGGCAACATTGACTCTCAAAGCGCTCTTGGTGCTGCACTGAGCCAATCCCCCATGTCTGTTCAGACATGGGGGAGAGCGATGTGATAGTACTGTAGGTCCCATCCCTCGCCTCGATTTGCTCGATATAGCTAAGCGGTCGAAAGTTGTCTCACCAAGCTGACGCCGCTCTTTGCAAGGTTGGCGATGGTTTCTTTTTCGGGAGTCTCAGTTCTCCATCACGGCAGAGCCTAATGTATTTTTTGAATATTGCTATTGGTGTCTGCCCTAAGGCAGCCACCACGATAAGGCGGCCGCATCCATTTCGACCTGTCTCCTATCCTCGTGCGAGTATTGGGAAGAGAGTAGAGGGTATAAGGCGCCTGAGAATGGGACCCGCATATGGGGCTGGAACAGCTCTTCTCGAAAAAGGTACGACTGGGACCCATTTAGAGTTTCAGCCGCACTGGATAATGTCCAAACCATTAATAAAGTCGTATACCCGAAGCCTCCGCCCAAATCCGTGGTGCTCAATTACAGACGAGTGCCAAAGGTTTCTGGGTTGATGCAGTAGCTGAAGGGCCTTTCAGCGCGCCCTGTTCGCTGTTTGCCGAAATTGCGATTTTGAATGTTCAATATCTTCTCTGAGCCTGGAAATTGTGCGTCTGTCTATAAGGAGCGGTATCTGGCTGCAAATGTGACTAATAGGAAGCAAGCAAATTCCGATCATTAAACGGCACAATCCTGCAAAATGGAGAGTCAAGCGACCTCGACCGAACCATATGTATACACTGGGCCATGGATCAACTGGTCTCATGGGCTCATCCTCGGATCCACCCTCACGCTCAAGGTCAGCCATGGAGGACTTCTCACGGCCTTCCTCGCATTGTTTGTTAGTATGGCAGGTGGACAGGCATGGAACATTCTTGCGTATATTATCCATCAATGCAGAGCTCGACAGCGCGATCGGGATGGTTACCATCATCAGCAGCAAGCAATTCTTCGCAATACTGGGACAGCAGGTGCGGCTGCTTATGAATTTGCCCGAATGATATTTCCTTGGTGGCGACGCGCACGCTTTCCCGTTTGGCGATCTCTTCCTTTGGCATTCGCTGCTTTGTTGAACTTGGCTCTCTTTGCTGTCGCTGGTGTCTTTTCATCTGAGGTGACAAAATCCACTGGCAACGAAACTCTAATACGAAGCCCCCACTGCGGTTTTGTGTTCTTGGATTCGAACACATCCTCCGAAGCTCAAATCTTAGCATTGCAGTCCATTGCCTTGAATGAGACCCTTGCGGCTGCCAACTACGCTCGCGCCTGCTACGGTTCGAATCCAGATCCACTGCAATGCAATCAATTCACTCGGCGCGAGATTTCCTGGAAGGAGAACGCTAACGCTTCCTGTCCCTTTGAATCTGGCTTGTGTTTCTTTTCAGATACCGCTGCCTATCAGATGGACACTGGCTTGATTGATTCCCACGACGTGCTTGGTGTAAACGCTCCCGAGTATGACAGAGTAGAATTCCGCAAAAGCACCACTTGCGCTCCGCTTCATTTCAAAGAGTTCAACCGGGTTGAGAACGATACAAATTTTGGCGTTGCCGGGGACCAATTCGAGCGGCTTTACATGGGCCCCGTTAATCAAGTCTCTAACTGGACGTTCCAATACAATCTCCATGCTCCATTAGATGGTTTCGGATATGAACTCACGTGAGTTGCTTGAACGAACCCGTCCATAGTTTCAAAATCTTCTCGTAAAGCTTAGGCTAATTATTTTCAAACCAGTTCAATGTTTTCAAATGTGGGCGACAGTGCAGCTTCCTGGACCCCAGTACCGGAGCTAAACCGCACCGACGGAGACATTTCAATATATATTCTCACACCCAATTCCATTTCGTACCAAAGCCCGGTAGATGACCCGTTCTATGCTGCGCACGATGAGCGCTGGGAGGTGGTTGGGAAGCTGAATTACACGTATTACCTGACAGACTTTTACCTCCATGTCATCGGATGCGTTGACCAGTACCAATATTGCAATCCAACCAATGGAGAATGCACACCGTTGACAGGCTTGACGCCGGCGCATGCCGCCATTGATAGGCTTGGATTCAACGCTGCACAATCCTCTGTTGCTTCACGTATCGCTCTTACGGGTACCTATATTTCCACGTATTATTCGGTCAACCCGCTGGGCACGGCAGCTCTTCAGGCCACTGAATCTCTATACCAAAAGAGTCAAGGTCCACTACCGAACAACCAATGGATCAATGAGGTTCAGAGCTGGTATAACGCCAGCTTAGCAAAGCTTCAGCGCATGACGGTCGAATATGCATCTGGTCCTTCCTCCACGCTCCCATTTGGCGCGTATTTGCAACAATACGACGACGAAAATTCCCAAAGAATGTGCAGGAACCAAAAGGCTCGCCAAAATGGTGACTATACGTCATTCAGCGTGCTCGGCATTGCAATCATCTTGGTTGTCGGGTCAATTATCATTCTAACCAGCATGTGCCTCGAGATGATCGTCGCATGGATCCAGGTCAGGTACGAATTTGGTCTGCATCGACATCTCCAATGGGTTCTCGATGAGAAGCTTCAATTGCAACGCATGGCATATGAAGAAGCCGGTATGGGCACCTGGTCAGGCGGCACCGACGTCGTTCCTGTGACGCAGATGGGCGACGTCTTCGGTATGCCGCCTGGCGTCGACCCCGCTCATCCCCGGCTTGGACGGAACAGTCTTGGTCCCAGTGCCGTTTTCGAAAATGATGGCCTGCTGAAGGATAAGACGGTCTCCCCGCACATTACTGAATTCTAGGTCAACAGTCTAGTCCTGCAGTGACTTGGACTGTATGCCGACATTCATTTTCAATACCATGTTTATTCTTATTACCTTTTTTTTCTTCTTCTTTTTTTTGGGATGTAGATATGATTGGCTTGACGAGCCTTTGGGCTGTCAGTGTCTTCATCGCCACCAATAGAGCAAGACCTGCTAAGCGTTGGTAGTTTTGTTGCATCTCAAGCGGCATCAGATAGGACGTTGGATGATTTACGAGTGATGGAAATTAGCTGTTTATATTTCTCGCTATTTATCAATTCTCCTTCTCTTGATATTTTTCCATGAATGACAATCGCACCCCATTTCACTCTTGAATCAAATTACTCTTGAAACCTATTAACTGCATGTCATTTAACCACCATAGATGCTCCTGAGAACATTCGACATATACCTACCATGCTCCATGTCTTATATCTACAGCGCGCTTAACGCCTGGAAGAGACGCAAGGCGGACAAAAAATTACATACGCCATGACGACACGGGCTACACGGGTTATGCTGTGTCGAACTACCTGCCAACTGGATATTTGATGATCGATGGTGATATTAGTATACTGTACATTATACATGCTATGCTATGCTACCTTGGAATGCACTTTCTTGTTTCCAGGACCACGAGAAACTCGACAAAGAAAACAAAAAGGAAAATGATAAGATAAGAAAAGGGAGAGAAAAGAAAGAAACTTTAGTGAGAAGCATGGAATACGAAAAAAGCAAAGGAAAAAAAGAGGTATATAATATGCAAATCAATATACACTAAGCAGTTACATGAGACTCAATACACAACTACATAAGGTAGTCAAAGACCATTCATCCATCGTTATCTAGTACACGCATCCCACCATACCATCTTCTATTTCCTTTGTGTGAAATACAATTGCCTTTTGCTTTCTGGACATATTAAAGACAATACAGCCTGTCGGTGGTCGTATCAATGAGCGTATATCCATTTAGCTCGATTTGCTTGTTGGACCGTGAAAAGTAGTCATCGGACTTGTAAACATCGGACTAGTCAACATCGGACTAGTCAACATCGGGCCAGAAAACATCGGACGAAGAAACGTCATGCCGAGAACCTCATTGAAGGGAAAATAACCCGACCATCGGCAAGAGGAAAAAGCGACTTCCAGGAATACATTAAGCCGACAAAGCATCCCTCGCAGAATCCCTCGCGACTAAAACGCACGACTCGCGCGCATGCCACACGCGTCTCTCTTTCCCGGCATACGCGACGAGCGGGTCTTCAAGGAGATCAGCCTGCGTTGGCGGCGGGGCTGATGCGGCTGCGGGACGAATCTCTTCAACCGTTGCGCCGATTTCGAAAGTGCCCTTGCAAAGGGCACATATGTGGGTGATAACTTCGGTCGTAGCGCCGGGCTGCAAGAGAGGGAGGGGCCGCTGAAGAAGACCCGTCCAGGCGAAGCGTTTGGAGAGGTCGAGTGCGACGGGAAGAGGCTGGTTGGCGAGACTGGGCTGCAGACGGAGGAGAGGGAGGATGGGCAAGTCGGTGCGGTTGTGCAGGCGGGTGGTGAGAATGAGAAAGGTTTCGGCGGGGGCGAGGAAGGTTGCGTGACCTGTTTGATGGACTGTGGGGCCGGCAGCAGGCGTTGATGAGGAGGAGGGAGACGTTGGGGAGGAAGAAGGGGAGGAGGTATGGTTATGTGTGGATTGGAGGTCGTTTGGTGGTGGTGATGATGATAATGTCTGGGAGGAACCTGTTCCTGATATAGACATTTCAATGCCCAGCTCCTCTACGCGTACGGCTTCAATCATTCGTGGAGATAGGCGAAGCGTGCGCAGGTCGACTTCGCCCTGCTGGTTGCAGGCGTCGTCATGCCATGTGCCTTGGATGCGTTTGAGGATTTCCTCGCGATACCAAAAGGCCGCGCGGTGTGTGCGTTCCACGTCGGGGCTAATCGTGCTGCTGCTGACAATGAACTGGCGGCGTGTGGCCGGGTTGAAGGCCGGAATTGGCTTGTATGGGTTTTGCACGAAGATGCGGGGTATGAGGAGTAGAATGCGAGATATATGCCCCGGCTGAATGGTTTCTTGTACGGAGTAGTGTTCGTCATCTTGCTGTAGTTGCGGAGGAGAAGATGGTGGAGATGTTAGCCCGTCAGCCTCAGGCCCAGAGACGGTGTTTGGCTCGAGAACATTGAGAGTGACGGCGAGGGGACGAGGCCAGGCATTTTGTAAATCTAGTTGGAGCAAACAATGCTCCTTGGATTTGGACGGGCTATTTGTTCCGTTGAGGAGGGACTTGAAGCAGGTATCGGTGATTGAAGTCGCAGATGGCACGGTAGTATCTGCAATATAATGCTCATCTTGTGTGGAGCTGCCGTTGACCATAGGTTGAGAATGCGCCTTTGCCCAAGCAATATCTTGCGACAGTGGCAGAAGATCCACGCGAAGGAGATTGATGCTTGCATTCACCGTCACGGTGACAGGGACCGTGACCTGCCTTGTATAGAATTTGTCCTTTATCTCGGCGCGAGGAGCCCCCAGGTAGGCGTAGTCAACTTGCACCAACCCACTCGTCAAGGACGGATTGCCCAAGACCTCAATCTCAAATGTTGCCTTTTGCTTAGGCTCGATGGATATAGCCTCGTCCGACTTTCGACGCCATCGGAATGACCGTTGATGAGTGTACATTCGTTCCAATTCAAATAGTTCCGATGCAGCCGTATGCTTATTGCTGATGGCCGCCTTCAGCGAGGATTCAGTGGAGTCATGAAATGTTATAAGGAGAAAGTCAACTGGCGTAGTCGGAGAGATGTTTTCGACCGTTACCGTGAATGTCTTGACTTCACCTTCCAACAACATAATAGATGACTGCGGCAATGAGGTCCCGCTGATGACAAGGACCGGTTGCGACTTGATGACGTTTAGGTCGAGGGTGTCGATTTTCGGACCAGGAGGTGGAGGAGGGGGTCTCATTTTTGACCCGACCGAAACCGTAGACATGGGACGAGGGACCCTATGCCGGGAAGCGGCGAGACCAATGCTCTTCACCTTGAAATCATGCTCTGGTCTCCACGTCTCCCGAAAGATTGGAAATCTTCTCCGTCGGCATCCCTTTATCTTCACTACACAGCCAGAAACCTTCATCTGCCCGCATGCCCTCGGAATTGCGGTAATTGGCACGTCCTCTGTAGTGTAAGCGCCCAAAATAAGACCGTGTACAGCTGCATCTAGCTCAACTCCTTCGCTCTCTATCTCCATGTGCTCTATCTCGAGGTCGAAGGCGTTGGGGTTCTGAAGGGTAATTGTAAATTGAGATGGCTCTCCCGCAACCAAAAATCGATCTGATTGCGCCGAAGAGGCCTTTTTGGAAAATGGATTGTAAATAAATGGGCTCTTTTCATTTTGATGTTCCTCCAAGCCCTTTAGCTCGCTATTGGCGTGAGGTATTGCTCTTTTCCATAACGGAGGGTCTTCCAACTTTACACCCCGAACAAGGAATTCGTCCCAATACTCGGCGGCGACACCATGCAGTCCCAACTTTCGCGCTGCACCAATGGTGCGCGAAATGTTCGCTGCCAATCGCAACTGGTCTTCCCTAATCAAGACCGGGTACCAATCCTCGTCATTCGGACTGACGGCAATGCCGCTCGCGGCGGTCCGAAGAAGATCAGTTGTGAATTGAAGAACCCCTTGAAAGTCAGGCAAGGCCTCACACAGATTGATGCATGTCCGGAGAATATTCATCTTTAGCGGGTGGCTGCCAAACATGCGTCTAGTATTGTCCTGCATTATCCTCTCTATAATTTCTTCGTTGGAGTCGTTCTTAGATCCGGATAGGCTGTTTCGGTTCACATTCTCGGAGCCACCTGGCAAAGAGCTCTTACGGTCTTCTGAGGTACCGATTGGTGAAACAACTCCGTATATATGACCAAGGACAGCGAGAAATTCCCGAATTCCGACAGCGGTGTCAACTCCAAAATCAAGGGCAGCTAGGCTGTCCGAGTCAGTGTTTAAAGCACTCAAGGCAGCAAGACCCGCTGCAGGGTGGACGCCTGCCTCAGCTGCACCAAGCTTTCTGGCCTGCACCAATGCTGGAACGAGCAGCAGCAGCATTTCTTTGACAACAAGAGACTTTTTCCTACTCAAGCCCAATGATCCAAGTACAGAGGCAATGCCGGACAGAATTAACGCATGATCTACGACAGAGAGATTCCCCTTTGCCGATGGAGGGGGCATAGCTCGGAAAAGAAGAGTCACGATCTCTGTTCGTGTGGGACTGATGACCGATCTCGGGATCGTAATGCTGCGAGGGTCACACAGCGGTGCATTTGTGATTAGATGCTGCAGGGTCTCGTCATCTAAGTGGCCGTTGGAAAGGTGCACTGCTGTGAGTAGTTTCGAGTATCGAATAACCGCCTCTGAAAAAGCAGTTTGAGGAAGCGCCTCCCCGGAAAAATTGGCGGCGCGATTGTAAAGATTGATCGTATTATTCAGGAGGTCAGGGAGCAGAGCTGTCAGATTTTGTAGAGAGACAAGACGATTAGGCACGTGGCCTCTCCGCCCCGAGTTCAAGTCTGTCGAGCTTCCCGAAGGCGTATGATGTGGAGATTTTGCCGAGGACTTGTCGGCTATGGGATAGCATATTTGCGGAATCTAATGAAAATCAGAAACAGACCATTAACATGTCTGCATTTGAGAAATTTCAGTGCCGCGGTGACTATACCTGAAAATCCATGCCTACCCATGCGAACAAAAGTAGGCACACTAAGATGTTCTCCAAGCCCTTGGCATGCCATAAATGATCACTGTTTGCCTTCGCTATTGAAGCGTTCTCCACAAGCTCTCGAACAGCATCGCCCCAACGACCGGCGTGGAGATACAATGTTCCTATAACAAGGCCAATCCGCGCTCTGCCTTTGTTTTTTGCCCTTTCAGTCATATTACTCGTACCAAACTTCTGCAGAGATATCCGATCCCGACTATGTTCGCGCATTTCCGTTCCGGCACTGGAACGGCTTACCGTATTCATGATTGAATTCGAGCGTTGCAAACCTGAAGCAGCAATCTCATCAAAAGTGGTGGGAGGCTGAGCGGGAGCGGAGTTTGATGGATTCAATGGAGGACGGCCTTCACTCGTACCACTGGGTTCCGAAGAAGTTGAAATGCTCGCTGGCATCGACATGCGGTAGGCATTTCGATCTGTAGAACCGCTCGGAGAAACCGGTCGTGAGCTCTCTGACATTTGAGAGCTGGGCCGTGATAGCCCGGTGGAGCTCCATAGTGCTTGGGAGTCACCCGGGGATTCCAGCGTTGGCAAATCTTGCAAGGCTTTGGCGAATGTAGTCATTTCACCCAAGAGCAGAGACGTAAGATCGCACATGACGGTTTTCATTGTTGTGGTCCGCGAAAGCTCAGGAGGAGGAACAGGAAGTATTCCTTCCGGCAAAGAAGCGCCATCGTGAGGAGCCGAATAATCAAAGAGGAGTGCCTGATGGACAAGGGCCTTGGGATATTTTGCTCGAATTTCCTCCAGCTCTTCCAGGATTGTTGACAGTCCCGGTCCATTTTCCATTTGCCCATCATTTCCGCTATAATTGATTTCCCGGTTGTCGGCAATCGTGATGATCATCAAAGATTCCCGGAATAACTCAAAAGGCGATAGTGCACTGTATGACGGCGGGGATATGGAAGTAGTAATTTCGTAGAGGACCGAGCCAGTTGGAAAGGCTAAAGGCGAGAACATGGCTGCAAAGACTGAGTCAGTACGAGCTTCTTCCAATGCGCCGTCCAAGTTTTGCTTGAGGTCATTTCAGATGTTTCTTACTCCTATTTGGCCGGTTATCCGGACTAACATCCCCAAGTCGGACTACATTATGAGGTGCAAGACGTTCAACGAAGCTTGCAAACCGTGACCGCGATATACGCCCTATAGGCAATAAGAGGGCCCGCACTCGCGCAGGGGCGACGGGCGACAAGGGATCTAGCGTCATGGCGACATGCGAGCTTGCAATAAAGTTCAATGCTTATTTCTTCGCAGGTAGGTACATTATTCTGCGACTGGCACAAAAGGTAATTGGTTGACTCGAGCACTTTTTGCACGAATTCTCGCCTGCAGAGCTGGGTTAGGATGGCGGTGGCATGGCCAGCATTCCGGGTAGGGGGAAACACAAGAGCAAATATGGTACGATACAAAAAGAATCAACCAAACAGATATTTTAAGAAGAGCTGGCGCTGCAACCGTGGCAGCGACACGACCAAAGTGACAAGAAGTTTGATTGAGATATGGATGTGACCAAGTTCGAATAAAGTTGACAGTTGATAGTCGGAGAGACTTGAGACCCTGAATGCATATTTGGTCTCTACGCACCACCGTGTCAAAGCTTCAACTTATCAATTATCAGTTTATCAGTATCGATTAATTGTTGGAAACAGCGCCGCAGTAGGTGCGAGGCATTACTTGCATATCAAAGAAATTTTAGAGGTCAAATTAGTGGAGCTCAGCCTTCAGTGATTCTATCATAATGTATTTTTCCAAATTCTAGTTGGTTGCGTTGAAGCTTGTAAACAAACCCCAGTGCGCCAAAGGCAAATAACGTCCGGCCGTAATAATCGACGCTGACAAGATCTAATCAATCTGGGGTACGACAGCTCCTGTCCAAGCTTCACTGTCAGTGATATTAATACAATAATCTTCGCTCTTTTCGTCTCTTCTTCTTTCCCTCGGGCGCATACAGACTCTAATAGCAGAGCTTCATAAGGCTCTAGTCATGAGTTGCCCGTTCATTTTGACGGTCGGCGGAGTTAGTGTTCGGTAGTGAATCTCATCTGTACACCGCTGGTGCTTTAAGGACGAGCTGGACTACCAGCGTCCAACTCATTACACATCGAAACTTACCGTCTTGTACATACTGTTCGTCTTTATATTGTCTGTGATATTCAACGATAAACTTTCTGATCAAATAGGGTTGGTTTCTCGCCCTGCACTAGACCTTTCGACAATTGCCACCGGCCTAGCGCTGAAGGATGGCTTCAAACATTGATTATGCTGCTTTAAGACAGCAAGCGCTTGGATCCGGGGCAGATGAAGAAGCTGTTACGGTGAATACTCGTGCTCTGATCGATAAGGTGCTGGCAAGATATTCGGGTGAATGGTGGGTTCATATCTCCCTCCAGTTTGACGGTGCTTTAAACTAATTGGCCAAAGGACTACCCTTCGAGAGCTCATTCAGAACGCTGCCGATGCCTCTGCTTCAAAGGTAGTAATTAAATTTGAGACTCTCCCCTCTCCAACTGTCCCTGTTCCTCAGTCGCCCGATCCTGCTTCCGGTCTGAGACACGTCCTTCTGCATCATACTTTGAAACGACTTTTGGTCTCCAATAATGGACAACCATTTGCACCGACAGACTGGTCTCGATTAAAGCGCATTGCAGAGGGAAATCCAGATGAAACAAAGATAGGAGCCTTTGGAGTAGGATTCTACAGTGTGTTCGCAGATTGCGAAGAGCCGTTTGTCAGTTCTGGAAAGGAAGCAATGGCTTTTTATTGGAAAGGAAATGCCCTATTTACGCGGAAGATGCAGCTGCCAGAAGAGCAGGCTAATATGGACACTTGTTTTGTGCTGGATTATCGAAACACAAATTCGCCTATACCTGGATTGCTCTCTCTATGCCAGTTCCTTTCAACCAGTCTTACTTTCGTCGATCTCGAGCAAATAGAACTATGGCTGGACGACTGGAACGTGTTTAGTCTTACCAAAAAGGCAGCGTCGGGGATTCCAGTCAAGATTCCTCGGGATGTAGAACCCAGGACCAAAGAGGGTATCATGAAACTTACAGATGTCCGCCGGCAAACCGCTCAGCTAGACGCCAAATGGATGAATATTGTAGGGTGGATTCCCTCCTCAGATTTAGATGGTTCTAGTACCTCCGCTCTCGAGAAACCGACCGGTGTAGCAGGGGCTGCTGGGCCGTCTCTTCGAAGCTTCTTCTCCCGGCTAGCCGCGGGCACTTCTAGTTCAGGTTCATTGGCCCGCAAGGCTGCGCGACAAGAAGAAGATGCGACGCAAAAGGCCATTGCGGAAGACCTTGTAGGGTTTTCGCAAGCCAGTGTCTTTCTTCGCATCAGTACAGCCGACGTCCGTACCTCGGTGAGCTCCTCGTTTGCTCAAGAACTTGAAAGAGCCACCAAAAAGCCTCCTCCAAAGGTCACTCGAATTGCTATTCTCACTCTTTCTCACGATGAGACCCAAGCAACCTTATCATCCAAGTCCGGTGTTGCCGCACAAAAGGCCGCCGATATGTTTGCCTCCGTTCTCCCACAAAAGTCGGGCAAAATCTTTATTGGTTTTCCCACAGCTCAGACCACGGGCTTTCTCGCCCATGTTTCTGCGCCATCAGTAATTCCGACCGTGGAACGTGAGAATATTGACCTCAATGCTCGAATGATCAGGACGTGGAATTGCGAAATGCTGCGAGCCGCAGGGATCCTGTGTCGCGTTGCTTGGTCGAGTGAGATGAGCGAAATTCAAGATAAAATAACCCGGTCTGTTCAGGCAAATGGCAAAAGCAAGGTCACTAGGGAGGATATACTTCGGGTCATGGACGCAGTAATTCACCTATTCTGTCAATTCTCCTCCCAAGAGTCCACTCCTTCCTCGCGGGTGGGCCAGCTGATTGAGGAGGCTTTTTGGACATGTAATGTCAACGCTTCTATTGATGTCCTTTCTACGAGAGGAGTCTTACCCAGCCATGAAGTTCGAATAGCGAGCCAGGACTTGGCATTTGTCGAAGGCATTCCCGTGCTCCCTGAGGAGCTAATTCAAGGCGCCAAAAGTTTCATCGGAAAATTGAAAGATTTTGGGCTCTTGTCTGATATCACGATCTCTGATATCAAAAAGGAGCTTGAGATCAAGGCCCTTGATGGAAATCAGTTGGGGGATTTCCTCATGTGGGCAGGTAAGGTTACTATGAGCGGTGAGGTCGATCGGGCTTCGGTTCGCTCATTATTAGATGTTGCACTCGCAACGCTGGACCACGATGTTGCGGGCGGTAAGCAAGGGCAAGTCCTTGTACTCGGAGAGATCAAATTCTTCATCAACCCATCCAAGATACCCGCCGAACTCCCAGTTCCCCCCACTACAATGCCGTTTGCTTTCACAAAAAATCTTGGTCGCGGACGAGTCGAGGCATTGGGCTGGGAGGAACTTCAGATAGTTCCTTGGGTTCGATGGCTTATAGAAAACACCGGCGGTCGTGGTGGCCTGACTTCAGAGCAGGACATCACAACATCCCCTGCCTTTACCGCGCAAATACTCCCGGTTGTTTCTAAGCAATGGGATCTTCTCAGCCAGTCCTCGAAGGCGACAATAAAAGAGCTTCTCGCTTCCCATACAGTCATTCCCACTAAGCTTGGGATGAAGAAACCGTCAGATGCGTACTTTTCTTCGGTAAAGCTCTTTGATGATTTGCCCACTGTGAGTGGCTTGAACAGCGTTAAGGATAAGTTCTTGCTCGCCTTGGGCGTCCGAAAGACAGTTGAGCTTGGTGTTGTTTTCGACCGCCTCATGGCCGCTCCGAAGCTATCCGAGGGTGGTTCCACTACCACAGAGGCAAAATGGAGTCACGTTGACCTCATTCGGTATCTGGCTGCAATTCGTGACGACATCCCGCCGGAAGACATTAAACGTCTGAGAGCGACCCCAATATGTCCAGCCGAAGATAGGGATGATAGCAGCAAACCTAGTGCTCGAAAGTACAAAATCTCAGAGCTTTTCGAACCAAGTGATGCGCTGCGTTCTCTCCATCTACCAGTCTTGCAGTGGCCTGGAATTTTCCGAAATTCGAGCGTGGAAGGCAAGTTTTTGACCTTCCTTGGACTGCGATCTTTCCCATCGGTGCCAGAGTTAGTTGATTTGATGGCGAAATCTGTCGCGGAACAAAACTTTTCACTTCGCGACCACGCTCTTACCTATTACATTTCAAATCATCACATCAATGGCTACAGCAGATTCGATGTATCTAGCATCCAGACTCCTTATCTTCCACTACAAGGGGAGGATGCGAAGAAGCTGGCTACGCCAATTGCTTGTTTCTCCAATGAACGGGCTGCCTTATTGGGCTTTCCGATATTGAGGAGGGATTTGCACAGCCACGCGTCGAAATTTGGTGTCATGCCTGATCCACCAATGAATGAAAGTGTTAATAGACTCATTAAAGAACCGCCGAGAAACACCCGCGCTGCAAGGGAGATGTTTAGTTACTTCTCTGGACGACTGATGGAAATGGGTCCCAACAATGTTCAGAAGCTCAGCGTTGCGCAAATCGTACCAATCGTGTCTCAGACAGCCGTTCCAAATGGCTCAATCTCCGAGAAGGCAGGCTCCACTCGCCTTGTACAGCCGCGCATGTGCTTCCTCGGAGACGGTCAAACGTATGGCGAAATATTTGATTTCGTTGACTTTGGAACAGAAGCAAACATGTTTCTGCTCAGATGCGGCTCTAAGCATGAGCCCAGCAAAATAGAATTGGCGGAGATGGTTGTTCGCGAACCTGCGCGCTTGTTGAGCGTGTTCAAAAGCCCAGATAAATATTTGGACTTGCTCCGTAATCTTGCTGAGAGCATTTCGTCGTTGAAAAAAGATAAAGCGCTTTACAAAGAAATGAGGCATGCTCCATTCCTCCTTGCGTATAAAGAGGTTCCCGCCCCACCGACGAAAAGCAACGAAAAGAATCTCATCGATAACGAACCTGACGGTCTCGATGAAGAAGAAGAAAGCGGTATAAAGGAATGGTCACTCGCTAGTCCAAGCAATATCATTGTTGTGGATGATTTTATTAGCTATAGTCTGTTCAAAGATCGTCTGCTTGCGGCACCTCAAGAGGAGGTCTTGGAACAGTTTTATTGGAGCCTAGGGGCGCCAACGCTTAGTTCGATTGTTGAGGAGGAACCTCGGATTGGAGCTGTGGTCGAAAATCAGTCTTCGTCCAGGAAGCTTCAAAAACAAATAGTTGAGCGGTCTAGGCTTTTCCTCCATGATTATAGTACAGACATGATCAAACACGACACCCGGTGGTTGGAAAAGAATTTAACGGTTAAGGCTGTTCGCTCCATCTCTTTACGACGAACGCTGAGATATCATAACCTTTCACATACTGAAGCACGAACGGCCGCAATAACACTAGACCAGCGGAAGATGTGGACCCTGTGGATTACCGCTAGCGGCTATGACTTATTCCAAGTCAGCCAGGCATTAGTCAATCTGCTTCTCGTCCGGCCTCGACCTCACTCAACAATGATGCTAGAGATGCTCCTTGGTACTGATTTACTGAAATTGAAAGCCCGCGGCTATAACGTTGATAGAATACTCCGCGCAAAGGCCGTGGAAGCGCGCATAGCTGAAGACCAGCGGCAGAAGCAGTTGGAAGAGGAGCGCAAACGTATCGAAGAGCAAGAACGAACATGGGCCGAGAATGAGAGGAATCGCCGAAGGAGCTTTGCACAACATGAACAGGAACATAGTGTCAAGATGCCCGGGGCATTCGGCTCGGACTCACCTGAACAAACAAAGACCTTGGGGCCAGAAGATAACACATCTCATGGTCTGGATGCTGAATCTCGAAACAGGAAACCGAAGGGTCTATTTTCGTCTCTCACTAAACAACTTGGATTCCGGGACGGCGCATTCTCTTCCCAAAATTTGCAAAATTTGTTGTCGAATAGCAATGATGTCGAAGGGTCCAACCGGGGGCCGCATCCACAGGAACTGACACCTCCTCCTCCGTACTCCTCTTCAGATCCACAACAGCAAAGCACTAAGTCATTGGTTCCACAGCCTCGTCACCCCGAGTCCGTCACTGCTCCTCATCGACTACACCAGAACCTTCTCTCCGCCATCCATGCCTCTCGGGCTCACGGGGCTTCGGATGTCTTCTCTCGCCCACACGCCAACGCTATCAAAGAGACAGCGTCGTACTGTGATGAGCGGCCCGGCCAAGACATAACATTTTATGCCGATTCTGCATCTGGACTCAAAATATTCTTATCGAATTCCATGGCCGACAAATCTAATTTCCTCGCCGAAAACTCCAAAGGTCTAAATGCCTTCTCATCGGTGCTACTCGACTGCGGCGATATTTTTGCCCTACGTCGAGATAGTTTGCACGTCTTCTACGATGAAAACGGAAGCACAATAGCTTTCAACCGTCAAGGAAGCTTATTTTGTAATTACCGCTTTTTTGAACAGCTACATCTATCGGATCTTCAAAACGGGGGCCCAGAAATGCGAGCTGAAGCGACTGTGTACTGGTGGGTTGTGTTATGCCATGAACTTGCGCATAACCTCGTCGGTGATCATAGCGCCGACCATAGTTATTATACGTGAGTCGAAATTGGGTATTCGGGATTTGTTGCGACATAATTAGCTGACCATTAAATGTAACAGGGAGAGCTTCGTAATGCAATATTTTGGGAAGGTGATGGCGAAAGTTGCACAGTTCTCTGTTCCTGCCGCTCGTCAACTCTCCTCCGCTGAAGGTGATTAAGCTGTTCAAACTTCCAATTCCACGGCTCTTTCTCTTGGGCACTTCATATTTCCATCTTATGATACAACTTTTATATGTCTCGGATTTTCATTCCCGGAGTTCAGTACAATATTCCTCATTTCTGCAGACAAGTTCATAGAAGTTTGACTATCTACGGTCCTGATTTCAACGGTATTTTCCTTCAAAAGGGTGTTCGGACTGGCCTTATTCATCAATCCTAGAAAGATAGAACTCACGAAATAGATACCAGCAACTCCCCTATCATTGTACTATCCATCTGAAAACAAGTTTCTCACCTCAAATCATGTACCGTATGTATGATGAATGTACGTGTCCAGGGAAAGCACAAATGCCCTGATTGAGCCGGATACCTATTTGTCGGCGCCAATAGGGAAATTATCCAGATCTATCTCTCAGTGCATCAATCGTTTTAATCCTATCAGCCTGTCCCAAGTTGGGACGGGCTCTGTTAAATGTTATGCGGTTGAAGGGAGAGTTTAGTATTTGGGATCCGCAAACTAGATGATAGAGATCACTCAAGACACAGTAATATGTATTTCGATTGCGTTAACATCAACCTCGTGAAAACTTAATAATCAATGTCGAAGACATACTTCGTATATGAGCATTGAAGCGGACCTCGGACTCGGAACCTCAAGGCGGGTCCCGGAACTTGCCGATGTGCTGCTTGGTCTCACATGGAAGCTTCAGCAGCTCTCACTCTTATACGTCAACAATCCTACCTGTTCTCTGTAGTCAGTCTTTTCTATCGCAATGTCTGGCTCAAAGGAGCCAGCACTTGACGAGATCCAATGGCGGTCTCCTGCAATTGCCCAATCTATGGGTGGCATTCATACAAATACTGGTATACAAGCATCTGGTGTTATTCTTTGCTCTTTTATATATTAATTCGGTATGCTGTATTGTAGTTCTTCCGTATTTCTCACATTCTCCCTTCTTCGATTCGACTTCAAATAATGCTATCCTCACGACTCAGGCTACCTTCAACATGGCCATGTTTCACTTCATACAAACGAGGGAGGCATTCGAAGGCCGATTGCGCACAATGCAAGGTCTTGAATTTATGGTAGCTCATACACCCTCGCAACCGCCACATGGAGGAATGCCTCTTGGGCCACCCGACGAGAATACGACTGGGGCATGGATCATTCGAAAACAGATTCGTCGCAAGCGTCCTGGCGCTGAGGACGAGATCACGGTGCTTAGCTCGTACTTCGTAGTAGGCGAGAATATCTATATGGCTCCGTCTGTGAGCAACGTTATTGGCAGTAGAATGGTAAGTTTTGATCAAGGGAATTATTCTCAGGACACGTTATTAATATGTTTAATTTCTGCAGTTGTCAACAGTCACCTCATTGACGCGTTTCCTCTCCACTGCGTCCTCTTTGCCCATTTTCTCGCCGTCCCTCGGACATATCTATATTCCGCCGGTTCCACAACAACAAGCGACGAGCTTTGCGGGAACATCGACGCAGGTCAGCAAAGAGAACACTCCCATGCCAGATTCGGCGAGTCAAGCCCAGAGCCAAGGAAATGGTTCCAAATCGGCTGGTATCGCGGTCAACACGGCTGCAAGTTCAGTTCAAGAACTCCGCGCGCTAGAGGATTCCTTTGCTCTTTCCTTAAAATATGCTGGCAATGAATATATGGATGACAATCCGCTTGTGGGCGAGCCCGGATCTTTCATCATTTCAACAGGACGAGGTCCCCAATCTACCAGCACAGCAACTCCTCAGCCCCCAACAGCAAAAATAACTTCTCTACCTTCAAGACCATCTGCTCCTCCTACTCCGCAGCCTAAGTCTCTCCCATCGCCAGCTGCGGCTGTGGCTGTGGCTGGCAAGAAATCAGCAAGGAGTGCGACTAGCGAAAAGAACCCTACAGTTGCCGGACCAAAGCCCAAAAGACGCAAGAGTAAAGTCGGTGGCTCGGCGACTTCTCCAACCACTCCCACAACTCCTGGAGGCGCAAGCCCGAAATGATGGGAGGAAAATTGTTTTCTTGCCCCTAGCTCAAGCTGATTTCCAGCTGTTTTAAAATAAGGAGTTTGGTGGGCATTTAGGAGAATCTGAATGACTTAATGCATACTTTTAGGCGTTTGAAAGGGGATAAATTTTGGGCAGCGCACGCGCTTCTCACAAAATCCTGGGCATTTTTTAGATACCTGCATCTGGCGGAGCTTGTTTATGTAATGTTGTTCTATTTTATCCTCAAATTCACACTTACGCAAATCTAATCCGTTGTCATGAAATAGAATTATAAGACACGTTCTTTTTTTGTCGAATTGTGATTATCTTCCCTAGATAATAAGACTGTTAATCAGAGATTAGTATTATTAAAATAAATGAATTAGAGACAAATAGAATGACGTACAGTGGCTCCTTTTTAATCTCCAAGGCTGACATTGAACCTTCTGTTAAACTGAATTGGATCATTTTCCTATCCTAAATTTCGTTCATTCCAAATCAAAAGCCTCAAGATCATCTGTACATACAGTAAGCAGCTCTCCGAGCTCGCTGAAAGCTACAGTAGATAGTGCGAACAAGTCTTACCGAAGCGAAGACACCGCCCCGCAACCTCAAGTCCCTGCCTTTAACGTCAGTCTCTCGAGGAAACTGTCTTGATGCGATGTGGAGATACACATAAATTGCAAATTCAGCTATCGCGAGAAAGAGAAATACTAGAAGAGCCAAAATATGACATTTCTGCACATCTAAGATGGGGAACGTATGGGAGAGGAGGTACTTCATTTCTCCACCAAAACCACACGCTGGACGTCCAACAGGCTCACGTCACTCTCCTTCCTCCAACGCCAGTTATTCTTAAGTTCTGGATGTTGCACACTAAAAAAAGGTTCAGTTCATTGGAGAGACCAAGCCAATTTGCCTTGATCTCTTCTTGGCCATAAAGTTCTGAAAGTGTCTCAATGTGTGGACGTCCGCGCAGAGAGCTTGGTGAAGCTATTCGGCTCCGGGTTAAATTCGAAGAGCATCTATGAAACTTTATAGGAGAAGTTGCGGCCTTCCAACCAACAAAAAGCCTCACGCCTTCGTTTCTGCAAACATACTATTACTGCATAGTTCATTGATTTTGCGATCCAGGCAGAGGATAGGAACATCACATGACAACAATCACTAGACAACCACTCAATTTCAACTTGATATATTCCGCTGAGACGATTATCTAATACGCCACTTGTGTCATTTATTAGATTAAGCAATGGCATCCTCCAGCGAAGAAGCAAGCACGCAGGCACACGAGGCACATGAGGCTTCCGATACTGCAAGGGCGCCTTCGTTTCCGCCACATCAATCTCGCCGAGTATGGTTTCTCTCTTCAGGAAACTCGCCCATCGGCATCACTCTCACAAGATGGTTACTTGATCATGGAGATGCGGTTGTATGTGGAATGGCACCTAGCGAACTGCCTGATAAAGACGAATGGCAAAGGCATAGTGGGACGCAAGACGACAGTAGAGACACTACCAATGGACATGCGGCTCCAGGAAATGACAAACCAGATCCAAGGAGTGCACGAAGCGACGAGTTCCGTAATTTTTTATATGATGAGCTAGCGCAAAGAGAAGACTGGAAGGGGAGGTATCGGTTCGTGTTGCTAGATATGAGGTGAGTGGCGCTGCCTCATCGAACCTACCCTGAAATATCTTTTTCGAGGTTCGAGAACAATATGGTTCCTGAAGTATTTGCTAATGCGTATATGATGAATTGCCAGAACCATGGGCCAATGCCAGGCTGCCGTCGCGGAGGCTGTTCAGGCTTTCGGAAGAATTGATGTACTGCTATGCTGTACCAGCGAATGCGAGTCTTTATGCGTAACATTTGCATTGTAAGATTTTGAGTCTAACTGTCTCAATAGCTTTGGTCGGGACTGTCGAAGAATTGGGAGCGTCATCAAGAGCGACAACGCTCGTACGCGATCAATTCGAGACCAATTTTTTCGGGCCAGTTAATATCATCAAGGCCTTGTTACCTTCTTTCCGTGCTCAACTATCAGGGCACGTCATCATACTCGGCGGTATCAGTGAGTCTCTATTTCGTCTAAACATTCCGGGGCTCGAGTTCAGTAGCTTACTATTGAGAACAGCCGGCCAATTAGGCGCACCTGGATTGAGCATGTACTGCGCATCTGGATGGGCACTTGAAGGATTCTGTGATGTGAGTTGTCTTTCGAGTTATACTTACAGATTGCTCCGCTGCGTCGACTCTCGCTGACAGTTTCCTGATCAGAGTCTGGCGTATGAAGTTGCGCCGTTCAACATCAAAGTGACCATTGTTCAGACGAATCTAGAAATCAATGTGCTCACGAATCGTATAAGGGCAGTTCCTCCGCTGCCCCCATACGATCCTGAGTTCAACCCAGTTCCCATGTCGCGAGAATTTCTCGGGGGTATGATTGAACGCGTCGAGGCAATGCTCGGTCAGGAGAACGTAGGGCCTGCTCAGTTGGCATCCAGTCAAGGGATTTCGAGTTTTTATCCTCGTCTACCTCCCGCATTTCAAGATGCCTTGATTGCAGAGACTGTGTACGCTCTTCTTGCAATCGGCGGACACGAAAACCCTCCAGCGCGCCACATTGTCGGCCATGATGGTGTTGCTTCTATAAAAGAAAGACTAAAGACTGTGAGTGAGGAGCTCGAGGACTTTGTAGAGGTCAGTAGCGCAGCGGATATCGTTGAAAACCCTGAAACTGGGTCTATTGCGCGACCCGATCATTGAGCTGCAAGGACATGGAGCAACATTAAGTTATGTTTCGATATCTTTGTCGGCGGATTGTTCTCCAGCCCGAATTCAGGCGCCGTGCAAATTTCCTGTCTCGAATTTCTCTTTTTCTCTCCCTTTCTTCATATATATTTTTCAAGCGCCGATTTCCCTTGCCTTTGTAAATATAACCCAATTTGCTGGTTTACATATTCCCAACAGTCCATATGCAGTACAGCTTCAGGGTATATACTGCACTGTATCTGAAGCATCTCAGCTCTGCTGCCCACATGGATCTCGGCTTAATCTAAAACCCTAAATCCAGACCAAAAGGACCGATGCAGCCAGTAAAAATTCTTAATCTAAATCCTTGAGGCTTTCCAAAGGTATCGCTTAATATGCGCGTTTTGGGCTTACTCTATTGTTGTAGTTCACTTGCGCCCCGCTCAGAGGCGTTTTCGCTGGATCATGAGTGGTCTTGTGTTGAAGCTTCGCCAAAGAAGAGGCGTCCAAAGAGCGAAACGACACCAGGGACTAGTCAAGTTCAACAGAAATGCAGATTCCCGCGGTATGTCATTTACTGTGGTCAAGGATACCGTCCCACTTTATAGAAAGCTTTTGCCGTTAATATTAGAGATATAGTGATCTGGAATTTTAAGCTTTACAGTTGCAGGCTTACAGTTCTTCGCACGTTGGTCGGGGCTCTAGGTTTGGCCCCAAGGGAAGAGAGGTGCGATAGGCCAGGAGATACGAAGTAAACAAACCGAACAGGGGACGAGATCTCAGTCCCCATGGAGTTCAGGGTGGAAGACCTCAGAACCCTGCCACTCTGACTGGTTGCGAAGGGCCAAGCCTTTGGACCCTGGCGCACTGCGCTAGGTCTAATCATTCTTTTCCGGCTTCGCCATCTTCGTGCCTTAATACGGTACATCTTACAGCCACAGCCCACGGAAGTAGATGGTTTCTAGGTGATAATGGAACGGCACGTGGATCAAAGACTGGCAAATCAGATCGCCGAAAGCCCCAGCAGCAAACTGACTTCAGATAACGGGAGATACACCTTGTTGTTTAGAGTGGCAGCCGACTCCTCACTCTGATTGAACCCGGGGTCAGGTCCGGCCAAAATGAAGAGTGCAGCACAGTTCCCTCATCTCGACCACGTTGCACCTTGACTACGCCCCTTAGAGCTGGCACTATACTATTTGGCCGGCCAGTTTCGGCTTTGCATTCTTGAAAGTCGCTTCAAACTTCCCATTTTGATCCTTTGGCATGCTTCTTTTTGGGGATCCTTGAGATGGCTCATCTCTGTCTCCTGCAGGGCTGTGACTTATACCTTCTTCAGCCATTAGGCCTATGGCCCAAACACCGGTGAGAATGACTAGCTGCAATGCATTCAGCCGCAGTTCATCCCCGGAGATGGAGACCAGGCAATGCACAAAGTTCAAGCCGCCGAATATTGGGGCAGGCTATGCAAGCAGTATTGTATATCTCGTCCTCGACTGTGTAACTAATCGGAAATGGGGGCGAAGCATTTTCCCTCAAGCCCTTCGGATTGGCTGTGACTCTCAGTGGATTGGCCAGGCTCAGGGCGTGCTGGCTGTAGCAGGATACTAATTTTGCTCTTGCTCATGCTTATGGGAGAAGCTCTCTTAATTTGATACATGCTTCGTTCATTTTTCCGCATTTACTTGTGAAACTTCGATTTGCGACTTTCACTCATCTTAGGTGTCAACGCGCTGGTCTTGCTGGTTCAATTTTCTCTGAGCTGCGCTCATCCCTCACGCAAACTCGCGGGCGTGACTGCGCGCCATCATGGCTTTACGTCTAAAGAGATGCCTCTACGGGCTGGCATTCGGCCTCAAATTAGCATTGGCCATACCATGGCATGAGCCTGCTTTGACGACCGCGGGCGATATGGCTTTCATGGGAATATCCCCACGGCCTACTGAGATGCCTGGGGCCATTCCATATGCGCGACTCTTTGGAAGGCAGGTCAACGTGCCCGACAATTGGTGCGGCTTCGTCAACGGCGATCCAGGTATACTTTCTCAACTGCTCTTGATATGAGGAGCAGGGCCCCCAACTAACTACCGTTGTCGTGTCTGTATAGAAAACATTGTTTCGTGTCCCATTGACAAAACCTGCGTCTATTCCAACACAGCTGTGGGGTGTTGCTATTCTGGGTCGGTTGCGACATGCACTGGTATACACACTACCTGTATCAACTTAGGGGATACTTGCGATCTCACTTGTGAAAATGATTATCGCGTTCTGAAATGGTACTTCTATCTGTATTCCAAGTTGAATTTTGATTCTATTTTGCTAATCCATGCTCTTCAAAAGCTCGGATACCGCAGCTCCTTTTTGCGGCACTTTTAGTTGGTCAAACGGTCTTCAGGGCTTCGATTGCGACTCCACACGGGGCACTGTCACAAGTGTAGAGTTGTTGGCGGATTACTACTCCACAGTCGGATCAGGGTTTTCGGCGACCTTGGCTTCAACGGAAGGACCGCTGACCATTACTGCATCGAGCCAGTCATTGTCTGGCGCCTCGTCGATGACGGCCGCTGCTACCTTCCCTGCATCTTCGGCGACCAATTCTGTCAACAGCGTTTCCCGCAGCGGTGTTGCAATTGCTTCCTCGTTGACGGCCGGCGGCGCCAGTTCAACCACTGCTAGCAGCAGCCCAGCCGCAACTTTCAGCTCCAGCAGTGGAACGAATCTAAACCACATTTTTGGTCTTGACAACCATCATAGCCTCTCAGTCGGAGCCATTGTGGGAATCGCAGTGGGCATAGTTGCTGTTCTTGTCACCATTGCGGCTATTCTCATCTATTGCTGCTGCATCCGCCCCAAAAACAAGAGACAAAAAGCTGCCATCCTCGCCGTTCAAGCACAGCATCAACAGAAAATGCAACAGAGTGCTTCGGTGCCGGATCAGACGACCCAGCAACCGCCGACCTACTATTCTGGAAATGTTTCTCCAGCCATCCTCAGTCCGCCGCCGCAGCCATTCTATCAGCCAGGACTTGCTCCGCAGACGGCTGCTCCGGCGGGAATTCATGCCAATCCCCAATATGTACAGCCCCAGGTTGGCGTCGCCACGAGTGACCCCCAGCTCAATCCGAAGCATGATTCAACTGCCAGCGAGATTGGCGGCAAGGCGGTACAAACTACTGTTAGCCCCATACCCAGCCCGATTTCTCCAGTAGTCAGCCCAGTAAATACCAAGCAGGATGGGTTGCATGAAATGAGTGCAAATAATGCAGGGCCAATACCAGAAATACACGAAATGCCTGCTGGAAAGGACTAAGTCAATTTTTCTCCAGCGAGACATTGGTATGTACATTTTTTTCGTTTTCTATATACAACTTATTTCTTTGTGCTTGGTATTCAACGCCCAAGGCTCCTGATCCTGTTGATTGTACTTTCAATCATGATTTTCTTACATGTAAATGATGGTTCGTGAACAGTATAGCATGTCATCGTTTTATTTAGCCCCTTTTTCTGCTACCAGTAGAAAGAGATAAATGAGCTACATTTTTGTGGAATGTTTCTGATGCCAATTATTCAGTGTGTATATCTTGAGCAACGTGATAACTTGTAGTAGCAAATGTGAAATTGTTTGTGATACTACTACGTTATATGTGTTGAATTTGTCGTAGAGGAGCTTTGCGAATGATGCAGTTATGAATCAGTTAAGATTAGATGAGATTAGATAGGCTCGAACCTCTGCTGTTCCGTCAAGAAAGATGACGCGGACAAAGCAAGAATATCAAATTATTTCTCATGACGGGTTGTCATTGTTTACTTGACCGATTCCAATTTTAAAATGTGCACAGAACTGAGGTATCAAGGGCATGTGAATTAATGGCAAGAAACGGTGGTGTTGTTTCCGGTAGACTCAGACGAGACAGATGCTGTAATGCCGCGAAGAACCGTCCCTCAAAATTATGGATTTTATTGAAGGCGGGCAGTTTCTTTGTGATAGCGTCAAGCTAAATATCTCGTTTTTCATGGCTGATAAATCAGTCTAGGAGTGAGTGAAGATTGAATTGATTATTTGATTGATATATTTGTTTACCGCGTGCTAGTTAGTCTGGTTATCTCGGGCCGCTGTCATCATTTTTTGCGCGGGACTCGTCTCGCTATCAGAGCTCGCGGCTTCACTCGGGTCGTCTAGCAGCAAATGTGGGAACTTTTGAAAATCTGCCCGCCGCCCATTTACTCTTGCATCCTAAGACTCATACTTACGTTTCCCTCATCATTTATTAATCTCTCATTCTTTCTCCTTGCTCGAAGGCATCCTCGCATCGCTTTCTCTTTTCTCATGGAGTACTGATTGCATTTCCCTCTACGTGCTCTCCACACTCATCCTCCGCGACTCACTTCTCGCTCAACGCGCGACAACAAATATCCTAGCGCGCAACGTACAAGCATATAAAATTGCCTAGGACTGAGACAATACTGTTTATGGTCGAAACTTGGTCTCATATATACAGATACCACAAATCACCGCAACGAGAAACTCCTGTCGGCAACAGAGCTAATTGATATCGAGTTACGTTCCACTGCGGCTTTTGTGAATCCATTCGACGACATTTGAGATACCCCTGCCGAACCCGATTTTCTCCCGGCCACTTGGTCCTAGCCCCCCACCATCATGCAGATGGACCCCGCAAGTCGAGAACAACCCCGGCGCATCCTCTTCGTCGACGCCTACGACTCTTTTACAAACAACATTGTCTCTTTGCTCGAGACAAAGCTTCCTGCCAAGGTCACCGTTGTCCATCTCGATGCGCATATACCTGACCTTGGCAATTTCCTCGAGCCGTTCGATGCAGTTGTCGTAGGACCAGGTCCCGGAAATCCCACACTCCCAGAAGATATTGGCTTCATCAGCCAGATATGGTCCCTACCGGAGGCCCAAGTACGGCCAACTTTTGGAATATGCCTTGGTTTCCAGAGTCTGTCATTGGCTTCTGGCGCGACTGTGGGCCGCTTGACCCAGCCTCGGCATGGCATCGTCACAGAAATTCTACACAAGGGGCAGTCGATCTTCAATGGAGTTGGCGGGATTGAGGCGACGCAGTATCACTCGCTGCACGTCGATATTGGCCATCCCATTCAAACACGCCGGGCCGTTTCCTGGCCGAGTGAATTGTGGCTGCCTACGAAAGAATGTCCTTTGTTGAAACCGTTGGCATGGGATTGCGGTGATCTCGTCAACGGCGCTGTACTGATGGGCGTACAGCATCTTGAGAGGCCGTTTTGGGGAGTGCAGTTTCATCCAGAATCCGCATGTACAAATGCGGAATGCATCAAGGTCATTGAGAACTGGTGGGCCGAAGCATGTCGGTGGAATGATGAGCGCAGAGGGTCGAAGCAGCGCGCGCAGTTGCCGCATCTTGCGGTACCGCAAGATGTAGAAACATCAGGTTCAAGACGGACCAGCCTGCTAGAGCGGTGCCAAAAGTCAAGCTTGTTTCCATTGCTGGAAGATTGGTCGTGGGATAACCTACATGGAAAGCACGACTTGCAGTGGAGCAGAATTCGCGCAGGCTCATTGACGGTGCCGGATATCTGTGAAGCGATGAAGGTTCAAGAAGGAGATGCGATTATCCTAGACTCGGCCGTGACTCGGGAAGGCGTGGGTCGATATAGCATCATCGGGTTCATCATGCCAAACCGCACAATCCGAGTGACTTACAACGTTGAATCGCATAAGGTCTTCATCGGCAATGAATGGCTAGAGGTCCTGAACGAGGATCTGAGAAAATATGGTAGTGACATTTGGCAGTACCTCGCACACTTTATGGAAAAGCACAAAGTTGAAGGAGGCGATCCCGAGTCGCCTTTCTGGGGAGGCTTGATGGGCTTCATCTCCTACGAAGCCGGGCTCGAAACGATTGGCGTCAGCCAACCGCATGGAGCAGCACGAGCACGGGCTCCTCGGCCGGATCTGAGCTTTGCTTTTGTCGAGAGGAGCATTGTTATTGATCACCAAGCAGGGCAGGTCTATGTGCAATCGCTTATTCCACACGACACCACATGGATCGAGATGACGCAAAAGGAGGTGCAGACTTCTGCCATTGGATCCAATATTCGGAAAATCAAGAATGTTACGGCAACTCTTTCCGAGACGGGAGAAATTCTATTGCAGGCACTGGCAGACCCCGAGAGCGAGGCCAAGGACAAGAAACGAGTCGCCGAGTACCTGAGGCACGCAAAGGTCGTTGAAGGCCCGAGGGAGGAGGATTACCGCCAGAGAGTTCGCCAGTGTCAGGAGTCCATCAGGGCCGGTGATTCTTACGAGCTCTGCTTAACGGGACAGACTACAATCTCCATGCCTCGCGTGGATCCGGACAATATGCCATGGACTCTGTACAAGAATCTCCGCAAGCGCAATCCTGCACCATTTGCCGCGTACATTCGCCTCGGCTCAGCGACAGTGCTCAGCAGCAGTCCCGAGCGATTCTTGTGCTGGGATCGTACCGGCACATGCCAACTGCGGCCGATCAAGGGTACAGTCAAGAAAACCAAGGACATGACGAAAATCTTGGCCACGGACATTCTCAACACGCCAAAGGAACGAGCGGAGAACTTGATGATTCTGGATCTTATTCGACACGATTTACACGGAGTTGTGGGGTCAGGCAATGTCCACGTCCAGAAGTTAATGGGTATCGAAGAATACAAGACGGTGTTCCAGCTTGTGTCGGTCATTGAGGGCCGGTTACCTCAAGGCGACGAGCCAGCTGCGGAGAAGAAAGACGGCGAAGAAAACAAAGTGGATGACAGATCTGATGCGACAACGAAGAAAAATCAAAAGGAGAGAGATGCGTCCCTTCCTACTGGCCTCGACGTGCTCGCAGCGTCTCTGCCGCCGGGGTCCATGACTGGTGCGCCGAAGCGCCGCTCATGCCAGATTCTCAAGGAACTCGAAAACAATGCCCCGCGAGGAATCTACTCTGGCGTGATAGGATACTTGGATGTAGGTGGAGCCGGTGATTTTTCTGTCGTCATTCGCACTGCATACAAGTGGGACGACGAGAGCTACGAGCTTGAGACGCCCATTGAGCTCGAGACTCCTGCTCCCACTCCTGCTCCACTCTCGCGGTCCCTCTCCTCCTCCACCAGCCGAGCAGGCGGCAGCGGCACCGCCAATGGCAGTGGCAACGAGACCGACTCCAACGCGGAGCGCAGCGTCAACGCAGAACAGCATCCTCCTGCTCAAGAGAATGGCACTGCTACGTCCATCCGACCAGGCGAGTCCCGCGATGCACCAGCCGGCTCTGACGGGTCTCACACCCCCTTATCGACGCAAGTCGAGCCATCTATTTCCGCGTCTCTCACATCCCAATCGCAACCCCGCCACTCCACCCGCTCCCGCTCCCGATCTGCATCACGCACTCAGCGCTCTCGTTCCCGCTCACCTACCCGCTCCCCGACTCGATCTACTCCTGCACAAGGACCCGAGGCCGCACCTTCTCAAAATTCCCAAAATTCCCAGTCTCCCCAACATCAACACCAACAACAAACATCCCAAACGCTCCAGCCCCCCGGCCCCGCTGCAGCACCGCCCCCGCCCCAAAAACGCCAAGCCCTCGTCGCAGACGTATGGCACATTGGTGCCGGGGGCGCTATTACGGGACTCAGCGACGACAAGGCCGAGTGGGAAGAAATGCGCACAAAGCTCGACAGCGCCCTGAGCTCGTTTGTCTCGTCCAAGCGCAAATCGTCACGGTCGTCCGTCTCCGCATCTACTGCCACATCTCTCCGCGGATCCCGCGCTACTTCTACCAATGCCGAGGCCGCCGGTGCTCTCGGTGCTCTCGGTACTGGTGCCGGCGCTGGCGGTGTTGCTCCCACGGGCGGTCTCGTCACCGACCCCGTAGCGGTCGATACTGAAGAAGTCGACGCCGACCCGGATATCGATGCCCTTCTCCCCGCGGACGACGACGACGATGATGATGACGTTGACAATAATAACGCTAATGGCGAAAACGGCGCACCTCCTCTGAATGGTGCGCAGGTGGCTGTACTCCCCATGCCCGCGGCCATGGTCCGGCCCGGCGGCGTGGGGTTCTTGCCCCCGGGTACACCCGTCCTGCAGGTCCGCATGGAGCGATAGATCCTGTGGTACTAGCAAACTTCATGGTGGCGAGGAGGGGGTTCTTTGTTATTATCCACTAGAATCCCGGGTCCCTTTTTTTTTCATGTGGTCAGGGGAAAGAAAATTGGGTTTATTTATCAATCCATTTTTTTTTTCTTCGTTCCTTGGTTCCTTACTCTTCTCAAACATTTATTACACTTCTGTATTATTGAATGTCTTTTTGCGGGGCGTTGGATCGGCATAACCTTTCTTTCCTTTCATTTATTTATTTTTTTTATTTTTGTCAATTTTTCCCCTTATCTGTGCTCTCTCTCTCTCTCTCTCTCTCTGTGTGTGTTGTGTGTACTCTACACCTCGCACCTTGCGCCTTGCGCCGCCTCAATGAAGCTGCATCCAGGATCCAGGTATATCTTTTTTCTCCACTCTCTATTTCCTTTTTTTTATTCTCCCTTTTTCACGCTCTGCGTCCTATAGCTAATTGTACTGTATTGTACTGTTACCTTGTTACCCCCTTCAACGTTAAGGATCAGACATGGTCCTTTTGTGGACAGTGGGTGTAATTAGGTAACTTACGAGTAGTACGTTGGTAAGTGGAAGGCTGAAGGGAAGAAATGAAATTGTATATAGTATAAGGTAGTAAGTAGTGTTTGATGAAGATCAAATGCATGCAGTACATATATATAGATATGTATATATATGGAAAAGAAAAATAATGCGTGTTAGAATCGAACGGATATGAAATGACAAGATGACTGAATGGATATATACAAAAATATTTAAAATAGAAAACAAAAGGAGGGGGTAGATGTAGTATGGACAGCTAACTCCCGGGTCTTTCAGAGTCTATACAAGGTACAAGGTTGATATATTTAGAGAAGTAAATCGTAGAAGGAGGAAAAAAGGGGGGCGTGAAATGATAAGATGGGAAATAAAATGGGATAAAGGAAAGTAGATAATAAGAAAGGAAATGAAATGGAGTAAAAGAAATTAAAAAGGAAAATTAATGAGAGGAAAAGAAATCAGCTAAAGAGACTTGCCAGTCCAATCGTCTCTGAGCTTCAACTTTCGCCGTCGTTTCGTCTGCCATTTATCCCACCCCGCATCCACCAGGTCCTCATTGACAATGAGATCCCTCATTCTCGCCATTTTCGCCCACTGCAAGTCCAGCGCCCAGTCTATCCATCCGGCCTGTCGCAGGTAACTTGTAAACAGGAACCAAAAGATCGCGCAGAAGACGCCGGCGAGACAGCCCACGATGACTTGCTTGGGCGTGTGGTAGTTGAGGTAGATTCGACTGGCGGCGACGGCGGCAGCAGACACGAGTGCTAGAAGCGAGAGCAGTGCCCGCTCTGCGAATGATGATGCTGATGATGGTGATGCGGGGCCGTGTGAGAACGATGATGATGAGGATGATGAGCCCGGGTTGGGAACGTGGCGGAACAGCAGGAAGAAGGTCAAGGACATGCTGAAGAAGGTGACGAATTGCGCGTGGGATGAGGGCATCCCGTACCCTTTGCCGTTCATTTCTATGGTATGTCAGTATGAACCATCAAAGACTGGAGAGTCTGAGGAAAGAGGAGGAGGGGGAGGGAACTGACGACTAGGCCGTTCTTCTTTAATGTACCGCTTCAACCCCCAATTCAAGGCCTCGCAAGCCAGTTGACCGGCAAACATGAGGAGGATCTCGACTTCGCGCGTCGACCATATTAATGTCGCATACGCGACACAGAGACCCTGTGGGACCAGCGCGAGCCATGCGCATATGTATGAGATGGGGTCATCGGGGTTCTAGGGCAGTCAGTACATTCTGAAGCTTTATAGTCTCATAGCCGTTGAGGCATAATGGAAATGAAACTTACGTAGTGGACATGCGTCAAGGACAAAGACGCAAGTGGTGGGCCTTCCATGATGAGGAAAAGAGACGCGCAGACTCCCGGCTCTATTCGCTCTCTCCGATACACTCCTCGACCATGAGCAAGACCCGAACGGCTCGATCTGAGCTCAAGAGAGTGTGTGTGAGGTGATGCCCGGTCTTTTAAAACAGGGAGCGGTCAGGTTCAATGACCTGAGCCTGTTTGAGAAAATGGAGCAACCCGGCGGTTGTGTGACGACGTGACATGGGTGGTCCAATACTAATGCCCGTAGTAGTACAAGACAGAGTTCCTGGCAGCGCGAGATACCAATGGCCCCACCCACTTTGTTGGCAGCGGCAAGTATCTAGCCGAAGCTAACTGCCGGGCAAAGGCTCGGATCAAGTTTAAAAGTAGATCTCGATAACTGATCAATTGATTAGATTATGTTGATTAGATTAATCCTAGATAACGATAAGATCTGACATCTGTGCCGCTTAAAGTGGCCCGAGGGTCTAGAATTATGACTGAGCGACTATTACCGTAGTAATTATCCTTGCCACTGACTCAATCATTCACTTTCCTTTTGCTGTCACCCCACAAATGTTTCAATCTGAGATTATTAATGACTTTGATATTGCATCGGATGGACCTTAATTTTAGCCCGATTTTGATCTCTTTTTCTCCATACCTTTTCGAGTTTCCCCGCTCATAACATTTGGCGTGATTCGGGGCCACTCTCGCCAGTCCCCCGCTATGGCTGATACTGCTGATTTGGGCGATGATGAGCGTGAAATTGAATTGTCCTCTATTGCTGCCATATTTCCAGAACTCACTTTTCAGTCTGGCGAGTCTTATGTCGCCTCGATAGATTTGCCAGTCGAACCTGCGCAGCCGCTTCCTGTCAGCTTTCCTGGCCTCATAGATGGAGCTCCGCCAGTCGACTTGCCGACTCCTCCTACCTCAGACATAGCAAGTGAGGGAGAATCCACTGAGAGAGTGGAAAGGCCGCTGTCGAAATCGGCGCAGAAAAGTCCAGATCGTCAGGTTGATGTACCGAGGGAAATTCATTCGTTATCTCATCTGCCTCCGTTACGGCTCCGCATTAGCCTGCCCCAAGGATATCCGGCAGAGAAACCGCCGCTTTATGAGCTATCGACCAATCCTCCTTGGCTGCCAAGAGAGGCGCTGCGCCGATTAGAAGAAGAAGGTAATGCGTTGTGGGAAGAGCTTGGGAGAGACCAGGTCGTGTTTGCCTATCTCGACCACCTGCAGCAGGCGGCTGAACGCAACTTTGACCTTATCCAACACGAGAATGATACTCTGGAGGTCTCGCAGGGGACAAAGATTGCTCTACTGGATTTTGATATCAATTCAAAGCGGGAAAAGTTTGCACACGAATCTTTTGAATGCGGGGTTTGCTTAGGTTCGTCTTTTTTTTTATCTCCCCTACCCGCGAGGGTGACTTTAATCACTGACAGTGGGTTTTAGAACCGAAAAAGGGCTCCGTCTGCCACCGCATGAGCTCCTGTTCTCATGTATTCTGCGTTAGTTGTCTTCAGGACTTTTACAATACTTGCATTTCAGAAGGCGATATCTCCCAAGTGAGATGCTTGGCGCCAGACTGTGGTAAAGAGGACCCAGGCCGAGGAGCTGCCAACGACCAACGGAACAGACGGAAGAAAAAGGCAGAGCGTACACTTTCACCGAGCGAACTCCTACAAATCCCACTTGACAAGGACATGGTCAAGCGGTATGTGGAATTGAAACGGAAAAAGAAACTCGAGTCCGACAAGACAACCGTATACTGCCCACGCACCTGGTGCCAAGGGGCGGCTCGATCCAAGAAACATCCTAAACCCAAGAATCTTTCCGAAGCACTCACATACGAATCCGACTCTGACTCTGACGGAGAAAACGGACGAGCATCGAAACAAACCGACAACGATGACAGCAGCAGCAACGCTTTGCCTCCACCCGAGGAACGTATTGCCGTATGCGAAGACTGCGCCTATGCATTTTGTCGTGTCTGTCTAGGCGGCTGGCACGGCGAATACGCTCGCTGCTGGCCTCGCTCGCAGGGCGAATTGACCGAAGAAGAAAAGGCATCCTACGACTATCTCCGACAACACACAACCCCATGTCCCACATGCTCGTCGCCCGCCCAGAAAACCCACGGGTGCAACCACATGCGGTGCTTCCAGTGCGGCACCCACTTTTGCTACCTCTGTAGCGCGTGGCTCTGCGAGTCCAATCCCTACCAGCACTTTAATCAAAAGGGCCGTGGATGTTATATGCGCCTGTGGGAATTGGAAGAAGGCGACGAAGGAAATGGCGCGGGCGGCGTAGCTTTTGCCGGTGCGCGTGGCTTGGAGAATGAGGCTGCTCTCTTGGACGACCTCGAAGATAACCCTCCTCTTCCTCCTCCTGCCCCTGCTCCGCCCCGCGCGGCCGAAATTCCACAGATTATTCTTCAACTCGAGCAAGGTCCACCTCCTGCAGCCCCTCCTCCTCCTCCTCCACAAAATAATCCGCCTCGCGCGCCTGCGCAAGCTCCAGCACGGGGTCAAGGCAACCGCCCCGGTGGTGGTGGCGGTGCAAACGGGAGGGCTGGAAACGCCGGTGGCGGCGCTGGTGGTGGTGGAGGAGGAGCACCGCCGAGAGCACCCCGCGAGCGAGGCCCTCCCGGCGCTGGCCTCCGGCGATTTCTCGAACTCGTAGAAAACGACGAAGAAGACGAATGGGACAGCGACGAACTCGATGACGATGGCGATTTTTTCGATCGGCGAAACGGACACGACCCGTGGGAAATTCCTCTTCGATGACTGCAGTAGTGATCGCATTCTTCCATTCATACATCATTTTTCCCTCTTCCTTTTCCCTTTCACCTCACCCATACCTATAGTTTGTTAAACTTCATTTCATTCCATTCCAATTTATATTAACTTCTATGTCGCAGCCCTTTTCTATTTTCTTCATTTCCCCCCTTCGATATTCTTTTTTATATCCTTGATTCTTTCTCCATATCCTTTTTATATATATTCACGGACTCCCTAGACCCTTTTATCTTCTTCTTCTTCTTCTTCTTCTTCTTCTTCTTCTTGACTTTTGTTTTCAATGAATCAAAAGAATCATGAGGTTTTCGTGCAAATTGATATCAACGTTGTAAATTTGTCGCAAGCGTTGCAGAGTACAGACTTGATGTGCATTATTAGGAGCGGCGTATATAGTAGTACTATATTCACATATTACATTTTCTGCTTGTTGATATCAGATATTGGTCTTCTTCATCTTTACATCTTACTCTACGCTTTATGCTACGCTTTATGCTACGCTTTATGCTACGCTTTATGCTACGTCTTATGTTACGTCGTGCTGTGAAATTTTACTGCAACTGGAAAAGAATAAGTTGAATGGAATATATATCGACTATAAAGAGAAAGAGACAAACGTCAAATACATTTCCAACTGTCTTGCATGACGCCAAGGAACGCCTTGATTTACTGAATGTTTAAAAGCAAAAGATTAAAATAGAATGAAATGAAACAAAACGAAATGAAATGAAAATAAAAAAAGGAAAAAATACAAATTGAGATAAAAAAAAAATAAAGAAGTTTATACTATTTCCCAGTCCCCACGGACTACAGGCTCCGTTTTTCTCACTTTTTCCCTGGCCAACTCACTTACCATCCACCAGCGCCACCACCACCTCCTCCTTCTCCCACCACCGCCGCCGCCGCCGCCCACCAAAAAAAACAAGTAAAAGCATAATCACTCATTATTACTCGTACCCGCATTCGCAGCGGCAGCAACGGAAGCAGCCTCCTGTTTCGCCGCCGCAATCTTCGCGTGATAATGCGGATCGAAATTCTTGCCTTGATATCCCGGACCAGACCGTGCACCAGCACCACCAGCACCACCAGGTCCACCTGCAGGACCACTAGCAACACCACCTGCGCGGGGAACATATTGTTTCTTATTCGGCGCCTGACCACCAGCACCACCACCACCACCACCACCGCTACCAGCCGCCGCACCCCCGGACGCAGCACCCGGACCGGCAGCACCTTGCGCAGACCCACCAGGGACGTTCAAACGGGCATCATCCGCCTTTCTCTTCAGCAGCGGGGCGGACGCCTCGACCGCATGGCGCACCGCACCCGGGACATACGGAGTGCGCATATTATCCCTTGAATGGAGCAGATTATCCGACCTGACCCAGAAATCCATGGCAGCAATGGACCCTGCGGAGGTGACATTCATGAAGCGATCCAAAAAAGCCATCATCCTGCCTGCGAAATTGAGGACGCCGGTCGCGCTTTCGGGCACGCCAAACTGTTCTCCGATCTTGGACTTCATGGCCGCGTCGATTTCGTGGGCGACGCGCGCGCCCTGCTGCGGGTTGCGCACGTGGGTGATGATGTCGTTGTACTTGTCCGCGAGCCAGGCGAGGCTGCCGTGGTTTGCGATGGCGGTGTCTTCGAACAGGCCGGGGAGGAAGCGCTCGGGGCATTTTTTGAGGATGTAGCGCACGGCGGACATGATGGCTTCGGCTTCGGCCGGGTTCGAGGACACGTTGGTCCGCAGCGTCTTGTAGAGCCCGCTGTAGATGATCCCGCGCACGGTGTAGAAGCTGTCGCCAAAGGGCGACGAGATGCAGAAGTGGATGATGTGGTGTAGCCCGTTGTACGCCTTGATGCGCAGCTTTTCTTCGTCTTCTTCGAGGTAGTACAGCAGCTGCCGCACGCTTTCGTCCTTGGCGAAGAGGTAGTAGGTTTCGAAGGCGAGACGGACGGCGCTGAGACGCGCGCTGAGGGTCGAGGTGTCGTCGGGGGTGTGCGGGGTGGCGGCTGCGGAGAGGATGGATCGGTAGGATTGGTGTCTCTGTGTAAGTTGGGGTGTTAGAATGGGATATACGTTTTTTAAATCATTGTGGAATCGGATAGGGTTGGGGGTTGTAAGATTTTTTTAGTTTTGTTTTGGATTTTATTTCATGTTCTTTTTCCATTGTAGGTCTGTGGAGAAGGGGAAAAAGGGGTAATGGAGAGGTAATGGAAGAGAGCATGGTATGAGAGCAAATGCATACCTCCTCATCTGGAAGACTCATATTATGACATTTCTTTTCCCAAGCGTGTAGGTCTTCGGCGGTATACTCGATAGGATCCCATTTGCCCCTTGTTCGACCGACATGTCGACTGGGTATATCATCATCAGGGGCACCTCCTGCGCCGTTGATGTCGTCTTCTTCGCCCTTGTCATTGGTTTCTAGCCCATCGTGTTCAGAGGGAGTAACAGGACTGCGCTGATCTTCGGGATACTCGGCCATTTCTTCAGCCCAGTCTCCCACGGGAGATAGTTGATCAAGCAGATCATACGGTGCCTCGTCGTGCGGGTCGTGCGCGAGCTCAGGTATATTTTTCCTCGGCGGAGCCATTTTCCGGCCTATTTCCTGCTACTGCTGACGATGATGATATTGTAACTCCGATTGAGTATCACGGCTTTGGTGAAGGAAAATAAATTTCTTATATGAATATTCGTCCCTTTCCTGACCGAACAAAAAAACATCAAGTGACCTTGAAAAGAAAAAGGGAATCAAAGCAAGGAATGGATCTCGAAGAGACATATATTCGCCGCAGGGAATCAGATAAAGGAAACACATGGTCGTGAATGAACCGCTAGCTGGGGAGGTGTAAGGATTGCCCGTCCATGTGAATGGCCATGCTCGAATTCGCAAACAAGAACAAAGAACAATAATTCATGCTAAACATGTAGTAATCAAGCAAATAAAAGTTTCTATCAAGGGTATGTATCCGTCGAGGTATACGATTGCCATGCCGAATGCGGTGTAGAGAGAGACACTAGAGAGCGTTCTTTGTCTGGGACAGTTGAGGTGGAGATAGTAGTTGAATTAAGACGATGAATGTACTCGAGTGACAGAGTGAGCATCTAGAATTGTTAGTTGCAGGTATTGCTTTCCACATGTTTTGTGATGCCTATTCATTTGCTTTTCTCTACGTGAGCCATAAAAGTTCATAAGAGTATACAGTTGTTTGGGGCTGTTTGTAAACCAAACATGTCGACGACAGGGACATCCATATTGAGACGAGTCTAGAATTTCTTTCAAGGGAGTGCATTGAAGTAGATTCAATGACTTCGAACAAGTCAAAATGCTTAAACAACTTCCAAAAAGGATCAAGACTATTGGATATAATCCCCTGCCCTTCTCCATGTCTGCTTCCACACGCTTTGTCTGCGAGAACAAAACAAAGTGACGTTTTGGGCTTAGAATGGTCCGAGCTTCTTCCCCACTCTCTTACCCTGCTCCGTCCTAGATGTTGGATCTTAAACACCAAATAAACGGGCTTGACGCAATCCAACCTTAAACTTGCACCTCAAAATACATACACCAGAATCCCAAGACTAGAATCCTCTAGCAATGGATCTAGTAGCAAGTGTGCGAAAAGAAGGGAGCCGGTATGTCTTGCAATTCCAATTCGAAACGGGAACCGTTCCCACCCAAGAGCAACTTGACTGATTCATGTTCACCCAATGTAGCGGCGGTCGCGGGGAATTCAAATGGGAAGATGTCCAAGGCAGTACCCGTCGAGAGAATTACTTGGGCCACTCGTTGATGGCGCGTACGTTCTACCATCGTTTTATCCATCCTTTTTCTTCCAAAACCCTCTCAACCCACAAAAACGAATCCCCCAATTCCAGGGAAGGAGTAACATTTCTAACATACGTCACATACAGCTGTCGGGCGCTGGCAACAAGGCCGCGATCTATCATGGTACGCCAAATCAGGCGCGCCCAACGCCGACGCCGATGCCGAAGCTTCCTCGGCCGCGGATGCCCGCGCCGAAGAGATTCGTCGAGTCAAAGAAGCCGAACAAGACGCGCTGGCTGCCGCGCTGGGATTCGCGCCGACACCGCGCCGCCTTGACTCTGGTGGGGGCGCAAGCAGAGCGGAGATCGAAAAGGCAGTACAAGAAACAACTGCCGATGATGATGAAGGTGCCGGTGCAGCAGCGGATAAAGTGGATCGCAAGGGAAGATATGATGTCGACATTGACAATGCCGAAGGGGGAGGCCGCGGTGTCGGATATGGAGGGTTTGGAGGTCGGCAGATTGGCCCAGTGGGAGATTCCGATACGCTAGGTGGAGAAGGAGTTGGATTGGCAAGAGGTGGGATTTTGGGTGGGGAAAGTGGTGGGGAGCGCCGCGCACGGCATAGTCGCCGGGGTGAGCGGGAACGGGAGGATGATTACGGACGTGAGGATAGACATCGACGAAGAAGAAAAGAAGAGAGAAGGGAAAGAGAAAGAGACAGAGTTCGTGGATATGATCGGGGATTTGATCGCGAACGAGGACGGGATCGGAGCCATGAAAGACGGCGAGATCGACGCCGAGAGAGAAGCCGCGAGGATCGTCATCATCGACATGAGCAGCATCACCGTCGACATGGCCGGAGTCGAAGCCGCAGCCGGAGTAGAGATAAGAGGGAGAGAAGCCCTGGAGACAGAGCTACCTCTCCTCGAGGTGATCGTCGGCGAGACAGAGACGATACCTATGGCGACAGACGCGGTGCGTATCGAGGAAGTGAGAGGAGAAGATACAGCGACGATAGGTATGGCGACGATGACAGACGACGGCGGTGAGGTGTACAGACTTTACAGACTTTGACGCATTACAATGTGTAACATGATACCCGGAGAAAGGAAGCATCTAGCTTTGGATTGAATAAAAAAAAAAGTCTCATGCGACGATCTAAAGAATTCTTTTGAAAATAAATCTATACTTTTATTTCTATGGACAAGTGATAAAAATCCAAGACACATTATTCTACAATTCGTCATGACCATCTCCACTTTCCTTGGCGTCATCGCTTTTGCTTTCGCTTTCGCTTTCGCTTTCACTATCGCCGCCTCCCGCAGCAGCCTTGGCCGCTTCCAAGACTTCGGCAACTGCCTGGTTAATCTTACCAACAGTGCTTTTGCTCAAGTCGGGCATGTTCATGATTTTGACCACCAGACTTGTCCAGCCGGTGAAATGCTGGGTACGCTGCCCAGCACCCGTTTCGGGATTATACTGCTCCCAGGCAAAGCCAGTCTTCGACCAAGAATCATAAACGGTTTCGACAAGATTGAGACGAAGACGAGTATACAAGTCCTTTGCGCGAGCCTGGTGAGGGCCCTGGGTATTTGCATATTCCTATAACAAGAGATGATCAATAAACAAACTACTCTCTGTATTCCAATGTTAGACAATGACTTACCAGCAACCTCACGAGGGCAAGGTAGTTGATGTTGATCCAGACTGGACTGCGCCAATAATTCTCCTTGGTACCATACAAGACATCGCCCTTGCTTAAACTTCTGATGCCGTGGTCACTCCACAGCTGCTCAGGATCGGCAATCAAGTCCAAAACGGCTCCCAGTCGGGGACTGTCTGCAGGAAGCAGACCGACCAAAAATGGCATGATTGAAACATATCCCTTATGGCAAACGTGCACACTTTCCTCGTAGTCGTCAATCGTCGCATCACAGTACGTCTGTTCGGCTTCGTCCCAGTGGAGGTCGTCAATGTTACGTACGATGCCCTTCTCGTAGTCTGCAAACTCTGATGCGTCTTCGGTCTCGCCAAGCACTTCGGCGATGCGCTTGATGGACCGGGTCATGGTACCCATCCAGCTAATAAGATCGACATGAAGCTCGCCGGGATGAGGCGGCTGCGCGCGAGGATAGTCATCAATGCCAGAAGTCAGAATGTGGTCTGGAGTACGTCCTCGCCAGCGATAAGCTTCGCGAGTCGAATAAGCTTCGCGATCGTACGACTTGACATCTCCCCATTGCGTCTTGCGGAACCAGAAGTAGTGACGCTTGAGTAAGGGGTAGAGATTGCGCAGGTATTGCAACGCGACTTCTGGGTTGGAAACAAACGTGCTGTAGATGTCGCCTGACAGGTTTTCTGGCTGTAAGGTTTCCTTTTCAGTTGATCTATTAGAGAGAAGCTTGTCGATAAAGGCATCAAGCACAAAGAACAGAGTCGGCGGGTTGGCGTAGTGCGGGTACTGCGCTTGAAACTCTGCAGGCACTTTGCTGCGGGCTTCATGGCCGAGAATCTGTTCACGCCCAATCCAGCCATCCTCGTCCATGAGGCCGAACCAGCTCTTGACGATAGCAAGACTGTTTCAATGAGTATCCAGGACTGCTCACAATTCTTGAAGGGTTAGGGTACATACGTTAGATCAATATCCCAATCAGCAACGGGCAACAGGTGAAAGCCTTCATCCCAAAGGAAACCACGTGGGAAAAAGGGGCGCGAAGGGACACTGGTAAAGAGTTCGTTCGGGCCATCAAACCGAAGCCCACCCCGAGTTCTTGCCTCAGCAGCTTCTTCCCAGAATCCCTCGTTTTCCTCGTCATATTCTGGCGCATATGAGCGGTCTACTACGGCATCACCGTAAAAGTATCCAATGCCTCCAATGAGGTTCGAGAACAGTGATTTGCCAAACTCGAGATATTTGGGCTTGTTGAAAGGCGCCTTTGGTTCGAAAATCTTGGAGAACCGTTTAGAGAAAGAATCCGTTACCGCCGAAATCTCCTTGGTCACCAAATCCGCTGTCCGACGTCAATAAATGAAACCGAAAATCAGGAACATGAATTTAAACTAACATGTGATAGGGTTAGGAGCAGAGCCTGAGGTGAATAAGACATCGAACTAAAGTTTCTCTTAGTCTCTCTTTCGCCGCATTGACTCTTGCGCCAGTATAACCCTACCTCAAATGCGCCAGTAAACACCTTTTGGATCATGTGCATATTTCCAGGGCCCGGCTCTTGGGAAAGAGTAAAAGTCTGTTCGGGCATAGGATGTTTTTCCGTCCCATACTTCTCAATGTATCCATCAACGACGGACTTCATATTCTGAAACATGATAGCTTTCCAAGAAATAGCAGTCAGCATCACAGATCCAGGCCCACATCAATTGGAAACATACGCTTGATTTGCCATAGCATTTCCTCTGGATACTGGAAGCTATGCACAATGGTTCTATTCAGTGGCTTCTCTCTCCAAGCTGGGTGCTCGCTTTTTGGATATGTGTTCGTCTCCGGACCACGAGTAACATTGATAGTGAACTTTCCAAGCTCCGGAGTGTCGCCGCCAAGAGTGACAACGTCCTTGTATCCCACAACGTTGATGTCATTCTCGACTTGGAGACTGCCCAGTCCCTCCAAAGCGGCGTAGAAGACGACTGACGTCTTTAATTGTGCTGGGGCATCTTTTCTAGGTGTACCCTTGATTCGCAAGCCCCAGCTTCCTCCATGCACACCGCCTGGTACTTTGATAAATTCCGTAGTCAAGTCAACTTTGTTACCGGCGTCATGGACTGTCTGTCGGCCACCAGTTCGGACGTCGTATTCGTCCCACCCATAGCCAGCCATGCCTTCATGCTGTTCGCAGGTGTACCGGAAATCTATTCATGATTGGAATGTCAGTCAATGGAGGCCTTCGCCATTAAAAAAGGGGTCGCAGAGCATGTCAGTCTTACTGTTTTGCACATCAATAAAGTTATCGACTTTGGCCCATAGGAGCCCAGTCATCAAACTCTTCGGTATGCGAGGTCGCACTCCAAAGTATAAATTGGGCCTGTAAGGGCCCCAGAGTAGGGAGTCATTGGAAGCTCTTGCGATTTCATTGATCAAAATACTGGTATCCTCCGCAGCGTGCGTTGGGGAGAAGGTTAGTAGGCCAAGGAGCAGTAGACAGAGCGCCCACACAGTGGGGACCACTCGAAACGATGCCATTCTCTCCAAAGCGAGAGATTAGCTTCCAAGAAGCTCTCAAACAACAATTGAGAGCTTCAAGGAGAACGAAAAAGGGTGAAGGATGCGAAATACAGCAACCTTTGGCGGGGACACGTTTTCAACAAAGTGACAGCGGGAGCAGCCCAACTCCAAGCTTCCCCAGGGACCAAAGGGGGACGTGCGTCAACATTGCGCGTCATAACCCCTGTGCTGCTCCGTACCGAAACTTAGCTCCGGGAGAAGAATTACCTTAGGTCGCTGCTTCAAAATAATCCGATGCAATTAACATGACTTTCTCGTTCAATTTTATTGATCTCGTGATTCTGATTAGAATTTGAATTATGACGGGGAAGAAATAAAGATAGAAAGAAAAAGAAGCCCCAAGCGCCTCATTTGATATCCTATGTACAATGCGAAAATAGAGAGCCAACCATTAATATATACATTTTCATGCAAAATTTCCCACACAGTGAAGCTGAATTGAACAATTACTCGCGCCTAGAGATCATATGCGTCAGCTATCGTATTATGAAATCGCCTCAGAGAGGTTTGAGACTTACGACGGACTGAGCGGCCTGTTAAATCCTCCAACACGGTTCATGTATTGACGGTATTCCGTCTTCTTCTCTTTCCGAACCATGTAAATGTCGTTGCCTGGAACCTTGGTGTTCTTGGTGGTTTTGAAACCGCCAAATCCCATGACAGCCTTCATCTGCGCCTCGACGCTGTCTTGGTCAGCATTAATATCGACATCTTGGAGATTGACCCGATCTGCGTCCGGCGCTTGCTTTGTAGCGGCTGACGGTCCAGATTTAGCCCCCCCTCTTCTGCCATCCACCTTGACGCCATCTCTCGGACGTTGTACAGGCTGCTGTCTCGGTGACCTCGATCTCGCGCGACCATCCCGACGACGAGGTGAGCGTGAGCGATTACGATGTGAATCTCCCCGTGCTGGCTCATCTGGATGAGCATTTTGATTAGCATATGTCACCCCTTAACAAAACACTTCACAAGGAGTTCGTACCTCGGCGCGATCGGAGTCTTTCTCTGCTCAAGCTCCTGTCCCTTGTTCGCACATCCCTGTTACTTGGAGCGTCTCTGCCTCGACCGCCATATCGTTCTCGAGACGCGCTTCTCTCCCGCCGTCGCTCATATCGGTCTCTTGATCTTGACCTATATCTTCGGTCCCGGACATTATCACGTTCGTCTCGATCGCGGTCTCTTGAGGAGAGATCTCTGTCCCTCTTCGGACCACTGTCGTTCCGGTCCCACATAGCGGTACTGTCGGTCCTCCGCGAGCGCTTCGACGGGGGTTCCGCCATCATAAAATTGGTGTAGCGAAAGTGTTTCTAGAAAATGAGTCTTCTCTGAGTGTTGAGGCGAATGCGCTTCGGCTTTCTTCTTTCCGAGAGCTCTCTGATACAGGCGCTGTGAGAATTGCCGCGATGGTGAGATAAATATTCGTGAGTCACGATATTTTCTTGGTACCCTTCCACAAATCCACTGATCGGCTTGGCTCGAGGAACTCGTGAGAGTAAATGGGCCGTATCACAATATATTATTGATTCACTGTAAGTTCTGTCGCCGCCAATTGAAAATCACTTGCGGCCGGTGGTGATGCTCTCCGTTGTCGCGGGTCAACAAGTACGGTGGGCGCCTACAACCATTGATGTTATTCTTCCTTTGATCCCCTTGGTCGAGGAGCTACTCCAATATCGCGACACAGCACCAGCTTAATTCGCCATATTTTCAATACTTTTGCCTTAGCCTTTAGAAAGCATAATTTTGACTATTTGCAGAATTGTTTCAAAATGTAATCGCTAGAGATATAATTTTCTCAAATCTCATCTTCTTCCTCGTCAAAGTCATCCTCTTCACCCATATCGTAGAGAATTCTTCCTCCTTCTCCAGGTCCTGCATCATCATTCTGAGCATCGAAATATGGTAAGACAACCCCTTCTCGATCTCTTCTTTGCTTCTCGGTGAGTCCCAAATTGAATGTCGTATCCATTGTCTCTCCGTCCTCAGATGCTTTGGCGCCTTCGGCGGGCACGTTTTTAAATAGCGGGTGATCATCTAGCAGGATGATATCATCTTTTCCTCTTGGTATGAATTTGCCGGACCTTGCTGGCAAAACGAACCACTCCCGAACGCCACGGCCAGACTTGCGGCGAAACTCCATTTCAACGACCACATCTCCTGGTTCGTTTCCGCCGATCCCTCTAATCATGCCTTCAATCTCTGCATCAAGACCAAAGACTGGTTCAACAAGACTTCGGTCACGAGCGGCCTTTTTGGCCGCAAGATGCGATAAAGAATGAACGGTCAGAACAGTAGTGCAAAGATATCGGAGGAGAGTAACTGGGTCAGGGCTGTAAGGGGAGGGTGAAATATTTGATAACGGAACATCTGAGTGATATGTAGCAAGAAGCGAAACAGATGGCCCAATAAGTGATGAAAGAAATGAAATTAGAGCCGTTGGAGCAGTGCTAGCAATAGGCTGCAAGGTGTCGAAGATTAATAACGTTCCTGGGTAAAAGTTAGGTAATTACTGATCTTAAGGGAGAGGAAGGTGAAGAGAAGTATAGATTTCCAGTCTAACATGTATAAGGACCAAAGAAAAGACTTTATACTCACGGCTTAATTTTGAAGCGCAAGAAACTATCTCTTTATGCAAGACATCCAAGGCTTTTCCTCTAGCATTAATGACGCTCTCGACGCCTGCAGGACGTCGTAATGTCTCAAAAGAGACATATACAACTGACGTTTTCGCGAGCTATAGATGGGTCAGTATTTATTTTGCGCCATTAATTTAAAAATCTCAAACAATTAAGTTGCAACGGTAGAGCAAGAAATGGTCCACAAAGAGAAAGTGAAAAGTTGCAATAACTAGAACATGAAAATCTTTATGCACGTCACTTGTGGTGGTGATCCAACCTCGTTTAAGGAGTCTCATCCAAAAGCAAAGGAAGATTATAGACCAAGCATTCTAATTGCAAGAATCAAAACAGAAAGATTGATTGAGAAACTCACATTAGCCCTCCTTATGAATTCACGAAGGAGTGGTTTTGCAGATTGCTCAAGCGAGTCGAAAATCAGAGTGAACGGTGAGGCGGTTTCTCGACAATTCAGCAACTTGGATATCAAAAGTAAATTATGCGCGCGTCGATGCTGAAGACTTTGAATCACCATTTTCGATAGTTGAGGGTATGTAGTAACAAATTTTCCAACAGGCGTAATTATCGATTCGATGTCCTCAAAATGGCCTTCGATGGGAGGATTAAAGCAGCGAGGCTGCGGCGGGTAAATCGTTCCTTCCGCCTTCGCTACGAAACTAGTGTCAAACTCTACCTATTATTCCGCCAAACGTTGGATATCACAGCCGTCTTTCACCACAGGTACACCGATGCAGACTAGGGCTATTGTAAGATTAATATAAAAGTATACCATCTCTAGAGATTAAGTATCATAATATGAATAGAGATTCCCAAGCCCGGCGAACGTCGCCGAAGCAGGTGCTACTTAAGCCTTGCGCGGAGAAGCTATCAAAATTGTCTTGATCAAATTTCACCGACCATAGCATTATAGCCTCTGATTTGAACTGGCTTTCCTTTAAAAAAATTCTTGAAGCCAGCCATTTCATTCAAGTGAGCGAGGCAGAGATATTGATAACCAAGACGAAGTTGTCAAGCCAACGTCCATGGAACTAGCCATGGTAATAAAGCGGACAGAGGTTTCCACGACGGCATGCTCGACAAATTGCTGGCATAGAGAAAAGTGGTATCTTGGCACCATGTACACTTTCGTTTTCTGTTGAGTAGGTCTTCCGCTGAAATTCAGTCACCGCCCATCTTATAATGCAAGGCCTGTCGCATCTCCCAGATGGAGCCCATATCCTGATTGTCTCGTTTACAGCGAAACTCCTTCCAGCCGTTCCCATTTGGAGGCTTTTCCACTCTCCCATCGACCCGCAAGATTTCGTTGGCAAGCATTGTGGGTCCCACTACACCCTTGAGAATAACATCTGGACCTTGCTGAGGCGAGGAAAATTTGTGCTGACCTGGTGGAATTGAAAATTCCATGGTCTTTTTCGGACCAAATCCGACAACCTATAATACGTTAGAGTCTTCCAGGAATCACAAGGATAAGATAAGCCTCAGAGTGACAAATACCCTCACTTCCTTTTCCACCAGCACACCGCAAACAAGCCTTCGATACGCCCAAATATCTCCCACCTTGAACTGTCCTTCTCGTACCATAGCATCCAGCTTCATTTTGCTGCTTGCCCCAGCGACGACGTCGTGGGAAAGGGCTTGCTTTTGACCCCAGAATGCTTCGTATTCCTGCTCCTTCCAGGCATCAAATTTGCCCTGAGCGCGTTCTTCCATTGCTACCGCAGCCTGCTGGAGCCATTCAGGGTCATATCTTCCAGCCTCAAGGTCCTCTTGGTAAAGTCGAATTCCAGTCTTGAAATCTATGTCGTGCTTAAGAAACTCTGGCCGGACGCCGCTTTGATCATCTGTTAGCGCCCGGTCTGGCAGCAATGACATGAGAATTCTTTTTTCTTCTTCATCAAGGAGCTCCCAGGCTGCTGGTTGGGAAAACAGCCTCTTTTTAATTTATTCTATCATCAGTAAAAATGGCCAAAGATCATGTGACGTGATAACTAACCACAAGGTCTGCGCTGGCAACTGGTGATTTTGGGTTTTGTGTGAGGTACTCCTCAGTCCAGATGTCTTTCTTGCCTGACTTCCTAGCGGGTTGCTTCCTCGCTTTGTTTTGAGGCTTTTCCTCTGGAGTGGCCACTTCCTCAGCAAGCCGCGTAGGCGCTACACGCCTTCGTTTTGGACGCTGCGTGTCTGCCATGATGAGTTTGCAGACTATGAGAGGTATTGAATAGCAAATAATGGAGTCGTATGTTTTGCAGTTACATTGCACGGCTGACCAAATGCAAGTGAAAGTCAGCTCGCAGGTCGAATAGTCAAATGCTGTTGTTGCATCTCTAACCTGTCCTTGATGGAAGGACTAAGTTACATGGGAACTTATTGCTTAATGGTTTCTGCCAGGGTCATAGTAAACTTCAGGTTATCGATAGCTACTGTGAGCTATTGTGACAGGAGTGAATAATCAGCGTTAGCGAGGTTTCTCCATCCCCCAGAAGAACCTAAACGTCTAACATTGGTAAGTTATCGCCTAACTATTAGCGGAGTTTTGGAGAAAGGAACGGGGAACAAGGCGAGCAAGACAGGATATGAACGCCACTAATGTAGTGGGTGACTTGGCATCTTGTTCGCTAAGGGCGACGTGGAATGCCATTACCGCTAAAGCCGTTCTAAACTACGTCGACCGTCAACAGCTATTCCCTGAACTCACGCAACAGGAAATACAAACTCCAAGATCCCCACAGCTTGAACGCTATCCTAACGACACCTGTCTTTGGCATTAACTGTCTTACGAGAATAACCCGGTTTTCAGCATTTGTTCAACTCAACCTTGAACTCGAACGGAGTGATCGGGGGTTAAGGGGCAGGCCTAGAACATCATCATGGTTCGATCTACACAGATTGCGAGGCTTGATGGTAAATACAGATGCTTCCTCTGGCGATTGACGGGATGCACAGTGCTAACAAAGCATAGGTCTCATGCTTGCGGCCTCTGTTGATGACGAGCAGGTATGGACCGCCGATTCCACACGGGACTATAGCAGTACCAGAGCGAACTAACGGAACAACTGATGCGCCTTGGAAATATCTAGGCTGAGACTGAGCTGGCCGAAGTAAAGTCAAATGTCAAAATGATTATTCGGCGGCTGAACCGGAATTCGGAACCTCAAGCTAGTATTGAGTGTGGGCAATATATGATTCAGTAAGCCTAATTAGTCCACTGGCACTCCCTTATCCTAAGAGTCCTGAATATTCTATACGCCGGCGCATGCGACTCCTTTCAAAGATGTTCTGACATTGAGTGTTTCTTCCTGTCCAGCTACACAATAACGGATTCTGTCTGCTTTATTTGCATCTGCGACCGATCATACCCCCGCAAGCTTGCCTTCACATACTTGTCTGATCTCGCCACGGAATTTACTACCACCTATAACTCCGCTCAATATCTCTCGCCAAATCTTCGCCCGTATGCCTTTGTCGAGTTCGATACATTTATTCAGCGAACAAAAAAGACATACCAGGACAGTCGCGCCACGCAGAACCTCGACAAACTCAACGACGAGCTCAAGGACGTCACCAAGGTCATGACGAAGAATATTGAAGATCTTCTATATCGTGGAGATAGCCTGGAGCGGATGGGTGAGATGAGCGGCCGCTTAAGAGAGGACAGTAGGAAATATCGCAAGGCTGCGGTTCGAATTAATTGGGAGTTGCTGCTGAAACAGGTACGTCATCAAAAGTTCAAGATGGGCCCCTCCTGTCCTCATGCCTTTTGAAAGGGCATTTCTGCGACAAAATGGCTAACTTGTGTATCTGCAACTGCAGTATGGCCCTGTGGGCGCCCTGGTCCTCATAATGATTGTGTTCATCTGGTGGCGGTTTTTCTGAGACGTCAAAATTATTTGCATACCAATTTACGTAGTATAGTTGTAATATAGAAGCAAGTCGCAATGGCTTGTTGCTTTTTTTTCGTAAGTAGGTCCCGCTGGGATACGTTGGTCTCCGCACAGTGCCAGTTTTGGGCGATATACCAGGATTGGCAAAGTCCCGCAGTGGTCCCATTTTCAAGTTCCAATTCGTGTGACACTCGGTGCGACTGATCGGGTAGACCGATTTCGAGGATCGCCCAAGCATCATATGCTGTGATGACAAATTTAGCACGTTGCGAGAACCTTTTGACAGTATTCGATGCGGCTTACTTTTAATGCTTAGCTCTCTGTTTCCGAGGGCAAGTTTGCACTACGCGGTTGTCGTCCAAAGGAGCCAGGTGAACATGCAGAACGCCGTGTCTTTTGGCAGACTCGCGGTATTTTCCCCAAGTGCTTCTAGTGGCATATCAATTGCCATATAGCACAAGCTGAGATTTGTGGCTCCGCGGCAATTTCTGATGCAAGCCAGCCCCATTCGTGAGAGCAGTCACGGAATAATTTTGGCAGCTTCCGGGCTGCTTGACATTTACTTTCCTATTCGGCTTTGCTGCCATTAGGAAGACGTCTTATTCAGTGCAGAATATAGCCAAGAGTCTGTCAACCACGTCCCGCATCGTTTCCTGAGGAAGCAATGATGCTGCCATACGCTTTCTCTGTAATATTATTGGTTAAATCTCCGGCCGCAACTGCATATATTGTAGGAAACAAGCTTACCAGTGCAAAAGAAGCCCCTTTAAATGTCTGGTGGTAGACCAACTTGTACTCTTCTTGTTCTTCGGCATAGCTACTTTTCGTGCCAACGTCATGAGTATTTGTAAATGGCGGTTCGGAATCTTCTCGCTTTTCTGGTTTTCTTCGTTGTTGAAATCCATAAATCCGCATGGCCGCCATGACGATTCGAGAAAGCGCAGCTTTGTTCTTACTCTCAAAACTTTCCTGCTGAGAGAGGTCCTCCGCAGAAAAGCTTGTCCGAGCCAATGACGACCGTTTATTGTCTACCAAAGACTTTCTCCGTGAAAATGGCCGAATTTCGTCGTAGTTACTTGAATCACCATATGCCGCGGCTGCGCTGAAGCTTCGAGACAAGCTTTGCCTGCCTAGAATAGCCTTCGGCAAACTGTCTGTACTGTCTGCTTTCGATAATGGTGTACTCTCTCGACTATCTTTAAGCCCTACAGAGGGAGCTCTGGGAAGACTTGGCGGCTGCGGTGTACTGCCTTCGACCTTGGCCATGGTCTGTGAGATACTTTCTCCGCCTTTCGCCTTGGACCGTTTCCTTCGCTCTGCGGCATCTTCAAAAAGCGAATCAACTCTTTTTCTCTTGGCTGATACCAAGGGCAGGGTGCCATCCAGGTCGTCAAATAAGGGAGGAAGAAATTGTGCCTCATCTGTCGCTAACTGCCCTTGCTGAACAGAAAAGGCAGGAGAGGCTGGTGTCGGTGGCTGATTATCACCTGGTGCCTTCAGCAAGGCAGGAATTTCGCTTTGTGGGTAGAGCAAGTCCGAAGATAAGGGTAATGCTTTGACATTCAACACAGATTCAAGCTGATTTGAAGCTGGCTGGTATGTCGATGAAGAGGTTTGAGACGTTAGAGTTGTTGCATCAACTTCTGCTGGCCGCGTAGTAGTGCCATAAATGAGCAACTCTGTAATACGCGGCCCGATCTTTGGTAACACCTTTTGGATCGCGTCTTCGACTCGAATAAGAACACCGACATCCGATTGACCGGTAGGACTCTCCCACCAAGGATTAATGTTATCCACAGAGTCACCGTCAGCGTCAACAAAGACGCTGGTAAACCATTCGAGGGTTGATTGACTTTCTGTCTTGACATCCAAAGCAATGCCGGCGATCAGATGAATTGGTATTCTGGATGGATCAACAAAAGCAAGGAACTCAAAATTTTTATCGCTAAGTCCCAAGCTCTCGGGCTTTGGATGAGAGGAAAATAGTCGCACATCTTCGAAAGATCCACGTCAACACAGTCCCGATCTGCGAGGCAGACAACGTACCCTCTAACATGATGGAAGGATTGGTGGCGCTGATGCACCCTTTCCAAAGCTCCATTGTTCATATAAACATTTGAAATTTCTTTTTACAGCGTCATTCATTTCATTTGCCGGTATCCCTTCTGGCCGCCATGCTTATCTACATCATATGTTTGGACGTTGGGGTGATAATTTCTAGTTCCAAGGCTGACGCGAATCCGGTAACGCGATTGGGCTGCTCAACGCGATCTTATTGCGCGGAGTCACGTGCGCATATTCTAATTATTGCCATTCATATGTTCCTGTTACTTTTTTCATGTACTTCTACAGAGAGGGAAATTATTGCAATGTGGAATCATATGATTGCAAATATTTCGGATTATTTGAATGAAGAAGTCGTTTTGGAAATTCTAACAGCCGAACAAATCTCGTCAGGAAAGAGTGTTTCTTCGGTATTCGAGATATGGACGATGCAATTACCTCGTATAACAACAAAGCTCTTATACTACGCCGAAGTCATTCGCCGTATCAGAGGAAAATAGTGTTAACTTGAATATTAATCGTATAGTCATTACTATAAATGTTTGTTGTGGCAAGAAGAACAAAGCAAAAAGTAAGACCTAACACATCGCTGAATCCATGCTGTCAGAAATGAAGAAATGAAGAACTAAGTATAGTATACAACTAAGAGCTATCAGTTCCCTCAGCTAGAAATCCTGCTCCTCCTGAAAGAACATGCCAAAGCTGATGATGGTGCCATATATCAGCAAGCCGCCGACGATAGACATGATCATGGCTGGGACTTGAATAAGTCCACAATGCGCAAAGAGAACTGGCAGGGCTGGTAGTAAGATAAACGTTAGCTATCGCAACGATCACTATCCATAATATCAAGTAATAGCAGATCAATGGTACAACTTGATTTAACTGCTCAAAACACCCCTTCCACCTATCAACTTACCGATTCCCATCACGACGAAAAATCCGGTACAGAAGCGTCCAATATCAATGACTGCATTGCTGCTACTTTCCATAAAGTCATCCGGATTGGAACACCTTCCACAAATCCAATTCGGGAGAGGGGCGAGGAGATAAGTCGCAACCACGAGAAGTGGGAGGAAGTTGTGCCATAGAGCCGAAGATAGAATGACAAGCAGGAATCCGATTGCAAGAACCTAGCGACAAGATGTCAGTTTTAATCCAGGGGTAAATTGTCCTACTTGCAATATATAACATACAAAAGAAAGGGCGATAATGGTTTTAAGCCCCGCCGCCATCTTTGCGGAAGCCGGAGAGCTAGTCGCGAGTTGTAAAGGAAAAGGGTGGCTGAGCGACCGAGGAAGGAGGTGCGATTGCCGACCAAATGTCTTTCTGGAATATGATAGCTATGTGGTCCCACCCAAGCTAATTGTACCTCCAAAAGATGAACAGAAATAAATGCTTGTAGATGCAGAGCAAGACTCGTTGACTGTAATGGAGCTGACGTCGCTCTCAAGGTAGCGCCCGCGTGGTTGCGGCTCAAGTAGAGTCCCCTGTCCGCTTCAACATTACACCTTACCCAATCGAGTGCTTGAGCTTCGGAATCGCGTCGTCCTTGACTGCCTAGCATCATCAACTGGCATTTGCCTTTCCTCATCCATCATCTGCAATACCTTCATTTCCTTTCGCTTTCTTGTTCCCTCTCTCCTCTCAGGCTCAGCTTTTTGTTCGGAACGTCAGGTCTTCTCCTTTGAGCCATCATGTTCCGCAACAATTACGACAACGATTCTGTGACTTTGTACGTTACCTCCATGAGTTAAGTGGTATTCATCCGCTAATCTCCGAATAGCTCTCCACAGGGTCGAATTTTCCAGGTTGAATACGCCCAGGAGGCTGTGAAACAAGGTTCAGTTGTTGTCGGTCTCGTCAGCAAAACTCACGCGGTGCTTGCTGCTGTAAAGGTGCGTCCTACACACTGCCATCTCTTTCGGATTTTCTCACTTATGCTTGCGGGGATTCTTTGGCTAAAACGTACCGTGGAAACAGCGCAATGCCGAAGAGTTATCATCTTACCAGAAGAAGGTTATTGGAATAGATGATCATTATGGTATTGGGCTCGCAGGACTCGCCTCCGACGCCCGCGTCCTTTCAAACTTCATGAAGCAACAATCTCTTGCCTCCCGGATGACATATGGTCGGCCTATCCCCATCGAACGTATCGTCAATATGATTGGTGACCGAGCCCAAACAAACACACAACATTATGGAAAGCGACCATACGGTGTCGGACTGCTGGTGGCAGGTGTAGACGATCTAGGGCCTCATCTCTTCGACTTCCAGCCAAGCGGAATGACCTATGAAATGACTGCGTGTGCGATTGGTGCAAGAAGTCAAATGGCAAGGACATATTTGGAGAGGCATCTCGACGAATTCCAGAGCTCTAGCCGCGAGGAGCTCATCAAGCATGGGCTAAGGGCTTTGAAGGAGACGCTACCGCAGGACAAGGAATTGACTGTGGATAACACTAGCCTTGCGGTGATTGGCTTAGGTGATGAAGCCAAGGGCAAGATAGAGCCTTTCAAGCTCTTTGAGGGACAGCCAATTGCTGCCTGGCTAGAGACGACATTTGAAACTCAACAGGGCGAGAGAGAGGGCGCAGCCGAAGGAGAGTCTATGGAGGTAGACCAATAGAGGTTTTAACTTTATGCTCATGGTATCAGGAAATATATTGCAAATGATTTCAATATTCAAATATAATCATATGATCAGCATATGAAATCCATCTCCCAGGACTTGTAATGCTCGAAGCAACTCCCAACGCTTGGCTCATTCATCTGATTGTTAATGCGATTGCTTGATATTTCTTAAAGGTTCTATATTTCGTGTATCATGAAGCTGTATCAACAGCGTTTTCTCAATTCTGTTCCCATTTGAGTTTATATCTCCCCTCCGCGTTTCGGTATTCCGCCAAGCAACGAACGACGCCTTCCGCACTTGATGATTCCTCCAAGATACCAGCATTACCAGGCGAGATGAAACCCGCGGTAACGGCCGACTTGACCCACTGAATCAGGCCATCCCAATAGCCTTCGACGTTATAAACGACGACACCGCGCCCGTGGATACCGAGTTGGTTCCAAGTGACGATCTCCATCAATTCCTCAAGCGTACCATATCCGCCGGGGAGAGCGATGAAACCACTGCCTGGACCACCCTGTATGACCTCGCGGGCCATCATCTGCTTCCTAGTGTGCATATCTGGAACAACGGTGGTCTTTCCATAAACCTTCTCGTCGATTGTGTTTTTCGCGCCATCTGTTGTTGGTACATCTTGCTCGTATTTGATGAGCGCATCAGGAATAATTCCGTGAACACTGTCAGGCCCGGATAAAGAGACCAACGTGCGCGCAACTTCGCCCATCAGCCCAACTGTGCCACCGCCGTATACGAGCTTGATGTTCTCCCGGTGGAGCTCACGAGCGAGCGCTCGAGCAGCCTCCAGATACACTGGAGAGCCGCCGGTTGATGAGCCACAGCTATGATCGTCAGTAGCGATACAATCAATTGAATTGCAGCGGTATAGTCTTACAACACACATATGACGCGCTTCTGTGACGGGCTAGGAATGTCCTGGTTGGCATCCACGGTTGGGTCGGTCACTAATTCCGCCGCCATAGCTAGTGAGGAGATTGAACAAATGAGGTATCAGCGGAAGTACAGCAAAGAATAATGAATTTAAGACGGGTGTCAAGTCTGGGATGAGGTGCAGGATAAGGTGAGAGCTGGGATAATGAGCTCAAGAGGTGGTGTTGGTGGGGCACGATGTTGTTACGCAACAGTGCTCCATGTCCGTGTTGGGAACAATATAGGACGGGAATGGTCTCGGGCGGAGCCAATTGCGCTCAGCACTATCTGAGAATCACTATAAAATTTATATTGCCTTTCACAATGCCTAGTATATTGCTTAATTCGTTCGATATGGACTCCATTCCTCCCAAGGACGCTCAGATAGGTAGATCAACATCCCGTCGGAGCACCATAATACATGACATGGGCCTGTCGGTCTCGCCTGGCCGAATACGGAAGTTGCCGGACCCTTCTGAACTTCGGGGATCCACCCCAAGCTGCTCCAATGTCAACTTCCGGATTGACCCCGTGGTCCTCAGCTCCTTTCCTATACAAAAGATAAATTTCCCTCCACGATTGTTTCTGAGTTCGTGAGAGTTATTGTCACCATGCCGGAGCAACGGGGCCGTGAGGAACGGGAGGGGGGCATGGGCGTGAGTTGTGCCTAATTGAGTTTCCTGGCTCAGGTGCAGTTATGGAGAACAGCTCACTAATTGAGGTCAAAATAGGCGATCCTGCGCTCAGCCTTCCAGGGCATTGCGATATTTATGTTTATGCAGTTTATCATGAAGCAATTCATGGGAACTGGGTCATCTCCTGAAGCCTCTTCTTCGAGTTCTGCGCCGGGAGCGGTTGCACCCTCGGTCATTCCGGCGTACGACGCTCGGCCAGATGCCTTGAACGCTGATGCGACTTACAACCCAATCCCCCAGAACATTGCGCCTATTTGGCCCGATGGAACCCCTCTGGATATTAGCATTTATGTTGCGCCGTCACTAGCGATGCCTCCCTTGGAGAAGATGCCCCCGACATCACTTGTCGCGAATGAGCATGCTTTCAAGATAGGAGCCGGAGGCGACAAGCGCGAGATTCATACAAGCTTTCCTGTCCCGGAAGAGGTTCAGAATAATGGAACCCTGTGGGCGCATATATATGTCGCTAAAACTGGTCATCCCCTTGATCCTGCTGCGCCAAACTATGATTTCTCAAATGCCTATCATATTGTTCAACCTCTGAACCATTATCTGGCTAAGAAGAAGGTGGCTAAGACACGCAATCTGCTCAGCGGATCGAACGCCACGGTGGAAGAAGAGTCGGAGCAAGCAAAGGAAGAGAGCAAGAGCCGTCCTGTTCTGTCATACTACCATTCGAACTTTACCTTGTCGGTGGTTCCTAACGCTGGCATCATGAATTATCCGACTTTGCATCCTGCGATGCAAAAGTATGTCCATGTCGTAAGCTCAGATGCACGAGATGCAAGTGGGCAAAATAGCTGGTATTACCCAATTTTCTTCTTGAACACTTTCTGGCAATTACGCGATCATATGGTGGAATTGAACTCGACGGTCAAACAAGTTCCACTCCATATCACTCTGAACAACCTAAAGTATTGGAAATTCAGTCTGTATTCAAGCTTAGATGAAGGACTCAAGCAACAACAGCGCCAAGTGGCGAGCGGTGGTCCGATTGGTCCTTCTGGTGACGGCAGCGAGATGGAAGAGTTCAAACGCATCTTGATAGATACGAATGTCTACCTTCTCAGCACCACTGTGGTGGTGAGCATCTTGCACACCATATTCGAGATGCTGGCCTTCAAGAGTGACATTGTAAGTTTTGCACACGAACATATGCAGATGCGAGATATTAATTCTGTCATTTTCCATTTTAGTCACACTGGCGCAATAAGAAGGACAACGTCGGAATCTCATTCCGCAGCATTCTAGCCAATGTTTTTATGCAGACAGTCATCTTTTTGTACTTGGTCGACAACAGCGATGGTACGTCTTGGATGATTCTCTTTGGTCAGGGAATGGGCATTGTACTTGAGGCGTGGAAAATTACCAAGACGGTTGATGTGCGCGTGCGTCCTGCACCTGCTGGTTCATTGATACCGTACCGGATCTCCTTTGAAGACAAGCACAAGCTTTCCGAGACGGAGCAAAAGACGAAGGAATACGATGAAATTGCCTTCAAGTATCTCTACCGGCTTGCGATTCCGCTGCTTGCCGCCTATGCCGTCTACAGCCTTGTCTACGAGACGCACAAGAGCTGGTACAGCTTTATCATCACGACGCTTGTGGGCAGCGTGTACGCATATGGTTTCCTCATGATGGTGCCGAGTCTGTACATCAACTACCGTCTCAAATCCGTGGCACACATGCCCGCGCGAGCCATGACGTACAAGTTCCTCAACACTTTTATCGACGATCTCTTTGCCTTTACGATCAAGATGCCTATCCTGCATCGCCTTGCGACACTTCGCGACGACGTCATCTTTTTCGTCTATTTGTATCAAGCTTGGAAGTACAAGGTTGACTACACTCGTGTCAACGAGTTTGGCCAAGGGGGCGACGACGAGGAGGAAGACAAGAAGGAGGAACTTCCGGCAAAGCTGGCCAGTAAGCCGCTTACCTCTCCTGCCGATGGCAAGGTTACGGAAGAAGTTGCCGCTGCCACGAGCGGAAGCAATGTGGGAGGTGACAGTCGAAAGCGAAAGTAAGAGGGAAATAGACACAGATTGTTTGAGGATTGAGGAAGTGGCAAACAGGTTGCATATTGTGTATAGAAATCTATATGATAGCCCTCTAATGAGCGGGGAACAGCCGCTGAAACTGCTTGGAAAGGCCTTGTATTCGAACAAGCGTCCAATTGTATGAGCATTTTGTTTTTCCTTTTTCAGATTACCTTGAATCGTTCCAATGGCAGACATGACGCATGTGAGCTGCTTCCAATGACTGCAGCAGAAAAAAGAAATACATCCTCTCCGCGGCAGTTGAGTGTACGATAAGCTTTCGTCGGAGAACTAGAGCTTGGGGTTTTCTTCGGCGTTAGATCGCCCGAAGCCGGATCCAATATCCGAACTTGTAGAAGACAGGCACTATGTGTGCTGTCCAGTACCTCTGTACTGGTCTCTGTATAAATTCTTTGGATTTAAAAAGGTGCGAGTATGGTGCTTGATTACAGTAACTTAACAGTCAGGGCAGATAACTATCAGGGAGGTGGGCCGTGATGTATCAAAGAGATATCTACTGTATGCATCTAATGTTTACACGGCCCACGCCAGGGATTTGTTCCTGAGAGATCAGTGGCCGGGGATCGGAAAAACTCAAGGATCAGGGTGGGGGTAACAGTTGGAAGATAATCCGATCACTGAAGGCCACACTCCCCTGTCACGAATATCTAGCGCCTGTTACGCCATTGACTTTATCTTTCATTCCCACTTCAACCACTGCACATGTACGAATTCTGCACAATCGTGAGGCAGGTGCAGGCGAAACGAGTCGTGTCATTGTCGTACGGAGTCCTTCAACGTGATTGATAAGCAGGAGAAACGGATTTTCTTGGTCTCCACTTTGGATTGTCCCGCTCAGTAAATTCCCCCACATCTGCTCGGCCCACCCGCCGTCGTTCTCGGGCCAAGCGTCAACCAAAAAGTAGCGTCACTACAGTTCAGAGTTACCCTGGATTCTTTACGGTTTACCTGTCGTAGCTACGATAAGAAGAACGCGGGCCATGGAAAGTCGGAGAATCCTTTTTGTTTAAAGATATTCTCCACATGGTCAAATTAACTGACCAGTAGATTGATCACGTAACTTAAAGTCTTCTCTGCTCGAAGTATAATGAAACATTGGTGCATTATCAGGGAGAGTACAGAGGTACAGGGCAGGATCATTATCCAGTCTTTGAAGCGTGCCGTATCAGAAGCAGCTGTCGGCCAACCTGTCATGCATGTGCTTCAAGTGGTTGCATCATTAGCATACTGCATATCTCAATTATAATGCATTTAAGAACATGAGTCAATCGGATGAGATGTGGATTGCAGAAATGCCACAGAGGTACTCTTCCATGGCCAGGCGTTCCCGTGTCTGTGTGTGTGTGTGTGCTCGGAATATGTGATTCCTGACGTATTGATATATTTACCCCACGTCTTGCCCCTCGGCATTCATTAAGTCGAAGTTCCCCCCACCCTTTTTCCCTACAAAAGCTGTTCCCATTCTCTTTTATTAATTCATAGGTTTTCCTCTTGACTTTCAACTTTTGTATTTAACCTCTGTTTAAAAATCGAGCTCTCATCTGGCGGACCTTGATCTTTTCGTATTTTTCCAATTGCCACCACAGTCAAAATGCCGTCCGTTTCATCTACCACCACTTTCCAGCTCAACACCAAAGCCCAGATCCCCGCTGTCGGCTTGGGCACGTGGCAATCGGGTCCCGGCGAGGTGAAGAACGCCGTGTACCATGCGCTCAAGGTCGGATACCGTCACATTGACTGCGCGTATGTGTATGGCAACGAGACCGAAGTGGGACAGGGTCTGGAGCAGGCGTTCAAGGAGGGTATCGTGAAGCGCGAGGACATCTTCATCACGACCAAGCTCTGGTGTACATTCCACCGCAGGCCCGAGGAGAACCTCAACGAGTCGCTCAAGCGCTTGGGATTGGACTATGTTGATCTGTACCTGATGCACTGGCCTTGTCCGATGAATGCTAATGGTATGTTTATATCGCTTTAGCAGGTCTTGTGTTTTCAAATGGATCCCCCTCCCTCCCCCACCTTTTCGGTTGCTGCTGCCATGTATCGGAATCAAAATTAATAAACTTGATTCTAGGAAATGACCCCATGTTCCCCAAGCTGCCCGACGGGTCGCGAGACCTGGACAAATCCTGGTCCCACATCCAGACATGGAAGCTGCTCGAGAAGTTGCTGGAGACGGGCAAGACCAAGGCCATTGGTGTCTCCAACTACAGCGTCAAGTTCCTTGAGGAACTGCTGTCCCAGGTCTCCGTTGTGCCCGCAGCCAACCAGATCGAGAACCACCCTTACCTCCCTCAGCAGGACGTCCTGGACTACTGCGCCGCAAAGGGCATTGTTGTGACTGCCTACAGTCCGTTGGGAAGCACGGGCTGCCCGCTCTTCGAGGAGGAAGGTGTCCATAAGGTTGCTGCCAAGCACAATGTGTCTCCTGGCACTGTCCTGATTAGCTACCAAGGTATGAGTTATTCAGAAACGCCTCTCTCCGCCCTCTATATTTCCTCTCCACACAGGAAAAATCAAACCTAATAATTTTCACAATAGTCAACCGTGGTGTCGTTGTTATTCCCAAGTCCGTTACGCCCTCGCGTATCGAGCAGAATTACAACATCATCTCTCTCGACGACGAGGACTTGGCTGCGCTGGCAAGCATCTCCAAGACAAAGGGCGTCACGCGGTACATTAAGCCCTCGTTTGGCGTCAACTTTGGCTGGCCAGACGTGCAGTAATCGTCGATTTATGCTCAAATTTTCGCTTTCCCCCCTCCCCCATCCTCTTATGAAAAGTAGCCGCTGATGCTTTGGGCGTTGTCGTCCATTTTTATTTCTCGGCACAGCTCTTCTATCATACCTTGCGCATTTTACTCGCTGGCACCCTTTTGATCATATCTGTGGGTACTGCACGGAGTGGACTAGACGGCTCATTGCGCAATCTGTGCAATTTGCCTATTGCTATTGCCTCTTGCCTATTCCTGTTGCCTATTGCCCGTTACCTGTTGGTTGTTGCCCGGGTTTGTCCGTAGTAGGACCCTTCGTCTCGCAGAGAAGTTAAAAAAAGTGCTAGACTCATATAGAATAGACTACACTGTATGCAAAAGGATATCCAAAGCACGATTTATTTCAATCAGCAAATTAAAAGGATGAGATGTAAATTGAACTTGAAGTTGATTCGTCATTTTCATTTTTCATTAGAAACGTTTACTCAGTAACTTATTTCTGACAAAGTCTGACTGTAGGTCCTGCACATCACCTTATGCCGCTCTACCTTTCTACCCTTCTGTCCTTCTCGGGGTCCCAGAGTACTAGTTATAACGCCTTTTCCTAGCCTGTGCATCTCTCCTCCGAAATATGTTGTTGAAGCGATTTAAACCTAGACTTTTCCCGCCCTTTATCCTTTTTTCTTTCCCTTTTTCTCTTTCTTTTTCTTTTCCTTTTGTGTTTTTCTTTTCTTGGGGAGGGGCAAGTTTTCGTTTCCATTTCCGTTTCTGTTCCGTAGGAGTAATAATCGACATAATCGACATCTACACGTCATAACAGAAAAACAACGGTTCCGACACCCAGTGCCTGATTCTTCTGCTGACTTGGACTGTCGTGATATATTTGTTGGACTCTCGTGATATATTATGCCTGGCCGGCCTGGGCAAAGTGCTCGAGGTAGGCGACGAGTTTGTGCACGGCGTCTTCGGATACGGCGTTGTCTGTTGGGTGATGGTTTGTGAGCTTGTCTTCTATGGTTCAACGTGAGAGATACGGGGATGGGGAGTGAGAGCACGGATAAACAGTAAAACAGTGAGGGGTAAATAGCGATGGACAAAACAAGAAGAAGAAGAAAAGGAAGAAGGAACATACAGCTACTGGCTCTCATGCCACCGACGCTTCGATGGCCCTTGAGACCCTGTAATAACCTCGCCTCGGCGCCGGCAAGAAACTCCTTTTCGCGCTCCGCATCTCCGCCGTTGACGCGGAAGCAAATGTTCATGCGGCTGCGGACAGACTTGTCCGGCACCACGCGGTAGACGTTGGGATACTTGTCCAGGGCGCCATAGATGGCTTCGGCCTTGCGGTGCGAGATTTCCTCTTGGCCGGCGAGACCCTTACCCTTGTAGTCGTCGACCAGCTTCTTCATGACCCGTCCGGCGATCCACAGGTTGAAAATCGGCAGCGTGTTGTACAGCGAGTTGTTCTTGGCGGCAGTGGAGTAGTCGAGGACAATGGGCACAGGAGCGAGGCCCAATTCACGTAGAATGTGAGGCGGCGGAGAGGCGACGGCGGGGGCGAGGAGAGATTTGCGGACAATGGCGATGGTGATGCCTGCCACGCCGACGTTCTTTTGTGCGCCGGCCTAGAGTGGGCAGTTCAATTAGTTCTTCTGCTTTACGTATACGTCGATGATAGGATAGAAAACATACAAAGATGACACCGTATTTCGCAACGTCTACTCTCCGGCTCAAAAAGTTGGAGCTCATGTCGGCAACAACAACGGGGCCGTCTGCCTCGTCGCCGGTCTGCGATTCCAAGCTCTTGGGGAAGCTCGGGAACTCGACTCCATCCACAGTCTCGTTGTCGCAAAAGTAGACAAATGCCGGGCCGGGCTTGCCCTTGCCGGTGGGTGTCAATTTCCAAGTATCTTCCGCGGGAATCTTGCCGAATTTCTTGTCGTTGTGAGCTCTCGCGTCCAGCGCGACGTTGACGTACTTGTCGCCTATGAGCCGCGCAGCTTCTTGTGAGGCTTTGAGCGACCAGGAGCCCGTAACGAGGTAGTCGAGCTTAAGCTCCTTTTCTTTTTGCTCTTTGAGGGATGCGATGACTTTGGACTCCACCTCTTTGTCCGACAGCCCCGGGTGTTCCTTTCGGATCTGCTCGTCCGTGGCCTTGCGTCTCTTCTCGACCCACGCGCTGACGAGATTTTGTACGACAGCGCTGAACTCGCCTGTGCCGCCGCTCTGCATGAACAGGATCTCATAGTTATCTGGGATATTCAGCAAGGTGGTCAGGTTCTCCTTTGTCTCGCGGAGCACATCGTTGGCGTCACCAGAGCGGTGGGAAATCTCGGCCAGACCCAGTCCTTTGCCCTTGTAGTTGACTAGAGCTTCGGCGGCTTCGGTGAGGACGACGCTGGGCAGCGGCGCAGGGCCAGCGCCAAAGTAGTGGACGTCTTCTCTCGAACGGGTCGTTGCCATTGTGTGTGTTATGGTTGAAGTGGTGGACCTTTTTGTTTTTTTCTGTTTTTGCTGGCTGAAAGGCAACTGGCGGCAGAATCTGGGGTTTATACAGCTGGAGATTATTTGAGTCACGGAAACAGGGTCGATGGTGGGGTTTCTATGGTGGGGCCGAGAAATACAAAACCAGCTCTTTCCAGAGGTTGAATTCAATTATTGTGGTATTTCAATCGATTTGAGGTTTCTTAAGTGGTTTATTGACTTCTTTATACAATTAAAAACTTAAAATTACTTTGTTTCTACAGATTATGAGCATCTTCTCTGGTCAAAGTCATTTTTTCTCATGTTATTTACGCGGATTTTGGTTGACGTGATAGAGAAACAACTCCGACTTCGGCCGGCAGAATCCAGTAGCCAATCAGAAGGCGAGAATTCATTATGACTAAACATCCCATGAACCTGCAGATTCTCGTGATTGTGTTTTTTTGGGGCTTGACAAGATAATTGATCTGGACGACGCTTGGTCTGCGCCGTCAATTTCTTCGTCAACCATGTCTGCACTACGGGCAGGCCAGTTAGTCTCGAGCAGACTTGTTCGTGTATGTGATTGTTTGGGGGTATTGAATTTTACCAAGTTTTCAAGACTGACTATCAGCGCAGTCTCGGGCAGGCTTGGCCAGTCTGCGATACGCCGCTCGCTCTACTCCAGTCCGGAGACTGCCAGCGTTCCGACAGCCTCGATTGTATACTACGACAGCCTCGTCGCGGTCCCCTGAAGTTTTCCACTCGCAGGCCGAGGATCCCGTCTCTGCAGCATTTCTCGACTCCTTAAACACCGTCCCCAAGGTCCCGCAGACTCTGACCGAAAAGATTGTCCAGCGGTATTCTCTCGGATTGCCGGCGGATAAGTATGTCAAGGCTGGCGACTACGTTACTCTGGCGCCGCATCACTGCATGACTCATGACAACTCATGGCCCGTCGCACTCAAATTCATGTCGATTGGCGCTTCGAAGATTCATGACTCAAATCAAATTGTGATGACCCTTGATCACGATGTTCAGAACAAGAGCGAGACCAACCTGAAAAAGTACCGCCAAATCGAGGAGTTTGCGAAGAACCATGGCGTTGATTTCTACCCCGCCGGTCGTGGCATCGGTCATCAGATTATGGTTGAGGAAGGCTACGCTTGGCCGGGAACCCTGGTGGTTGCCTCGGACAGTCACACAAACATGTATGGCGGTGTCGGATGTTTGGGTACACCTGTCGTGCGTACCGATGCTGCTAGTATCTGGGCTACTGGGCGCACCTGGTGGCAGATTCCCCCGATTGCAAAGGTCACATTTACTGGTGTCTTGCCCAAGGGCGTGACTGGAAAGGATATTATTGTCGCTCTTTGCGGGCTGTTCAATAACGATGATGTCCTTAACCATGCCATTGAGTTCACTGGCTCTGACGAGACGCTCAAGAGTCTGCCGATTGACGACCGTCTGACCATTGCGAATATGACAACCGAGTGGGGCGCTCTCTCCGGTCTCTTCCCCATCGATTCGGTCTTACAGGGCTGGCTCCGTTACAAGGCAACTGATGCGGCACTGTTTGGCGCCGCTGACAAAGCTGAAAGCTCGCGCAACGTCCGCTTCACGCATGCCCGCCTGGACGAACTCTTCTCCAACCAGCTCGTGGCCGACAAGGGCGCCAAATATGCCAAGGAACTGTTCCTCGATTTGTCCACGCTCGCTCCCTACGTCTCCGGCCCGAACTCGGTCAAGGTTGCCAACCCTCTACACGCGTTGGAGGCAGAGAATATCAAGGTCGACAAGGCCTACCTGGTCTCATGCACAAACTCCCGAGCATCGGATCTCGCAGCTGCTGCAAAGGTCTTCAAGGATGCTGCCAAGGAGAATGGTGGAACCATCCCGAAGATCCCTGACCACGTCAATTTCTACATTGCCGCTGCCTCCAAACCCGAGCAGCTCATCGCCGAAGAGCAGGGCGACTGGCAAGCTATGCTCGAAGCTGGCGCCAAGCCCCTCCCCGCCGGCTGCGGTCCCTGCATTGGTCTTGGTACTGGTCTGCTCGAGCCTGGCGAGGTTGGAATCAGTGCAAGCAACCGCAACTTCAAGGGCCGTATGGGTTCGAAAGATGCCAAGGCCTATCTCGCCAGTCCCGAGGTCGTCGCTGCCAGTGCTCTGGCCGGCAAGATTCAGGGACCCGGCTGGTACGAGAAGCCCGAAGGTGTGGACGAGATCGTCCGCGGCGAGGGTGATGGTATTCGCGAGGAAGAACGCATGATCAGCATCGAAGACGCCCTCGCTAAGGTTATCGGCGAGGTCGACGAAATGGTTGAGACTGCTGAAAGGGAAGGCTTCGGCGATGCGCCTGCAGCTGAGGCGACCAGCACCAAGAAGAAGACTGAGATCCTCCCCGGTTTCCCCGCCCGCATTGAGGGTGAAATTGTCTTCTGCGATGCCGACAACATCAACACCGATGGTATTTATCCCGGAAAGTACACTTATCAGGACGACGTCTCCGTTGAGACGATGGCCAAGGTCGTCATGGAAAACTACGACACTGCCTTTGCCTCCATTGCCAAGCCCGGCGATATTCTCGTGACCGGCTTCAACTTCGGCTGCGGTAGCTCTCGTGAGCAGGCCGCCACTGCTATCCTGGCCAAGCAGATCCCGCTTGTTGTTTCTGGCAGCTTCGGCAACATCTTCTCCCGTAACAGTATCAACAACGCTCTCATGGGCGTCGAGGTCCCTCGCCTCGTTCAACGTCTTCGTGACACCTTCTCGTCTCCGACTTCCTCTTCCAGCGCTCCCGTCAATGAGCCGGAGAAGAACCGTCAGTCGCTTGATAGCCCTCCCCCTGCTCCCCAACAAGTCCCTGCTGGCGAGAAGGTCCTCACCCGGCGCACTGGCTGGAAGTTCGTGTGGGATGTCAGCCAGAGCCAAGTTGAGGTCCAAGAAGGCGAAGGTGGCGCCAAGTGGACGCAGCCTGTCGGTGAGCTGCCCCCGAACGTGCAAGAGATTATCGCCCGCGGCGGTCTCGAGAAATGGGTGAAGAAGGAAATCTCAACCCCTTGAATGGTTTTCGATATCGTTCGAAGTTTATAAAAGTCCTACATTGCTTTGAATATTTGGGTGTTAGAGGATTTTTCAGGAGTATATACACCTCATAGTTTTCTTCTTTTGTATTTTTAGAAAGTTTAGATATCAAAATCAGCCTTTCCTCATCCTTCAATCTGATGGCATCATTGCGAGATAATTTGAAGCCATTTTTTTTTATTTGGCCGTTCCTGGAGATTTCTGCTTATGACATAATTGGTAGAAAGTGGCAGGAGCTAAACCCTAACCTACAATACAATATGATTTTTTTGTCATTCCTTCGTATTCAAACGTATATGGATTACTAAATGCAGCATTTGACCGAAGTGGATTTGCACAAAGCTCGGACGAAACAATAAGCTCGGATGAAGCATTGGCTCGGACAAAGCACCATCTCGGACGAAGCATATCCTGCGTTACTAGGACATTCTCCTGGGAATGTGAGGCTGTTTTTGCCAAAAGAAGACTTTCTCTTGAGTCATTGCTATATGCACTTCTAAATGTTTATCAGTTCACGGAAAATACGTGAGCTATTGGTCAACGCCCACTCGATGTGGCTTTGTCCAGTGTATATATCTTAAGGTAGTACACTGATCACATCCCGGAAGAGCTATTGAACTGCCCAAGCTAGTTGTATTATTGAATATAAAAGGTCCCATTGCCCGACATTCAATGGAGATTGATTCGGCTTACTCACTAAGTAAAAAGGTGACTAGTCCTGACTCCTGAGCATAGAGAGGATTCCCTAAATACGCAACCTCTCCACACAACGACTCTCTTCATCACCACCATCGAATCACACTGCAATTATCTCAGAAATGGCAACCCCAATCACTGTTGGTGTCATAGGTGCAACTGGCAACACTGGCCGGACTGTAGTTGAAGGTTTATTATCTTCAACGACCAAATTCGTACGCAAACTATTTCGCTCATTTAATTCCTGAACAGCATTTACTAATAAGTCCTGTTCAATTCTTCAGACTGTCACATCTTTCACACGTGAGGTCTCTGTTAATAGTCCTGCCAACCAACGACTTAAAAGCAAAGGCGTTCGAATTGTTGGTTATGACTTGAACGGGCCCAAGGAAAAGCTGGTCGATCAATTGGCGGGCATTGATATTCTCATCTCTTGTATAACTTGGGAACATCTGGATCTTCAGGTCCCATGGATCGAAGCCGCAAAAGAAGCTGGCGTGAAGCGTTTTGTGCCCTCAGAATGGGTAGGCCCAGCACCAAAAGGTGTCATCGACATCAAAGACAAGGTTTGTGTTGTTGTTTCCGCTAAGGGAGCTACCTAACCGGCATTGTGAATCTATAACTAATGCCATGAGTAAGAAACTCGAAATTCTCGGCGTGATTCAGCGGGCGGGTTTGCCATATACCATCATCGATGTGGGCTGTTGGTACCAGGTTTTCGTCCCAAAAGTGCCATCCGGAAAGTCAGATCATGGCCACATGATCTATATAGACCACAGGATCGTCGAAGATGGAAATCAGAAATTCGCCTTGACAGACATGGCGGATATTGGCAAGTACGTTGCTCAGATTGTGTCGGATCCTCGAACATTGAATAGGCATGTGTTTGCCTACACTGAAGTTCTGAGCATGAATGAAATCTGGGATGTGATGGCCAGAGCCAGTGGAGAAGACCCCCCAAAAGATTATGTAAGTTTGACCTCTCGAATAGTTAATCAATTGAAGGAAAAAGAACATGCCGCACGAGAAGAAGACATCGCTGACTTTGATTTATCTAGGTGTCCGGTGCAGAGCTCAATGAGATCATCGACGTATGCCGGAAGAGGCTTCAGGAAAGCGAGAGTGGTATGCGTGCGAGAGATATTATGGACGTTGCAAATTTTAATATGGGACAATACCGCATATCTTGGTGTATTCGAGGAGATAATACCCCGGAATATGCAGACTATCTTGGGTACCTCGATTTCTGGAAGATGTTCCCGGACTTTCCTAAGGGCAGAAGTCTCATGGAATTCTACCAAGAAGTTCTCAGGGGGAATGCATCAGGTTAACGAATGGGCGCTCTGCCTAAGGGTGAGCACTGAGCAGCCTTGTATGTTGTTAGAAGTGCAGCAGAGTGGGATGGAAAAGTGCATCATTTTATGTCTACAGTATATATAAAAGACATCTATGCTCTGACTAGCTATTTTGTATTTATATTGCCGTTGAATGAGCGCTTTTTAAGAGAGGATTCTTAGATGATCTTTTCGTAACTACTTTGATACTTTATAAGTAATTTTCTAGAGCAATTCAAAATAGGTATGATAGGCTGGGCATTTCAGTATACCAATTGGATGCTCCTATTGAAAGATGAGTGACAGAATCTGACTGTCTGAGGATTTAGTCTAGGAATTTAGTCTGTGTAATGTGTATTCTCTGCTCCGAAAATTCTTGTGCTAGAGTCTGCTTTCATAGCAACAGCTAAATGTTGAATTGAGATTTCAGGACGATCTTGCTTCCTTACCCAATCATATACAATGTAGTATAATTATCTACACCAGGCGTAGGTTTTTGAAGTTATTTTTGTAAAGCAGAGAGGGGATTTCATACTAGTTTTGGTTTTATACAGTATTTACAATATTGTATATTATAGAATAAGAGTCTAGAGTCAATTAGTAAGAATCTTTGCTTTCCCTCCTTCCTTACTTGAATTTTTCTAAAGTAGAATTGATTTTAAATATAAAGTCACGCATCTTGTACAATTAAACCCTTGTAGATTTATTATTGGTTCAATATGCAGAAAACCACAAATCTAGTATATTGAAATATACCCTCAGAATATAGATCTTGATAACGAGTCAACAAGAATAATAGGCATTATGATTTTTGTTCCATCTAGAGATTGTTCTATATTGTTTTCAAACAAAACACCTTGAAATAATATCTTCCTTCTGTGAACGCTGAACATTTGCTTACCGGCCGGGTTGCCGTCTCCATATTAACCGGGTAACTGACGGGCGCTACATATCTGATCTCTAGCAGACTTGCGAGACGCCTTTGCTGCTACGGCAAACCCCACGACTTCAGGACAACAAACAATTATGGCCGGATGAACTGGACTTGACGATACGATAACTAGTGCAATGGACGCTGCAGACTCTGGGGACATCGGCCCGGCTCAAGTAGTCCACGTCAAAGCGGACGAAGTCGACGAGACTGGCGCCGACATTGCTACACGGCCTACAGATGTAGGAGACACAGGCGTCGGCATAATTGAGGAGCTCGGGGATCCATCGGAGACAACAGATGCCCCGAAAGCTGAGGAGGAACAACCCACAAAATCATCACCTACAAAGAAAATTGCTCTACCAGTTCGACCTACCTTACGGCGCGACCAGTCGTCTCAACCTCCGCCACTTTCACCCTCGCCCTCAGCTCCCTTCGGCGGGCAGCAGCAAAGCTTCCAACCCGAGTCGCTTTCCCTAACAGAGTTAAAACGCCTTGTAGCAGAGATACCCAAGTCTGAACCCACGGCATACGCATTCGTATACGGAGATGCTGCTTCTTTCCCGGAAGAACTGGAAGAATGGTTCACGTACGGATACGACGAGATTCAGGGGCTACTTTGTGCAAAGGCATCCTTTGAGGAGCGATGGGGGGACTTCCTGGGACGAGACATCTCTATGAACGGGGATGTTTTGGGTTGGACACAGGCATCTGCCTCCACAAGAAGCAAGTTTGTTGGAAACGAGGTAGCTAGTCTCGAGCATCCAGATATTCGAAAGAGGGTCTTGGGACTAGAATCACTTGCATATATCGCGATGGGAGCGTGGGGAGAATTGGGGGGTTCTGCCAAGACGGAAAATGAGCCCAAGGATGCTTCCGGCTCAGATGATACCCACGAAAAAGGAGCGTCGGAAGAAGATGATGCTTGTCATGTACAGATGAGATGGATGTTGAACGGAGCAGAGACAATTTATGAGCGGATGGGTGCACAGGTTATTTTCGACGTTATGCGTGGTGCGTGCCTGAAACAATGGGAGAAGTCGAATCATCTGGGCCCCGTGGAAGAGTCCGATCAAGAGCAGACGATTCTTGAGATTCGAGAGCTTAGGGCGTCTCTAACACTGCTTTACTTCTTGATCGAAGCCGGAAGATGGCAATGCGAGTTTGGCGAGAAAACCTCTCTCCGGGATGAGCTCTCTTCACTGGAACCCAACTTCCTCGTCTTTCTCGTAAAGATGATTGCAAAGTTTAGATGGGATGAGGCGCCGGAGCTTCCACTGCATAAGCTATTATTGCTGTTTTGGAAATCAGTATTGTTGATCTTTGGCGGCAACAAGGATCTGCAAGGCGCTCGAACTGCACTAAAAGCTGGCAGTGACAGGGTAGACGAGTATGGCGACCCTCTTATCACCGCCTCGCCGCTCGATTACCACCTATTCCGACAGGAGATCACCTCAAAATACCCAGCGTACAATCCTCCGCCCCCGCTCTTACCCTTGGAACCCGAAAATAACTCCATCCTTCCTCCGCTCTCAACGCATCCCGACCGAGCCAACAACAACTCGGCTAATATGATATACGGCTCTGGCCCTGGAAATGTAAATAAAGGAGGTTCCATTCTCCATCAGCCTGTTCATATTGCTACTCCGGCTCCTTCACCCCCGCCGTCTCCCGTCGGCCCTGGTGGGAAAGCTGGTAAAAAACAAAATTACCAGACCAACCAGAATTTTCCCTTTCTTTACCCGCCGCTGGACAGTACTAGCAATAACATCGGTGGGAAAGGGGGCGCCGATATGCAGGATATTCTTGTGGGTAAAAGGTGGGAAGGGAGTGATATTCCTGCTTCTATCCTCGAAGCGGGCGTACTTTTCGCGAGCAGAATGAGAATGACAAGGGCGATGCGGCAGCTGTGGGAGGAGCGGGAGCGATTCATGAAGTATGAACGCGGATGGGGAGAGGTCAAGGCAGCCGAAGGTCATGGTGATGGTGCCTATTCTCCTTTTGAGAAGGTCGCAGAACAAAATGAAGGAAGCGTTAGCAGCGACGAATCGATTGAAGCCGATGTCACGGAACGTCTGAACCGAATCGAGGACTTTTATGTAGGTGAAATGATTGCGGTATTCACAAATTTTGAGCTGACTTGTTTTGGTAGCGACATGCTCTTCCGCATCTTCAATCCCTCGTTATTGTTTTGTTGAAAGTCGTTCTTGCCAATGTCACTCAGCTTCTCACACAACCAAATGGAGTTGCCGGGCAAAATGCGTTTCCGCTCGCAAATCTTGAGAATCAAGACGGCCAGGATAAAGGAGCTGACAGCAGCGGTGCGATAGAGATTGAAAGGGATGGAAACCCGAATGCAGAGCGTGTCGTTGACGAAATCGATAATGTCCGGACACAAGAGATATCATCCAAGGCGGTGTCTGGAGTTTTGTTGCTTCTATTGAAATGGTTCAAGATATCCCGTAAGTTTTTATCCCTCTGAAACCAAGCAGGCCAACTAATATATCTGTTAGACATTCTCAAATTCGAGTACCTTACCCAGCTCCTGCTAGACTCGAATTACCTTCCTCTTATCCTTAAGCTCTTCGCTCATCAGGAGATTGAGCGAACGGTTGACAATAAGAATGATCAGGATGAATTAGGGTGAGCAGATACCGAGTTTCTATAGAATATAAATATGAATGCTAACTGTCAAAGGTTCTTCCATTTCTGCCGTCTTCATGCTGGACGAAAAGACTCGGCAACCTCTGGAGAAGAGCAAGAAGTCAAGGATGAAATCTACCCTATCCCGCCCGTAATAAGACTTCGCCGGAACCAATTCTCCGACTTTTCAAATCCTGCGGAGCTCCTTCCATCACGGCCTCCTGAAGTAGATGAACTCGGCTATCCTACGTCTGACCTGCCAGCTGAGCCAATTACAAACTATTCGTGGCGAAACTTCTTTTCTAGCATCAATTATCTCCGGATCATGCAGAAAATTTGCAAAGACAAAGCACACCGAAACCTTCTTTTAGTACAGTACAAATCCTCAACGATATTGAGAAAGGCGCTCAAAGTGCCTCAGCACCACCTCCGTCTATACACGCTCAAGCTCTTCAAAAACCAGGTACCTTATTGCGGTCGGAAATGGCGCCAGAGCAATATGCGCGTCATTACCGCGGTCTATTTGCACTGCCGTCCGGACCTTCGGGATGACTGGTTGGCGGGCAGCGATATTGACGCTGAAGTTGAAGAAGCTTTGCCTCTGGAACAAGCCTTGCGCGGCCTCACACATTGGCATAACTTGGATCGCTATCCCGAGCAGATGGGCGCTCAAGAAGGCATTTTGGAGGAAGAACGTGATTTTTTCGTCAAAGAACTTGAAAAGATGGACTGGGGCGAAGACCTCGTGGCGCCTTTCGCGGACGAAGCCTCTGCTGGACTAGGCGACCAAATGTGGGCGCCAAATACGGGAGTTCCAATGCAGCATATGGAAGGATGGTCATAGATTCAAGAGCTGCATCTGTTGTTCAGCGCGTTTGGATGAGTTCTTCGGACCCTTTTTTTCACGCATGTCCCGGGATGGGTTTAGTCCTTTTTCCAGCTTTATACCCCACGTGCATGCACATGATGGGATTTGCTTATCTGGCGTTAATGTGTCTTGAGCTTCATAGAAGGCAGGTTTTATTATATCGATATGCATTATGCGAAATGAAATATTTTTTGTTTCTCCTACGCATACATTCAATTTGCCATGGCCAAATGACAAGATTTCTTAATCGCACAGTAAATGTATTCCAATATGGATCAATATCACTTGAAGAAGATTTGGAATCACCAATCTTTGCCCTCTGAATTGATAAAGTTACAGCTGTACGGATGAATGTTTCGCCGCACGAGTAGGTACAAACCATAACTGACGTTATAGTGTGGTTTTGAACTGAAGGTGGCTGAAATAATCGCTGACAAAGATGAAAAGGCTTTTTCTTATCGATAACCAAAACAGTTAAGTTAGCGGGACTGAAGTCATAGGCCTACTGTACCTTAAGTCAATGGCAAAGCGCCCTTGGCCCGCTGGCCCACCCATTTCGTCATGCGATTTCTCGTCAGAACACCACCAAAGACTTCCTCCTCTTCGGTCTTTTCCAAACATTTCTTGCCACATACCCGAGACAATATCCGGGCTTTTGCTTTATATTATCATACATCTCGATTGGCACTTCCAAGTCAATCGGCATTTCCTGAACAATTAAGGCTTCCGCATTCAAGACGGGCGGCAGCGCAAACGCAGTCAAGAAGGCAATATTCTATTGTAAATCTGCATTCGCAGGCAAATATGGCTGCTCAAGGCGAGAAGAAAAACATTGTGATCATCGGTAAGGAACATGCCTCTTCATTATCGCAATATGTTTCAAGATCTAATGTCTATGGTTAGGAGGCGGTATCATCGGATGCACTACAGCATATTACCTTACTCGACACCCCGCCTATGATCCTTCGCTGCACAGCATTACACTTCTAGAGGCAAGCAAAATTGCTGGAGGTGCATCAGGCAAAGCAGGTGGTCTTCTTGGTCTCTGGGCCTACCCTTCTTGCATCGTACCTCTGAGCTACCGGGAGCATGCCAAACTCGCAAAGGAACACGGTGGCGAGCAGCGATGGGGCTACCGTCCCGTACACTGCGGCCAGATCTCTGCACGTGGACGATCGTTGAAAGCCCTTGCCGCTGCAGTGGACGGCAAAGGTGGCGATAGCAAGGTCTCTCTCCAAAAGCGCACAAAAGAAGCCATTAGCTCTCTCCGAAAAGCCGGAATCCCAGAGGACCTGGACTGGATCGCGCCTGAAAGTCTCGAGGAATACGACGAAATGGGCGACCCGGAAAACACTGCACAAGTCCACCCATATCAGTTCACTACTTCAATGGCGGCGCTGGCCGAGGAGAAGGGCGCAAAGATCATTCTTGGCGCTGTATCCGACATTGAAAAGTCTGGAGATCAAGTCAAATCTGTGACTTACTCGGACAAGGCTTCTGGAGAATCGCATACTATTCCTGCCACGGACGTCATCATCTCCGCCGGTCCATGGACGCGCAACGTTTACCCCAAAGCACCCATCTCCTCGATCCGTGCACACAGCGTCGTTATCCGCGCGCACTCGCCTATTTCGCCGTACGCGCTCTTCACCGAGATCAGCCTCCCGGCTGGCTTCTCAAAGAAGAGCCGGGGCCCCTCGTACGTTGCGCCGGAGATTTATGCCCGCCCTAACGACGAGGCATACTGCTGTGGTGAAGGTGACCGCCTCGTCCCTTTGCCAAAGACTTCTGACGCTGTCGAGGTCGATGAGTCTCGTTGTCAAGATATCCTTGACCAAGTCGCAAGCATCAGTGACGAGCTGAAAGATGGCGATGTCATTGCCAAACAGGCATGCTATCTTCCCAACGTCACGGCTGGAAATGGCCCCCTCATTGGCCAGACTGGAACCAAGGGCCTCCTAATGGCTGCTGGCCACACGTGCTGGGGTATCCAAAATGGACCAGGCACAGGAAAGCTGATGAGCGAGTTTGTCTTTGATGGCAAGGCGAAGAGCGCCAATGTCAGCAGCCTGGATCCTAGAAAGGTGCTGTAACCTTGGCCCGGATGATGAGCTTACGTTTTCAATGACACAAGTGTAAATGAATGAATATAGAAGGGAGGTTTTTTTTATTTGGATGATTTTTCTCAGGGAGCGATTCCAATGCGAAACATTTTATAGATATGGAAATGTAACTTTTCATTATCCGTTAGATTGTATATAGCAAAACTTCTAGAGATGGAATGGCAACCGTGGTTTATTCCTTCGACTTGATTCTCACAGATGGGCTGACCATGCTTTAAAAAACCAAGGAAATGTTGGCAAGCTTCGTAATTCAAGTTAGCTGGGTATCTGGCTATACAATGAAGTTTGAAAATTCAGTGTAAGCTAGACCTAAATTTCCTTGCGCATTTTTATTTCCCAAATGTTAGATCAACTCAGCTGTATCACTGGGAATTCAGGAGAACCACTCCTCCTAGGGCTTGGACGACGCAGTGGAATACGACACCGCACTGCTCACCGCCTTCGTCGGCATGTCGGAGATCTCCATGTCTATCGCCGCAGCTTTCCCCACGCGACGTCATCCCTTGAATTGACAAAGCTCTGCAGCAACAATTTACCGTCTTTGTACGATATCAAAGAAATGCGAAGAGATATAATTTATAAAAATGATTTCTGGGCAACGAAAATAATTTGAAATTGTAAAGGGTCTGGGAACGCATCTGCGAACAATTGTCGAATCTCAGCTATACTTACCTGACCTCGTCAATGGGCGCTCTGTTTTTCTAATTCTCTATGCATTTCTTATGAACGACCACAGAGTCGAACCCTGCTAAGCACGTCGCACCACTAATGCCAGCTTGTCCAAATGGATTATGATCAAAGAAGGACTTTTGTGAGAACACCAGTCTTGGTGGCAGGGGTGGAGAAGGGCGGTCAAAGGGTAAGCTTTCGGAATCCGTGTTCCTGAGAGGTCCGGCTTCCAAGAGAGGGGCTCGCTGACAAAATTGACTGTTTCGATTGAATTTAGTTTCCAACGTGAGTACCGCTCGTATCCGAGAAATTGCGCGAAGCACCGTGTCTGCACATTCCAAGGGATAGTAAACTGATTTTTGATTACAATGGAATCAGAAATGAAGAGCGGCCACGTCCTAGATGCGCGCCCTGGAGAAACAATTTGGTAGGTGGCCGCTTCAGACAGGTCGACATCATCGTAATAGATGGGATGCTGTTTGAATAAAGCCGGAAGCTAATGATAAAAGACTGCCCTCTCCCAGACTAGAAACCTCTTCTTTGCTGCATTCTACGACAAGATCCACGTGTACAAGCCGTGTTTCCCGGAGCAGGCTCTGGGGAACGAGCCGGACCTGGTATTTTCTCTTGCGAGCTCGGGCCTGAATCACTTTGGCTACATTGACGAATATCATCCGCATGCCATCAATTACTTGATAGTGAGCGACCTTGGCAACGAGGAGATCTTGGCATGTGTTTGCGATGATGGAGACGTCATTGCGTATCACACTCGGGCTATCTTCGAAGCAGTGGAGCAATCGAATGTCAAGCAAGCGGCTAAAGGGGCAACGGTCGAGGACCCTCGGCCATTTTTCGTTGAAAATGTTACGCTAAGCGCCTGGGGCCTTGCGATCCACAAAGAAGCGCGGATGATTGCCGTCAGCGCAAATAATCATGAAATCAAGGTTTACGCGTTTGCCTTGACGGGGCAACGAGAGGAGTCACCATATTTACCCGTCGGAGAAGCCCCCCATAGCTCTCGGCCTCCTTTCGACGGAGGCGTCTCTGGGAATTGGGAAGAGTATTGCTCAGACAGTCCACGTAGGAGAGATCGGAACTGGTCTATAGATCTTATTGGGCACCAAACAAATATTCCAAATGTTGCCTTTTGTAACACGGCTGATGATCCTGAGGGCCGATGGCTCGCCAGTACGGACATCAGTGGGGTCACAGTCATATGGGATGTGTGGGCCAGAACGGCGATTCGAGCATTTCACTTTGGCCATCAATCGCTAGGAGCCCGCGATTTGCTCCTCGAGCCAACGTAGGCGGAGCTTTCGCTTCTTTTTATTTGATCAAAAGACTGACTGTTGCTCTTATTTAGTCGCGGATGGGGCGTATTTTGTCTAGACCCTAGGTCTTTCAGAGTGACTCGCGGTGCTGAAGAGACGTTTGGCTGCCAGCCACAGCTTTACAAGGACTGCTGGGATGCAACAGCAGCACGGGAGAAAATATCTGATACTTCGATTTGGCACTCTGATTTTATGCTTGCAGCCGTTCAGAATTACCAACAAGGACTGGATGCTGAAAATGACATGGACCAATCACCGTCGGAGGACGAGGGGGAGGAGGAGGAGGAAGAAGAAGAAGAGGGAGAGGAGGGAGAGGATGAAATCTCAGCTGCGGCTGGTCTTCTCCCATCAGATACTGCTGATCTCTATGAACATCTCACAGGCGACATGGAAATGGAAGATGATTCAGAAGAGGAAGAAGAAGAGGAGGACACGGACGATGCACAGCCTGGAATTCCTATGAACCAGATGCTTCCCGTGCACGGGGTTCAGGAAGTCCTTGAAGAAATCCAAGAAGCTGCTCAGGCGGCTGCTTCATCACCTCCTATTCATCATCCTACTCCGAACGTTGCTGCAACACCTCAGACGGCAGAGACTCCCACCGACCTCTCAGCAGGTACTGGACAAGTTCAAGCACAGCTTGGTCCCGGGCAGCCACAACCAAATCAACAATATACAAACCCCCAACTTGCTTCCACGCAGTCTCGACAAACTCAAACCCAACATCAGCCATCAAGTATTTCGCAAGGTCATCATCATCCCCATGCCAAAAATTACTTCCGCGTACCATTCTGCCTCCTGCACACATCCGAAGTCGACATTCGCCTTGTAGACAAGCCCTCCGACCGCCTTCGCCCTTCCGTAAGCATCCGCAATCCCCTCCACCAACGGCTCCCTCCACACTTGAGCTGGCTCGACCGCTTCACTCGTCTCAACATGCTCGCGTCGATCCCTGAACTCGGTCTCCTCATTATCGGGTCTCAAGTCGGACGCGTTAGTATTTTCGCTTTAACTCGTTCTCGCAACCCCCCACAACTAGCGTTCCGTCTTGATGCCATTCTGCCATTCAAGTCCCAGGAAGAAGCCGGCCAGCGTCCAAATTACCCACTAATGGGCATCGCCGTGGGACCGGTACAAGGGAGAGAAATGTCCTCTTCGACTCGCCCCCGTGCGGAAAGAGGCAATTCTTCATCTTCCGATGACGACGAAGAATACGAATACCAATCGACTCGAACCCCCAAGGAAGACACACGCGAACCATCCGAGCGTACCGATATTGACGTTGACGGCTCCGGTAGTGCTAGCACAAGTACCCCCGAGCCCTGGCGCGCAGTGGAATCGAATCGCAGATACCGCCTCATGCTGACATACTATGATAACACGGTCCTAAGCTACGAGCTAGGCAGAACGAGATACGGAGGCGGCAGTGAATTTGTAGTAATTGGCGAGAGCGAGAGCTATGGTGATGAGCAGCATGCTGAGAGAAATTCAGGTGCTGGTGCCGGCAGCAGCAGGAAAAGAGATGCCGCCACGGCTGCGGCGGATTTGAGAGAACGCTTGCTCATGATTTGATAAGAACGGTCTCGTGGTTCAAAGCTTTTTCTGCTGATTCCTTACGAGATTGAGCATTATCCATGTCTCTGTAGTAGTAGTTGCTATGCACAGAGAGTCAAGAATATATCCTATAAGTTCCACCATTTTCAACTTTGTTGAATTCCTTTTGTTATTCAATATTCATCTCTTCTGCGCTTCTCTGTCGTAACTGGTGACTGGTGACTCGTGAGGTCATATTTTCATAATTTGATATAGCACCGTAGTCCGTAGTCCGTGGTTTCTGGTCTGTGGGTGAGGAGTCAGGACTTGTTCATTTCCTGTCTCGCCTCTCGCCCTTTACATAATTTCCTTTTGTTTTTCCCGACTTTTACCATTACGCCTAGTCTGGAGGTTTGGTCTTTGCCTGGAAGACCAACACAGACTCAAGACCGGCTTGGTATGGAAACTTTGGGCTGATACCAAACCAGACCAGACCAGGACAGACCAAGCAGATACGTTTAAAAAAATGATTGATTAACTGATTGATTTATGGAGAAGTAAGTCATTTTTTGGATTAGGTACATGATAGAGAGAAACGCTAGAGAGATTGAGAGCCAGTTGACATGTTACTTGCTGTCTTGGATCATGAACTGGCATTTTCAGATAACGTAAAGCTATTGAGGTTCGAAGAGTTTTGCTTCATAGCCTACTTTCCTTTCTTTTTTCTTTTTTGTTGTTTAAATAACTTTTGCCGTGGACTGATTTCTGCATCGAAGAATGTTGCCGAGAAAAAGGAAAGTGCAATACCATGAGGTCTCTCTCATAGCGTACCTTTCATAGGAAAAGGCCTTTACTCGTCCTCTGTCAAGTCAACTACCTTGCGCCGTTTTCTCATAGGTCCACCTTCTGCAGGTTGGATTTCGGGGAGTCTGCGATTATATGGCTCGGCTTTGATTTCGGTTTCTTCCTTCTTAACTTGTTTCCGCAGGACTTCGTTTTCAGCCTGTGAGGTGGGCGAAATGCTGCGCGTTAGCGTGCTGTTTGTTGGGGTATTGCGGAGAGTCAAAATAAATGAGGCCCAGAAGAGGGGGAGGTGATTAGGGGAGAAGGACTGAAGTAGGACGGGTGAAGTACCTGGAGCCTTGTAAGTGCGGCTTGCATCTCCTCTTGGGTCATGGGAGCTTGGGTACTGTTTTCAATTGTAGGGCGATCTTCCGGCTCTTGTGGAATTTCTGGCGGGGGAGTCATCTTCAGGATTCCTAGCACGTCTAGGCAGACTAGTGGCCGATTAGTGAATGCTTGAAGAGATCCAAAATGATTGGGGAAAAAATGTCCCATTTTTTGAAGGGAAAGAGAGTGGGCTGTTTACATCTTGAGCGGTAACGGAAATTGAATGTCAGCGGCTTGCCATGAATATTCGATAGCGGACTGTGTATCCATTCCCCAAACGGAGTGGAGGGAACCTCGTTGCAAAGCCTGAAAAGCTCCTGTGAGCAATTGTCTTCAAAATGACATGGGTCCCAAGAAATACTTCACTGAATGAGAAATATGTGCATCCTTTAGCAATTCCTTTGGGCCCTTTGTCAAAGCAGAACCTTTTTTTGGCGCCCCAAGCTCGGCGCGTCCAAGATAATGCAGTTCCTTCAGGCGTATAATTTGGACTTGGATCAATCCCATTTTCGCAGCCGTTTTAGCCAGCTCAGCTGAACCAATATCCAAGCTTTCATCTGTGAACAAGAAATATTCCATGTTTTCTTAGCTGAAGTGAACTTTGAATACGCCAAAGATTAGAAGAAGAATGACTTACCGATTGCAATCGAACTGAAACTAAAGTTTGTTTTTGAAAACCCGTTGGGCTGTCTGAATTTCATTTTATTTATTACCCGAACAAAAGGCAACTCTCCAAGACTCTTCTTGTCATGATACCAGGAGTGGCTAAGAAGAGAACCACCGTCTAATCTCAATATGATCCGGAGCGCCTTCGCACCATGCCACCTGAATTTTGGATCTATCCTAATCTCAACCTCAAACTTTGCGTCCGTTTGCGCCTCAATGTACTTCTCAACCGTCGTTTCCGAAGACTTGAAGTGCTCGTTTGGTGTGTCGTATTCAGGAAGGTACGTGTCATTGCTTGTTAGCTTAATCCTTACTTCGACGTGCTCGAGAATGGCCATTGTATGAAGCGACCTTGATCAAGGTTCTTTTGGATATGAGTGCTGCAGTGAAATTTGGTGCAGGAAAATGAAATGGTCGAGGAAGGCGGAGGACTCTTGCACTCGGAAACCAGGACGTAGGAGAAACCTCACTGCTGTGGGACCAGGAGACTAATGATTCAATAAAGTCTGTGTGATGTTAAAGTGAGAAAGAGAGCAAAGAGAAGCTCGAAGATTTTATGCCAGACAGCAATCTAAGTCGATAGGTGAGCCTGTGAGATGAGACTCAAAGAGATGGCAGTGGAAATTGACGGCGCGTGATGCAACAATGGAATCACTCGTGGCAAGCATAATACTTTCTTTCTGCCAGAAAAAGGGCACTGAATTAAGCGCATCCAATTGAAAGCCAGAAATTCACTGAGCATTTTGCCCATGGCCAATCCCCAGTCTCTCAAAAAAACATGGGTCTCTTGCTGTTCGAGAAAAACACGATCAGCATAAGTTCCAAGCCATAACATGTGACAATGCAAAGCCATTATATACGTCACGAATGTATTTCAAGCAGAGACGGTCTGACATCAAAACAGGGGAATATTGACAATATTGTATGTTGTTTGGATGTCGTCGGTGGTTACATGACCGCCATATCACGCTAATGTGTACCGACCGATTGCTACGTGTCGATATCCAAAATTTCCATTAAACCTCCATCGACAACGAACCATTCCGCCAACCGCGACTCTCAAAACTCCAAATTTACACTTCCTCGACATCATCATGTTCGAGGTTCCTGAAGCCAAGCGGTAAGTCTGAACCCTCCGCTTTTCAGCTCCCAAAATCCCACAGCTAAATCACAGTCTAAACAGTGTCCGCCGCGAGGATCTTTACTCCGGCACACCTACCCCGTCTCCACCAGCTTCACCTACACTCGCAAGCCTTCTACAATCGCAACTGGAAGAGAAATTCAGCTATGAGGCTCTTAATCATCCCACCGACGTCAAGCCTTCCACTTCTACAAAACCGAACGCCAGCAGGACGGATAAAGTACTGAAGGAACAAGACCACGACGACACCCACGACGCAGCTGTGGATGCAGCTCAGGATGGCCAGGATGGCCAGGATGTTCAGGACGATGACGACGAAGAGGCCGCTTTCGCATTTCGTCTGTTCTCCAATACCTCTGCGACACCAAAGGTGAAGATTCGATCACCGTCACCTGCTCCGGCGGGCAGCGGAGGGTTCGTCACTCCCGGTCGACCAGACAGTTATTATTTCTCGCAAAAAGCAACTGGAGAGCCCAAGGACCAATTTCAATTTGCGGCTGTAAGCGGAGAGGATATTCTCAAAGCTAGTAAACAGAGTTGTGTAAGTTGTGCTCTTCCCTCCTTTTGCACCTTGCGCTTCCGCACGCAATATGCTGCTATCATTTATCTCCACTGATCTGGGAACTTTTACTAACTCTCCTCATAAAATAATAGCCAGGATCGTTCATGCCATGGCGCGTCGTCACAATCCACGTGCAACCTCAGCGACGATCCAAAACCGACCCTGCGGACCCTTCAAAAGCAGAAGTCGTATTGGAAGCCACAAAAGAGAATACTACAAAATCCAAGACGAAACCGAACAAGAAGCGCCGGATCATCATACGTCAGCGGCAAGCAAAGAAGAAGGAATTAAAGGAAAAGGCCTTGGCTTCACAGGCGGAAAAGGAAGCCGCGGAAAAAGAAAAGCGCATGAGAAGGAATCGCGAGAAGAAGATTAAACGGCGAGAAAAAGAGAGAGCGAAGAAGGCCGAGGCGGTATCTACAATGCCTGCTGACCAAGAAGACGCCCAAGCCGAGAGTCCATCGTCAAGCCCTGAGGCTGAGGGCGAGGACGTCAATATGGAAGAGAATTAGCGGCTTGGTACACTTGGGTCCTTGTATAGAATTACCGGTTAAGGCTTCTTTAAGGAATAATAAGATACCCTTTTTTCAATAATATATGATTTCAGACGAAATGATTTTGGACCAACTCATCATAGTGTGGATTAAGTAAAGTGGCTATTAGGACAACACCTAGCTGGGGAAAAAAAGGTAACACCATGACTGAATAACGAATCCCTTGAGACTAGTAATACTTCCAAAAGTATATAATCATCTAATGAGCAGAGCGCCAGAGTAATGCAATTATTCAAACGCGAATGCCAAATGACCAGAGAACACACATTAAACAAGAATAACAAAAATGAGCACAATACCATATCTAGAATACAGGCAACGGGATCAAAGACCACGAACTTTGCGATAACTGGGCGGCTTCAGTTTCCTGCGCAAGAGTTTCGCAGAATACGGCGGAACAAGAGAGATTGCCAGTATGGCAAGCACGCGCCAGAGAAAGCTTAGAGAGACAACATATCCGAGATCGAAATAGCCTCCGAGGAAAGGGATGCTACCGAAAAAGATCAATGCGGTGCCAAGCAGCGAGAAGATCATGACAGGATGCCAGGTGGTGATTTCCATGGCGACCATGATGAGTTCGTTGATGACGAGCACGGTGAAACTGACTGCGACCATGCGGGGCCCGTCAATGTCGACGAAAAGCTCTGAGAGGCCCTGGATTATGCTTCCCTGGTAAATGGACACAAAGACCCAGATGAAAAAGGTGCGGTAGCTGAGCGATCGTCCCTCTGTGAGTTCCTTGTAGAGCTCTGGATAAAGATTCGCGAGGTCTTCGTCGACATCCTTGTCGAGAACGAGAGAAAAGACGGGTGCCATGGTGTAGACTGTGGCGTAGCCCACGAGAAGCCAGTCCTATTATGAATGATATGTTAACATGTGGATCATAAGGAGGGGAGGAAAGAGTGGGGTAGGTGAAGTGGCTTACTCTGTAGAGGGCATTAGGTTCGAACTTGCTCGCGATGCTAAACATTGTTTGGCACACGCTGATGATGAGACCACGATGAATGACAAACTGTGCGAGCTTGGCACTTCGTTTGTAGCTATTGCGTCCGTGCCAGACGAGTAATTTCGTAAGATGGCAAAATTGCTCAATAGAAAAGTCAGCTGCCAGACTGGCCTGGCGGCCTTCTTTGCCCACGATACCAACGCCAACGTCAGCTGCTTGAATCATCGAGACATCGTTACCGCCATCGCCGATACAGCATGTACGCTTCTTGGTATGTTGTCGTATTAGCTTCGCAACGTCGGCTTTCTGAGTAGGCGAGCAGCGGCATGCGATGACAGCAGGCAAGCGCACGGCTACCGAGATGAAAGAATCCCGGAAATGAGTGAGCATCAAAGCGAGGGAATCCCCGTCAATAAGGAGGCAGGCATCGGACTTGTTGCGAAGAAAGTCCAGTGAGTCTTGTGCTCGATCTTTGCTTTTGACTGGAGAGCTGGTTAGAAAGGAACAGATAGTATTCGGAGGGAGAAGAGGGGGGAACCAGGCTTACGTTTTGCAATGGTGTGCACATACTGGCCACGAGCCACCAGTTTAGCACTAACAGCGACACAGCGAGCAGTCTCAACTTTATCTCCTGTCAGCATCCAGATTTTGATTCCAGCATTGCGCAGGAGCTCAAGGGACGGCTTGACGTCCCGCTGCAGCTTATCTTCAACACCGGTTACTCCCAGTAACTCCAGATCGCGCTCGAGGAAGTCTCGAATAATTTTAGCCATAGCAGCGTCACGGCCTTGTAGTTGCAGTGATGCCTGGGCAAAACTTGTCGAGAACTCCTTGTACTGCTGCCACGATAGCTTCTTGCGGCCTACAACCAATGTACGAAGACCTTCCCGAGCCATATTCGATGTTTCTTCCTCCAACCAGTCATTGGCAGCAACGATTGAGCTCATTACTGTATCAGCACCTTTTTGATAAAACCAAATTTCACTATCATCGCCGGCAGGTTCAGAAAAGCTCTCCGAAGTTTGAGCGAATTGGACAATGATACCCATGCGTTTCCCCTCAGAGGTGAATGGGAAGACATCAAGGATACGCGCACGAACGACGATGCGGCCAGTATCCACAGCTTGGAGCATGATGGATTTCCGGTCGCGATGAACAAGGCGGAGACCAACTGCTTCAGTCCACTGTACAATGGCGATTTCATCAGGCGACGAAGCTTGGTATGCCGTGACGTTGCGGCCATCTACTTCCTCTGTGGTCGGTGTCACATTATGACAAAGGGCAAGTGCCAAAACCACATCTCGCACTCTGCAGCCAATTTCTCGGCGGGTACGGGTTGCGGAGGTGGTAGAAGACGCTAGATATGCGGAGGAAGGTGTAATGAGGGCTGAAGGCGCGTTATGTTCGGTTTGCTGCGGAAGGGAGAAGCCTTGTTTGACATAGGATGTCACTTCATCCATTGCCTCATTTGCATAAGATACAGTTCCCACATGGATCTTTTTAAGCTCCATTTCTAGAATTCGAGTCAGATTATACTCCTTGAGGAAGACAAAATGTTTTACTCACCATTTTGTGTCAAAGTTCCGGTCTTGTCACTCAAGAGATACTCAACTCGTCCCAAGTCTTCGGGGATCGTGCTTGTCCTGACCACAGCCCCCGGTATACCCGGATCGCGTTCAATAAACCAAGCGTATACTGATTTTCCCATGTCGAGATTCACCCGAAGACTTATTGGGACGATTGTGGAGAAGAGGATCAGGAAACGCATGACAGACACGTACCATTTGTGTCCATCAGGAGATTCAAACCCTTCAAGAGCGACAAGGATGATTGAGAGCGCAAGAGTAAGGAAGCAAAGAATTTTGGTGAGAGAATTGATCTCGTTCTCAAGCAGTCCAGTCTTTGAACGCGACGGCGAGGTGGAAAGGGCTTGCCGGGTTTCAGGGCCAGTATAGATGACTACTGCTAAAACCGTAGAGTTTGAAGCAAGCACAGTATTTGCCCATGCAGTGTTGTCTATACTCAGAGGCGCTGATTGGATCCCAGGGCCCTGGCCATCGGCGACGTCGGTGGTGTCCGAGTTTTCGGGATTCCTTGTGCTGGTCGAGTTCTTGCGTTGAGTACCATCTGGAGCATACTCAATGGTACCCACAAATTCATTGACGGCCTTCTCTGGCTTGCCTGCTGTGATGTTCAATTTCAAAAATTCTTGAGGATCGAGTGCTTGCGTCAAAGGCGAGGCAAGCCTGAGTTTCCAGTCCGTCTCTCCGTCCAGTTGGTCGGTTCGAATAAAAGTCTCCCCAACGCCTTCAGCGTCGTCCTGAGAAGACGGCTTGTTTGCATTGTCAGATTGAATGGCGGGTTCATCGAGAGCGCCTTCCAGTAAATTTTCGGAATCGCGCCGCTCAGCTGGGCTTTCTTCCATAGAAGTCTTCACGGATTCATTCATCATACTCTTGAGAATGACCACATCAGCTGGAACTCGCTGATCCTTACCAAGCTTAAGCACATCTCCAACTTTGAGATCGCGAGCACGCTTGACAAGCTCGTGAACCGAAACAGACGTCTCGTCAGATCCAGAATGCCTTGATCCTTTCTTCTTTTTTAGGGTGCGCATCGAGCTATCAAAAATTGGCACCTGAAACCCAAGAACAGTATAGCCTTCTGAATTCGCCTCTGCATCTCTTCGTCGACGTGCAATATCGTCGAGTGCTTCTTTGCCCAATGTAATAGTCAAGACGAACGCCAATGGTGCAATATATGTGGAAAGATATCCTATTCGTAGGGGCGGAATAATCTGAGATAAGGCAACCAGAAGAAAGTACATGTTGAAGAAGAAGGAAAACTCGTTATATAACGTGCGCGGGAGGAAGCTCCATGGTGTATATTTGGCATTCGAGACGGCGTTTGGTGGAAATCGTGACGTTTGCTGTTGACCAACTGCAACTATCCTTGTCGAAGAAGGGTCATGCTCTTCGGGGGGCTCCTCTTCGACATACTGAGCTTCCCGTGGTGTAGTTGGTCTGGATGCGCTCGACATGAAACTTGGAAGTCTTATTTTGGATCCTGCGTGGGATGGCGAACCGAGTCCAGCACGCTGCCTTCTTCGGCCCGATTTGGATAGAGGGAGAAGTGGTACATCATCCTCAGTCGCCGTAAAGCTTGCCCCCGAGTCCCTTAAGTCTGTGCCATCGTCATCATTTATCAACCCCTCCGCTTCCTCGCTTCCACGTCGAGAGCTTGACTGGCCATAGCCCGCCTGGTACTCGTCTCCTCTTCTGCCGCGATTCGCGCGCAAGCTTCGGAGAGCGGTGCCCGCTTTCCTGGTGCCATTTTGTAGGTCCTCATCAAAGCGGTTTGCATGTACCGAAGAAGAAAGGTTTGGAGCAGTGGATGGTGCTTCTCTTAGCTCTCCAACCTCAAGATCTAGGTCAGAGTCAGACTCTTCGTGCGGAAAGCTGGAGTCCGTAGGTTGATAGTAGCCGCGTGTCGAGGGCATAGTTCGAATGAAAGTTGCTCGATCGAAAGTCTAAACCGACGTGATCGCGGATCCCGAAGGAAGGGTTTCAGGCAGTCAGGCTCGTAATATCATGACAGAACCGCGCATCGCCGGCCCTGGCGAATTGAGTATGGCTGGATTGAGAATGAAACGGTAGAGCCTGACTGTGACTGATCTGCTCTGTCGAAGTTCTGAGGCGTAGGCAGAGCAGATTTGAATGAGCGCAATGCAGATGGTCAAATGGGATACTGTAGCTATTCGTTCACGTTGCAGCATCTCGGGCCTGTCGGACCCTTTTCCCCGGCATGTTGCTGCCTTGCCTTACGTAATCCCGCACTTTAGCTGCCGGACCCTTAAAAACTTCCGCGAGTATAGAGACAGAATGCTATGACTTCACCGTAACAATGCTCAATTTTTTCGCAAACAAAAGATATCCAATCTGATATAAGTAACTATTCTAGCTGTACAGTATCAGCTGCTCTCTGGCTCTTCCTAGGACCAGGGCAAAGTATTACGCTGTGCTACAGCAGGCTCAGAGGGAAGCATTGATCCTAAGCGAAAGTGGGAAATAATATAGCTCTCCTTCCCTTGAAGCCTCAGTAACGCGTCGCGTCTCCCCCACTACGCAACGCAAACGGGCGCGATGCGCTTCAAGGCGTCAATTCACAACCTTATCAAATTGACCCGTAAGCATTTTGCCACAATGTGAATAGTCTCACTTCGAAGACTGATCTCCTTAAGGATTCGTTGCTTCATTGTCATCCCTTGGAAAAGTTGCTTGGGTTCGACTGAACGACGAGGAAGTTCGCTTTACCGTGATACCTGAACAGGGTACCCAAGTATGGGCGTGAGTCTTCACCCGCATCAATCCTAACAAGCCTGGAAAGCTAATGAGGTTTCCAAAATAAACAGAGTTCTCTCAATTGTAAGGCCAACAAATACCCTGTCCTTGATCGACACCCATCCAGTTGACTTACGTTCGTCCCGCTCAATTGTTATAGGACAGCATTTTTGAAACATACTCCATCCAGTCTGCCTCTCCGAACAACACTATCAATCTCGAAGTCCCTCTTCAGCCTCTACAAAAAGCACTACGCTCCGCTATATCCGCAGTCTCTACAAACATCCGCCTGACGAAGAAGAATGGCATTCCGTTGCTCTCCCTCACAATCGTTACGACTAGTTACAGCGGGAATCCAGCCGGGAACTTCAACACGCTACCATTACCTACTCAAAGCCAAGCTAATCCGACGTCCGATGCGGCGGGAAATACAAGCGCACCTAATGTTGGCGGGGAGCAAGATTTCGGTCTCGCCCCCGGAGATCCCTACCGCGAGCGGGAGATAACCATTATGCAGGACGTTCCCGTGCGTGTGCTCAGTGCTGCCACCGTGCAAGGTCTCCACGAGCCAAGGTGTCGGGAACCAGATGTACATATACTTCTTCCGCCGCTACTTCAGCTGAAGAGCATTTCGGATCATTTCACCAGACTTTCCTCGGCAACCATGAAATCCTCAGTATTAAATGGAGGGGCAAGTACCGCGTCGGCGATGCAAACAAGCGGACCTGGCCCAAAGCTGGAGCTCTCCGCAAATATGCATGGATGTCTAAGACTCAGTATTTCAACAGATGCCTTGAGCATCTCTTCTGTATGGAGAGATTTGGCGAACCCTGATCTCGATCCATCGCAGTATGAAGGTGGTGAGGAAGGCCTCCGTCAGCATCCTACCGCAAGAATGAGGATGATGGGTGGAGATAGTGAAGAAAGCTGGGCAAAAGTACGCATTGACGGCAAGGACTGGAGTAGAGTCCTTTCCGTCGGAAGGATGGGAGGACGTGTCATTGCTTGTAAGTAGGCTTTCTCGCTCGTTCACTTTCTTTTCCTTGCCTTTCCTTTTCCCATTTTACCCCGATTCTCCATATTGAAAACTTACCTACCATTCTTCACTGCCCCCATGCTTACATACTTATTCTCTTGATAGGTTTCTGCCACAATCACGCCCTCATTCTTTACGTATACCTGCCCAACGAAGACGATCTCGCAGAAGAGTCCGTTCTAACTGTAGGTTATCCCTTCTGTTTCTTTCTCCCTTCTTCATGCTCGTTCCTTTGCTTCCCTTTTCCCTATTTGTTTTCTTCCCTTCTTTTCCAAAGGGTTTGGCCTCGGGCAGTGGTTGCAGTTAAACAAAGTTGCCTACGACAACTTGACTGATCCGATCGAAACAGTACTATATCAGCTCATACAGCGTCTAATGAGCCCGCCAATCTACGCATATCCATGCAATAACACACTCCCAACACCGAAACCACCTTGAGGCTCGGGGCGATCCATTCGCGTGGAAGAAACTCCGTTGCGTCAAAGAGCAGGCTCCATGAAACAAGCAGCCTAGTTTCTTCAAACGATGATTGTCCCTTTTCTCGTAACAGTGACAAGGCTCGACTAGCATACGCACTCCGCTCGGTGCTACGAGACCCCTCGCGACGGCTCATGCTAGAGCTTAAATGAAACGCTCCTCGGGTGCTCATGAATGCTGGCTAATCTCGACCAGCTATACAACGCGCTCCGTCCTCGATGCAACGCGTCTGCTGGGACCCAGGATCAGCGATTGATCACGGTCAGATATTCCAAAGAAGCCTTATACAAAGAAGACATGTGCTTCAGATATTTAGACCTGCTGCTTCTTTCCAGATATATGATTTCCATGTGGCACTTCTACTGTCAAACGGACACAAATTTATGGACGATATATCAATTATGTCAAATTACGAATTATCATTGTATATATATTTCCCACTCGTATATAATTCACCAATATATACCTAAATAGCCAGATGTAGGAACCCTCACATCGGCCATTCAAAAAAACCCTTGCCCTGTCACGTTATGACGTATAAACATTGGCACATGGAGACAAAAAGACAAACTTTCTGTCCTGTCCAGGTCGTCCGCTAACAATTAAAAGATGATTAAGAAAAGAAAAAAAGAGAATAAAATGAAATGAAATAAGAAAAGTAAGAGCAAATCGAATGCGAAAATGAAGACTAAAACGTCCGAGGATGAGTTTTACGGTCGACTGATGTTGAAGGATAGAAGCTTATTTGGCCATGACATCAATGTAGCGTCCACCCTTTTTGGGCTTTCTCATTGTACCGCCCTTGCGAGGTGCTGGCACGCCTAGTAGATCATCAATCGAACTAGCATTGCTCATTGACGTTGTTGGCCGGGAGGGAGGTCCGGATGGTGGTGCCGGCGTACCGGTAGACGAGAGCGGAGGAGCAAGAGGAGGCGTCTCTGATGCCGCCCCAAGGGGACCGACGCTACTTGAGGGCGAGCGAGAAGGAGGTCGAGAGTTAGGAAGTGATGAAGGCGGTCCAAGCGTGGGCATTGGTAAGCTTTGTGTAGAACCGGGAAGGGGCGGCCTCGGCGGTGCTGATAGCGATGGTGGCGGAGGAGTAGCTTGGTTGGCACTGGCCGCACGAGAAGGCGGTCCGGCTCTGGGCGGTGGAGGAGTTGCAGATGGGGTAGGAGATGGAGCGCCAGCCTTCTTGTTGACCCACTTTTTCAGATCTGGATCATAATAGAAGGAGCTCTCTTCACCAAGCTTGGCCTTAATGGGACCACCGCTCTCGTTGCTCGAGCCGCCCTTTGAGAACCAAGAGCCAAACCAACCCTTCTTTTCTTGGGGCTTTGAATCCCGTTTAGCTGTGATGGAAATGTCAGTGGATGCTGCAGAAAATGAAAGAATGCCATGGGGTCAAACTATGCCACTTACCATCAGCTTCCGCGGCTTTGCGGAACGCCTCCTCATTTTCCTTGTCCCGCGCCGTCTTACCACTTTTGAGAATTGCAGCTGCCCTGGCTGTAAACTCGGCATCGTCATCATCATCATCCATGATTGACTTCTTCTTCGGCAGCTTTTCCTCAGCAGGTTCCTCCTTAGGTATTTCGTCTTCAAAGGAAGCAGCCGCATCACCTGTTGGTGGCTCATAGCTGTTACTCGTCGGCGGTTCATAGCTGCTGAAGCTTGCTGGTGGTTCATAGGAGCTAGTCATTGGCGCACCATAGCCACCGTCATGAGAGACGCCAAGTGGCTCATCAAACATGCTCTCTGTTGGAGGTAGGTACGAAGAAGATGCTGCCCGATCTTTCTCGTCCCGACGCACGTTCCCGTCGACGTCTCCGAATGTCAGCTCAACCGGCTCGTAGCTCGTCTTTGGTACACTAGGTTCATAGGATATTGAAGGTGCCGAATAGTCCGAATGCAATTCCGAATGCAATTTTGGCTCATAGGCGTCAGGGTGGGGTGATGAAGTCAAGGGTGCCGGCTCCACAGGTGCAATTGGAATGTAAGAAGTTTGCGACTGGGACACGGGAGAGGATGTTGTCTGTAAAACACTGGTTGTTTCCGGAGAAAGATTGGCGGGTTGATAATGACTGCTTGGTGCTCGAGGCAAGCTGTCATTCTGTAATAAGGGTTGCGGCACATACCCGCCACCTCTTTCCGCACCATATGGCCCAGCAGTGATCTCCGATGCCGCTCGAATGGGTTGGTAAGGCAGTCCCATTGGCTGCTCAGGTAACGGCCGAGCCTGAGGAGGTGCCATCTGCGGCGCATATGGACCAGCTGGACTATATTTGGATTGTGCCTGAGATGCTGCAGGGTATGCAGCGCTTAGATTGATGTTGGAGGCTGATGGGCTCACGTTAGGTGTATCCCCAGCAATACGGGCAAATGGTCCAACATCAGCACCGCCTCCTTGGCCTCCTTTAGCTGAGGTCTCATCATCCTCATCACCAGCAACAAACCGGTTAAAGCTGGCCCAGACAGATCCTGACACCTTCTCCATACTTGGTTTGGAAATCCAAGACGAGCTAGAGTCCTTGGGGCTCCGGCTGAGTCTCTTCGAGAGGTCATCAAGAGCCGAGAGGAAAGGTGGGTGGAAGTAAGGAGAGAGCTTCGTCGTCGCCTTTACCGCAGCAGCAATCGCGTCACAGTAACTTTGGGCCTCTGTCCGATAGCCAGCCTCTGCCAAAAGACCAGCATGGTATAACTTGTAGGATTGGAGATGGGGAGCCGTTGTTAAAACAGATGATCCTGAGAGAGACAGCCCATACTCGTAGACCTCACTGAGAAGAATTGAGTCTAAGTCCCGAGCAAAATCAAACGGCTGCACCCGATGATCTGCTGAAAGAAGTGAGATACACGTATGCGGATCCTCCACACCGCCGAACGGTGCAATATTCCTCGCAAACATGTAGCAGGTATGAGCAGCATAGGTCCGGTTGTACGAAGATAGTAACCTTGCCAGTGCAAGTAGCGCCTGCTCATCGCCTGGGTTTCGATTGCTGAGGATCAGCGAAGCGCTCTCCCGCCATTTGTTCAAGCCTTCCAAGGCATTCTTAGTCGGCGCGCCCGCAGTATCTGTGCGGACCATCTGAAAACCAGCTCGTGCGGATGGAGGAACGAGCTCATCAATACTTTCCTCCCAATTGCCAGCGAAAACATCGTAGAGCGAGGCCAAAGGCTCTGTGTGGTCGCTGAGATTCTTGACTTCTTGCCGCACAAACTCTTGTACGACCTGCTTCCAGATATCCTTGCTGAGAGTTGATGCAATCAACAACGCGTGCGCCCAAAGTCGTTTGTCAACTGCGTGCCATATAGCATCCTCACGCTTACCTTTGAGGAGGAATTTGCGTATTTTATCGACAGCCTGCGGATCAACAGGTTCAGTTCGAGCGGCAGAATCAGCGGTGGTTGCCATGTCAGAAATATTTGCGCCGATCGGCTCGTCGGAATTTTCACTCGCATCCGTTTCGTCATCGACGAGCAAAAGTTTTCTGACGGCACTTTCGATAGCAGGGTTGCCTTCGAGTAATCCATCATTCTCGATGAAAGACCGTAGAACTTTCCACAACAAGACTTTCTCTTGATATTGCAAGGAAGAGCTTAGAACTGGATCTGTCGCTCCGTCCTCCTCAAAACTTTTAATCACGTCTGTTAGCCAGGACGCGACGTCTTTCTTCTTAGACTTGCCCTTGAGCGGCCCCGGAAACTTGACGAATCTTTCCGGCAACGGACATATATCCTTCGCACTGCGGACAGTAACTTCACCTGGTGCGCATTTAATCATAGGTTTCACGTGGCCCGTGGCGTACCTCGGAACGTGCTTGGGGAAGGAGGTCACTATAGTTCCGCCGAAACCCCAGTTAAAGATAGGGCATCCTTTCCATCGCTGAAGAGGGTCGGTTTCGCGACCATCAGTCGGGAAGACATAGTTTACAGTCTCTGAAAATGACCTTCCGTGATGTGAAATCGGAGAACTGAGGTTCTTCAAGAGAGTCGGAGATGTAGGACCATTGACAGAAGCTGGTCTCGGTTGAGTTTCAATTGGCGCTATAGGCATCTTAGGACCGAAAGGAGTGGCACCGGGAGACTGAGTTTGGGATCGAAGAGGAGCAGACATTGGCGCATCTGTTGATTGGAACGAGTGCGGGTCTGAGACAGGAACTTTAGATGCAGCAGCTTGTGCTTGGCCTATTGTAGGCAACTGCGGCGCATAGCGGCTTGAGGTTGGCGGTAGTGCATGCGAAACGGACCGCAACGGAGGAGGCCCCCGATCAAACGACGCTCTCTTTTTATCCAGACCTCCAATATTCTGTCCTGTTTCGCGAGATTGCATTGACTCAGAGAAGCTTCTATTTGCGTAAGGAGACACGGGAACGGCCGGATGATGATGATGCTGCTGCTGCGTAGGCTGCTGGGGTGCCGGACGCTGTGATTGTGGACGCTCATGTGAGGCAAGAGGGCTAGATGTGCGAGGCTGGAACGGGAGTACATGATGCGCCGGTGGTGGCGGCGGCTGTGCATATTTGGGCTGAGCTTTGAGAACTCCACTGGTCCCGGGTGGAGCCGGAGAATACCTAGAAGTGATCGGAGCAGAGGGAGGCGAGGATGCAAGAGGTGGCGAGGACGCAATTGCTGCATACGGATTAACTCGTTCAGCTGGACGAAGGCCAAAATCGCCAGAAGTGCTTGCCTGAGAGACGGGTGGTTGTTGTTGTTGTTGTTGTTGTTGTTGTTCTTGTTGCACTGGTGGGGGACTCGGTACAGGGGGTGCTACGAACCCTGCAGATAAAGGTGGAGTCACCGATGGTGCCTGCGGAGTAATCCTTCCAGCATTTGGGGTGGGTCTCGAGCGTGGTACAATGGGTATTTCCTCGAAGAAGCTGCTTGTGCTGGGCTTTGGTTTTAAAGTAGGCCGACCTTCGGTCATCGTCTCCAGTTGCGCCTGCTTGGATTGACCGTGGGGAACTGAGGAAAAGTTGGCCGGAGGAACGAAACTTGAAACAGCACGATTTGGGGGAGGGGGGGTTTGCGTCGGGCCTCCGATACCAAAGGGGTGCATACTACTGCTCCTAGGAGGTGGTGGCGTTGGTTGAGTTCCCGGGGCCGTCACGACCTGATGAGCGGCAGCTCGTTTCTTCGGACGAAGAACGTCTCCCGGAAGATCGTAAGGCGAGGAGTAACCGCCCTTTGATTTATCCGCAAAGCTTTGCGCTTTCGAGGGCATGGCAGGTCTAGGGTCTTGATCGCCCATGAAAGCAGGAGACGTAGTGGAAGGAGCCGGTGCAAAGCCCTCAGTCCAGGCCAAACTCGGAGCTCGTGAAGCGGCGCCAGGGATATTTCCGGCCATTGTAGATTGAGGCGAGGCAGTGGCGGGAGTATATCGGTTGCTTACCTGTTCCGAGCTCGAAGGGTGTACTTGAGCCAGGCCCGGAAGCACATTTTCCGGGGCAGCTTGAGAGTCATTAGGGTAAGGTTGCGGCACGTTCAGTAAAGGCTCCTCATCTAAAAAGCCCTCGCCGTCATCCTGAAAGAAGGCCGCCGGATCAATTGTTTTTTCGCCTTCATCGGGCACGTTATCCTCCAACAACTCATCTTCATCGAGAGCAGCAGCCCACATTTCAGTCAGCGCTTCTTCCTTGGACTTTGACGTGTTCCCTGTCTCATCTGCTGTTACGGAAAGAGAACCGCTACCAGCATCTCTCGATTCCGTCGAAGGAGGTTGGATTTGAGCATTGATTGATCCTGCAAAGGTCGCTGAAGCTGAAGATCGGCCATGAGAATCGGTAGCCCGGTCCTCTGGATGAGTGTCACTATGTGCAGGATATTGAAGTGAGCCTAGGACTTGAGAAGTCGACTTTCGTTGAAGGTTCGAAGGCGTGAAGTCGTCTTCTGTTTTAGGATTCTCCATTGTTGATTTGAAAAAGTCATCTGCGTCATCAGTAGTGCCTGCAAAAAAGTCTGGCTCTTCCTGCTGCTTTTCTTCCTCAGGCGGTTGCTCCAGTGTAGTGTCCGATGGTATCAGCGGCACGCCCTCTTCGAAGCGTACACCCGCATCTGATAGCTCTGAAATCTCTGTTCCGTGGGTCTTGTCAAACCCATCAAAAGAATTCTGCTCCTTCCAGTCGTTTTCTACTGAGCTTTCGGGAGCCCACCCCTCTGCCAGATTAAGCTCATTTTGATGGTCTACTGGCGCTTGATGAATCCAGGCCTGATCGGTTACTTCTTTTGAGCTTTCAGGGTCCCATCCACCCGCTAAGTTAAGCTCATTTTGGTTCTCAGTCGGCGCATGGCGGATCCAGGATTGATCAGTTACCTCTGCTGGGCTTCCAGGGCCCCAGCCCTCCGCCAGATTAGGCTCATTTTGATGATCTGTCGGCGCTTGGTGGATCCAGGACTGATCGACTGTGGTGTCAAATGTAGTGCCATCCTGCAGCCCTTCCTTTGCATCTGCAGTATCCGTAGGGCCCAAAATCTCGTCGAAACCAATGTCCGGCTTGCTTGAGGATTCCGGAAGCTCGCCGTTTCTCGCTACATTGCCGACATCAGGCTGCGAGTAAGTTATGTCAGAGGTTGGCGTGGTGTCCCTGAGAGGCAAGACTTCAGGGAAAGAATTTGACCGATCTGGTGCATCGAGGTGCTTAAAGACATCCGTATCTTGCCGGGGAAGTTCCCAGCTCTGCGGGCTAAACTCATCGTCATCCCCCACTATCACTTCGTGCGAGACCGTGCGGGCAAATGAATTCGAGCTAGCGTGGCTGTCTCGATGTGAAGTTCCAGCCGTGGCCTCTTCTATGCGAGTCGGTTGGGGGTCAACCGCTTGGGTGCACGCTTCGCTTTTGCCGTTGGCCGCCTGAATTGGTCCCGCTATATCGGGCTCGACCGAGGGGAACTGTTCCCGCTCTGGCACAACAAAGTCCCCGTGGCTCTGTCCAAGCGTTTGGGCATCTGGTTGTACTGGATCTTCAAGTGCTGGGACCTCTGGCCGAGACAAGCGTTGCAAAGTGGGGACTTTTGGTTCATGCCTTGCGCTGCTATCTTCCACATCCTCCACATGAAAAGAATGCGGTTGAAGGGAGACGGAGCTGATATTTCGTGGTATGGAAGAATCATCGATGGAAAGATGTGGAGAATTCTGCGCCGGTGTGGACACGGTAAGATTATTAGGTTGGCTGGGTGCTTGGATATCCCGGTCCGAGTCTGGTCGCCATGCGGGATGCCATGATGAAGCTAGTGGCCTGGCCGGGACCTCTGAGGCCGATTGATTACCGGCTAGACCATCCATCATGATTTTCGCGTTGACAAGAGCCCGCTATGTCTCGTCGCTGACATCGTCAATACAACTTTGTCTCCTTTGTTCGAATTCATGGGTAGCTTACCAGCTTTAAGACGATACGTTACCTAGTGACACAAAGCAATTATGAACATGACAGCGAAAAGGCAAGCATCTCTGGCATCTGCCACCAAAAAAAACCAGTAATAATGGTGTGCCACAGGAAAAAGGGAAATGTAGGTAAGTAATGAAGATCAGGACACTTTCAAAAGGTTAGTTAGACCTCCCCTGGCTCAGGTTGTTTGAACCCCCAACAGTAGTAGCGCGACATCACTCACATGATAGGTTGCTTCCCTCGCTCCGTCTAACTTTGTCGGGATATCAAGCTAAGTCATCAATTGTGCAAATGATTATTCAAAAGTTATTCAAGTTATGTCAGATCGACTCTTCCCCAGGCAACTCGTAATGCCGAGGCCCCTGTCGACTCGCTAAAGATGTGAACTACGCTAACCCAATATGGTTGAAGAAACAAAAAGTTCACGAAACTTGTGAAAGTTGTCGCCAGCGTCTTGTCCAACACCGCAAGAGCACCAAGGAGACTCTTCATCTCTTTGGCTCGTGTATCCACCCTCGTTCGTTATAGATTGACGGACTCAGTCGGCCGACTTTGGGTCCGCATTCTTATTGCGAGAGCATCTAAATATTTAGAAGCGGGAAATTGAAGTTGCCACTTCAACCTGTCCGCCATGGCTTCAGACGAAATTGTTTGGCAGGTCATCAACCAGCAATTCTGCTCCTTCAAGCTCAAGTAAGTATTGAATTCTTTCACAAGCATGATTTATAAGATTCAGTGCTAATAAATGGCTTCGAAAAATAGAACGACAAAGGAGCAAAACTTTTGCCGCAACGAATACAATGTTACCGGCCTCTGCAACCGCCAGTCATGTCCGCTGGCAAATTCGCGCTATGCCACCATCCGTTCCAATCCGGAGACTGGAACCCTTTATCTATATATGAAGACTATCGAACGGTCTCACATGCCATCGAAATGGTGGGAGCGAATTAAACTTTCTTCCAATTATTCAAAGGCGCTTGAGCAACTTGACGAGAGACTTATTTATTGGCCCAAGTTTCTGGTTCACAAATGCAAGCAAAGGCTTACACGTTTGACTCAAGTAAATATCCGGATGAAACGCTTGGCAAAGGAGGAAGCACGACTGGGTGAGAAATTGGTACCAAAGATGGCGCCCAAAATTCGGCGACGAGAAGAAAATCGTGAGAGAAAGGCTGAGGCGGCAGCAAAGGTCGAAAGAGCCATTGAGCGGGAGCTTATTGAGAGATTGCGAAGCGGTGCTTATGGTGACAAGCCGCTGAACGTGGAGGAGAATATTTGGAAGAAGGTTCTTAGGGGTCTGGAGAGAGGTGGCGAGGGAGTTAGGGATGAGGATCTTGATGAGGGTATTGAGGACGATGAGCTCGAGGGCGAAGAAGAGGAAGAGGAAGAGGGTGTTGGTGATGTCGAATACGTTAGCGATCTTGAGGGCGAAGACGAAGATGAGGAAGGTCTGGAAGACCTCGAGGATTGGCTTGGCAGTGAGGAGGGCGAGGGCTCTGAGGAAGACAGCAGTGCGCCGAGCGATGAGAGCGCCGATGAGAGCAGCAGCGAGGAGGAAGATGCAACTGCGAAGAAACCCGGCGCAGGCGGCAAGAGGAAGAGAGGAAACGCTCCCTCCGCCAAACCCAAGAAGAAAGGTATGTTTCCAACTTTGCACTGGCGGTTGCAGCTATCAGCTCACGAATCAATAGGTCCTCGCGTCGAAATCGAATATGAGATGGAACAGGAGCCTGCTGCGCGGGAAGCTGTTTCTTCATATGCATAATCAGCTCAGGCTATTGAATGGCGTTTTGGCGGCGCTCTGGGGGATTATTAGGAATCTGAAGTGGCACAAATGTAGCACTGCATTCATTGCGGGGAATTCAAAAGTAGCTCTAATAAATTCCAGTCACTTTAATTTCGTAATTGTGCCTTTTGTTGGAAACTTTGCGGCTGGGTTTATCGAGCAGTGTCTTCTGTGTGGCCACATTATTATCTCTATGATGATAACACTGTAATATGTAAACATCTCGCGAAACTGTAACACGAATTAGCCACAGCTACCACGGCAACTTACTCCACCCATTTTCTCAACGACAACTCTGAAAGCTATAACGCCCACATTGCGCCTTTCGGGCTCCGAAAAACATTGTTTCTTTGTAATAATACCAGCTGCGTAACTTCGTCGTGGGCGCGGTCGCCGTGCGCCTGCTCCATTCTCAGCTCTTCCGCTCAGTGACCCCCGCCTTTACCGCTCGAGTTTCATACCCTGCCTGTTCAACATGTCCTCCTATCTCACATACTTTTCTTCAAGATACAACTCTATCCGCCGCAACCTGCTCTCTGACGAAAATGACGGTGACACCGAGGATGACACGCACATCTCTCGGGTCTTGCGAGCCTATTACATCGAGAAAGGGCGACCCTTTCCTCCTTGGCTGCCACCCGATCCTAAAGCTCCCCAAGTGCAGCCTGCTCAATATGTCGCCATGAACAGTAGACAAGGAAGCCAGCAGATGCCTCCTCGCGGCAGCACTGGTGGACTGGGCGACCTCTGGGATGCTCCACAGCGACCGCCTGCGACTGAATCTTTATCTCTGCGAAAAGGGGGTGCAATGCGGGGAGCAGCAGGAAGAGGAGCTTCGCCACGGCCAAGCATCGTTGATTCATATACTCCTGCGTCCCCTGTCGAGCAAGCCCGACCCCTCCCGAGCCAGCGGGCCGGCAGCTATCAGGCTCAATTTCCCCCACAACAGGCGCAACGAAATGACAGCTTTGTTTCAGCTACTCCAAGTTCTGGATCTGGATCAGGTCTTGGGGCACAGGAGAGACTAAAGGCAAGATTTCGGGGCGGAGGGTCCAGCAGCTCTGCCTCAAGTGCGTCAACTTACGGCGTGCAAAATCAACGATTTGCTGGCGGGTACGATGGGCAGGGCGGGAGTGCAGATAGACCTTTTGTCGGCGCAACCTCTCCTTGGGTGAGTGGAGATCCGGGGCCGCCAGTTCGAGGCTACGGGGGCGGCGAAGAAGCCAGTAGTGGAGGAAAATTTGGGCTATTTCGAGGGCAAAGAACGAAATGAACTCCGTAAAGGTCGTTTCATGCTTCAATTTGGCCATAGCTATATTCCACCTTGTTACATATTGGCTTTGGTATTTGCTTTAGGGTGTCTGAGGAGTTCAGAATGATATCTTTTCAAGCAGCCAACAACTCCCTTTGTTGCATACCGCAACTGCATAGCCCGTCTCAATACCCACAATTGGCGTCTCACCGATCATGCCCTTGCGGGAAATTATTGTTTAATATTTGCGGGCCTGCTTCGTTTTCCTTTCCAAGGAAATTCTCTTCCATTCATAATTATTTAATCCTCTCTGGGGGTGCCTTAATTAGAACCAAATTCATATATGGGACGCTTGCCGTTTGCCGTTTGCCGGACGTTGAGAGAGACGGCATTCTACAATAATTCTCGGAACCACTTTTCATATACATTTGTCAACCTGAAATGAAGTACATTAATGAACTATATAGATTGAATATATTCGTCATGAGTACTGCTCCTTTTATTGCAACTCAGAAATAGAGCGGCTGTACTGAGCGTGAATTTATGCTGCTGCCTGAGATTATTTATACATGTTGACATCAGGTATATATCTTATCGGTGTTCGGAGCTTTCGTCAGGGTATACGCAGCTACAACAACCCCGCCAACGTTGGCTCCGCAACATCTTCATTCCATCCTTGATTGTCCCGCAGTACTTTTTACTGGCCATCTCGCGAGAAGCTTCATACAAGAATTTAACTTGCTGTTACTTTGAGACTTAGCTTCAGGAGTAATCCAAATCGCCTCCGCTGCCGTTGTCGATAGTTGCACCGCGTATCAGGATCGGAGGTCGCATAGAACTGCTACTATGACGTCCGAAGGTTCCTCCGCTCCACAATATACGCCTCCTGGCTCTCCGCCATCCCCGTCTGCATCCTTTTTTGATGTTAGCGACGATGAAGAAGGGGACTATAATACCATCTCACACACATCCTCCACGAGAGGCGTGAAACTGCTTTTCTCTAAAAGCAAGGTCAGTTCCTCTGGCTTTATAGGTGGCGGCGGGTCGAGCAGAGGACATGGATAATTTTAGCGCTTAAGAAATATGGCATATCACTGACATTTGCAACAATTTATTCCCCTTCAAATAGGTTTATGTACATCCGACGCCATCTGCAAAAGATAATATTCCGGGTTTCATAGCTCTCGTTCAGCAAAAGCCTCCCTCATCTGAGCGCCGACCGTCTTCCTCGTCCTCGCGAAGAGAGGCGGCATCTTCATACTTGCTTGCTTGGCTTCCAGAATCATCTCTCGGTGAAGCTTATGATACATATGTTAAGGTTGATCTCTCCGATTCCTCCTCACCGCCCCGACAGACCTACCTCGTCCCTCCTCCTCCTACCACTACGAGTCATAGCAGTGCGATTGGGACATATGCATTCGCAGTGCCAGTCAGTGAAATATATTCTCTTCTAGTGCGGCCGCCAAGTATCGGGTGGTGGTTTGGCAGTCTTGTAATCAATACACGAGCCGGTGATAGCTTTCCAGCGCTCTTCTTTCACGACAGTGAATGCCAGTCTACGATATTACAGAAGAAGAAACGTGCACGGGAGACGTTTGATCCCTTTGAAAATGATGGCAGTCTCTTTTGGGGAGGAGACGAAGTGCTTCGATGGTTAAAGAGATATGTGAATGTTCAGCGATCTGGTGCCGAGCCCAGCGTCTACCTGATTGAGCCAACGCTGGAGGATCAAAAGTCCTTTGTCGATAAACCGGTCATGGTTGGGTCACCGAAAGGCGCGTCAGATGCTGCTGGCAGTGTTACAGCTGGAGGTGCATCAGGGTCAAGCTCAGCACGTACTTCCGGAGGGAGAGATGGTGCAATGGATCCGGTCACCAAGGCTCTCAAGGAGGCCAGATGGAGCTTCCTCGAGAAACTCAGTCAAGTCACAACTTTCACGCGGCGCACCGCACAAGCAATGTCTGAGAACCCAAAAGTGCCTTTACAAGTTCGACGATTGATGAAGAATCCCGAGGTGCAGACACTCCAAGAAGAGTTTGACAGCGCCCGGTTGTACTTGGCACGATGGGCCATGGGAATTGCCGAGCAGAGCGAACGAGACCGCAACCAGCGTGTTTGGGCAGCGAAAGATGTCATGGAAATGGAAGACAGCGCAGTTGGCGAGTTTGAGATTCTCGATCTGGAGACAGGTAACCTGTCGTTGAGTGATCGGAGAAAGCCTGTGACGGTTAAAGAATGGAAAGGTTTCTTTGATGCGGAGACGGGCCGGCTGCAAGTTACGCCGGATGAAGTCAAGGAGAGAGTCTTTCATGGTGGACTTGACCCAGATGACGGAGTTCGCAAGGAGGCTTGGCTGTTTCTTCTCGGAGTGTATGAGTGGGATAGTTCTGCCGATGAAAGAAAAGCAAACATGAACAGTCGCCGTGACGAGTACGTTCGTCTTAAAGGTAGTTGGTGGGATAGGATGGCAGAAGCAGGTGGCCCAGGTGAGCAGGGAGAATGGTGGAGAGAGCAAAAGGCCAGAATAGGTATGTTGATTTCATTCCAGTGTCTCATCTTTTAGTCTTGTTGATCCCGGCTGACGCATCCCATTGCGTGGGGCTCGCGCTGTAGAAAAGGACGTTCATCGAACAGATAGGAATATCCCGCTTTTTGCAGGGGAAGATATTCCTCACCCTGATCCAGATTCACCTTTTGCAGACTCTGGGACAAATGTACATTTGGAGCAGATGAAAGACATGTTACTGACATACAATGAATACAACAAAGACCTGGGTTACGTTCAGGGAATGAGCGACCTGCTTGCGCCCATTTACGCCGTAATGCAGGATGACGCAGTAGCCTTTTGGGGGTTTGTCTCTTTTATGAATCGGATGGTATGCTTGTTCTCCATATCCCAATTTTTCTTTGCTTCACAAAGTTGAGTGCTAATGGAAATAGGAACGCAACTTTCTCAGGGACCAATCAGGCATGCGAGCTCAGTTATTGACTCTGGATCATCTCGTTCAGCTCATGGATCCGAAACTCTATCTTCACTTACAATCTGCAGATTCGACTAATTTCTTCTTCTTCTTCCGCATGCTACTCGTCTGGTACAAGCGAGAGTTTGAGTGGCTGGATGTTTTGCGGCTATGGGAATGCCTTTGGACGGACTACCTGAGCAGCAATTTTCACCTTTTTGTTGCTCTTTCCATTCTGGAGAGACACAGAAGTGTGATAATGGATCATCTCAAACATTTTGATGAAGTTTTAAAGTATAGTAAGTTGGCACTGACAGATCGGCTGTTGTTGTTGTTGGAGAAGAACCAACTGACCTATTTTAGTCAATGAGTTGTCCAACACCATTGATCTTCAGTCCACTCTCATCCGGGCCGAAGCATTGTTTCGGCGCTTTCAGAGGACAGTCGAAGCAATTGACAAGAAAGACAACTTTCCAGCTCCGACCGTCCGTCAACGGCGGCCGATTTCATCGACATCCGCCGACGACTTGGCTTCGGGTACAGCAAGCGGGAACGCTGCTGGGAAAGCACCCGCAAAGGACGCCGCCAATGACAAGGAACGAGTCATTAGTCCTGAACTACGGCAACTTCTTAGTCGGGAGGTTCCAAAGTTCAACAAGGACGGTAGTACGGCATAATTAATGGTTTTTCTATTCACATACGCTGTGGCATCTGAATCTCTCTCTACGCAGCTAATCGGTATACAAGTGCAACTGGTGTTTTATGGGGTTCGAAGTCTTAAGGCTGGCGTTTAGGATTTTCAACTCCATTGATAGTTTGAATTTCATGTTACTGGGTTACTCTAACATCTCCTTGATGCCATCCTCGTTTAGTCAGTCGAAATACTTGAAGATCTTCTCAAACTCGAACTCGTTCCAGCGAACCGTCGGGCGAAGACCAGCAAACTTCCACTCGCCGTCCACCTTGCGATAGTTGTGCTTGATCATCGCATGACCGTGTCCCTTGGCCTCAACTGTCTTCTTGTCCGGTCCAGTGTAGCGCTGATGCGCAGCACGAAGCTGGTGGTATCCAATCGCCTCATCCTCGGAGATTCGCTCCCACTTGGAAGCCCCAATGAAGTGCTGGGTGTTGACAAGCGGGTCTCCCACGAAGCCGTGGTGGCTCACCATGGCCACAAACTCCTCGGAACTCATGTCCTCCCATTTATTCCCATGCACCTCCGTGTAGTCAACCTTTTAGTCCATTTGTGTCAGTATACTCTTCACCTGCCATATGTCCATTGGGGTGGGGTGCATTTACGAGTAAAGTGGGAGCCAGAATCTTTCGAAGACGGTCCCAGTCCTAGTTTTCCCCCTCTCAGTCAGTCCCAGCCATATTGTCTTATAAGCCAAACAAAGATCCATCAAATTTACCTTGGCATCATAGCTATCTCCCCACTCAAACGTCAACTCGCTGAGCGCGATGTAATCTGTACAAAATAATCAGCACCTTGTCTTCTCTTCTATTAAACTCTGCTGGATGAAGTGGTTCCTCGCACCCTCATAAGTAATCTTTGGCTTCTTGAGCTCGACCATTGTGAACTCTTTTCAATTATGCTTTAGTTGCTATTTTCTCACAAGCGGGTTTGTTTGAAGAACAATCCAGATAGAGAGAGAATGAGGGGCCCATCTTTGACACGCAATCTCTATTATATACTCGCTCCCTTTGTGCGGAATGTAAGGTGCGCAGTGTTCCCATGCAAGGACTGCGAGGACTGCGAGGACCGTAATCCCCCCAGAGAGGTCCATGTAACCGACCTTGCATTCGGGATGACAGAGCATTGCTAGGCTTTTTAAATCTCGTGATTTATATTGCAGGACCTTTGACTGCCAATTTTGATGGGCTTTACTACGTACATGATGGGTCGTTTTTCCCTTCTTTGTGGATTTTAGCTGTGTTCGGCCACTCCAGCTTGAGACCTCGCTATTTATACTCTCTGACATTGAATAAGCAGCATTTTTTGTGTTTCAAGCCGACCGCTCCAAGATAATCGCCAGTGTAAGCATGTTTCATTGGCGCTTCATGCGTCAGTGCTTGTGTTCATACTTTAATTTTACTGCAGGATATGCCAACTCGCAAGCAGCTTCCCAAACCATGTGCCGTCGTCTTTGGGCTGAAACTCTGTTTACTGGAATCAAGAATAGTTGAAATGCACTGGTCAATCTCGCTAGACGTAGGTAAGCTGGCCCGCCCGGAGACGATAGCCGTAGTGAGATACAGCACCTGGGCGTACCCCGCATTAGTGAGCTCGACAGCCGGCTCGGATAGAAGTATACGGTTATTAAGATTTATTATGATTACCAGGGACCGTATTCTTTTTGTTTAAAAAATATTTCTATGGTAGTACATAATACTGATATTAATATTTCGACCATATCATGTCTTTAAAGTACCTAGAATATTTATACGAATATAAAATGCATGTGGTACCATTTTCTAGTTTCCATATCACCAATAAATTCATTATAATTCATAACATTTATAACCAAAAAAATCTCGAAGTATACCTGGACGTTATTTTCACTCCAAAATCAAACAACATAAGATCCCTATATGATTAATCAAGTATTATTACGGAGTACAGTACGACCTAGAGTAAATTAATTCATCCTCTTATAATCCAAGCCCCCAACGTCCTCGCAGGAGCAATAAGCCGAGAAACCCCTGTCAGGGTGCGGTGGTGCGGCCAAGTACAGCTCCAGGGTTCCGGGGTACGCGCATATCACAGTGGACTCTGATTCGCTGAGGGGACAGATAACGTTTAATCTTTACCCAACACGGCAGTCTGAACAAAAGCTGTCGGACGTCTACAAAGTGGCTCGACGCTCATGGAACGGCCATGGCTTGTTTGTTCCAGAATCCAGATGCATCCATAAACAACCATTCGTCCCGACTGCCTCGCAACTGTTGACCTCTTTTTTTCTTTTTCCCCCTCCTCTCTCGCGCCATCCTTGTGCTCGCTCCTTTGTGCTTCCGAACAACCGGGGGGATTTTGATTTCTCTTGATGCACGCGGCACTTGGTTGTCGGGCAGCATGCAAGAGGACCGGCAAGGAAAGATGTCTGATTGCGACCTTTTCGAAACAAGCTCGTCCTTGTCATTCTTTGCCCGTGGCGCCTCGGGGAGCCGGTGTTGATGTCAACTATGCATCTGCGCGGGGTTTGAGCGCTGCAATTCGTCCAAAATATTTCTGTCAGCGACCGCGACGGGCATGCGGCGATAACAGATACTTTTCTGCATCGACCGCACAACAGTACGGCGCATTTACTGGACAAGACTCGACTATATTCGCTCTGTCTACTGCTCCGGGCGCTGCTGCCATTGCCGTGGTTAGAGTATCTGGCCCCGCATGTCGAGAGGTATTCTACACCCCTATATACTTTCCCTTCCCAATTTTAGTTAAACGTACTTAATCCTTACACGTTGGATCATTTCAGATATACCGCCAATTATGTCCCGGACGACCAATACCCAAGCCCCGAGTCGCTGCGCTGCGTACATTATACGACCCTTCCGCCGGCGGCGCGCACGCAGACCATGTCATTGACTCCGGCGCACTGGTACTCTACTTTCCTGCGCCCAACACCGTGACGGGCGAAGATGTCTTGGAACTACATATACACGGCGGGCCGGCCGTAGTCAAAGCCATACTGGCAGCTATACCCAAATGCGCGGAATCAAGACCAAGTTCATTACAATCTACGGGTGACCGACAACAACGACAATCATCATCTCCTATTCGATACGCTGAGCCCGGAGAATTTACACGACGCGCGTTTCTAAACGACCGGCTAGATTTGACGCAGATTGAAGCACTAGGCGACACGCTCGCGGCCGTGACAGAGCAGCAGCGACGGCTGTCAGTGCGGGGCACGACGAGCGGGCTTTCGAAGCGGTACGAGTCATGGCGACAACAACTGCTGTATGCGCGTGGGGAGCTCGAAGCGCTCATTGACTTTTCAGAAGACCAGCACTTTGACGAGTCGCCCGCGGCGCTTGCTGCGTCTGTCGCCGTGCAAGTCAACGCGCTGAAACAGCAGATCGAGGCGCACAGTATAAACGCCGTACGAGGCGAGTTGCTCCGTAACGGAATCAGCATTTCGCTCCTCGGCGCGCCGAATGCAGGGAAGAGCTCCCTGCTGAATCGCATCGTCGGGAGAGAAGCCGCGATTGTGAGCACCGAAGAGGGCACGACGCGCGATATCGTCGAAGCGGGCGTTGATATCCGCGGATGGTATTGTCGCTTTGGCGATACTGCTGGTCTCAGAAGAGATGATTTGTCTTCCAGCCTCCTTTCACAACCTTCACAACCTTCTTCCTCTCCTTCTTCCTCTCCTTCTTCCTCTCCTTCTTCCTCTCCCTCTTCCGCTTCGGCTTCGGCTTCGGCTTCCGTACCGCCAAGCCGCGACGCTGTAGGCAAAGTCGAGCTCGAGGGAATCCGCCGTGCCAAAGAGCGCGCAATGCAATCGGACGTAGTGATTATCGTCATGTCCGTGGAGCCTCGTCAAACTTCCTCCTCTCCCTCTTCCCCCATTTCCTCCTCGCCGTCGTCGCCGTCGTTCGAGTTACGCGCCGAACCCGACGTCGTCGAAACAGCGACCAAACTCGCCGCTCTGCACGACAACGTCATCATCGTGATCAACAAAGTCGACCAACTTGTCCATTCTCCCACCGATGGCGATGGCGATGGCGATCAGTCTCGCGTTCTAGACAGCATTGAGCGCTCCGTCAAGGACCTGCTGCCCGCCATCCCGTCCGACCGCATCTTTTATGTCTCTTGTAAATCGGCCGAGGATGCTTCCCTTTCCCCTCCCCCTTTCCCTTCTCCTTCTCCTCCTACTCCTCCTCCTTTCCCTTCTTCTCTTTCTTCCTCATCACTACTACCATCATCATCATCATCATCATCATCTTCTTCTTCTTCTTTTGAAAGGAGCCAAGACCGAAGCAGTCCGCAGGGAAACCAAGAACCTCGTCTACAAGAAATCCCAGATCCAGGACTACAAGGAACCCAAGAACCTCGGCTCCACAGAACCCAAGATCCAGGCGGCGTGCAAACGTTTCTCAACGGGCTCGTCGCGCATTTCGAGAAGATGACGACGGCGTTCGTGCCGGAGTTGCCGAAGGTGCCGGGCCAGCAGCAGGTCGTGGATGCGTCAGTGTGGGAAGAATCGCTGGGCGCAACGGAGCGGCAGCGTCTCTTGCTGAACGAGTGTGCGATGTACCTTGATGGGTTTCTTGCCGAAGTGTCGATCCCGTCGTCGTCGTCGTCGTCGTCGTCGGTGCGGAACGAGGGCGTGCATCATGATCAGAGTCATGACAATGGTAATGACAAAACCGATGGTAATAATGGTAATGATAAAAATGATGAGAATGATGAAAAAGGGGATACGGCAGATAGTCTGGACATTGTGGTGGCAGCAGAAAGTCTACGCGCCGCGGCAGATTGTCTGGCGAAAATCACGGGCAAGGGGGAAGCTGGCGACGTGGAGGAAGTGCTGGGAGTTGTATTTGAAAAGTAAGTGTTTCTATAACGCAAAGCAAAATTGGTTATGGGGAGAACTGTCTAACGATTGGAAATTAAAAAACAAAAAAGGTTTTGCGTAGGCAAATGAAATCAACTGAACCGAAATGAAAAAAAAAGGACGAAACAAAACCAAACAAAACAAAACAAAACGGCCAATCGAGATAAAACTCTGCTGATTCAAATTCAAACTCCTCCCTGATTATGCTGACGTGCCTATCCGACCTTGAAACAAAAAAGACTCCAAAGAAGCGGAGAAGAACCGGCCCCAACGGACTGTCTGCTACACAGTAGAGGGTCCGTTGGATAGAGCCGAGTTCACACGAGTCCAACAAAACAAACAAACAATCCTTCCGTGCGCCATTTGTCTTTCTATCATGCGCATCGGCCTGCGAATGCGCATCGAACAAAAACCCCGAAAGCCAGACCATCTAATTTTCCCAACTCCATGCTGTGCAGCACCAATTCTAATAATGATCCGAAACGAAAGAAAGGAAGCGGATAATATAGAGCATGGTGGGGGAGAGGACTAGTTATAGCCTCCTCTGCCGGCATCGGGTTGAGAAGTGCCGTCGGGCGAAGATGGTCCATTTCGGCATTTCGACGAGCCGTTGGAAGTGGCCATGCCAGTGGACTTGTTATATCCGCCTCGTCCCATTGTGATTTTGTTGGTTTTGTGGATGGTCGGAATGGTGACTTTTCGCGTTTCTGCGCGCAGAAAATGCAAAATAAAGCGACACGTAACAAAGACCGCTGTCACTATCGCAAAGAAATAGACCGGGGAGCAGGCGATAGACCTGTGAATTCTATTATTTAAGAAGCCTATTAGGCCTATCTCCCGCTGGGATGATCTTGTTAAGAGCTCTCGTTGAATAGTCAAGGATGACTTTATCGTTGTAATGGCTGGGTGTTTGTTCGCAAGACCTTCTAGACGTTGAATTGAAGGAGTATTGGGTTTTTTTTTTGTTCACAGTCGTCTGTAGGGCAACAACAATGTCGAGGAATTGGAGTAGCGGATATGAGCAGCGTGTAGAAACAGCTCCAGTATATCTTTGAGATGGAAGAAATCTTGAATTGAGATGATCGAATAAACAAGTATTCAATCCAGTGAGAACTTTGATATCAATTGCTGCACTTGGAAGAGATTGATGGATGCTGGAATAAAACTCTCCCATCTCAGGGGCAGCCATTCTTTCTTATATTCCATACTGTTGCGCATCTGAATTTTTTTTGCTGCTGGTTCTGTTTGTGCTGCTGTTCCTGCTGAACACGCCACTGACGCTGTTGCTGAGCTGCTGAAGACGTTGCAGCTGCCTGAATGGTTAGCCTCACCAGCTTTTCCAAATCGTATCCGCAAAGACCACCATCACCACCACCACCAACAACATTATTCACAACGGTTGAACAAATTTGGAATAAATTGTTAGTCACAATGGCCAAAACGATCTCTATGTCATGTTGCTGCCTCAGCAGCGATTTGTGGCAGCCGCATCTTGCCCTGCCTCACTTAGTCTGGTTCGCGAATCGCCAGGTCCTGCGATCCAATCTAATTGCAGAGCTGCCTTTTTTTTTGGCCTTGGGAAATTGTGCAGAGAATACCCTTACCGGGATCGTCAGCTTCAAATCCCATCAGATCCAGTCAGCTGGATTAGCGGCTTGGATCGTCCTCAGGGTTCCTGCTCCCAGGTGCGAGTTCCAGCTCTTTGGGACAACAGGGGCCCTGGCGATCAAAAACGGGATTAGAAATGAGAGGTGATCGACAGGACGATTACGATTAATGGTTGGCTTGAACGTCTGCGGTCTGCCTGTCCGTCATACCCGCATACAGGGCATAACAGACCTGTACAGATATGGCAGTTATGCACAGCCTGTGACATAGCATATTCCAGTTTCATGAGTCAGTAATATTACCCTGTTGGAAATGATTTATGCAGAAAAGAGTATCGCTTTGCTTTTTGTGTTGTTCAGCCTTGTCGGCTGTGCGAAGATGTGCCTGCAGTAGTTTCGTCTGCCACGAGAAGGCTAGAACATTTTTAGAAAAGGCAGCCTGGTGAGCCATCACGCTGTTGGTAGAGTCGAACAGTACGAGCGTACCGAGGTTGTTATCTGCGTCAGCACAGCTACACCGACTTGGAGGTAAAATACATCAAAGCTCGAGAGGATGACATTGTGAGCTCTCAGGCAAAGGTTCAGTAAGCCGGAAAATAGAAGCGCCGATAAATAACTGCCGTTCGAAGAAACGTGATAGGGCAACTGGCGCAAAGTCTAGGACTCAGGCAACAGGGCAGTTGCTATCGCCTGACAAATTAGCATGAAAATGACTGAAAGGGTTGCAGCGTAAAGGATCAGTGCTGCGCCTTCGTACAGTAATCCACTTTCCCCCATGCGTTGTGTATTATTGTCGCATCGTTGAGACCATTTGACCCACTTTCGTTGATGCTATTCAGGTACAGTACAACTTTGTGGCTATACACTGTACTGTACTGTAGTAGGTAAGGTATCCAGTGCATTATGACGAATATAATGTAATACTCGTACAAGCCACGTAACTTTCCACAAACCCTGCTTCCACAGGGTCTTCAGGTACCGTGTACACGTACCGCAGTACGCGCTGATCTTTTTGTGGGATTCCGCTTTGCGTTATGGCCCAATTGCACAGAAGTTACCAGGCTGGCACTGAGCAACTGGACAATTGCGCAATGAGTCAATCTTGACATCCTGTTGCCCATATTGGAATCATTGCCCCGACCCTTGTTGGAGATGGAAAGCTGAGTCTTAGCAAGTCACTGCGACTGCGTCTGTGGCTGCTCTTCACACAGGATTTTGCCTATTACTCAGGCTCCGACTCAATTTGTAATATGATTTCCGAGTTTCTGCCTAGACAAACATCATTTTTTGCACACCCCCAAAAATATATTTCCGGATCTCTTTTGCAACAGATTCGACCTGTCGCAGAGAGACCGAGACATAACTGACGTCGTTGGAAGCCTAAGGTGGTAGTTGGACTCATGGCGAACCTAAACTGCTAAACTGGTGGGGTTCAACCTGGGGACAAACTATTGGGGAATTCCCGAACCCGTCTGCCCCACTATCCTCTACCTCGCTAAGTATTCGGCACAACTAATTACTCCGTATGAGGGTAGCGCAGTAAAGTAATCCACCGAGAACACCAAGACCGATATACGAGAGCAATAAGTTCAAATGGTATAGGAAACAAAGAAGACAGAAAGGAATAAAGGGAGGGGAAAATAAGGAATGAAAAAATATGGAAAGGAATTTGTCACGGTAATTGGCCACTTCTGTGACATACGAAATGGGGCAGTGCAGCAGCGCAGTAGGGCTACTGCGCAATGGGATAAGAATTAAGAGATCACTCCTGTCAAAGATGGCAGAGAACTGTCTCGTCTGTTTAAATAGTGATGTCGATTATTATCCTTTAGTGAGAGCATACTAATCCAAAGACATTAACACTGAGCTGAGCTATAGAAAGCACTGATGGCAAAATGGCCGTATCAAAGAAATAATAATGATAATAATAATAATAATAAAAGAAAAGAAAAAGAAAAACAACTAGGCATCAGGGAATCATAGATTTTGCTGTGAATAAATATCAAAGGAATTGAAAAGGTCAACAGGACACAAGGAGATATGGCTGGGAATGAAGAAATAGGAGACGCATTGGGGCAAGGAGATGGTGTCTATCGAGGAGACGGCGAGCGATTTTCAGTCGACGCATGAGCCATGCCATGCTTCTCAGTGGTGACTACATGCTCTGGCACAGTAATATTTCGATTCCGCGCCTCGTTAATCTCCCGAGCCTGTTTCAACTTGTCCTCGAGCGAGAGCGGTTGGGTTTCAACTTGATTTGCCTTGACATTTCCACGAATCAGGGCCCACAAATACGACTTATAGATGACACGGCTGCGATTCAACGTTGGCTCATGCGAGTCCTGCCCTTCGACATTGTCGCTGGCTTTGGATTTGCGAATCCAAACGTTTCCAAGCAATGAGGAACCGAGAAGACCCAAGGCCAAGATGGGAATGATGGAAACAAATGCAAACATCACTGCCACCTTGGCCTTGTCACGTACCTCGTCTTGTAGCGCAGGAGGTAGCTGGTCAATCGAGCTCAGGCTTTCAGAATTGTGGAGATTAAAAGCACCATGGCTTGTCTGGCCCGCCTGCTTGAAAATGCTTGCCATCTTATTGTTGAAGACACTGCCCATGATGGTCAGAGCGATAGTGCCGCCAAACGGTAAGAAGAACCGGTTGATGGACATGGCCGGCGCGATCCGCTCAGGCCAAATACCCGCCATGTGCAAAGAGCCGGGCATGAATCGAAGGCCAGTGCCCGCACCTGCGACGACCATCATGCCATTGACCACGCCCGAGTTTCGAGCACGTGTAGCCCAGGTGATGAGCGCAACTCCCACTGTTTCAATGATTGTTCCTGAAAACAGCGGCCAAAAAGTCTGCGAGGGCCATATGTTGCACAAGAACATTGCCGAATAAGCGCCTGCACCAATTCCTGGAATGTAATACAGCAACTGAACACCGGCCTTGGAAGACTCATAACCCTCGACAAGCGTGAAGTAGATGCCAATAAAATAAAACACAGAGTACATGGCCGCGCCGGTCGCCGCTTGTAGGAGAGCCAGCAAAAATGTATCCTTTTTCTGAAAGAGACTAAAAGGGATCATGGCAATTTGTCGAGGGAACGCCCTTGCGAGAGGCTTTCCGGGCTCGAGGAGGAACTCATAAAGGAAAAAGAGAACAAAAAGAATGGCCCCGGGGATGAGAGTGCCAAGCACTGCCCCAGAGCTCCACGCATAGGTTGATCCTCCCCAGGCCGTGGCCAGGATAAGCAGTCCAACTCCAAAGATGAAGAGAAGCGTTCCACCGTAGTCGATCCCTGCAATAGCTGAGATAAAAGACCGTTCCCCACGAGGCTGAACCTGATATGTTCCCTTGACGAGCTCTTTGCGGAGCAGGACAAAAATGATAACATGCGCAAGAACGGCGACGGGGATGCTGATGACGAAACAGTATCTCCAGTTTGCGTTGGTCAGGTAACCGCCGACCACGGGACCAATACTGTAACTGATTCCTGACACCAAGGAGAAGATGGTATTATTCTTGGCGTTGTCCTTGAGTGAAACTCGATCCGACAAGCATATTTGGACAACGTTGAGGAGACCGGCGGCGCTGACTCCCTGTAGCGCTCTTCCGAGTAACAACATGCCCCATGTCTGGGCAGCGGCAGCCAAAGTGCTGCCCACCACGGTCAAGAAAACTGCCGCTTGCAGGACTGCATGGCGGCCAAAGATATCGGCAAGCTGACCAAATGTAGGAATAAAGGCGGATGAGGTTAGAGTGTAAGCCGTCACGATCCAATTCAATTGGTTGAATTTGTTGAAATGGGATGCGATGAATGGGAGCGCAGTTGCCACTACTGTCAGGTCGAGTGAAGCCAGAAAGAATGGCAATACCAAACCAATTATAAGCTTCCATCGATAGACCCTCGAATCGTGCTTCTCCTTCTTCTTCTTGGCTTGCTCGGCAAGTAAATGTTCTTCAGTGACCTCAGGCCGTGATTCGACGGAGATATCGCCGGGGTGGTCATTTTGAGATATTTGATGAATCTCTTCTGGTGGCTTGACAGCAAGCTTTGACGTCCGCGGCTGGCGGTCAGTCTGCAGGCCATGAGTAGTCGAAGGTTCAGATGTCGGTGCACTTTGAGTTTGTCGGGCCTTGTATGCCCTATAAGCTTTCCTCGCTAGAAAATACATTGCTGATGGAAAGACTGCTTTGCAAACAAAAAATGAGAAAAGAAAAGGAAAAACAATTGGAAGAACAGAATTTGTGATGCAGTCGTGATGCTCAGTCAGAGGACCCCGGTGCTAGAGCTGGATTATCGAGCAAGATAATGTGACGACCATTTGGACAGTTGAGTTTGAGGGGCATGACAGAAATATAAGCTAACATTGTAGAGACCAAAAAAATTATACACAAAACGGCCAGCGTTCACCGCGTTCGCACACTTGTCTCCACACAAGAGATGGTGCGAAGTCCGAGCTTTTTGCTGACATGTAAAACAAGGGGAGGAAGGGGCGCAGTCATGGCGTCCAGACAGTCAAGCCAAAGTTAGTTGGGAAAACTTAAGCGGAGCGGGAAGCAAATTGATACGGTAAAATCTCTATTATTCTACTCTCACCATGTCTTAGGGTAAAGCCTTACGAAGCTTAGTTTCCATTTAACAAGCAATTTCACTAGCACATGTCCTGTGTCCGTAGTTGCATTTGGATCCTGCCTTGCAGATCTCTGTATGGCTCAAAGATTTACGCGCTCAGAACCTAAATTGTCAACTAACTAGAGATTGATTTTCGTTGGATCAAAGCGCTGAAGAAAAACGGGACTGCTATGAGCGTTGTACTGGACTCGCGGAAAGCACCAAATCTAGTTAGGCGCCTTAAATGGACTGAGTCCCCTGTTGTAGGGTCCAATCGTTAAGAAATTAACTTGGGAGCCGAAAGGGTTCAACTAACAACGATATGGTTTCATTGGCGGGCCAAACCTCCAATGAGCATGTGTGATTTGGCGAAGGACCCTCCTTTTTGGGGGGGATGATTGATCTATCGGAGCAGTTGAAGTTTGTTATAAGTTGACTTACTCCGTAGAGAAGTCGCCTGGCGCAAAGTCATGGCTTATCAGTTCACGCTATCCCTTCCTTGGGCAATTCCACGAGCTCTTTCGGCCGTTACGCCCTGTACGCAATTCTCCGTTCGCTTGTATCCGCTGTCCAGGCTGCAATCATTATTTACCCCCTGCAACCATACCAGCAGCTGAGGTATGCCTGTATGGTTCCAGGGCTAGATACAACTTTGAGGGCCCGGAAGACACATGTTGTTATTGATCGTGGTGTTTGAGTCGACGGAGGCTGTACCGTTTCGGTCCATTCCACTCACTCATTGGTCAGATGGAAGCCAAACATTAAACGTCACTGTTCACAAAGCATGATCATTCTCGACTTGAAATCGTAGTTGATCTCTAGCTGAAGAAGTGCCTTCTTGGCTCCATTGATCCCTGGAATCCAATCCACGAAATTTACGGTGACACTGCTTGGATTTTGTTTTGGGGAACCAGACAGGATGATATCACGGGATGAAGTGATTGAAAGCTTCATGTGCATTTATTTCGCAAACAGCAATTCTAAGACGACATGCCTCTCATCTAAGCCGTCATTATCCCAAAGGCAAAACACATATTGTAGAGCGATTAATTCAAGTTGCTTGGGGTCCGCTGACCAGCTGAACGGGATTGCTGTGGCAGTCGTGGATCGCCATCTTTGTTCTCTTCATCACTCTCGTCTCGAAATCCCTCCTCAAGCTCTCTACTGAGACGTCTTTGATTGTCTATACCATGACTGGCTTGAATTTCCAACTCCTCTCTTCTAATCGTATTCACATCGAATCCAACCATGCCCTCACCGAGCTCATCGTCCAAAAGTTCTTCATCATTGTACAAATGATGGTTCTGATAATTTCGCCAGACGGGAAGACTATTGGCCCATCGTGGTCGCCAGTCCAACGTATTCAGCGCGCGAAGGACACGTAATGAAGCCGAAGTGGTTCTATCTGAGATGGACTGCAGCGGCAAGTATTGCGAATATCTATGTCGGTGACGACGAATTACAGGCAACAAAAAGTAGTGCAGGATCAGGTAGAGCCCAAGCGATATTAACGCAGGCACGAGAACGGTCTGAATCTGTCAGTAATGAGGTAACCTTGTAGCCTTCATCTGAGGATGACCAGTTCGGCTGAGTCAAGCAGATGTTCATTCCAGATAATGACTGACCTTAAAGAACCCAGTAAACTTGCCCATTGATTCCGCGAAGCTTGTACCGTCATCCGTTGGTGGTGTTGGAGGAGGGTAATAAGCTGGTAGGTGGGCTGGGATGGAGCGCGAAATAATGGAGGATGACCGCACGTGGAGAGCCATGACCAGGCCCCCGGTCGACACATACATTATTCTACCGAACCAATCTCAATCACGGTCTAACCTGGGGTTTGGCGGAAAACCATTTCTTCATCATATTGGGATATTGAATTCTTTTCGCAAATTTTATCAGGAAACGCCTTTGTTTTGGAAAGACCAGAGGATCGGGTCTTTATATATATCTATATATCAAAATGGGATTGCATATGAGGAAGGGGCGACCGCATGACTGTCGACAATAAACAACTAACATGCTCACACATTCGTCACGCTCGCGTCTCAAGCAAAGCGTGCTCCCTTGATGTGACTTAGACTAAGGGAGTGTTCATTGAGCAGCATTCGCACCGTGCTTTGTACGTTCCGCAGTGATTTTGATTAAGGAGATTGATCCCAGCCCTGCATTCTTTGATACCCGATAAGAAGAAATCTTCTTTTTGAGGACCGCGCGCCACTATTCTCGTTAATTATTTGCGGTTGGTGCTCATGGTTGGAAAGGAGAGATGATCTAATCATGAACCCAGAAGGTACCAAAGATACCCCACAATTGCAGAGTGGCGAGGTCACTTGAAGCTTGTGCTCACAGGTAAAAAGTACATGGCGCCAGTCGCGTCTTGGGTACCTTGGCGCCAGTAGTATAGGAGACGGCTAGGGAGAAGGAGAGAGGGATGATGAAGGATTTGGCTCAAAGAGGAAGGACCCCTCGACAAGGAGCGACCTTCTCAGTCTCTAATTGGCTGTAGCGTTGCCTTCCATTGCCCCTTCTCCTTCCAGCCTGGGGTGCCCCAATTATTCCTCCCCAAACCGAGACCGATCGAACAGTACGCACCCTAAAGGCTGCATGTCATGGGAAACTTTATGTCTGCGACACTTGGTTGAGGAAAGACCTCACAATTTTCCGTCTCCCATCCTCCTGAGCACGTGAGGTCGATTTCTCAGTGAAGGCAGAAAGCCTGGTTGAGCTATTCGCCTTTGCTTCGAACAACTTTGGCGCATCTTAGGTAGGTAGTGAGTAGGCGTCAGGGAGGTAGGATCCCCTATAGCTACCGCTACCACTTACTTCTACTACGACCTACTACCGCATTCGTCGCCAGCCGGCCACCACTCGGAATTGTCGACCTTTCTTTATATCAACAACCCACAAGACATTGATCTTTTGTCCTACTAGGGGGTTCGCATGTTCTCATGACGCTCTTTTGCGCAACCGGACTCCGATTTCTTTGTGACGTGACAGCGTTTGGATAAACATCTCCCCCCCGTAAGATCGGGAGCCGGAGAGCGGGAAGACGGGCTGAAGGGAGAGAGAGAAAGAGAGAGTAGAGCTACAGCATGCCAGCCACGACTCCCCCGGCGGACAGCAAGTCGCGACAGGGCTCTGCCGGCAAGTCATTCTTTTCCAGGAAACTCCACAAGGACAAGTCTTCCTTTCACCGATCGCCGAGCGATGACAACCACCTTCTACCGGAGCTCCCTGGCCGCGGCAGCGCCCACGGGTCGCAATCCTCTAGATACTCTGACCGCTCTTCGATGATGTCGATTGACCGGCCTCAGTCATTCGGTGGCGATCCTTCAGGCCTAGCCATGCATACTGGTGTGATCACTTCGATTCCTTATGAAAGTGTCGCGTCCGACGCCAAGTCGCCAATACCTGTCGAATACCTGCCGCGTACTGAACATCAGATTCCTCGCAAGGAACCACAGCCGCATCATCTGAACACTCGCGGGGCTGATTTTCACCAGTACCCAGCTTTTTCGCCTTCACAGGCGGCCAACAAGCATTCGCAACCTACAGGGCCGCGGCCGCCACCTCATGCGTCCAATAGTGGCGGCACGTCATCCCCGTATTCTGCAGATAAAGCCGCCGCGCAGCAATACTCTCGATCAGGCAGCGTGGCAAGCGGCTTGAACGGATTTAGCCATGGCAATTCTTATTCATACTCTACAGCCAATTCATCTACAAATCCTCGAACGTCTTTTGACCAAGCCAGCGTGTACTCGTCTATTTCATCCGCAACAAGAGGGTCTACTCTGTTCTCGTCCAATAACTCTTCTCAAACCGCCATTGCCCAGTCGCCTGGGCATCAAACTCCTCCCCGCTCATCCCACGGCTATCCTAACCAGCAGCAGCCTGCGCTTTATGCAAACAGTCCTTCTTCTTCTTCTTCTTTCAATACAAACGCTGCCTTTTCTCCCGATGGCTTCCACCTCCATCCGCCATCAGACGTACGCGTAATAGAGGAGCAATTCTTAGCCTTAATGAATAAGAGAGGGTGGCAGAATATGCCAGAGCAGGCAAAACGGCAGATGCTTGCTTACCCGGCGGACAAGAAATGGACTTTGGTTTATCAGGATAGATTGACGGAGTGGCAGGGGGAGAAGAGAAGACGGCAAAATGCCCGACAGACATTGACTGGTCCTGACGGCCAAAATGGTCCACTGGCGCGGGCGGACGAGGAAGGTAGTCCAGAGTGGTATGTGCGAAAGGTCATGAACGACACCATTACCTCGCAAGAGCTGGCAAGCTTGAGCGTGAGTCTACGCACGCAACCAATTGGCTGGGTAAAATCCTTTGTCGAGGCCCAAGGTCAAGTAGCCTTGACCAATATCCTGTCGAAAATCAGTCGACGCCAAACGCATGGTGGTGCAGCAACAACTCGATCTGGAAATATTGAACAGGACTTGGACCGAGAATATGATATTTTAAAATGCATCAAAGCGGTAATGAACAACCAATATGGTACCGAAGACGCATTGACGCACCAGCAAATCATTGTGGCCCTAGCGACGTCTTTGACATCTGCTCGATTGACAGCCAGGAGGATTGTGAGCGAAATATTAACATTTCTGTCGCATTGCAATGGCGGCGACGGGCACGTCAAGGTCTTGCAGGCCATGGACTATGTCAAGAATATGCAGGGCGAGACTGGTCGCTTTGATGCATGGATGAGACTTGTCGAGGTCACCATTGACGGCCGTGGGAAGATGGGAAGTCTTGTTGGCGCCAGCGATGAGGTGAGGAGTGGAGGTATTGGCATGGAAAATCTCCTCATGGAGTACGCCGTGGCCACTCTTTTGCTTGTCAATATGCTTGTGGATGCTCCCGAAGGGGACAGGAACCTGCCACTGCGTTGTCATATTCGAGCGCAGTTCACATCATGCGGTATCAAACGGATTCTCACGAAAATGGAAAGCTTCCATTACGAGACCATCGATAAGCAGATTGAACGCTATCGGACGAATGAGGCCATCGATTATGAAGACCTCTTGGAACGGGAGAATAGTAGCATGAAAGACAGCATCGAGGGAGAACTCAAGGATCTCAATGACCCAGCCCAGATTGTCGATGCCATCATGTCCAAGGTCAATGGCACTCGAGCCCAGGATTACTTTGTATCTAGCATGCAGCATCTGCTACTGATTCGCGAGAATGGTGGAGAAGACCGGCTTCGCATGTTCCAATTGGTGGACGCAATGCTCAGTTATGTGGCAATGGATCGAAGGCTGCCCGACATGGATCTCAAGCAGAGTCTCAATTTTACTGTTCAGAGCCTTCTGGACAAGCTGCACACCGATTCTGAAGCCCGTCAAGCACTTGACGAGGCCGTCGAAGCTCGCCAGATTGCCGATTCTGCCATTGCTGAGCGTGACGAGATGAAAGCACAGGTAGAATTGGGGGCAGACGGAGTGGTTGGCAAGCTTCAAAAACAGATTGAAGAGCAAGCAGCGATCATCAACTTGCAACAACGTCAAAATGATGGTCTCAAGGCGGAGCTCGCTGATCTGCAGCAGATCCGTGCTCAAGAGCTTCAAAGGAATGAATTGGAAACACGAGAATTGTATTTGATGCTCAGAGACGCTCAAGATGTTGCTTCTTCTGTGGCGAGAAAAGCCGGAAAGGATGGTCTCGCTCAGAATGACCCCGTTCACATGCAAGGTATTCTTGACCGTGAACGGCTCATGGATCGTTTGGAGATGCAACTCGAACGAGCCAAGACCCAGTGTCAGTTAGAAGGTAAAATCTGGCAGCAAGTTGGACCGTCTGACAAACTCCGAGAATTGCGGGAGAAGATGGATGGGGATTTTGAGAGGCAACCTGAACTTGATCAGAGTCCCCAGCAAATGTTGGAAGGCAGCGCCCTAGGTTCGGTTCGGCGAACGCGGACCGTCAATCGAGGATCGCGGAGAGCAGCTGCGGATGCTTTTGCAGGGGAGTTGTCTTCAGTTATTGGTCGTCGTAACGCCGAAGAGGAGGACGATGAAGATGTTTATTATGAAAAGCCTCGTTTGGTGGAGCTCACTCGACCAAAGGTTCATGGAAAGCATCCTTCAACCGCTACGGCAGAGATTGCCTCTCAACTTCAACGGTTCGATGGCAGCGAAGGAGAAGAGCCTGAGGACGAGGGCGACGGTGTTACGACTGGACCTTCACATCCTAGTGCGGGATCGGAAGCTCCAAAGACTCCGGTTGATGAGATTCCAAGTGCGGATGAGAAGTTCGGTCAACCTGCTCCCCCACCACCGCCTCCACTTCCAACGTTACCAGGAAATGGTACTGCAGCGCCTCCACCTCCACCGCCGCTGCCATCGCTGCCAGGTGCAGCTTCTGCGATCCCCCCTGCTCCTCCACTTCCCGGCGCCGACGCGATCCCGCCACCGCCACCTCTTCCAGGAACTACTGCTATTCCTCCTCCTCCACCTCCACCTCCTCTCCCTGGTACTTCAGCTATCCCCCCACCACCGCCACCACCACCGTTGCCTGGTGCGCTTCCAGGCGGACCTCCGCCTCCGCCTCCGCCTCCCCTACCAGGAATGCCAATGCCCCCACCGCCGCCGCCACCACCTCCTATGCCGGGAGCGCCTCCTTTGCCTGGCGCAAGAAAAGGGGGCTTTCTCCCTCAACCTGCCTTTACTTCGACTCCCTCTGTTGGTCTTGCTGTAGCAAGGCCAAAGAAGAAGCTCAAGGCTCTGCATTGGGAAAAGGTTGATACACCACAAATTACCATGTGGGCGTCCCATGCACCCACGCACGAAGAAAAGGAGAAGAAGTACCTGGAACTCTCAAAGAGGGGTGTGCTAGATGAGGTCGAAAAACTCTTTTTGGCGAAAGAAGTGAAAAAGATTGGTGGGAAGAGCAGCAAAAAGGATGACAAGAAGCAAATCATTTCAAATGACTTGAGGAAACAATACCGTAAGACTATCTGGCCTTTTTCCCCCCTCCTTTTCTCAGATTCTTCGGGTACTGACGTTTAAAGAAATTTCCATGTCGAAATTTTCGCAATTTTCTGTCGACGAGGTTATTCGCATGATTATTCACTGCGACAAGGACGTGCTAGATAACAATGTTGTCATGGACTTTCTCCAGAAGAACGACCTCTGCAATATTCCAGACAACACTGCAAAGGCCATGGCACCGTATAGCAAAGACTGGACTGGCCCTGATGCAGCGAACACGAGTCGTGAGCAAGATCCGGCCGAGCTTACTCGGGAAGATCAAATCTACCTCCAAACAGCTTTCGAACTGCATCATTACTGGAAGTCGAGGATGCGAGCTCTTGCCTTGACGAGGTCCTTTGAGGCTGAGTACGATGAGGTTTCGGAGAAACTCCGCGAGGTTGTCCGCGTTTCAGAGTCGCTGCGAGACTCGGTTTCTTTGATGAATGTTCTGGGCTTGATTCTTGACATTGGAAACTATATGAATGATTCCAATAAGCAAGCTACTGGGTTCAAACTCAGCTCACTAGCACGTCTAGGAATGGTGAAGGACGACAAGAACGAAAGCACGTTTGCAGATCTTGTGGAAAGGATTGTGCGAACACAATATCCCGAATGGGAAGGATTCCTTGACGATATATCTGGCGTGGTCGCTGCTCAAAAGCTCAATGTAGAGCAGTTGCAAACCGATGCGAAAAAGTACATTGAGAACATCAAGAATGTGCAATCGTCGCTTGATTCGGGTAATTTGAGCGATCCAAAGAAATTTCATCCTCAGGATCGTGTGAGTCAGGTCGTTCAGCGATCTATGAAGGATGCGCGGAGAAAGGCTGAGCAAATGCAACTCTTCCTTGAGGAGATGATTCGATCATATGATGATATTATGACATTCTATGGTGAGGACAATACGGACGAAAATGCTCGAAGAGATTTCTTTGCCAAACTTGCTCTCTTTGTCGTTGAGTGGAAGGTGAGTTGATTTCTCTTTCCCTTTTGAGTTGTATCGGTTTTAACACGCCAGACAGAAATCAAGAGAAAAGAATGTTACCTTGGAGGAAACTCGACGACGTAACGAAATCTCTATGCGACGAAAGAATGCTAATGCGGCTGCCTTGCTTAATGCTTCCACCGGGACTGAGACAGCCACCACAGCCCACAATACTGGTGCCATGGATACCTTACTTGAGAAGCTCCGTGCAGCAGCACCTCAAGCACGTGATCAGAGAGATCGCCGTCGGCGTGCACGACTCAAGGATCGTCATCAAGTCCGCATCGCCTCTGGTCAAACGCTTCCTGAACTTCCTGAGATTAAAAACAGCAGTTATGAGTCTGAGGGGAATCAGCAGCAACAGCAACAGCAGAATCAGCAGCAGGACGAGGATGGGGAGCCAAATGGGGAATTGCATGTCCCTGAACCGGGTCATACCACACTGGACGGAATCTCCGAGGGCGAAGATATCGCCGATCGCGCGGCCAATCTTCTTCAAGGTCTCCGTGGAGACGGCGAGGGCGAGAATGAGTCCATGGGCCGAGACAGTAGTTTGAGAGTCCGACGCCGTCGGGATGCCGAGGATGAGCGACGCCAAAGACGAAAACGGAGAGCTGCTGGTGCGCACATGTCTACAGCGAGTACTGCAACCACCATCTCTACTCTTGGCGAAGAGCAGCTGCCCAATCCGGACGATTCCATGTCCGTCGAAGGCAGCAGCCTCATTGAAGGAACCAGTGTCGTCGAAGATGCTGCCGACTCACAAAGGGAAGCGCCTGAAGATGAAGCTGAAGGTTCCGATGACAAGGCTGCACCTCTGCCACCAGCTTCTCCCACTACTCCCAAGACTCCCACCACCATAGTGTCACCGCCATCTCCTGAGCAACCCACGTCACGGGAAAATCAATAGTCTAGTTAGCTTGGTCGTACACTGGCCAGGTGCAGGTGTTTTCGTTGCAAACTTTTTTGTTCACTGCATTGTTCTCGTTAAATATTTACCATAGATTATTCTTGGCTGCCGATTGGACGCTTTTTCCACTACCCTCTCCCCCTTTTATCTTTTAGGTCTCCACGGACATGAGTCTTTGTATTTTCATGTCTCAATGCTCGTTTCATTTTGTCGATTAGTCCGAGTTGGTCGTTTATCTTAGGTTATATTGCATAGCGTGCGTCTGGTTGGGCTGCATTCTATTTTCGTTTCGTTTCGTTTTCTTCTTTTCTATTTCCATCTTCTTTCATTCCAAATCCCTTTTTATCCTCCACCTTATCGTTTAATTCGTTCCCTATGAGCCGTGAGCAGTGGCTAAGCATAGCACTTTATTCTATTACCTCTCGCTTTTTTTCCCCCTTCATTTCCCTTGTTCTTTTCTTTCTCTTTTCTTTTTTCTTTTTTAAGCCCCTTTTATTCTTTTTTTTTACTACTCGCGTCGAACTTCCATAAATACATACCTACATACATACACATTCTACATACCTTACATATATTAGTCTACAAGGATTTCTATCCTTTTCTTTCATCCTAATTTCCTCCTTTGGTTTTCTTTTCTTTATTCTCATTAATTTCTTTCTATTTTTCCTTTTTTTTTTATTTTTTTTTTCTTTTCTAATTTCGTTTTCGTTTTCATTTGTTTGCTGTTATCGTTGAATCCCTCTCTGTATGTGCCTGTCTGTGTCTGTGTCTGTGCCTGTGTCTGTGCAGCGATATACCATATTCGTAGCAGTTGTACTTGTTGTATGCAAGCCTTGGTCTTTTATCCTTACAAGTCCTTTCTTTTATTTTATTTTTTTTTCCCTTTAGAAAACTTTCAAGTCATCAGTTAAGGAATATGAAATATGGAATGTGGAAATAGAATGATTTAATTACTCATTTGATATCGATAATCCGGCAGTAAATAAATGATGAGTGACAAGTCGTGAATTGATAAGTTGCGAATTGTGAAATGCAGATTGTAAATCGCAAAAGGCGAAGCCCAGAATGAATTGAATTGAATTGAATTGAATTGTTGAAATGCTTTTTTTATTCTTTCTCTGAAGAGAAGAGAAGAGTAATTTAATATTGACGCACGCTTGACCGGAAGCCGAAATAACCTAGACAGCCAAGAGAGAGGAAAGAAACTATAAGAGTACTGCGTAACGATAGCAATGGCAGCAATGGCAGCAATGGCACAAACTTACAGTCCAATGGTAAAGATTAGCCACAGCAAAGAGGCAGAGAATGAAGACTTACGATAGAAAAGGAGAAGAAAATAAAAGGTAAACTACGATACGAAAGGAAAAGAGAAAAGAAGACCGAAAGCTACGATAGAAAAGAAAAGGGAAAAAAGACTAGAGACCAAAAGGAAAGGTTTCCTCATGAGAGAGTGGCTCAACCGGCTGGACGGTCTCAAAGGGCTCGACGGCACGAGTGGTATCGAACCAGACATAGGCATCGAGCTGCAAGGGCAAGATGGCCTTGGAGTAGTGGCTCCAGCGCTCGGTATCTGGGCGGTAGATGACGCCAATGAAGCGTTCGAGCTGGGGCTGCATGAGGGCCTGATGGAGTTTGGGATCGAGCCTGTCGCGCCGCAGGTCGAGCAGGCATCGTGGGACATTAGCGTCGTGCATGATGCGCTCATAGCTGCCGTCCATGGAGGGCCGGACGCGCATGACTTGCATGGGTTCGTCCCATTCGTGCGACGCGGCGACGGTCCCCGTATGCGTGCCGCAGCCGATGATCTGGACGCGGTCCGGCCCAAACTGCTCGCGGCAGAGCTGGCCAATGTTCAGTTCGCCGCGGGACATGCCCATGCCCGTGTGCCGCGCATCGCCGACGTGCGAGGTGTGTGCCCAGACGACGGCCTTGGATCCCTTACGGTGGTGAAGGAGCCGCGCGAGGGTCTCGAACATGTGCGTGTCTCGTAGGTTCCAGGACTCGTCGGAGCCATAGTACATGCTGCGGTAGTATTCCTCGGCGTCGGTCACGAGGCGCGCGTTCATTTCGGCGTCGAGAAAGTCTTCCCCGTCCGTCTGCGCGTACTCGAGCCGCCGCTTCAGCAGGTCGCGCAGCATCTTGAGCACGGATTGCTCGCATGGTGCGAACCCTTTGCTGAGTGCGACGCGGCCGTATTTGGCAGGGTCCTCGACCCAGGGCGCCAAACAGCCGTAGCGGCGGCGAGCGACGTTGGCGGTTTCCGGGTCGACGTGCTCCAGGTAGTCAACCACGGCGCGGATGGATTCGCCCATGCTGTACAGATCGAGCCCGTAGATGCCGGCGCGTCGCTCGACGGGGAGTTTGGCGTTGCGGCCGCGCAGCCATTCGAGGAATTCGTGCACTTCTTGGTTGCGCCACATCCAGGTCGGGAATCGTTTGAATATGGGCTGTAGTTCTTTGGATTTTGTGGATGGTGAGAGTCGAACGTACCGGTCCAAGGACTTTGCGTCGGGCCAGTCCGCTTCAATGGCAATCGTGTCGAAGCCATGGTGCTCGATGAGTCGCTTTGTGATGGCTGCTCGGGCACGATAGAATTCTGAGGTGCCGTGGCTGCCATCTCCGATCAAGACGACTCGCGCGTTGGCAAAGCTGTCGAATTGAGCTCCAAATGATGGATGCTCAATCTCTGGCAGCACCTTGACTGCAGAACGGACAAGTTCTGGGACGGATTTCATCGTGATATAGCTCCGTAGAGACTGAAAGAGTAAAAAGAGTTTAGACGTCGGTCCCTAGATTAGCAATGTCAACGATTAATAGACCCAGTGATGATGATAGTGATTAGTCCTAGATGATTATCCTCGCTCATCTGTTTATATTTAGACCTGTCAAATTGGGTTGTTTTGATCCTTTGCTGATAACACTTAAATGATGGTGGTTGTTTCCCAATATGGATTTCTGACGGGTGGCGACGTAAGGACGACGTCAAGCCATTTGGCCATTTGTCAATTTGGGACAACAGCTCAAAGTACTGAATTCTGCCAAATGTTTTAGAGAAGGTACTTTATTTCAACTGTATCTGTTAATGTCTGCTTGCGGAGTATTTTGTATAATCCTGATGAAGATGTTTCGTTTGCATGAAAGCTCTTGTAACAAGTAAGAACAAGCATTTACTCGCCTCGGTCACTTCCAACAATGATGCAGGAAGGTACAAGTAAACTTCTAGACGAATCGCACGAGGCATCCTAAGAGACAGTCCTCGGTCCAATTGTCTGGCGACACTTTGTCAGCAACAATCGCAGAGATCTGTACGGAGTACAGGGATCACATGGAGTATGCTGATACATCACATGCTACCAAGTGCAGCTTTGTCCCTTGGCAATGATGACTATATTTGTATCAAAAGCCATGGATATATTCTGTCAATGACAGGCACGTTTCACGAAATTCAGTCATGCATCCTTGGTACTCGAGACATGTTCTAAAAGTTTCATAGTGTATACTGTATAACTTTATCAACAATGTACAAAGAACGAAAAGGAAAGTATTTCGTACTCTATGGATATCAGTTTGTCAAGATGCCTTTCGACAGACGGGGAAAGAGAGAGACAGAGAGAGAGTTCATTGTAATGAATCCGTACGCCTTTAATAATGAACCGCTTAACGGCAAAATGGAACCGACTGAAAAAAAAAAAAAAAATCCAAATCTGCCACTGTCAAACGATTTACCCAGTTTGCACGGCGTTTTCTTTGCCCCAAGTCTCTTTTTCTTCTTTGAGAATACGTTGAACCCATCTCGTCGTAATGATTGACCATATGGCGGCAAAGGTAAAAGGGACTCCCCATCCGAGTCCATATCCGACCGGTCTCGGAACAGTCCATATGATTGCGGTGAGCGCCGCGGCAATGATCAACGACGGGATAGACCAGAAGAATCCAAGATTGACCAGCATTCTTCGGAAAATAGGCGATGCATCGAATCGCAGACGCAGAGCTTCACGATATGGATGACCGCCAGCGCCGTCCGTGCCAACGACGTCTTCTATCAAGGTATAGACAGGAGGGGGAATCCGTTGACCGCGAGGAACCGAGGAGATGCGAAAAGGAGCCTTGACATGTCCGAGATGAAGTAGATTGAACAAGGTCATCTGAATGCCGTGATAATAGAGGAAGACGGAGGCCGGCATGGCCACAAGACGAATGATGGGGTTGTGTGGAGCGGTGCCGGCAATCAAGGCTGCGATGACGAAGAAGAAGCCCAGGGTGAAGTTATACATGAAAAAGTCGAGCGACCACCTGTTGGCTCCGAGTGGGCGCGAGAACGGGTCCTTTCTGACCAATTTATATGCACGGATAATCAACGTTGGCGCGACGTCCAAGACGCCTACCAGGCAGGTTGTGAGGGTGAAGATGATCCTGGCATCGTAGGTTAGCCAAATGTGTCGTGGAAATATTTTGAATAGTCATGATTTACCATTCTTCCAAGTCGGTATCAAAGTAAAGCGCGTAAAAGAGGACGAGCGGTACTAGACAGGAGCTGAGCAATGCGACACTCCAGAACATGAAGATGTTCCTTTTTCGAGTGCGCAGCGAATAGGGCAATTCAGGCAGTCCCACATCCTGTGTGCCCGCCGAGGATACTGACAGAGGGTGCTCCATCAGAAATCGGGATTTATTTTTTTCAAATATTACTTTTGCATCAATAGGGCCATTATGAGGCTCTCTGCTTGGGGGAAAAGGAAAACTGTTGATGGGGTGGGAAAAATTGGGCAGATGCGAAAGTTGAGCGTGAAAATACAGATGTTGATCAGCGTCAGGAGTGGATAAAGCCAGTCGCAACAAAATTGGGTGACAAGAATGACGTCGGTCGCTACGTAAATTAGGTCTCATGTAGGGCGAATTGGCAACCGGTTGGCCCTGTTGGTGGTGTCGGTGTCGGTGGGCTTCGACGGCACCACTGGTTCCGTCGGGGGATTCTCAAATCAAGCTCCGACGTTGAATCTGCACCGCTTACCTGCGTGCGCAGACAGACAATAATCCCATGCAAGTGTGGTCAACTATCGTAGCTCTCCCGTAGTTCCCCTTTCAATGAACGGTAAGCTACCTCTGTCACAAGGATGACTGGAGTGTCAGCATCATCATATCATGTTTTGTTTGTGGTGCCCTGGCCCCCATTCCTCAACGTTCCTCCTCGCTCCTTGTCTGTCAGGCCAACCCCCAAAAGTCTCTCATGACTGTAGTCCTGTAAGTGACGGGTACATGGTCTGCGGATATAAATTAGCTCTACCAGTCTAGTACTCACTACTCAGCCGCCGAGCCTCCACTAGCCGATTCAGCCGCGAAGCCAAGCGAAGCCAACCCCGCATTTCCAACGTGTCCTGTCTCGGCTTTCGTCACTAAGACTGTACTTTCGATGAAATGAACACGGTCATATAACTTTAGGGAGGTAGGCATTCGTATTCGAAGAGAATCAATTAACTTGGCATATCAATGGTATAAATGCATGTAGTCACGTGATGGTGTCCAATTGGTCTGACCTCTGGAATGCAACAACCATACAAAGTAGATATCCCTTATAAGGTTCGCAATCACCGTAACCATGCCCCCTCCCTCGGAGAATATTTCTCTTTGTGATTTCAACTCCTCCGCTTTACGGGTTGATATGCCATAAACAGTGTGCCAAAAGAGACGGAGATTTCTCGGCTCTCAATGTCGCGCCATCCTGCATCTTCCCCCCGGACTCCTTGTCAGTTTTAGGTTAATCTTCGCGTCCAAAAGCGAAACTCTGGTACCAGGTAAGATTTGCTCTTTGCAACTGCCGGCACGCGTTTCCAGCCTCCTCCCAATCATGCAGTTACCGTACACCGTCAAAATCACTAGCAAACAAACGTCGTGTATTGTCAGCGCCAAAGAGAGAAGCGGGGGGAATGCATCTCTTTTACCCCGCATCATGAAGGCTGGACATTGGATCTTATGGGAGAGCTCTGCGTAACATAAATAAAAGGTCGAGCTGCTCAAAATGTGTAGTTTCTCCCAAAGCTCATCTATCGTGTGCAGGGATTAAGCATCTCTATTGCTTAGTAAAATCAGAACATATCCTTTTGTTGTTGTTGCGATATCTGTACCCAAACGGTAACGTCTCCGAGATTTAGCTGTCGGTTGACCCCTCCGAACAAACATTACGTAGACGCAGGAGCTCCCTTTTGTCAGGTTGGTCTTAAATCTCACGGCTCGCACTCTTTTTTGTCTTTTCAATTGACCTTATCCATTGCAGTAAGAAGAAGAGGAATTCTCCATATTTTTCTCCAAATATACCTCCAGCATGGTATTTATTCGTTCATTGTCGCGTCCTGCCTCTTCTCTCTTGGCCGCAAAGGCAGCTCTTCCCCGCGCTGCTTGGCGAGGGTCTCAGCTGCTCCGACAGCCCGCCGCGGTCAGAATGCTGACTGCCACATCCCAACGACAGGGCAAAGTCCTTCTTGTACTTTACCAAGTAAGTAGTGAATCAAACCCAGGTTTTTCTCTCAATTGAAACAACAAAGGTAGCAATGTATTAATATCGTCCTTGAAATTCACAGGGCGGTGAGCATGCCAAACAGGTCCCGGGATTGCTAGGAACGGTCGAAAACGAGCTCGGATTGCGCAAATGGCTCGAAGACCAAGGCCACACTCTTGTGACTACACATGACAAGGAGGGCGAGAATTCGACTTTTGATCGCGAACTCGTTGATGCCGAAGTTATCATTACCACTCCGTATGACCAGCCCCGCGCCCTCTGCTTTTGTCCTCGTGCAACTGCCATAGCTTCCATTCGACCAGCAAAATTATTAACATTCCCCATAGATTCCACCCCGGTTATCTCACCAAAGACCGCCTTGCAAAGGCAAAGAACCTGAAAATCGCCGTGACAGCCGGCATTGGATCCGACCATGTTGATCTGGACGCTGCGAACGAGACCAATGGCGGCATTACCGTTGCTGAAGTTACCGGTTCCAACGTGGTCTCGGTCGCCGAGCACGTCGTCATGACCATTCTCACCTTGGTTCGCAACTTTGTCCCCGCACACGAGCAGATTGAGCGAGGCGATTGGAACGTCGCGGCAGTTGCCAAGGACGAATATGATTTGGAAAACAAGGTCGTTGGAACCGTGGCCGTTGGCCGTATCGGCGAACGCGTCCTCCGACGTCTCAAGCCATTCGACTGCAAGGAATTGCTCTACTTTGACTATCAGCCACTGAAGCCAGAAGTCGAAAAGGAGATTGGCTGCCGACGTGTCGACAGTCTCGAAGAGATGCTTGCCCAATGCGACGTCGTCACGATCAACTGCCCTCTTCACGAAAAGACCCGGGGCTTGTTCAACAAGGAACTCATCTCCAAGATGAAGAAGGGTATGCACTTTCTGTCCTTTACTCTTAACTCTTTTTCAACCATCCACCTTCTCCCGCCCCAAAACCGCCCACCGCATTTTTTTAATAAAAAAAAAAAGAAAAGAAAAATAGCATTGCTAATCACTTCTGCAGGCTCTTGGCTCATAAACACCGCCCGTGGAGCCATTGTCGTCAAAGAAGACGTCGCTGAGGCGCTCAAGTCCGGCCACCTCCGCGGCTACGGTGGAGACGTCTGGTTCCCCCAGCCCGCTCCAGAAGACCACCCGCTCCGTTACGCCAAGAACCCCTTTGGCGGCGGCAACGCCATGGTGCCGCACATGTCCGGCACATCGATTGACGCGCAGAAGCGCTACGCCGCGGGCGTCAAGTCCATTCTGGAATCCTACTATTCCGGCAAGGAAGACTATCGTCCCGAGGATCTGATCGTCCACAAGGGCGACTACGCGACCAAGGCCTATGGCCAGCGCACCAAGAAGCAGTAAAAGTACCTGTAATCGGATAATTTAAATATTTTGATACTTGCACCTTGCCATAGCTGTTGCCTGCTTTTCCCTTTTATATTTATACTTCTTTTTCATTTTCATTTTTGATTTTGATCTTGTTGACAATGGCCTCGGAGCGAAGGAACAAAAAAATGCGACTCTATTGACTATATAAACTCCCAAATGAACAAGTCCAAACAATAAAAGTGCTTAATGACTCTTTTCCGCAAATGAACAACTCTATTGCTTGCCACATGTACATTATACGAATAATGTTAAAATGAAAATGCCCACTGCAAAAGTCGAAATAAAAAAGAAGAGGAGATCCAATAATCTAGGGAGGAACCCGCTATCCGCTATAATCTATATTACTATCTTACATAAGTCTATACATGGTGAAAATGCAACTTTTTGCTCCCATGAAACGATACACAATGAAAAAGAGAAGAGAATAAAACAGTAATATACAAAACACCTCTAATCTGCCGTCCTCTCCTCTAACGAGGAGAACAAACAGGGGTTAGAACAAAAAGTTGACAGTCTTGACAGCGCCATCTTTGACAACAACGACGATATCACGCAATGCGTTATCGCCTCTACGCTCGACAAGCCAGCGCTTGCCGTCCTGTGTGCCGATGACATGTCCGAGGACGAACTGCTGAAGGGGTGACGCATTGGGAAAGACAACATCCTGTACGATCGCTTGCGACGTTGACGGTGGGGATGCGACGGCGTCAGTACCGTCCCCATCACCGACAGAGGACGAGGAAAGAGCAGAGTCGTCACCGATAAATGGCAAGGGAAGGGTGAATCGGAACCGGCCGTTGACTTGGACAGCGCAAGGACGGGGTCTGCGGCCGAGAATCTGGACAGAGTCATCTGGGGTGGGGAAGCGGGCTGAGAAGATGCTGGCAGTGGATGATGTAGGCGATGACTCGGTGGATGATGGAGGAGATGGGAGAGTAGATGTAGCGGTAGAAGTGCTCGGAGTCGAGTGCAAAATCTGCCAGCACTCCTCGGCAAACGCAGGCGTAATGGGCGCCATCATGCGCAACAAGGCGCTGAGAGAGTGGTAATGAATCTCCGGACGAATGGCGCCCGGCTTGGTCGAGGACAAGACGTTGGTGAGCTTCATCAAGTCCGAGACGACCGTGTTCAAGGCATATGTGGTCTCAAGGGACTGGGTGACTTGGGAGATTGTCTTTTGGACTTCGAGCCACAGCGAGGACTCGGCGTCGTTGAAGGTGGAAAGGTCCGGAAGGGGGGCAGAGGAGGCAGGTAGATCCGCCGCTTGGGTTTCAGTTTCGGTACGATGCGCCTGCTTCTTTTTCCCAACGTGGGGCGTAGGCTCCGTGACTATGCGCCATACGCGTGCGAGCCAGCGGTGGATACCGACGATGCGGTCTTCATCCCATTCGAGGACATCGCTGACGGGAGCCTGGAAGAGCATGTGTGCGCGTGTAGCGTCGGCGCCGTACTTGGCGATACAGTCTCCCGGATCCACGCCGTTGTATTTGCTCTTGGACATTTTTTCGAAACTGACTTTTGCCGTTTCACCGCTGAGTTTGACTTTGGGCTTGTTGGGATCTGTCAGGTCGACTTCCTCGGGCTTCAGGAAACGGCCGGTAATAGGATCGGAGTATGTCTTTCCGTGAACCATGCCCTGTGTGATCAATTGCTTGAATGGTTCCGCTTTGAATTCGGGGTTGCCTCCGGACGGCCAAAGAGACGTGGTCGCAAGGAATTTGGAGATGAAGCGGGCGTAGAGGAGGTGCAGGATGGCGTGCTCAACGCCACCAATGTAGATGTCTACAGGAAGACTGTTGTCGGCAGACGAGGACGAGAATGGTGCGTCAGGGTTCTTCGCATCGGGGAAACGCATATAGTACCAGGAGGAATCGACAAAAGTGTCCATTGTGTCGGTATCGCGTTTTGCGTCGCCGCCGCACTTGGGGCATGTCGTGTTAACCCACTCTGGAACATCCTCGAGAGGATTTCCTCCTTTGCCTCTCAACGAGCTTCCGTGAATTTTGGGTAATTCAACAGGAAGCTCTTCTGCTGGCACAGGCACAGCACCGCAACTCTGGCAATGCACCATAGGAATTGGCGTTCCCCAGTACCGTTGCCTGCTGATCAGCCAGTCACGAAGTCTCCAGGATTCAGCATGTTCGGCAGCATTTCCATTTTCTACCTGTCCCAGCCAAGAGACGATTTCTCTCGCAGCGGCGGCGGATTCCATCCCTACAAACCGCCCGCAGCTTGCATTTAGTATACCCCTATGGACAAAGGGTTGATCGTGCGCTCCAGGAACAAGAGTGACGTCCTGGATAAGACCCGCAGAGTCAGAAGGAGATACTACGAGGGCAATTGGTTCGGCTCCTTGGTTTTCCCTCCAAAAGGCGTGGTCTCGGGAGTCGTGCCCAGGCACGCCCATAACAGCCCCCTCACCGTAGTCGCCAAGTACATAAGGTGCTACGTATATGGGCAACGGCTTGATTGTTCCTCGTAAACCGAGGCGAGACAGGGGGGTTACACCGTGAACACCAGGGAGTAGATAGCCAGCCTTCGAATCCGGTGGGAGACTATCCGCCACGTCGAGAAAAGCCTGAAGCACTGGAAGAGACTTTGCCATCTCGGTGACAATCGGATGGGTGGTTGAAAGAGCAAGGTACTGAACACCAAAGAGTGTGTCGGGTCTGGTCGTGAATGCCTCTATGACCGAGTCGGCTGTCGTCCCATTGTTGCTGTCAAAGCGTACTTGAAACCGGATTTTCGCGCCTTCAGATTTCCCAAGCCAGTTCTTCTGCATCGACAGAACATGTTCCGGCCAACGACTGTCTTTCGAGAGAACGTCCATATCTAGAAGAGATTCCTTGAAGGCTGTGATACGCAAAAACCACTGTTTCAGTCGAAGCTTCTCGACTTTGGCTCCCGATCTCCACGAGTAGCCATTTGCGTCCACCTATAGCAACCCTATTAGCATATTTCTATGGTGTGTAGAGGACAAGACATACCTGCTCATTCGCCAAAACAGTCCGGTCAACGGGATCATAGTTGACAATTGCTTGAGCCTGGTAAGCTAGGCCATGCTCATGGAGGAGCTGGAATATTCTTTGGGTATGCTTGTAAAATGACGGGTCACACGTCATAAATTCCTGTAGGGAAAAACGAGAATGGCATCAGTTAAACATGGCAATTGGCTTCGTGCTTCTCAGCTCCCTCATTACATACTCTGTCCCAGTCCCATTGCCCATTCATAACCTTCAACTGATTCTTCATCTTCTCAATGTTTTGGATTGTCCATTCCGCGGGATTAATGCCTCGTTCTATAGCCGCATTCTCAGCAGGCAAACCAAAAGCATCCCAGCCCATTGGGTGTATCACATTGTAGCCCCGCATGCGTTTGAACCTCGCCAGCACGTCGGATATCGTGTATACTCGTAAATGGCCAAGGTGGAGAACACCGGACGGGTACGGAAACATTGGAAGGACGTAATACGCCTTATCTGATCGCTGCTGATCATGGTGTTTGAGTTCCGCGCCTCGAGACGTCCATATTTCGTTCCATTTCGCATCGATTGCTTGTAGATCAAGCTTTGGTGTAGAGCTAGTTGACGCTGCACGTCGGGGAGCGGCGATGCGGGCGCTATTCGGCGCAGCAGCAAGCCATGTCCTGGCTGCAAATCCAAGTCTTGCAGACCTCATTAGGACACAGATGCATTGCTTCTCAATGAGTTTTCAAAATCATGTCTTCAATTCATCCTCAAAAACAGATTGAAAGCCTAAAATGGTTCCGTTCCGCAAATAGGAAGAACATAAAGAAATCCCCGAAATCAAAAGCGGAAACATCGAAACGATCGTCGGCGCTAAACCCGAGATAGTTTGCAGCACAACAGCACTCCAAGACAGCAGCGCAACACCCGCCAGCGTCAACAAGCATTCCTTTTGATTCAACTGTCTAAGACTCAATTTCATACAAGCTGGATCGTATGACATTCTTTCCTGCAAGCAATCAAATGATGCAATAAGCATGATGGCTTGGGGTTATTGGATTTCTCTTTGAGATCAAGCCGAACAATTTCCGCAACAATCATGGCGGGATATACTAATCTCAAGCCGCCAGCCTCCCAGCTGCCGCGGGACTCTCTCGAACTTGCCTCCTTGGCGTCCTCTTCTCCCGAATCTCACCGTTCATCAATTTCTTCATCGTCTTCCGGAGTGCCGTCCTCTCGTCGAATTTCTTTGGAAAATGACGATTTTCTCTCTCCAGCAAATGCCGCTGCCGAAAGCGGCCGGCCAGGTCATCGTGGTCGCTCTTACTCTGTTTCTTCAGCTTTTGAATTCGCCTCGAACCTCTTTCCATTGTCCTTGACTGCAGGCGGATATGCGCCATTGACGGCTCCGAGCTCCATGTCACTGGATTCGCGGAACGCTTTACAATCTGGATCACTTGAGAAGCACAAAACTCTGACGTATCTCAACGGGCTCTCTCTCGTCGTCGGCTTAATTATTGGCTCAGGAATATTCTCGTCGCCCAGCCAAGTGAACTCTCACGCCGGCTCGCCAGGTGCATCATTGATTGTCTGGGCGGTCGCCGGAATACTAGCATGGACCGGCGCCGCAAGCTATGCGGAGCTTGGAGGAGCCATACCCCTGAACGGAGGTGCGCAAGCCTACCTTTCCAAAATCTTCGGCGAGCTGGCAGGATTCCTTTATACCTGGTGCGCAGTGTGCGTCCTCAAGCCGGGATCAGCTGCAATCATCTGTATCATCTTCGGCGAGTACGTGGTGCGTGCGATAGTTGGGGCAGAAATTGAGACTATTAGCGTCTGGATAAGCAAAGGGGTAGCAGTCGCGGCCCTGCTTTTAATCACGTCATTGAACTGCATATCAACCAAGATTGGTACCCGCATGGGAGATTTATTGATGCTATTCAAGTTCATTGCGCTCCTTGGAGTTACAATTACCGGTGTGGTTGTGGCCATTACAGGTTTCTCTTGGCGAGGCAATTCAAATGAAGACTGGAAACATGGCAGTTGGTTTCAGGGCACAAGTAAAGATGTGTCTAATTGGGCTGTTGCGCTTTATGCTGGATTGTGGGCATTTGACGGTTGGGACAATGTAGGTTTCTTCTGCCGGATCCACCTCGTATATCGTACGCCGGGCTGACTTTGCAATAGGTAAATTTTGTCACTGGCGAGTTTATCAATCCATCTCGAGATCTGCCTCGAGTCATCCACACATCTATGCCACTTGTTATAGTGTCATATCTACTTGCAAATGTGGCATACTTCTTTGTGCTTCCTTCAAAGGTTATCGAAAATAGCAACACGGTTGCGGTGCAATTTGGTGCTCAGGTTTTCGGACCAGTTGGAGCTATTGTGCTGGCTCTCGTTGTGAGCGCTAGCTGCATTGGAGCTTTGAATGCAACCACCTTTACCAGTGGACGGCTCGTCTATGCCGCAGGCAAAGAAGGCTATTTGCCTTCTGTCTTCGGTAGGATTGGTATCCGCCGACGATCAGACAGCACTACCTCTATGCGATCACGGTCTTGGCTTACGCGCTATCTCAAGCGCATCTTTGGAGACGCTGGTGGCATTGGGTATACACCGATCTTCGCCATGGCATTGAACACTGTTTTGACGGCATGCTACATTTTCCTCGGCGAATTTCGCACACTTTTGACATTCTACGGTGTGGCCGGGTACTCATTCTACTTTTTAACCGTTCTAGGGTTGATTGTCCTCCGGATCAAGGAACCGTACCTGGAACGGCCATACAAAACATGGATCACCACTCCTATCATTTTCTGTTGCGTCAGCTTGTTCCTTTTGAGTCGAGCAGTTTTCGCGGAGCCGATCCAAACGCTTATTGTTGTCATTTTCGTGGCACTCGGCGTACCCGTCTTTTATTGGCGCATAGCTAAAAGAGATGGAGGCCTTGGAGCCGATGGTGGAGCGCGAACATGGAAGTTTTGGAGATGGAAAAAGACATGAGCGATTATATAAAAAGCGACAATGTTTCATTCTTGAACCTTTCGTGGTAACGTGCATGATACCCAGATAGTTAGATGGTAGATTTGTAAAATACCGAATATATCATCAGGAATTATGATGTTTCATTTCTTCGTTGTAATCCGGAGTCGAAGGGTTCTATATCAAGTCGAATAATTATAATAAGAGCACAACTGTCCTATCTCCTGCAATAAACGGCCCGACCATTGCCTTGCCCTCTCAGCACAATCTGTGTCCCGGCCACATTCAGCATTGGCGTACTCTGATCTATAATGTCGAGATCTAGATCAGGAAAATCTTTCCAGATTTCCACTCGAGTCCAGGCTGGACTCTCACAGGCAACCCTTGCTGCTCGAGAAGCTTGATCCAAGTCCCCTACCTCGAACAGTACGCCACGCGCATGGACTTTGTCTGCAATCTCATAGAGTCGAGGGTAGAAGAGATCCCCTACTAGATCATCTTCATTGCCTTGCTCTGTTGATCGTCTTATGCTGCGCTCTGGCACCAAGGCGAGCCGGGGCTCATAGTTCCTTACTGAAGCAGAAGTATCCCTATCAAATCCTTTAGGGGAAATGTACGGAGGGTTCGAGATAATAAAATCCCAGGAATTGGTTGCACTCTCCGCCTCCGCCTTCAATCTCTCATAAAAGCTTTCGGCAAATACGTCCGCTTCTATAAATCTGATCTGCTCACGCGCTACAGGGTCAAGGTAGCCTTGCCGTATATTCCATTCCAGATTGTCGTTTGACAGTCTAATTGCTTTTGCGGAAATATCGACGCCGAAAATTTTGAGCTGGAGGAATTTCTTTGACAGCATTGAATGCATTAGAAGCGGAATGCATCCAGTGCCCGTACATAAATCGAGAATCTTAATTTCCCGGTCTGCATTTTCTTTTTCTAAGACATTGTTCGCAAGGTGCATAACACATGCTTCTGTCTCATGTCTATAAACTATTCATGAGCTTGATTGATCTCCAGAATGACGAACAATGGGGTTGCACCTTGGAATTAGCACGCCCGGGCGGCACAGAATTTCAACTTCACCAAATGGTTGATTTCCCAGTATATATTGTAGCGGCTTGCCGCGCGCTCTTTCCTCGCAGTATCTTGAAAGCAAAGTCCGCCATCCGACAGCCGTTCTCTCAATCCCATCAGACCTTACAGTAGCAATAGCATGTTCCTTTAGCCAGCGTAACTCATTGCGGGCCGAAGCTATGTCTCGACATGGACGAATGAGGAGACATAGCAGAGGGTCAAGCTTTCGTGCATGTAAAAGAAGCCGCGGGGAGAGGCGTGGCATATATCCTCATGAATAAAAAGGCAAATTCGGAGAAATGGCGGTGCTATATCAATGCCATATATCGTAATTCTTTTCTCTTGAAGTTCTGTTTGGTTAATCTACGGACATAAGTTCGGTGATATTGCTCGGTGTCGGAGGCTGAAAACGCCGAACTGCCGAGAGGTGGGCAAGTAAACACCAGAAATGATAACGCACAGAAGACAGGAAATTATTTAGATACAACTGCGCCAAGGGCCAAGGCTCCAGGATGATCTCACGTTCCGCGCTGGGTAGGCATTCAAGACGGCACTGGCCTCTCCAAAATTTGGTGACGGACAACTCTTTTGGCAGTTCAATGCCTCTACCAGCAACACCACTTAACGCGCCATCCTGGGGAAAGGCGCTTGGTTATCTCCGGACGATTACGGCTTCTTTCAAAAGGTCTCATGCAGCAAGGGGCCATCCGGCGCCGACTTTTCCAGTCATTGAGAAATGCCCGTCACCGACATGTCAATGCGCACCAATGCCGTCTGGGCTTGACATTGACTATAAACGACCGCTAAGCAACACCGTAGCAGCATATCAAGAACAAGTCTTAATATCTACCGGAAGAGATGACTGGGCCAGTAGAGCAGAAGAAGAGGAGGATGCTGTTCTACTAAGAGGATTGAAAAGCTTGTTAGGGCGTGGAGGCACGTTTAGTAACGTCAGTCTTCTACCATTATCATGCTGGAATATTAGCTAACATTGGCATTGGGAATCTTTAGCCATTCCATAACATTATGCTTACCAATTCGTCTTTTGCCCCCTCGGTTTCAAACTCTGCAAGCTCTGTTTATCTGTTTCCGAGCTTTCGCTACATTCCATCCGTTTCCCTCACAGACGGCTCAATGAAAGCTTTCACACAAGCTTTTCTGCTCCCGGAGAAGCTACACCCTGCACACGAAATCATGTCATCTGAAGACCAAAGACAAAATCTCATGAGAAAACCAGCGTTACAGGATCAGTTTCCCGGCGCACGCGCCGTTGACGAACTGGTGGTCCTCATTTGCGGTCACGGTGGAAGAGACGAACGTTGTGGAATCCTTGGACCTATACTCCGCTCAGAGTTTGAGGAGAAGCTTGAAGTGGCGGGTTTTGATGTCGTTGAAGAGGCAACTGTACCCAAGGGTTTGGAAAAACCGTCGCAGTCCGGAAAGCCGAGGGCTAGAGTGGGCCTAATCAGCCATATCGGTGGACACAAGTATGCGGGAAATGTCATAATCTATATTCCACCTACTTTGCGACAGGGTCTATCAACCAGCAATCCGATGGATGGTAAGGGCATCTGGTATGGAAGGGTCGAGCCCGGGCACGTTGAAGGCATTGTCAATGAGACTGTCTTGAACGGATCAGTCATTGCAGAGCTCTTTCGAGGTGGCGTCGGCAAAGGTGGAGAGGCTCTGCGATTATGATAAACACTTCTAAGCTTTGCTTTTTGGTGCATTCAGTGTAATTTCCTGAATTCTTGTACAGTATGAGTGTAAACAGATTCTCCACTCGAGCTTCCTCGATAACCCTAGCATTAGATATCCCAAAACAGTATTTTATATATATATAAAGTTTCTCTTCTCTCTATAATTAACTCCTTATTATAAATTATATTTTTATATCCAACTATTAAAGTTGAGAATCTTTTTCTTTCCTTTTCTTCTCTTCTATTTTCACATTTCACATGCGTTTAGAAAGACATGGATTTAGATAAGATTGATCTGATGCAGATAAGATAAGATTTCGATGTTGGTGACGAATATCGCGAGTTACACTTCAAACATTTTAAACAGTTGTCAGTGACTGCATATCGCTAGGGGCGTGGCTGATGAGGAGCTTGATTCAATTTGGGCTGGTTAGGCCATCATTATATCGCAGTTGTTCTAGAGATGTGCGCATTGGACTGGCGGCGTCGCCATCTCGAGCACAATCGACCTCAACTCCTACTGGCGCACGCCGACGATGGCCTGCCTACCTCGTCACTATTGCGACTGGCTTTGGCATCGGATCTGCATACAGGGTATTCTTTGGAGTAGGATCTGATGGAGTAAATCCTGAAACGTTTACCCCTTTTTCATTGACTGGGAGAGAATCCGTTTCGCCAACGAGCAGTATCTTTACCCTGACGCCGGCTTCATCACGAACGAATGAAAACGATCATCCATACGCGCAGTTATGGAAACAAGGCGTCTGGAGCGTTGAATTCAAGCAACCACAGCTCCAGATTGCCCGTTCTTACACGCCTCTGCCGCCGTCCCTTATTCCAAGTAGTCCGTCGGGGGACGGAGACCACGAACAGACATTACGCTTCCTAATACGCAGAGAGAAAAAGGGCGAAGTCTCCAACTATTTACATCGGATCGGCCTTGGTACTTCTATTGATGTCCGAGGACCTAAACTGGAATTTACTCTTCCATCTACGACAGATGACGTGGTCTTCATTGCCGGAGGCACAGGTATTGCTCCTGCTCTGCAGGTAGCTCGGGCGCTGTTTTCAAGAAGCACTACAGAGAACGGCTCTTTGCCCCGCTTGCATATACTCTGGGCAAACAGAAGGAGAGAGGATGTTGTGGGAGGCGTCAGCGACACTAAATCTCCTCCGAAAAAGGCGTCTTGGATACCTTGGCGATCTCCTCCTAGCAAGGAGGATCCCGAAGCTTCAGCTGCGGATTCTAACAGAAGCTACCTAGTCCAGGAGCTTGAAGAACTCAAGAAGGGGCATCCAAAACAAGTCAAAGTCGATTACTTTGTTGACGAGGAAGGCACATATGTCGGTCCGGATAATGTGTCTGCTGCCCTCGCATCAAAAGAAAGCGCAGTCGATGTTGCAGCAGCCACCTCGAAGAGAAAACTGATCTTAGTATCAGGACCAGAGGGGTTTATCAATGCCTTGGCCGGACCCAAATTATGGGAAGGTGGACGAGAAGTTCAAGGACCTCTCGCCGGTCTACTGTCGAGTTTACCTATATCAGACTGGCGTGTCTGGAAACTCTAGCATCCTGCTCGTCGCCCCAGTTTCTTCGGATGATGAATCTCCGCAGTAGCCACCTCTTTTATTAGCATTATCATTTTGTCGAGGAAATGGCAAATCTCAACTATTTCCAACCTGTAAATACCCAATACTTGCAAAGCATCTATAGATTACCTGTCAGCAATATTTCATACGTACGCTTTGTATATGCATGCTTTATATAGTGTGAAGCCAAGCTATATCTGTACGGCAAATTGATTATTTGCATGCGAACGCTTGACTAGTCAAGATAAGGGCATCGAGGGTTGGACTGACTGAACGATCTGTACGCACAGTAAACGTTTCTTTGCCGCCGTAGGAGTCGAGCGAATTGTCGGCTGACAGACCCACAGAGTCACCTTTTCGTATGGTAACTCTCCCATGGATCGACTGTCAATATCTGGAGAGCCGCTTTCGATGGTTGTATTTCTGGGATTGTTGATTTCAGTTTTATATGAAGCAAAAAAAGTATTGTCTCCAACTCTCTTAAGCCATATCGTAGTAGCTAATAGAACTATTAGCAAAGGAACGTTTATTTATTTAATTATTTTTGAACTCAAGAGCGATTTAGTATTTTCGAGGAAATAGACACATAATTATGTCTCCTTTCAGCTTGTGTTAAACTTACTAAGAAGTTTTATACTAATATTAAATTTTTTAAATGCATGGGAATTTCAATTATATCAGTTATTGTCCAGGCTACCAATTTATCAGTTGCGTTCACTTTTTGAATATCTTGGCTAGTATTGTATAAAGCGTGGTGTTTTCAGATATCAATCGCTAGACATATGACGGAAAAGTACTAGATCATACTTAAGAGGGAAAGTGTAAGAAATGGGACATTGACGTGCAAAAACGTCATCCTTTAAATTATATTGAATGATATGAACATTGTCAAGATTACATTGGTTTATAATATATCAATTTCAAAAGAGAGTAACCTCTGGGGTTCCAATATAACTAACGGTGAACACTTTCCTTTCTCCAAACATTCTTATCGATAAGCATGCCTTCGGCAATTGTTACGGGAGCTACAGGTATGACATCGTTGCTCGTTTCCCCCAACACACGAAAGCTGATACGATGGTTATAAGGAATCCTGGGGCGAGAGATTGTGTTCGCCCTTGGAAAAGATCCTCAAAAATGGCAAACTGTTTATGCGCTTTCTAGAAGCCAGAAAGAAGACTACCCGTCCAACGTTCAGCATGGTCGGATTGATCTGCAAGCGGGGCCGCAGGAGCTTGCCAAGCAGCTCCAAGGCATAGAGGCGGAGTATTTGTTCTTCACTGCCTACCTCCAAAAGGATTCTGAGCAGGAGAATTGGGACACAAATGGTAGGTATTATCAGACTTGTTACATTAAGGTCAAGGATTCTTGCTGATATTGTGGCACTTCAGGGGCGATGCTCGAGAACTTCCTTGAAGCCCTGTCCATGACTGGTGCAGAGAAGAAACTGAAACGAGTTATTCTGACCACCGGGGCTAAACAATATGGCCTTCACCTGGGCCCTGCTAAAAATCCCATGGAAGAATCGGACCCAGAAGTCAAAGGATCAGGCCGACCACCGAACTTCTATTATCGACAGCAAGAAGCATTGAGGACAAAGTCGAAAGGTAAAGGGTGGGACTGGGTCGTGACGTATCCCAATGTTGTTATTGGAGTGGCAAAGGGTGCGTAAATATTCTACAGAAAAGTTTGGCTTTGTTTTGTGAAACAAAGACTCACTGGCTCACCTTCGCTGGACAGGTAATTTTATGAACTTTGCCACCGCACTTGGCATATATGCCACAGTAACCAAAGAACTCAAAGAGCCTTTTATTTTCCCCGGTAATCCGGATCTCTACACGGGATTTGACTGCTTCACCTATTCTCAACTGCATGCGCAATTCTGCCTCTGGGCAGCACTCGAACCTAAATGCGCCAATGAGAACTTTAACGTGGTGAACGGTGACGTGCAGTCATGGCAAACGCTGTGGCCAAAAGTTGCGACGAAGTTTGGCGTGCATATTCCTGCAAAACAATTCAGCTTGAAAGCAGGCGTGGAAAATGAAGTGGAGTTGATTGAGAGACCCCCTATTGCTGATCAAGCGGCCGAGATGGGCATCGTCGATCGCATCTACCGTGGAAAACTGATAATGAAGGTTGACTTGACGAAATGGGCGCAGAGACCCGAGGTGAAGAAAGCCTGGGATACGGTTGTCGCACGGCACGGACTCGACAAGGACGCTTTTGACAAGGCAACATGGCTCTTCCTCAATTTCGTCTTGGGTAAGAATTCTGATGTGGTTATCAACATGACAAAGGCGAGGAAACTTGGCTGGACTGGTTATTATGATACTTGGGATTCATTATCTGAGAGTTTGGATGATTTGGCTGATGAAAAGATCTTGCCAAAGTTTTAGCTGGTCTAATATGGACCGCTTAGACCATTAATAGTGAGGTAGTAATAATTAATTCTTTCATGAAATACTCATGCAGCATTACGGGTTCTTCATCCGAACAAGATTGTATCGGCTGGAAGATTTGGTGGAAAATGGTGCTTAAAATGGCCTGACAGATATTCAAGTCCAGTTTATGCCCTACAATGCATCTATCATTGTAGTGCATTTCCTGCTTCTTCTATTGTTATCAACTCATTACCAACTGGCATAACCAGACGATCAGTTCTCATACTACACATGCTTACTCTCCACGCCCTGCCCTCTTCACTCGTACATTGAACGGTATTCATCCACAATCACCACCTCAGGACTGGCTATACTTCTTGGGCATAATATGATATGTGGAAATCATACCAGCTCTGCTACGCTGCCCTACATCCATGTTCTGCTGTATTCCATTATTTGCGGCTTTGCACCATCACGCTGTCTTTCTGTTGCGCTGCCATGCTATTGTCAGCTTGCAAACAATGGGCCCCGAATCCCCGAATCCCGAGTCGCAAATCCCGAGCTTAACCAACAGTGACGGCAGTGTACCGCAAGGTGTACAACCATATCCAATCAATCAAATCGTCAATTATATATAGCTGTATAAGTAATCACAATATCTGCTTAATAAACAATATAACGCAATACCTTTGATCCTGTAAATCCACATATTTCGATAACGACCAGACGTAAACCGTCATTAAGTACGTGTTGATGTGAGGATGTACGGAGTACGGCGGGTATATAAACCCTATCACGCCCTACAGACATCGCTTCTTGCCATCTTATTTATATCCACCACGCAGCCACGTTGTTCATAAGGATTATATCACAAATATATACGGCTGCGATCTATCGAGAATTAGTTATTGTCTGCAGCAAGGCCAACCGTCGGCAGTCTCTTTTACACTAATTACACAACAGCATCAGGCTGGCAGGGCAGTTCCGCAAACGGATTACATCTAAAGTCACCCGCCAAGTCAAATACCTATTCATTAGCACTCTAATCGTCAATACGCGTCACTAATCATCAATTCATCTTGAAGAGTTAAAAAAGAGCTAAAAACAAAAAGTGAATAAGAGAGAACGAAAAGATGAAGAACCTCATTGTGATATCCGAACCGCCGCACTTGGAAACTAAATTGGAGGACATTGATCCGCCGTACGTATGAGTCTGTTGTCTACTATTCAGCACATCATATGTTCCCACGCATTTGATGTTCAAATTACTTTTTCCCACAGTTTTCTCTTTCCTACGTAATATGACATGGTGATTCAAGAGGACAGAAAGAGAATGAGAGAAGATAAAGAAGAAGTGGGAGATGCATACGTTACAAGCACACACGAGTTCGCAGACCCTTATCTAAGCTCGGAGAGAAAGAGGATATTCCTTCTGCTAATTCGAATCTGCTGATTCGAAAGCCCATGCAAAACCGAAAGATTATGGCTAACTAGTATAGAACATGCAATGACGACCAAGTCATTATCAAAGTGGCCGTGGCCGGAGCAAATCCTAAAGACTGGAAACATCCCGCTCCTAACTATTTTGTATAGTACCGTTTCTTTTCTTCCCCTTTTCTTTTACTTTTTATTTTTGACTTTATCTCGGCTTCGTGCTTTTGATTATCTTGGATTCTGTGTCTCCTGTGTTCCACAATCCCCATTGTGTCTCATTTTTTCCTAATATGAGTACCTGCGTGGAGTATCTTTTTGCACATAAAAGGCCTATTGACATGCAGCTGGAGAACCAAAACGTCAACTTCAGGAAGAAGAAAAAAACACATACATATGCAGTAGAGAAATCATTCTGACTAAACGGCAAAAGAACGTCCAACTCAACCAAGGCGACGACGCAGCAGGAACCATCCACGCCACCGGCAAAAACGTCAGCGGGTTCCGCATCGGCGACCGCGTCGCGGGGTTCCATCAAATGGACACCTTGGGGGAAACATATGCCGAATACACCGTCGTGAGCAAGGACACGGTCTTCCGCATCCCGGACCACGTCAGCTTTGAAGAAGCCGCGACCATTCCACTCGCAGCGTACACCGCTGCCGTCGGACTCTTTCGACTACTCAAGCTTCCGCAGCCGTGGGAGGATGTCCTAGACGAGACGGCGTCACTCCAAGGACAAGGCGGAGGAAGGGAAAAAGGACAAAAAGCCAGTTCCTCAAAAATTCCACTGATCATCAACGGCGCATCCACATCCGTCGGCTCATTCGCCATCAAGCTCGCAAAGCTCCACCCGTCCATCTCGCCCATCATCGCCGTCGCAGGGGCGTCTTCAGACTATGTCAAAACGCAGCTGCTAGGCGGCGAACGAGACGCGGTGGTGCTCGATTACCGCAGCGCGACGATCAGAGAGGACATTGTCGCCGCCGTGGCTAACGCGACGGGAGCGAGCGGCGCGACAGGCCACACAACGAATAAAGTGCGGCATGTGTTTGACGCGAGCAACTCGACTGCGAGTACAGACTATCTCTCGTCCGTCCTGGAACCGGGCGTGGGGAGATATGTGTGCACGACGGGCATCACAGAGGCGCAGAAGGCGAATTTGACTGTATGCCCCCTCCCCCCCTTAGTTCCTCCCAAAGTTTCAAGTTGTCCCTTTCCCTCCACCCACGCCGTTCCCCCTTCCCCTCAAGTTTCAAGGGGAAAAAAGAGAAAGAAAAAAAGGGGGGAGCTGGAACCACGAATCGTGATATAAGTAAGAAAGACAAGTGACAAAAGAACAACAGTAACATAAAGAAAATAGGCAAAGAAACTCGCACTGGCGAGACAAATCTGGGTAGGCTGCGTGCATGAAGACAAGGAATTCGGGGCTCGCGATTTTGGCTACGTCTGGGCAAACATGTTCGCAAAACTATTGCAGCAAAAGCGATTCTCGGGCCATCCGTACGAGGTCGTGCCGCAGGGATTACACGGCGTGGAGGGGGCATTGAAGCAGTTGATGAATCGGACGAGTGGGCGTGGTAATGCCAAGTTTGTGTTTAGGTGAGTTTTTTTTATGATTTATGTTTTTATGTTTTTATTATTTTATGATTTATGTTTTATGTTTTTCTTTTCCTTTTCTTGTCCCGTTTCATTTCATACAATTACCATGGAGGTGGGGGGCCGGGGGGAGGGAAATGAAGAAAGTAAAACGAAAAAGAAAATGAAATGGTATTAATGGGATATAAAAACCGTGTCTAGGATCGCCGATACGCCAGGACTTTGAAGAAAAAAGAGAGAAGGGGAAAAAAAAAGATAGAGGACCGGAATGAAATCGATACGGTGTGAAGGTAGGTAGTGCGAGATAATATGGTACAAGTCTATGCGAAAAAAGAAAGGGCGAGATTGATAAGTATAGGGGACGGTGCTAGCAGCTGGTGGGGTGGAGTGTATTGTGATGAAAAGTGATGGTTTACCAAGACGGAATATATACGGTACCTAAAATTCAAACGGGTACAAGGCAAATTATCATCCACAGGAATGAAATGCGAAAATTGTATCTTCATTTACGCCAAAAACCAATTGTTAGCTCTGTGGTGGGTATAGAGCCTCGTCACTCTCCACATCGATTGATTGATTGAGCCTGCTAGTCATGAGATTTTTAGAATTCCTGAAAAGGATCTGGTAGACCACTATCTCGATGAAGGTCAGGAAGCTGAAAATCTGCGTATCCCAGGCCCTCCCTTGTTCTTCGTAGGTGGCCGCGGCGGAAACTAGCTGAGACCATGTCGTCCTGTGTACCGCCGCCACGCGGAGGTTCTCCCGTTGTGCTTTCGACAAATGCTTCCATTCGCACGGTTCCTATTGCTTCGAAAAAGTTTCTCCCGGCTACATCGCCTCCCTCGGAAACCTTTTCGCCGTAAAGACTCGGCCCGCTCGTGGCAAAGGAGGGCGCTCTTTGCACTTCCGAAGAGGACGTTGTGGTCCTGATGCTTTGGGCCGAGGTGATGCTTGGATTATATGAGAAGCTGCGGAACGGTGCCGAAGGAGGAGGAGGTAAACGCGGTCCGGTGGTGCTCCGCTTCCTACCGTGCTTTGAGACCCGTGGCACTGCAGGGGGAGATGCAGCATCCAGAGAAGGCTCATTCACGGCAGTCGTCGTCTCTGCTTCTGACTCCTGGATCGGCATTGGGTGCGGGGCTCGGTTGCGTGCAGCCGCCGGGAGCGCTGGCCGGGCTTTGCTTTTTGCGATTCGGATGGAGTCGCGGATTGGATTACGACGAAGTGTGGCCGCTGGGGGCTTTTGAGGGACAGGGATTTCTTGCTTGGGAATTGGCGGCGGTGGAATACGCGCAATCTCGTTGCCAGTTTGGCTTGCATGGCTGAGAAACGACAGCGCCGTGAGCCAGACGTAATGACGTTCCTTTGACACGGCCGTAAATTTCAATGCGCGGGCAGGTGTGAGGATGAGAATCGAGCGATTGAACAAGTGATCCGTTCCAGCATCCTTGGGAGCGGGGGAGTCGTCCTTGACGTCGAGAACTGATTGAATGACCACTGCAACGATTTCGTTAAAAGCGGAAACAAAAAAAGGAAGAAGAGCAAGAGGCAGGTTAAGAGATCTTACATTTTCGACCACTCTTTCCCATCAGGGCTGCGCCAGACACTGGTTGTTTGCTGCTCCACATCACGGAGCGCTCATACGGCGCCAGCCACACCCAACGCTTATGTCTCACCCCATTGTGCGCATCACCACCTCGCCCATCAGCCCCCGCGGAAGATGTGTCTGCAACGCCAAAGGACTTTCTTCTCCGAACGTATTTCCACATCCATTCACCCACCATGGTTTGTGCAATGGCGTCAACCACGCCCGTTTGCTGGTTAGAACTTGGCACAGAGCTTTGAGCAGTGGTCAAAGTGTGATTCGATGGTTGTCGCCGATGCAAAGGCCGATGCGTGCCTTTGCTTGCTTTGCCAGGATAAGTGACCTCATCGTTTGGCAATGGTGGCAGATCAAGGCTGTCTGAAGCCGCGGAAGGAGACGAAAATGCCGGAGCAGATAAGCCGAAAGGTTGCTTTTCTTGTTCTGTCTCCTGTATAGCTGCCACCAACCTCATTTTCCTCAAATTATTTCTGGTCAATCCGGTTGTCTCCCCATCATTATTCTGCAGGGAAGCAAGAAAGTGATGGTCATGGCGTGGCGTCGGACTCGAGCGATCGCTGAGACTGGAAGTTTTTCTAGAACTCGATCTTACAGGGACCGGGATCGGAGGAGCATGTTCCTTGGCACTCTGAAGGCCAACATTATCACCGCTTCTTGTACTGCCCTCGGCTCTGGCGTCCTTTGGTGAACGCAAGAACATCCTGCTGGATGCAATCCTCGATCGCCTAGGAATCTTCGGCCGCGCCGTCAGCCCCGAGTTCTGCAGAGAATCGGTTGCCCCTGAATTGTGCGATTTTTCATCGAGGGGCCCCCGATGTACTGCCGATATATCCGCCTTGATGAAAGAGGGTAGGGTATCGGGCGACCCTTTTTCGTTGTGGCTCCCTGTTCCTTTTTTCAGCACATTCAAACTGGGACGATTAGCTCTCGAATAATGCATCGGAGGTGAGAGGGCAGTTGCGAATTCGTCGTCGCTGGACTCAATATCGGAGAAGTCAAAAACTTCATCCGAGCTCGGCGGGTCAAAACCAGCAAATAAACTGCTGGAGCGAAAAGGAAGTTTTGGACCATGCAGATTGTCATTGTCAAGTGGACCACTGTCATTGTTTCCAGGATAGATGTCATGTCTATAGCGTGGTAAGGGAGGAGGAGAGGACGTCAAGGTACTGCTGGATAAATGTTTGAGGCTCTTTTTGACGGTGTCTGCCGGTGCGTGACCAGGTACAGGGGTGAACGAGCTTCTGGAGTTCCTTTCTTCAGATCTTGGTGTCGGTGGAATAGATGAAATAGCAGAAGGCAGAAGATGGGGTGGAAGCTTTATTCGGCCGTCCAGTACTCGTATGATGTCTGTCTGGGCGTAGGACGAGGTGTAAGAAGAAGAAATTGGCGCGTTCTCAGCCTGACAACCAAAGCTCTTATACTGCGGTGGCAATATGCTCTCCTTGGGTGATGTGGGCGAAGACAGAGGGGGGTGCACAGCAATCGATGGGATGGATATAGGTGTCGGTGGCGGCTTTTGCTGATCGGTCTTTGCCAGAGTTTCCGTTTCCTCGGTCTGAATAGCGACAGACTCCACTTGGGATTTGGCATCTTCTATTCGTTCAAGCAGCAGTTCTTCCCATTGGATCGTTTGCGTTTGAGAGGATGTCATTGCCACTTGAGACGACTCTGTAGTTTGTGACGCAACAGATGCCATGGATGCAGGCGCGTATTTTGCAGAGTCATTTGCGGTTTCTTGCCCAGAGATGCCGTCTAAATGGTTATGTATTGGCCCATCTCCATCGGAAACTTGAACTCCAAATGATTCAGATGCGGGAAGAGGGGGAGAAGGCGGCGGTGAAACCTGAACGCTGGCGTCTCTGTAATTTGTATGAGATCCACGGCTCCTTTCGCCCTCTGCTGGCGGAGTCGGTGGGGCGTCATGACCAGTGTCAAAAGCAGGACGCGTTGGGCTCATGGGCTCTTTGCTCAGCGCAAGAGCTCTCATTGCACTTTCATCCTGGGTATACCATTGCCGAGAATCCCTCAGACTCTTTGTGGGTGAAGGCATTAGATCTCCAGTTGCCTCTTCTTCATCACCCGAGAAGTTAAGTTCATCCGCCAGACTTAGCCCGCTAAGCTGGCTGCCTTCATTGGCATAGAGTGCAGTCGCTAAACTAAAGCGATTCGTATAGACTTTGTCTCCCAATTTGCTGCTCGCAGAACTAGTTGGCCGTTCATTGGCAGATTCTAGGGATCGGATGCTTTCTCTGTTGCGGGCTTGATCGATAGCCCGGTTCATCTTTGTAGAATGTCCATCCGCATCATGTTCGTCTCCTAAATAGGGTGACTGATCATGGAGCTGTTGAGAATCTATTTCTTCGACCACCGCCTTTAGTCGTCCTTCGGCAATGTGTACTCTCTGCTCGAGCAAGCGCCTTTGTGCATCCCAACGGTCCTTGTCTTTCTCCCAGAGCTTTTGAGTCCTGTTTGCATCTTCTTCCTGGTGTTTTATCTTTTTCTGATAGGTGTCTAGACGCTTTTTAATCTCCGTAATGCTATCGTTTGCCTCATCCCGTTCCTTCACAAGTGTCTCCATTGCAGACGACGTGCCGCCTTCCAGAAGCTGCAGCTGACGTAGCAGTGATCGTTTCTCTTGAGCATTATGTGCAAGGTTGCCACTCATAGTATCATTTTCGATTTTGGACTGTTGCAGCGTAGTCTCTAGATTGTATATGAAATCGTTTTTGGATTCATTGTCACGTCGCAGAGATAATATTTCGGCCACGAGGGACGCATGCAGCGTGGGTGTAAATCGGCGCGGATCTAGGATAGATATTCGATCGTCTTTTGCTTCGATTGGCGATGCGACAATTGCTCTATTACTGGACAATCGCCGGCTCGATCGGAACTCGGGCGAAGGAGTTCTGACAATTGACGAACGCCGAGGCGTCTGATCAGATTCCTTTTCCAGACCCTCCTCATTTTGTAGGTCAGAAGCGAGGTGTCGTGCTGTCTTTTCATTATCCATCTTGTGAGACCGAGTCCAGAGCTTATCATATGATGTATGTGCGCTTTTCGATAATTATTAAGATATATTTTTCAACGCAACGGGAAGGAATTAGACATTATTTCTTGATGTAGAGAATAATTAGGGTGTACGATCTTTGGAGGAGAGACTGTATCAAAAAGGTCAGTCATACATTGTCCATGACGCGATTTTAAACCGAGTCGTCAAGGCTCTTTCCCCGGATCATTTCGCACCTATATATTAAGGGGGCAAATTGGATATGTGCGTCTCGTTCTGTGCATGAAGATGACGATATCGGACAATGAAGCTTCAAGGCGAGGCGCAAAAAGAGTCACTCGAATATCAGGCATTGAAAGCTGCCCGCTCGATGCTCGTGAGCATCGCAATCGGCGTCACCATCATTAAAGACGAAAAAATAATACAGTAATAAAAGAGCGACGATGATCATAGCACAGCGCGAACATAGCGCAGAGAGACAGGCGAGGCACAGACACCGGAACGGCACCTACATAAGCACGTCCCATCGGCTCAATTGGCTGCAGTCGGGGGAGACGAGCGGGATCGAACGCCTCGACTCCACCGACTCAAAATTTGCTGCTGGCTGGTTGATAGCCCAGTCCTTGTACAACCAACGATGGAGGGGAAAAGGGGCTTCGAAGGCGGGAGGGAACACGAGTAAGTGCTCTCCCTCCACCGCACGTTCAGCGGTCCCTACTCCTAAACCGATTGTGCATCGGTCCATTTCGGATGTCAACCAGGATCATCGTTACAGCTGACCGACGACGTGGGAAATAAACGTTATAATGGCAGTAAAATAACAAATGTCGGCGCCACAGTGGAGACAGGCTTAACTGGGCAAGGGCCAAAGTACGGGACAATACAGTAGTAAATCAGACGCGAATGATCTGCGTGTGCGATTGCATACTCTGTACGAGTACAGTCCAAATGGAAAAAAGGCCATTGCTCAAAACCAGCCCAAAGATGCTCCACTCTTTTGTTTTTCTTTTCTATAATTGCAGGACCAAATCAAAAGCACCAGAAAACAAAAGCGTCTTTAGATTCCAGAGAGGCTATTGAATTGGGGATTGATTGGATGGTCAACGCCCAGTGGGAAGTTGGTAGGAACAAATGTGTTGTTTGCTCGTGGTCGAGCAAATCTTATTTGCTTCGTCGTCGGGAAACACACTAACTACCGTAGCGCGTTTCGGCTTAAATTAGTTAAGGTCCGCCGTCTAAGACCCTGTTGGTTCATTGGCCCCTAATTATCATGGCCGTCCCGGGAGGAGATTGCTCCTTTGCAGAAGATAGTCATGATCATCGTGATTGATAAATTAACCTGCACTCATTCTATAGAATCTTTGGAATAATTTCTCTGCTAGGATCAATTACTATCTGCTGACCTTGGCTCTTGTTGTGTGTATTCCTTTTTTTTTCCCCTTTAAACGCTGCCGAGACACGTGCTGAAAAGGACCTATTATACTCCGTACAGGGTGCCACCTATAGGTGCAAGCAAGGGTGCTTCTGTACAAAGGGAAGAGCACGAGGACTGATTACGTCTTCCTGTTGGACTTGACTATTCGAGAATCATGTCTCAGCCAATGCTTTTACAGAGTACATGTGCAATTCTGAAGACCATACCACAATACTACAATTATTAGCTTTGCTTCCCCAAAGAAGAATTTCACGTGGTCCATTGATGGATCAACTGAGCCAGAGCCAACCACGAAAGATGACGTCTTGTCGGTATACAGTATATACTTTCGTAGCTCGCCCAAAACTATCAAAACACAATAGTGATGTATTCTACCTTCTCCCAAGCACTGACAAATTATTACGAATATCATCCCCCCTACCCCGTAAATGCCTCTCCAGCGCGGGGGATTACTACCCATCACCTCAACTGCACACCCTTATCATCGCATCGCCAATAAAGAATCCTGAAGCTTTTTTTTTTCATTGTATTGTCATCATCTCCGCTACCACCATCAACATTACTCGAACTCCAATGCTACATCTCTCGGCCCCACGTGATATTTAGAACTTTTTTGTTTACAAGATCCGGCATACTCATTCATATTATTTCTGTATACTTTAAAAAGAGAGCAAGGAAACAAGGAAAGGAACAAGAAAGCCACTACATCCATAACATGTCTTTATCAAACCCCCCTAAAGCCCTCTTATTCGATGTATTCGGGACCGTCGTGGACTGGCGGGTGACTGTGGTGCGGGAACTATCATCCAAATGCCATTCAACGCTTTCCTCTGCGACTGCGTCTCTGCCATCGACAGTGCGCTTGCGGGCCTCGACCATGGGTCTGACCGACTGGGCGGACTTTGCAGAGGAATGGCGAAACACATACAAGGTCTTCACAAGTAGCCATGATCCCGGCGGGACATTTATTACTGTAGACGAACACTATCTTTCCTCGTTGCGAGAGCTGCTCAAGTCACGAGGGCTGGAGGGACTTTGGCCTGAAGAAGATTTGCAAGAGATCAGCTTGATGTGGCATCGTCTGGATGCTTGGCCCGATAGTGCCGTAGGGCTGCAGCATCTCAACAAAGTATTTACGACCTGCACGCTCTCGAATGGTAATCTCAGTCTGCTACAGGAACTTACGACACATGCTGGACTAGAGTTTACACACATCTTCAGCGCGGAACTTTTCCAAGCCTATAAGCCGCAGCCAAAAGTCTACAAGGAAGCAGCCATTCGACTTGGCCTGGCGCCGGAGCAGTGTGCAATGGTAGCAGCGCATCTCTATGACCTGAAAGCTGCCAAAGCGTGCGGGTATCAGACCGTTTATGTAGAGCGAGAACATGAAGAAGGGTGGTCCCGTGAAGAGATAGATGAGGCAAAACGAGCGAATTATGTGGATATGTGGGTCACGCTGGACGAAGCTGGCTTTCTGACCGTTGCTGAACGCTTCGGCATTGAGCGAGAACGGCTTCCCAAAAGCGCCTCATTCTAATATGCTCGGTCTGCAAGCCTTTTCCTACCATGGAGCATCAAAGAGATGGCATTCGGGAAATGGGATGACGTTGTTTTGGAAAATCAATAACCTCGGCTTTTGGCCTTCTTGTCGAGCCCAAGTCCATGGGCTGTCCGCCAGCCAGTGTGGATCTTTGCATCTTGCATACATGGATGCATGCATGCAAAATTGCTCAGGTGTCAATGCAAGATGTGGCGCAATATCTCAATCACCTCCCGAAGCCTCGGGTGGTTGACTGCCCTTGGAAAATGCGGCCCGGACCGCTTCCCCACAAAGGAAAGCTCGCATCTCAGCGGATCATCCGTCAGTCGATTGACAGGTCTACGACGTTGTTTCTCGCTCGGGTGAGACAGATATGTGCGTGCACCGATTTCTCATCTGTTCCATTTGAGTAAATATTTGCATTTAGTCAACCTGCGAATACAGTAAACGAATGATGCAAGAGCTGTTATACAATCCATGATCAGAAAACACATTTACCGGTAACGACATATCACGTCGTAGGTGGGATTTAACGAATCGAGGTATATTCATATTTCTCATCGATTGCTCGTTATAGGTCTGATCCATACTCTGTCATCAGTCTATGTGTGTGGTCTGTTTCTCATGCGCCCTTAAAACTAGGACTGGCATGCAACTGCTTCCAAAAATTTGTTGAATAAACCGCCGGGAAATCCCTCCAATTCCATAATAAAAAGAAATGACCATGATATCAGCGCAGAAAGAAAGAGAATAAAATTCTATTTTGAAAACTATGTGCCTTAAGCCATCCATGTGAAAGCTAATCATGGAAGCATCAATGCAAAGGGATTCCAATGTCGCTATACAAATACCATTTCAGCTTGCGTAGGGGTATCATAATTATGCATTTGGATGTCCCTACACCTTGAAAAAAATTGCAAGACGGATCGTATGTCGCGTTTATTCGTGTATCGAAAAGAGAGGTCGCCGCAGGTTCATTTCATCGTAATCGGCTCGATTGTTTTAATGGAAAGCCAAGAATAGAGCCTTTGCCCCGGCCCTCAAATTGACAGTGCCGAGTATAATAGTCCCGAGCCGGCCATCCGAATGTTTGAGTAGCCATTCGTCCTCGAGATTGTGGAGCGAAATTGACCACTCCCATCGTCCATGATCTGGTGAACGCGCGCATGGGCGGTTCGAATCCATAAAATATACAGGAGAACGAGCGTGAGAGGAATGTATATACGCCTTGTAGCGTCCAAATGCCCAAAATTATCGAATAAACTTGACTCTAGAATAACTGACGATCAGAGGCTTCGGGTAGGTTGCTAAAACGCGAGCTTGGGCTCAGTCCAGCACCCATCCTCTGAAGTAATATGGATCAACATGCGACGAGAAATCGTAGCTTCAGGTCAGCATTTATAATATGACACAAGGCCGCTTTTCTCTGCGATGCCGATAGTGTCTATTCGGATCTCGATCCCGATCGCGATCCATAGCAGTGCCCATGCGGCCTAGACCCCCTTGCCGCTCGGATGCAGACTGAAGCTGTAACTTTTGGCGGCGCAACGATCTGACGACATCGTAAAACGCCACGTCGACATTAAAGCAGTTCTTCGCTGAAGTTTCAACGAAATCGCAGCCGAGTTCCTTGGACAGCTGCTGGCCCTCCTGAGTGGAGACTTCTCTCTCCGTGACGCGGTCGGTCTTGTTTCCCACCAACATGATAGGAATGTTTTTACGATTGAATGGAATGCCGGCAGACGGTGATCCCAACGGAGATCCGGGGTAACCAACTTGGCCACCTGTGCTTGAAGACTCCTTGACCCTTGTAATATGTTCGTGGAAATTTCGTATCCGCTGGAAGGAAGATCGGGACGAGACGCTATACACCAAAACGAATCCTTCACCGTCGCGAATCCATTGATCTCGGAGGGCAGTATATTCCTCTTGGCCAGCCGTATCCAGGATTTCCAACATGCATGCCTGCGAGTCTATGACCACCTGCTTTCGATATGAGTCCTCAATGGTCGGATCGTAGGTCTCGACGAAATGATTGAGACAGAGCTGGAGCAAGTTAGATGATCGATCTTGAAAAAGTTGAGCGGACCGAAAAAACAAACCTGGATTGTCAAGGCCGTCTTCCCAACTCCTCCGTCCCCAAGCACCACCAGCTTGTACAATGTCATCTTCCCCGCCATTTTGCGTACTGGTAGTCTCCAAAGCCGGCTTCAAATTAGATTAAAATCGATAAGGGTGTAAATATATAGTGCATCCGACAAGATTCGGAGGGCAGGTCTCTAGGAATCGCCAGGTAGCCGTTACGTTGTGCCAGCTTAGCTTCCTGTTTGGCTTAACCAGCTACAATGTGCACAAGAGCCTCCTGAAACACTCTCCTAGTGTGCTTCTCGCAGATGACCAAGGTTCTCGGAGCGCCAAATAGAGGTGAAATTAGGCAAGGCCCCAACGCCTTAGTATGATGAAGTAATAACGAGCAAATTGGCGAGCTCTATTTTCGTCACCGGAGCCGGCGTGGCAAGCCCGAAGAGGAGTCGATAGGAAGACGTAAATCGTTCTGTGTGTCTCGGACTTGCGTCCAGCGATGTGAGACTTGCACTACCCGGCAAGAGACAGATAGTGACGCAGCGAGCAACAGCAGCACCTTCACGAGATTCCTGCCGTGGGACGTCTGTTTGGCGTTTCTTGCGTGGTACAAGGCGATACAATGGATGGGTTCACAGGAGAAATTCTCGACCAAAGTCGGATAGCGATTGCTCTGATTGTCTTGGGCTTCGAAGTTAAATTCGAGGTCCGCGTTTGAAAAGTATATAGACTAGATGGGATGAGCTCCACACCAAGCAAAGCCACGCCAAACACACGGAAGCGTGCAGCTGTACCAAGCACTCAGCTGCCACGAAAACCCATGCACGGCGCTGGGCACACGTGGAAGACAGATGTCGGAGCGTTAAAAAGGGCAACAAATCCTCGATGGGCAACAGCAGCGTAGGTGCGATTGCTGCTGCACTTGACGCATAGATTTTGGCCTAACCTTCCTTTCAAAGGATTTGGTACTCTCACTCGCTAGAGAGATGGAAGAGAGTACATGTAAAGCGTTCCCGAGAACAAAAGAGAGAGGGAGAGGGAGAGAAGAGAAGCGTTCCCAATGAAGACGAGAAAGAAAAAAGAAGGCCCAAGCAGGGTAGGGCGGGGTGTAGACGCTCGGTGAAGCTGCAAGCTGCAAGCGACTCAAGAGGATGGAGAGCTGTTGGGTCGGTACCCTTCTGCAGACACACACACACGCACAGAGGAACTGTTTCTTCGGGACGCTGTCTGATGGGACGTCGAGCTAGAGAGGTCCTCTACACAGCTAAGCACGCCCCTAAGCTCGAGCCGGGTTGTCTTTATGAGCAGGGGTCTCTAGTACAAAGACCGGTGGTGAACGGTTGGAGGGGATACCGAGTGCCGCTGCGAAAGAAGAATCACAGTAATCATAAAGGTGGCTTGAGCGTACGGAGTACACTCATTATCCCAGAAGAAAGGCCCCAAAAAGGGCTTCCTTGCAAGAGGGAGAGAGCCGAGAACCTCGAGGACCGAAGGGCGACCGATGCCCGATGACAGACAAAAGAGGGTGCTCGTACAACAGTGGGGTCCCCAGCCAGTATAACAATAATCATAATGATGCCTGATTCGGTCTGATATAAATTAAATCCATGAAAAATTTCGCCGTCACAATAATCAAGAACAATTCAATGCAGTCTTGCTGCTTCGATCACTCGCAACATCGGTTGAGCTTGGCGGGCATGAGCGTTCTACAGGATACCACAGCGGTCTGGTACTGTTGGTACTCCATCCTCACTATGATCCCCTCATCCCACTCTTCGGCCACAAGGGGACTAGGACTGGCGGTAACCAAGCTCGTGGTCCATTTGAATCCACCGACTACACGTTCGGAGGTATGCGGATAGTCCTGCTACGACTATCTAATCATCCGAGTCTCCCAGAAATGATGGCTCTACGCTTCACGTCTCAGTGACCGTGGGGCACGCTCCCGCGCAGCGTCTCCACTCGGGACGGAGCGGCCATCAAACTTTTCACAATTCTGGGAGCAATCAAGAGGGCAAACTCATCACTGCCATGGATCAAGCAGCCATTGGCCCTGGAAACAAAGCAAAAAGCGGTTGCTGATGTACCCAGGTTTTGCTTGCACTCCGTAACTTGGCAGTTTTTTCGGGTATGCATGGCAGGAATACCAGACGTTGCACTGGCCACGCGGCCAATTCAGAATGCATCATTAATTACATGATGATTTGCGGTGGAGCGTAAGCAGATTGGGCGAAGATTCCTCCGTTGGATGGTTCATCAGTCAGCGACGGCACTACGCTTCTACTACTGACCCGAAAGCAAGACACTTATCCCTCTGGCGTACAGTGTGCCGAGAAAGGCGGGGCAGTGGTTTTTGCTCAGGCGGTCAACGAGGACATCTAACCCGGGGAAAGCTCCGAATGTTGAAAACCACCATAACAAGGCAATTGAAAGCAGCCTGATCAAAGTACGAAGGGTTGGACGTTTTGAGGCAGACAATCTTACCGCAATAGAAATTTTTCTAATTGGAAATGTGGCAATGTACAAGTGCATGATTGATACCCAACCTGTCAACTTTGGAGTCATAGTGTTAGAGCAATAGATCTGCAATCACGACATGTCGGCCGGAGCACCCTGAGCTCATCCGACTTCGCCGTTCAGAATTTCTCAGAATCCACAATGGATTCGCAATAATGTAGCCCAAGAGCGCACGTTATACTAGATGAGGCTCCCAAATTTAGCGTATGGTACATCGCTCCAATTGAAGCATCCTCAGTCCATAAGCGGACAACGGAGTAAATTGAAGGCGTTTGAAATATGTATTGGTAAAGCTTCAAGCGGCTGCTTCTGGCATGCTTCAAAGAAGTTGGATTTGGGGAGGCATATCCTGTATGGACTTTGACCACCGAAAGCACGATAGGGTTGTTCCTGTACACTTGCCGCATTGACAGGTACCGTATCCACCGAGGGAGAGACTAAATGATGTTCGAATGCCGGTTATCTAGACGTAACGGGACGGGTCGCATGTTGGAATCAGGGCCTTTGGCAAGTTGATAAGAGAAGTACACTTGTACTGTCATGATGATCTTCTTGACAACCATAGCAGCAGGTACAGCTTTTGCCTTGGCCCCGGCGACATCTCGCATATAGGGTGACTTGTTCATGGAAATGGAAGAACCTGGGTGTGTGACTAATGAATTGAAAGACTTGAAGTGAGCGATATTAGTCTATCCGGACAAATGTAAGACCGTTCGACTTCTGGTCTTCAGGTCGGAGCGAAAGTAAAGCATTCGCAACTCTTATCTCTAGGACCCTACCTAGGACTGCGGGTCTTGTCCATGAACTGCCAAGACATCCCGATCCCAAGAAAGGTAGGTTGGCGTTGTCTACCTTGATGTTCCTGTCGTTCTCATCTGTCGAAACCGTGGAGGTAGCTGCGTACAGCGGTACAGCTCCCCATATTTCGACCCTTCCCATCCATCGATAATACTAAAGGAGCATGTTGACAGGGTCAATTTAATGGAATTATTTGAAATACATTATCGTTAGATAGATACATAGTAGTGCATAGGCAATATTTTGCGCATCGTTCACAATTCAACACTCATCTGTAACCTCAGGCCCGAAGCAAAATTCGTTTAGTCCCTTCTATATCTCAAACACCGACAGCGGAAATAATTGTTGAGGCTTTGGATCTTCCCTTAGCGGGCTCTTGACTGTGCCACAGCCAGGTTCAATTGTAAATTAAATTAGCACTCGTCTTATCGATGCATGACCTGTACTGTATATCACAGTTCGGTTTGAATACTATATACCCGGAGTTTACTCTGCAAATGTCCGCCTTCAAGTGAGAGCCACGATTTGCATACCTAGGTAGCTAACCTGAAGCTAAAGTCATGCTAAATGTGCCCACGTACCGAATAAATGACAGTTCGCTTAGGGCATACCTTGAAGGAGTAGTGGACAGGACGGAGAGCTTCCTATACTCCGGGGGTAGGACTGTTGTTGTATGACTCTTATAAATGACCATCATATATGAGCGATTCATAGCGGTGTTATCTTTCTGGAAACTTTAGACCAAAGCTTATTATAATAATCACGGCGAGAAACATGATTGTAGAGACTCAACGGCTTCTACTGCGACCGCTTCAACAAGATGATGCCTCCGACATATTCAGAATTCGATCACTAGATGCTGTCATGAAGTGGACGTACGACGACTGTATATAGTCCCAAATCGCTGGATAATGTATTGACGAGGTTCACAGTTCAAGCATGCCAAATACTGAGTTGAGACAAACGCAAGAATGGGTTGATATGATCCTGGACAGGGTCAAAAATGGGCGGGCATTCAATTTTACAATTCAACTCAAGTCTACCTCACCTTCTCAGGAAGAAGACGAGGTCCTCTTGCAGAATCGTACAACCCAGAATCGTCTAGCAAAGGTAATTGGCCTCGTGGGCGCTCCCATGATCCCGGAAGTTGGTTATATTTTGCATCCAGCCCACTGGGGGCAAGGATACGCGACGGAAGCACTGCAGGCTTTCCTTCGGTTATATTGGAAAGTGATCCCGCCTGGCCAGCAAGAAGGAGGATATGACTATGCTGAAGCACACGCAGATCCTGAAAACGTATCCAGTATCAAAGTTTTGAGGAAATGTGGGTTCAGCTTTATAGAGAAACGTGAAAAAGACGTGGAATTACCGCTCATGGGAGTGAGGGATACAGCGGTATTCCGAGTTGCGAGACCAAAAAGAGTCACACAGCAATCTACCTCGGAAGACTGATAAACTCAGGGGCGGTTATTTTCACACTTGAGTCACGAGACAGCTCCACATGCAAGAGTCATAGCTGATATCTGCACGATATTGATTAAAAATGGGAAAGAAGAAAGGAAAGCTTTTAGAAACAAATATGGACTAATAAGGTATTTTCCCATGTTGAAATATCTCTCTCTGCTGTTGAAACTTTTGTTGCATGTGAGAGGTGACAAAACGGATGGTGACGTAGGTTATGGTGGCATAGCGTGCGGAAGTTGAGCAAGCAATGCGGGTGTGACTTTGTTTAATGCAAATGTTTGGACTTTGACCATTCACAATCTGTACAATGGACGTTCTCTACGGCTGTACCCCTGAAGATTCAATAATAGTGTGGAGAGAATCAGATGTGGTGTCCTGTTTCTAGCTCGAAGCTGTCGCAGTCGTTCCAGGCGCCACATCACCCAATCCAGCTGTCCTGGCGACCCAGAAAGGTCATACCCGGGGGTCGCTGCTGTTTCTGCTGACACACAGCCTTGCATTGTTCCAGCGCGACCAGATTCTCACAGCATATCAATGCTTCAAAACTTGAGGATGGCATGGATTGATGCTAAAATCTTCCAGAGCGCTGTGGGCGACCATCCCTATTTCTTACGTTATAAGGCCTTGGCACTACCGAGCAGATGATGTTTTGCGGGGTTCGCTGCAGATGATCATCAGCGATGCCTCAAAGGAAACAATTGTACCTCTGTACTGACATGGGCAGGGGAGTAGGAATCAATCATCTTCAAAGTCTCTTAGCAATGTCGGGTAAATGATCTGCCCTGCAAGAGGTACTCCAAGTACTTTGCAGCCGCCATATTTGGACCCCACCCTGGCTCGAAATTGGCCAGCTGATGCTGCGGCCTGCGAGGCTAGCAACAATTGTGGCATTTTGGAGCTTCGAGTCAAAATGACTTCTCCGCCTTGCCACTTACGACGGCTCAAGGGGAATCACTTCAATATTCTGCTCTTTTTCTCATCAAGCTTCGCTCTTACATCTTTAATCAAATCGTTCTCGTCTCATTGACATTTAATAATTGGCCATGTGCAGGACATCAAGCGCTGTTCATTCACTACATTCTTAACTGTTTCCCCGATTTCTTGAGGAACGGTTATTGAAAATTTAAGCAAAGATGGCTGCGCAGCCTTTCGCATTTAATCCTAATCCCGATGCACCACTACGGCTCCTCTCCTTAGATGGTGGAGGCGTTAGAGGGCTGTCTTCTTTACTAGTGCTCAAAAGATTAATGGAGAGCATTGCTAAAGAGGAACAGAGGCTGAAGAAACGATCTTTGAAGGACAATACTCCTTTGAAGCCATGTGATTATTTCGATTTAATTGGTGGCGTATGCAAGTTTACAGCTCATTGCAGGCAATTCAGCGACTAATGAAACTAGACCTCGACTGGCGGAATAATTGCTATTCTACTTGGTCGACTTCGACAAGATGTTCCTTCTTGCATCAAAATCTACACGCACCTTTCGCAAGAGATATTTCGGCGCGATAAGAGCATCAGCCTCTTCGGGACTAAATTCTCCTTAGGCTCAACAAGATTCTCTGGAGCAGTACTGGAGGCTGCTATCAAAAGAGCGCTGAAAGATCTCGGATTTGACGAGGACGAGCTGATGTGGGATGGTACCGCATTTGAGCAAGTCATAGAGGAGGCTGACCCTGGAGAGACAATTTGGATTCAAGATCAGGGTCCAAATGCTTTCACTGATTCGCCATTTAATGACTCTTCCTCCGTCAGTCGTCTTGTGTCGAACGGGGCCCACTATGGTGGAGATGAGGATACACAGAAACAGAGTCAACATAATAGTGCCTCGCAATCCAGCTCGGCTTTTAGGGTGCGCAGGAGCACATCGGTTCGGAAGCGCCCAGATGCTCGCGGGTGCCCTACATTCGTTGTGTCCGCTCTAAAGAATGCTCTGGGTGTTCCACGTCTTTTCGTCACGTATGACCCCAATGACCGTCAGACCCGCATCTGGGAAGCGCTCAGGGCCACCTCTGCTGCTCCGACATTCTTTGAAGAGATGACATTCGGTACACCGAGATTGACTTACCTTGACGGCGGACTGGGCTTTAACAACCCATGCATAGAGGTTAATTATACCGCTAAGAGTCTCTGGGAAGGTCGACCCATCGGTGTAGTTGTTTCAATAGGCACAGGTTACTCAATCACTTAACCCCGATAGCTATGTATGAAAAGGCTTCTGACGAATTTCCTTAAAAGGTCTTCAAAACATCCCTTCGATCCGAAAAGCGTCATCGTGGAACCCTTTTGGACAAGAGATTAGCCTTGCTACCGCACTAGCTTCCATGGCAACGTCGACAGCTAGAGTAGACAACGAAATGCAGAGGCTCTACTGGAACACGGATACTCGATATTTTCGATTCGACGTGGACAGTGGAATGAGCGATATCTCACTTGAGGAGTTTATGAAGGAAAACGAAATGGGATCTGCGACTGAGCAGTACATGCACGAACCTCAGCAGCTGCTTCGGTCGAATGCTTTGGCGGAGATACTAGTCAGCCTTAGTGCCTTGCCTCCGAAAATTGAGATTCCTTCGCGGGATTTTCGGGTGGGTGTGGATGGCAGGGGCCTGATCCATCGCGATTCAAAGTTTCCCGACATTCTTTGCTTTCAGCAAGAAGATTTGGATCTGAAAAGCGGATTTCCTTTAGGCCTCAAGGTATCCCCGGAAGACGTCTCTAGAATAGACGAGCTACGTCATTCCAGTCCTTCGGGGAAAGGAGGCGTCAACGTGGACAGCACAGGGACAGTTCGGAAAATCTATCCCGTGGCTGAAGATCTTGATGGAGATGGCAAGAGAGAAGAAGCCACGGTACTGACTTGTGTGCGGGCCGACAATATCTGTCTTCGAGCTATGAAGCGCGGAGTGCCCCGCGGCCGATATGCTGTCAGATTCATCATTTGCTTGTTTGAGGCACATCCAGGAGTAAACAACGAAACGAACACTCTGGCTGTTCGATCATTTCCTCCCACTCCAATGCAATTTGCTGCCGGGGTTTTCGATAATGAAGAAGTCAGTCATTTGGTCGTCAGTCAAGACGGAGGTACTGTGGATGACGCCATGAAACCGATGGTTACTGCTCCGTTTGACCTCATCTTCTCAGCTGGCAAACCATACGATTTTAAAAGCTTTTTGCATCGATATGTTGATGTCCGCATTACGCCAGATATTGTCCCTGTCTTATTGCATCCAGACGCGGTTAGAGTCCGTGTGGGGCACCGGCGCTGTGCGGAAAGAAAAGGTAAAGGATGGTTTGAAGTTGAAGGCGACATAGAGGTAGAAGTGGGCTTAGACGGAGTTTTGGGTATCATTATCAACAAAAGATTTGAGGAAGGTGTCTTCGTCGGTGGATGGTCCTTTGGTGGCGTACGATTAATTCCGAACTTTGGAGAGCAGCAAGGACGTAAAACATAGAAAGGGCATTTGATATATCGGGTATTAACTATTATTCAACGATCGCGTGCTACGTTTTGCTTTCCGCGCGCATTCTCTGACCATACCATGGTTGGAAGCAGGGTGTGATTCTTTTTTTTTTTGCGCGGCCCGATATATACATGATAGCTGATTGCGGGGTCGGCGGAATAAGTGGAGCAATAGTTTTGCCCCTTGGCCTCTCCATCTCATGATTCTACTGATAAGAGTTTCGAGCATAGGCGCATGGGAATAGGATAATCACGGAACACCCAACTCGAAATTACTGTAAATATTACATTGGTCCCAAATATCCGCTTCAAAAAAGCATACGGCTTTTTAAATTTCATAAAATTAATCTATTTAATAACTAGTTCGGGATGAAAATATGGAGCTCGCTTTGCAAATGGTCGTCATGATCAACCACACCCACTTAACATGTAACCCCTCGCCCCAGCCAGCCAGCGAACTCTGGGTTCTGCGGAACCGGTAAGTTAGCCATAACTTACTCTATCTGTTGATTTTTAACTAAATACAGTTAGCACGTGGTTACATTGGGAAGGTTGTATTCATCGGTAATTCCGAGCTTTCGTCCTATCAACGTTATCTGGCGCGCCCCCCATTCAACCCCCCTGTACACTCATCGCTCACTGCCATTTGTTGGAATGCCCAACTTCAAACAACGCGGATGCTTGACGCAATGCATGAAGATAGTCAATTGTTATCAGCCATGCTGCTGGAATCTCCTCTTGGTGGGGTATGGTCCGTCTTGGCGGAATACACCTATGTTATCATGTCCTTCAAATGGTCTTACAATGCGTGATATGCTTTTTGCACCCTTTTGCAATATATCTGGTCTTCTTCAACGCATTCTTATTTTCAAAGCAGTTTCAAACTCCATTGAGCAAGATACGTTACGATTTTAGCTAAAAAATTGCAACTATGGACGAAAAAGGCATGCAAGATGCCGATGTAGAGAGCAATCAGCTCCCTTCGGACGAAGGCCATCATGTCCCGGATCAAGTTTTGAAGCATTCCCATGATGCCGACGAGGCATTGACAGCCCTGGAAGGTGAAATTATTACCATTGATGAGGCTACAAACAAGAGACTTTTGCGGACCATCGATTTTCACCTTATGCCGGTATTGTAGCCTGATCCATGATTGTCCAAAATTGAATCCTAATCGGTTGATGCGACAGCTTCTTTGTGTGGTATACGGGCTCAATTATCTTGACAGTAAGCTCTATTGGTTCATCCGTTCTCATTCGACACGCTCATGAATTTTTCTCCCTGAAGAGACAACCTTGTCTTATGCGAGTATTATGGGAATTAAAAAAGACCTTGGCTTGAAGGGTGACAACTACCAGGTTGGTGTTCTTGAAGTTATGAAGAACTCTGAGCAAAGTAGCCATGTTTGCTAATTGTTGCAGTGGCTCGGTTCAATGTTTTATTTCGGTATTTGAACGCGCCTGTCGAGCTCCTCGCAATCGAGACTAATATAGGAAGGCTACATTGGATGGGAATACCCAACGAATCGATTGCTGCAGCTGCTTCCTTTGGGAAAATACACGTCGGTAAATATTATTCTGTAAGTCATGCCGGGAAATGGCCCTTTGCTAGGCTAACGTAAGTAGCTGGGGTGCTGTTCTTTGCTGTATGGCCGGCGTCAAGAGCTTTTCTGGTGCAGTTGCGGTCAGGTTCTTCCTTGGACTCTTTGAGGCAGCCGTAACGCCTGGCTTTACATTGTTTACTTCACAGGTTGGTCGCGGATTCTTTGAACTGCAATTTAGTCACTTACTCACGAAACACAGTGGTACACAAAGAAGGAGCAAGGATTTCGAACCGGCCTCTGGTTCAGGTACGCAAATGCTCAGTTCGATGAGTGCAGAAGCTAATGAGTCCTAGTTTCAATGGTTTTGCTCAGATAGTCGGAGGCTTGATTGCGTATGGCATCGCCAAAGGAACCCAGCTCCACGGTTCAAGCATAGCTCCCTGGAAAATCATTTTCCTGGTCACTGGCCTACTTACGGTTGCTGTCGGTGTGATATTCTTCTTCATCATTCCGGACAATCAGCTTAATGCGCGGTGGCTCAGCGAGTCTGACCGACGCCTCGCTGTCGAGCGAATCCGAGTTAACCAACAGGGGGTCGGAAATAAGCACTTCAAACTTTATCAGCTCAAAGAAGCCTTCTTGGACCCTTTAACTTGGGCATTTGCTTTCTTTGCGATTGCGTCTGATATTCCCAACGGTAAAGTCTTCGAAATTCTGAGGTTTCTTCAATATTCTGACTTTGGATTAGGTGGTCTTACCAACTTTTTCTCGCAACTGATCGAATCGTTCGGTTATACCCCGGAGCAAAGCCTTTTGTATGGAACTCCTTCTGGCGCCATGGAAGTAATTTCGTTGATATTGTGTGGATATTTGGGAGACCGATTTGGGCAAAGAATCCTGGTCAGCACGTAAGAAGTTTAGCCCTCCGAAGCCGTCGGCATGTAATTGACACAAATAGGATTGGTCTCATCGTTTCAATTATTGGTATGATTCTGATCGTCGCACTGCCACTATCCAACAATGGCGGCAGGTTGGCGGGATACTATCTGACTGGATGGTGCCCAACGCCTTTTGTCGCATTGCTTTCACTCATCTCCACCAACGTTGCCGGCTATACCAAGAAGACCACTGTTGCAGCAATCTATCTCATCTTTTACTGCGCTGGCAATATCATCGGTAAAGCCCACTGCCTCCAAGATCTTGTTCAACTATTCTAATCTACGAAATGCAGGCCCTCAAACTTTCAGACCAAATGATGCACCCCGCTATGTGCCGGCTGAAATTACCATTATTGTTTGTTGGGGCGTATGCCTTTTTGACTTGGTCTTTATCTGGTGGTATTGCAAGTATCAAAACAAGAAGAAGGCAGCGCTTCGCGCTCAGCCAGACTATAAGAAACTGGAAAATCAGGAATGGTTGGATCTGACAGATCGGGTAATGACGCCAATTCTTTTAATCGGAGATTTAATGCTAATTTTGGAAATAGGAAAACCCTGAATTCGTATACCAGCTGTGATTTCAATCTCATCAGCTTGACTTTCAGTTTTACGCTCTGTTAAGCGACAGCTTTTTCACGTTTTATACATTTGTTGGCGCATTCTAATTTAGACTACACTTGTCCAATCTCATTACTTTTAATCTTCCAACTGTTACATTATATATTTGTTTAACATATTATTGGTTCCATTTCCGCGTTCTAATTGAGAACTATAATACATCTGGACAACAAGATCTGATCCTAAAGGTTTGAGAGCAATCAAGGACGGCGATACCAGCTCATCAGACAATTTCACTTGAGAGGAGGCAGCGCAATGCTAAAAAGCCCAGTGTGGTTGAACCGTTAGTAATAAGAAAGCTACGCCCTAGAATAAAGCTATATGATTACTATTAACAGCCTAGCACCCTTGGGAGAAGGGATACTTCTACCGTCAGGGCCGTATAGGTATGAGCTTTCCATACCTCTTCGTTGAAAAACCCAAGTCTTTCTGCTTGGGCAAAGCAACCCAGAAACCAGCAAAATTTGTTGTGGCTATGGCTTGAGCACGGATGACGCTGGAAAATGTAGGTGAAATTTGATGATGATGATGATGATGATGATGATGATAAAGAATCTAAAGGCGAGAAACCAGGGCTAAAATATGCTAACTAGGAGCCGTCACACGGTATAGCCACAGTAAGACTAAAGAAAAACACTGTAACAAAATAAATAAAATAGAAGCAAACATTCCCTGTGGGTATAGCCATTGAACGCCAGAATATAAGCAGAATTAAAAGAGCAAGAACAAAGAAAAAAAATAACATCAACTGGGTCTGGATCCTTCCTCCCGAATTCCCCACAGCTCCGAACATAGCCATCTGCGAAAAAGGCCCTCAACATTTTCTGCCAGCCTGTCGAGGGTCGGGATTCGAGACTTCGGCGGATCAATACACATGTATGCCGTTCCACCAGCCTTGCAAACGTAGATTTACGAGATGCTCCAAATGGGTGGACCCATCGGACTGTACACGTGCATCCTCGAGTTCTTGTAAGATGTCAGATATTTGTATTCCTGCGCCGCTCAGATGAAGTATATGCGCGATGGCGCGATGTATAGCAAGAAGTTGAGCCGAAGGAGGATCAATCGTTCGTTCGGGCGTTAGAAAGAGGGTACGAGTAACAGGGACGCCGGGAACCCGGAGGAGACCTGATTTGATCCTATTGATTCTGTAGGAGTGGGGAATCTCCGTCGCAGGCTCGAAGAAGATTTCAAAGTCACCAAAAGCTCGATGGAGAAGAGGCGTCAAGGTAAGAGCATTGAATGGCCGGTCAATCTCGCAGCCCTCAATTTTGTGAGCGATGCCATAGTCAAACATATCCAGAATCATGATTGCAGTTTGTTTAGACATGTCCTACAGAGTCAGCCCCCGAAAGATTAGACCAACGAATAGGGGGGAAATCAAGGGCGGGAGGATGGGATACAAAGAAGATCGAGAGATCGACGAGTTTGGGGAAATGAGAATAATGAGACATGCAAATGTGCAGGCAAGGAACTTCGGAGCCGGAACGGCAAAAGAGAATTGAAAGACGTGGACCTACCAATTCAGGGCGTCCTTTGAGATCCATCAACGAGTGGGGTATGATATGAGCCACCTCTAGGTCATCAAAGTCTTGGTCATCTTCAACAAGCAAGCGGCCTTCGTCATCTTTGGCGTTGTCCCCATGGATTTTAGCTCGTTTTCTCGACTCTGAGAAATCGAATTTGCGAGACACAATGCAGCGATGGTGGTCACGCTTTAAGCATGTTCCTCTCAGCTCAGAAAGTCGCTTGTTGGTTCCAGTATACAGACAACTGTTTTGGGAGCCTGATGTCTGCGCAGATGGTTGTGGCGTCTTAACAGCAGAGGCCATCACTAGAATTGCCCACGTTAACCAGAAATAAAAACCATTAGCAGCCAAAAGGATAGAATTCCTTACATGGTAAGTAAAAGTTGTTGAAAAGAAAGTTTGAAAACTCGAGCAGTTGGCGGTACAGCTTTTCCTTTTCTCCTTCGTCCCATCCATCAAAAGAAGCAGCGTTGTTCACAGAAATGCCGAGAAAGGTGAAGAAGAAATTGAGGAATCGGTCGCGTCCTTGTTCGCAAAGTAGATATTCTTCAGTCAATCGGACAAGCTTGACGGCATTATACTCTTCATTCTCCGATGGCGACCGTTGCTCATTGTGCTTGATGATTTGTCGGAATACTCGTCTCGCTCGGTGGGCCTCGTCTGGTTTCAGCACGGAAGGAGAGAAGTCCAGTATCCCTTCAAGGGAGGAGCGGTGTCGGTTCTCAGACGACGGAGATGCCATTTTTGTGGTAAAAGTCGAAGAATTTCTGGGGGATAGAATACCTCACTTTCAGAAAGAGAGCAAGGAAATGACACGAGCAATTGAACGTTCGCGGAGTTGTTTGACTGATAATAGAAAAGAGCTGAGGCTTTCCATTAAGTTATTTTAGCGGAGCGATCATGGTAGCCTGTGGGGTCGCTAAAGCGGGAGTCCGCCTGCTCGTTGGTTTGGTTCTTAGCCGCGGCAGGGTGTAGATAAAGCGTTAGTTACCGTATGTTATCGGAGCTTAAGGTATATAACCTTGCCGAGGAAAGGATGTTGCTTTGCTCGGAAGGTACATTTCTCTTAGCGAGGGCGAATGATGAGGTCCTTTGACAGCGTATGTCAATCGACTGGGAGTACAAAAGAAACGGAAAGCACAGAGTGTCACCAAGGTGTTCCTTGTTTGAATGAGAAAATAGAGTGTAAGCTGCTTCTCCATCTGTAAAGGACGTCCATTAATTCAGCGGTGGGAATTAGGCACCGTTCTGGTAACGGCCCCTCGTGTCTTCAGACTCTCATTTGCAAGAAAACTAGCCCAAGCCGTAACCGTTCAACCGTCGCCACACCCCCATTTCCTCCTGAGGACACTTTTTTTCTCAGTAGCTTCAGATGCGTGGCCTACTACTACCAAAAATCAAACCCATTTTAGTAATACGTTGGCATCTCGCCCAGATCAAAAAGGGCGTAAATGAGGGTTCTTAGACAGCTCTCCGGCCTACGACGTTCGACAGACTCGGGGCATCGTTCAACATGAGTCTCTCCGTATCCGTCTGACTGAGTTGTCGACCTTCCGGTCCAAGATGCGTAATTTGAAAGCCGACTCATTCTAGAGAGCTCGACGTGGAGGTGCTGCGCCTATAGACCTCTGCCACATGATATTTAAAGATGCGATATATCCCTCTTCTTCAGAATGCTTCGAACGGACTTTCCCCTCCCTTGTGTTTGGAATTTAGGTGGAAAGGCAGCTGCATATCGCGCGATTGGATTTTGTCACTTTGAGAAGAGCTTATTTCCTCTAACTAGAGCTTCCCTCGTTCTCACTTCAGAGCTCCAATGTTATATCTGGCATCTTTTTTGGCCGCCATGGCCGTCTCGCCGGCTTTGGCCGCTCCGCCTCAGGCTCCTCTCTCGCTACAAGATCAGGTCGTAGCTGGAGGCGGTGTCCCAGATATCCCGCCACCTCCTTCTCCTCTCACAAAGTCAGAAGCGCAGAATATTCAGTTGGCCAATTTCCTCGAAAACCTTGAAGTGAACTTCTTTTCACAGGGTCTAGCAAATATCACCTCATGGGGCGTTGGAGATTATCCATTCAACATCGTTGATATTGTCACGAAGATTGTCGCGGTAGGTTTAGCCACATTGATCGTTTTGCTTTGTTCGGTTTATCCGCATTGCACAAAATTCGTGTGGCGGGCGGCTGATGATAATTTGAATTATAGCAAGAGAAGGTCCATGTTGCAACTTTTGAAGACTTATTGCTGCAGTTTGGATACGAAACAGTCCCTCCTTGCAAATACAGCTTCCCTGTGAGTAATACAGAGGAGTTTTTGGCGCTCTCAAATCTCATCACTTCGGTTGGCATCGGAGCGGTAATAGACCTGGGACAAGCTCTAGCTAACTCCAACCCATACTTGGTTGCCGCTATGGAGAGTGTCGTGGGTGTTGAGTGCCGCCACGATGCCTTCTTCCGGCTTACTCACAACGAAGTCCCGAACCCTTTCCCTTTCGATACTCAAATCCCCGGACTCTGGGCTTTCAACCTGGCGCATCCCTTTGTTATCCCTGGATCATGCCCCACAGATCTCCCTTTAAAAGTTCTTCCCGCATTGAATGTCGTCCCGGCCGGTCCACCGGCCTTTGCGCCCCAAGACAGGCCCACCGAGATTGAGTTTACATTCGATCAACCTGACACGCCTGGTGCGAGCAACGGCGGCGAAACACTCTACATTGCTTGGGTCAATCAGGTTCGTGTGCCTCAATACACACAACTCATGCGGACCGGCAACGGCATGGGAACTGCATCTCTTCCAAGTCGTCTAAGCGGAGTCGTTTTCGCAGCTCTGACGAGCACAACCGATCCTGATAACCTTGCCGCTCTCGCCAATGCTACCTTGGCTGGGCCAGTTATCATTCCCGTCTCTTAATTTTCCCCTTCTTTTATTCTAAACCTTTTGTATGACCTAGTATTAATTGTATTTACTGTTTCCGGGGGCATCTTTCTGGCCCCATCTGTCAATGATATTCAACATCAGAGATGAGCTGCTATATAATCTTATTCGAATAAGACATTGCACAATGCAATTCATAAATGGGTTCAGCAGCTGGAACTTGAAACGAGTCATGAGACGATAGATAATTAAGTTCTTTAGGATAATGAGATTAAATGAGTGAAGTCATAAAACGACAATAATCTCCTACTCCTGCTGTTAACAAGGTGATTATAGGTGCCCATCAGTAAATCTCTCATTGCTGGAATGAATGTCGACAATATCGTGAATTCAGCTTGGACGTGGACGCGTGTCACGTCAAGCAATAAAGATTCTTGCCGAGATGCATGAAGAGTGTTTAACATGTGATTGGCCAGTTGCAGATGTCAGAATCCATGGGCTGAAGCATTCCATATACGGAGCGCACGAAAGCACCGCGAAACAATTCTCCAGCTGAGACAACAATAATGCCGACAGGACATTTCCGGCGATGGTAGACTGCATGATGTTGCATCAAGTACAATACTGTCCTGAATTGGATCAATATTGGCATGGTAATGTCCAATGTACGTCTTGGATGAGAGTCGGTGGGCATTAACTTATCGAGATCCCTGCAGTCATGACGGAAACAGTATCATGATCGTCGCCATGTTCATTTTGAGGTTCAAGGGTTACCAGGGCTGCTGACCAGTTTGGAGTTGTCGTTTTCCCTGCGTTTCAACTTTAATAGGCGTCCTACTACCGGGCCGAGGTTGTTTAACCAAGACAGTCACCAGTGGCCCACTAAGTTAGATTATCCGCCATTGTTGGACCCCCTCACCCTCGACCCTTCTCCCCTGTCTGTCTGTCTGTCTGTCTGTCTGTCTGTCTTGTTTCGGTACTCGCCTCATCCCTTGTCTGGCCGCCTCTCCCTGGTTTGACTCTTGCAGAGGAGGCTCCCGAGAAAGCCACCGAGGGCGCTTGACTGGTGTTGCCGCGTGCCTGAATAGGAACTTTGCCAAGAGCGCCTTCGGAAACACTCGAGGACCAGTCATCCCTCCTCATGACCACTTCATTGAATCAAATGTCGATCACGCTATCACGAACAGGCCTCTTCCCTTCCCAAACGGGGCCAACTGTGAAGGATGTGTGTATGGGCCTTCATTCCTAATGGGTTCAGCCTGACGTGTCGGGCCCCGCCCTTGGATAAGAGGGTACCCCTCTTTGATACGATACTTACGTTTGATGGTGTTTTTTTGTTTGCTTCTTTCTCTCTTTGAACTGTCGCAGTCTGTTTCCCTTTCATCAGCTTGAGCGTATCTGAGGACAGGCTAGGCTTTTGCAATTCGACGCGAGCCAAAAATGTGTGAAATGCCGATTTAGGATATTTTTAGTCACTCTGGTGTGACTTGCCCTTGCAACGCCCGGTTATCTTGTCCCGTGGCCGATGTCGTGACCATGACAGGCAAACAGTACTTTTGTCTGTCCCTTCCGATCTACCCAGCATTAACCTTCCACTGACGGCGACTCTTCTGGCGGCGGTGTGGGATGGCGCTGGCCACGCAGACGCAGCATGCGTCCAACCATAGCGCCAAGCCTATCACCATGAGGCCGATCGGCCCGCCGAGGGGTGACAGGGCGAGACGAGTATCGTGACAATTCCATCTTTTTATTGCCATCGCCTGCGCCATCTTCTGTTCTGATGCTGCTTGGCATGTGAAAAACATGGGCGAGAATAAAAAGTGCACAAGGAGACCCAGATAGATCTGGCCCTATCGGATCCATTTTGACTTTGCGCTTTACCACTGTGTACCTCACCACCGTCATTATTATCATTGATCGCTCCTACTCACTTGAAGAAAGCCTGTTTACTACACAACTCTGCACCCGCTTCGAATTTCCCCCTGAGCCCGTCAAGAACCCACATTTTCCCTCCAAGCTACAATCGGCAAGCAGGCATAGTGGCGTCTAGCCTGTCTTTTTTAGACTTGAGCTAGTCAAAAGTTCGACTGCTCCGACGAAGGCGGTGAAGGTATTCTTCGATTTTCATTTACGGTATCCAGATATATGCCCCGCCATCGATCGGCGCTGTCAACAAGAACTTCGGCTGCTCTAATAATCGTGCCGTACTTTCGCCGAGAAACTCTACTTGATGAGTCTCGATCACGCTGAAATTCCAAACCTAAAAACTCGTCCCACATCGCCATCCTCCGACGGTGTGTTGTTACCCTAATTGGATGGCTTTGTATTTCCGGCACCTTGGTATTTAGCGTCACCCATCGAACTTTCAGGTTTGCGGTCAGGAGTAGACGTCACTGGAATTCGGCAAAACATCAGTGAAGGGATTGAACAGCCAAAACGAAGAATTGCACGTCTAGTCGCTCTTTTCCTCGTCGTTCTCTCTTCATCTATGCATCGACGATTGACCCTCTTTTGTCAAAAAAGGAATTGGCAGAGGAGCTTGAAATAATGGAGAGCACAGCTCCTACAGGGGAGGGCCCGTCGGCTGTATGGAGCGACTTACGAGATAATCTTCAAAACGAGGAACAGTCCGGCAGGCGCAGTTCAAGGGCAAGGTCTTTTACACCGGAGCGAAAGGATCGGAGCTCACGAATGGACGGTGTCCATGTCATGTATCCGGCCGAATTTCCACGTCGACCGTCAGGTCCTCACGCCAAGTCAGCAAGCAATGTTTCTTACTCTGTTGCGGAGAAGCCTTCCCATGGTGCTGGTATCCATGGAAAGTCCACCCCTGTTGTACGCTCTTATTCGCAAGACCGGTCCGCTTCACGAGTTCCGGCTTCATCTCGTCCTCCTATTCCCGCTCGGTCCACTAGCAGGCAACGACGGCCGTCGCTGAGTCGGCCCTCTCTGTCATCCCATTCAGGACTTGCTCAGGGTCTACATTATCGTTTGAGCCAGCGGTCCATGACTGCTCCTCCGACGATGGGACATGATATTCAGCCAGACAGTCCCTTGACCTTTCATTACCGGAGTTGTCAGCTTTTTCAGTCTCTCGAGGCGGGCTCCAACTCGGGTAACCAGCCAGCGATGCATTATCCTCTGCAAAATTCGGCATCGCATGGTCCTGAATCTCTCTATTCGCGGACATCTCATTCGGATTTTGCAACAAAGGCTGCCAGCCCGGCTCTCTCGTCCCATGGGCCCCAAGACCATTATGATTCAACCGAGGAGCAACCAACGAATGATGTCCCGTCAACCGTCATTTATTGGAAGTCGCCCAGCTCACGGAGACGCGAATATGCCAAAATCGACAAGTCACATCGTGGCTTGCGTGGATGGTGGACACGGTGGGCGCCGCGATGGTGCCGGGGCTCCAGCCGCCAAGGATTTTACGATCAAGAAAAGAATAGTGAATGTGGCAGCGTGAGACGATATCGAATGGACCTGCCTGATGAGGACGAGTTGTATCAAGCCGGACGTATTGATGATGGCGACCTGGTGGACGAGAAGAAGCAGGCTCCGAAACGCGATTCTCCCAAGTTGCGCCGGGTCTGGAGTTGCTTTGGCCCGATCAAGGAAGCTGAATCCCAATGAGATTCATGAATATCTTGACCTTCCGCATTCCAACAAGACGACGATGTTTACGACTGGCGATCCATGTGATTCTTGAATGGTACAGCATTACGAAGAGATTCCTGTGAACATGCAGTCATGATTACGAAACAAATGCATACGAACCAATTACTTACATTTCAGCGGCGTCTGGCTGGGCATAGATTAGTTTAAATTTAGCATTTGCGGCGTCGGCATTGCTTTTTAGTTGTACAGCAGCATCATGTTGTCTTTAAGCTTAACAGCAGCATCAGCTTATCGTTAGAGATATCCAATTGTTTTATTGTTTGTTGTAATCACCATTTGATCAATTGCACATAAATTACCCAACTGTATGCACTTCTTCTATGCAGAGCGAGTTTTGCTATATACCCATACAATAAAGAAAGTCGTAAGACCGGAAACACCTTACGTCTATCGAAATCTACTCTAGGATATCCTGTAATATTAGAAAAGAAAAAATAGCAACAATCCCAAGCCACTCTCTACCGACTGGTCCCTCACCCCTCGTACAAAATATCCGTCATTAGCTTTGCCCAACACCACGGTCCTGCCGACGGGTCACCCTCATACGTTGTCGTTACTGCATTAAAATACTCCCATCCCATGACGCCGCCAAAAGAAGGCGCATACCTCTTCCGCAACGTGCCCAGCGTCTGCCACAGCACCGCATCATGCGGCCACACGCGCGTCCGCGGATCTGCCCCCGGCGGCGGCGCATAGCCGCCTACACTCGGATTCGTCGCCAGGCCCAGGACCAGTTTCTGCGCAGGCCAGCCTCGCAGTTGGACCATTTCATCGTAATCTCGGGTGCCAACGACGTTGCCCCACCCGCAGTAGAACTGGACATTATACCAGTCTATCAGATCGCCCATGAGCCCTTCGAGCGCAAAGTAATTGAACCCGCTCAAGTTGACTGCGCGGTCCTGCGGTTCCTGCGGGTCGAGTATCTCCATGGCTTCGTCCCGATTGGACGCGCCGACGGGGAAGAAGCGTAGCGCCGTGGCGACGGGTGCCAGCGTAATGATGAAGGAGTCCCCGAAATCGGCTTTCAGGCGGGAGATGAGTCGCACGATGGCGAGGAATGGGATGGGCTCTTCCACGTCCAGGTCAAGTCCGTCGATGCCAGTCGAGGATATGAGGTCGCGGAGAGGAGCGTAGCGTGCTTCGAAAAGCGCGTCGGGGTCGACGGTAGATGAGGAGGCGTTGTCGTCAATGACGAGACCTTCTGCAAGTGCGGCAAAAGAGCCTCGACATGCCCCGCCTAGCATGCCGAGTACCTTGATGCCGTACACTCGCTGGAGAATCCGCACATCTTCCCATAGCCGCGAAAACCTCGGCGAGCCGTAGGGGTCGTCGTTGAGGCGGGGTCCGTCGGTCCCATTGGCGTTGAGGTGGATTGCGGCGAGGATAATGTGTGTGATTGCGGTGCGGGGAGTTGGTTTGCTAGAGGGAAGAGGAGATGGGGCCCCGTCAGTCTGAGAAGTAGTTGTGTCCGTGGAAGAAGATAATGGCGCTTGTTGTGCTAGTTGTGGTTGGGATTGTGGTGAACGTGGATCTGGCGACGGTTGCGCCGAGTGTTCTTGCACAAGAGGCAAAAGAGAGACGTAGTCCCCATTAGGCATAAACTGAGTCTGATGATAGAGCACAAGGCGCGGAGTATGCTCAGGGTCTCGGAGATCGTCACGTAATGCCGCGCCTGGAGTGATGGGTGGCATGGCGGGGTAAATTGATAGTATTACACCCGAAGACGACCGTTGTGATGAATGAGGTCACGATATGATCAACAGAGCTTTTAGAACCCAAAAGCTAAGCTACCTTATGTTGATGCAGGAGAAATGTAGCAAAGATCCTTGCACGACGACTGGGCTGGGCCTTGGTGAGACGGGACACAGCACGTTGCTCTCTCCCGAATATGGTAATCAGAACAAAGTTGTTCAAACGTCTATGAATGTTCTGGGTCTGTCAAAGACCCTTTTGTGGCGCAGAGAGGATGCGGGAGCTATCCCTGCCGCCAGTCATAGCTAGAGATTGCCTAATTATAGCGAGCCTTCTTGGGAGAACCCGGTTGGGGCCACTCCTGCTACGGAGTGATGTTAACAGTATTACGGCGGACGCGCAAGGTAAGTTATGCTACAAGCTTCTGGTGAAGAGAAACGGAGAAACTGAAGCCATACGAAGGCTTTGTACACTCTTCTAACAATTGTCACAGACGCTCCCGATCGACAAGGTTGCCGAACAGGATTTTTACCTGAGCTGCAGAGAAATGAATTGAGATTTAGTTTGTTGAATCATTCACGTCTGTACGGTACGGTACAGTACAGTATTTACTTCGTCATAGGCTGCGCAACGACAGTGATTCGCAATGAGCGGATTTTGATCGCAGTCAAGGCCCATTACTACTTATATCGGTACGGGACAAATGCCTTCTACGACGAAGAGACCAGCGTAAATGCTTGTAGACTCCAACCTATCGAGATTCTACGCTTTCAGAGATACAGCCATTGAGATCTCCCCGGTACAAGCTGATTGTGTTCAATTATCTGCAGTTGACGCGCCCGGATCGAAATCTTTGGAAGAGTTGAGAGCCCTCAATGCAGTAGGTATATAACCACCTTTTCCTTCTTCAATCATTATGAAGGAACAGTGATCTTTGATCATGGTGTAGGGCATCTGCTTGGCCCTTGAATATCATGCACAACTGTGTCCAATCCGAAAATTTTCAAATTGCCCCTCTAAGGTGGTGAGGGGGCCCGGGACATTTCAGCATCGCCCACATCCAGCAAGAGCCGGATGCGAGAGCTGGCACTGCCGGAAAAAGAAGCCATCTCTTCATCTTGGATTTAGTTGTGTGATGAAGAAGAAAAAAGAAGAAACCCGAGTGAAGGGAAGGGGGAAAATGCTCTTAACTCGCCTCGAAGCTCGGAAGGCTTGGCGGGCTAACTGCATTTGGTAGCTACGTCGGGTTTGCCAATCCCGGGCCGGAGCCTTGCGCTTGAGTTCGGGAATAATGTGATTCAAACTGTCAGATAAAAACTGATAGCCGGAGCTCGTAGACAATTCGGTCTGGAAATTTGTATCAATTTCCAAAAGAAAAAAGTCTCGCATTCTCAGAGAGACCCTTACAGACATGTCTCTCTTTCGAAGCGGCTCTCGGGCCTCATGGTCAGTGCTTTCCTCGACCAAGGGAATCGCAAGGCCAATTCCTGCAATCTATCGCCCTGCAACAGCTGCGGCAGGCCGCAGATGGCGGGGTATGCAGACCATGTCAACGGATGCGCAACAAAAGGTTGATAATCTCGAGAACTTAAGAGTTCAGACGCAAATAAAGTACTGACGGAAATCGCAGCTCGTCTCTGCCCATCTTGACGAAGCCGACCCAGAAATCGACGCCATCTTACAACGAGTACGTGCCATAGATGCGGAGGGCGAAACTGGGGACTGGGATTTTTGGTGCTGACAACTCTCGCCCAAACAGGAGAAAAGTCGCCAAAAGCATTTTATCAACTTGATTCCGTCGGAGAACTTCACATCCCAGGCGGTACTTGATGCCTTAGGGAGTGTGATGCAAAGTGAGTCATGCTTGTATCTTCTGAATAGTCCTGCCGGCAATTTTATGCTAATGGGTCTACCGCAGACAAGTATTCAGAAGGCTACCCAGGAGCCCGGTATTATGGTGGAAACGAGCACATTGATGAAGCAGAGAGCCTTTGCCAGCAGCGAGCTCTGGAGACTTTCGGATTGAACCCCGAAGAATGGGGTGTTAATGTGCAACGTGAGCATGTTCCAATGAAATGTCCAATTTTGACTACTTGCTGTTCTGACACATAATGGAACGCAGCTTTATCTGGTTCTCCCGCAAACTTCTACGCTTACTCTGCAGTACTCAACTGCCATGACCGCCTCATGGGACTTGACCTCCCCCATGGTGGTCACCTGTCCCACGGCTACCAAACGCCGACCAAGAAGATTTCGGCCGTCTCAAAATATTTCGAAACCCTTCCTTACCGTCTGGACGAGAGCACGGGAATAATAGACTATAACAAGTTGGAGGAGCTCGCGCAGCTCTACCGGCCCAAGCTGATCATTGCCGGCACATCTGCTTACAGTCGCCTAATCGACTACCCCCGGATGAAAGCCATTGCGGACAATGTCGGCGCATACTTGCTCAGTGACATGGCCCATATTTCCGGCCTTGTCGCTGGTGGTGTCATTCCTTCTCCGTTCCCTTACTCCGACATCGTCACTACCACCACTCACAAGTCCCTTCGCGGGCCTCGCGGAGCCATGATCTTCTTCCGCAAGGGCGTTCGTCGCGTCGACAAGAAGGGTAACCAAGAACTGTATGATCTTGAAGGCCCCATTAACGCTTCTGTCTTCCCTGGTCATCAGGGTGGGCCCCACAACCACACCATCACTGCTTTGGCCGTTGCGCTTAAGCAGGCACAGAGCCCGGAGTTCAAAGAATATCAAAAGACTGTTCTTCAGAACGCCAAGGCGTTTGCTGAGCGTCTTGGCAAGTCAAAGGAAGAGGGTGGTCTAGGCTACAAGATCGTTGGTGATTTCACCGAAAACCACCTCGTCCTTGTTGACCTCAAGAGCCGCGGTGTCGACGGCGCCCGCGTCGAGCGTGTACTAGAGCTTGTCGGTGTCGCTAGCAACAAGAACACTGTTCCTGGCGACAAGTCAGCCATGAAGCCTGGCGGTCTCCGTATGGGTACTCCGGCAATGACCACTCGCGGTTTCCAGCCTGGGGACTTTGTTCGTGTGGCCGAGATTGTTGACCGTGCAGTCGTCATCACTCAAAGACTGGACAAGAAGGCGAAAGAGTCTGCCGAGGCAAAGGGCCGAAAGAACCCTGGCAGCGTCAAGGCGTTCCTGGACTACCTTAAAGAAGGTGAAAGCGATCCGGAGATTGTTGAGTTGAGAAGAGAGGTTGAAGACTGGGTTGGCACATTCAGTCTTCCTTGGGAGAAGGGCTCCTCTTGAATTGTAGATGACCATAGATGGTAAGTTGTCCTGGAGGGGTCGGAACTTGCGAGTTTGGATGGCAACAGGATAATAGTTGCCCTTCCCAAACCCCTTGGGTGGCATTTTCTATATCGTATACTCTTTTTTACATCCGGCGCAAGGGTTTTTTTGAGTTTTTGGTTCCTCCTCTTTTCCTTTAACATACCTGTATTGATAAACATTCTAGCTCGAGCTCACCAGCATTCAACAGTGAAACGGGCAATTTATATTATTCTTCTTGGCTTCATCACTTCCACTAGGTACGGTTGAATATCTGAGGGAACGTGTTCCATTTGCGACACGCCCAAGCCTTGACTGAGGGTATAATGTAAGAGAGAAAGGAAATGATGCGGAGCAGATCAATGTAGCAGTCTGATCGGATGATGCATACTCCAAGCCTTATATTGGAGCTCTAGATAGCCATTGCCGTTGGTAGGTAATGGTCTCAATTCGAATCTGAGACATCTGCGATTGAATCTGAGGGTTGGAGCCAACCCGGGAAGATGGCGTATGCATCTACTGGCAAACACCGCTGGATTGGTATTATGCTCAAGTCTCCGGCTCAAGACCAGGGCTTGGTTATTTTTTTCAGCCAACCTCAGAGGCGTCGATTCTCTCTCTCCAGAAGCCCTTTCCATAGCTTACGCAGATTTCCTCGCCTTTTCTGATTCCGCGCTTTCTATGTCCATTCTTGCCCGCTGGCAGGACCCAGATGCTCATTCGCCTTTCGCCGTTTACGACGTGCTCTTTAAATTCAGCATTAGGTCCTTCTGGTCGAATGCCTCTGTAATCATTGGTAAACCGAGCTTCGTTGCCCATTTTCGTCGCATCTACGCCGACACCGCAATCTGCATCCAGACAAAGATCATAATTCGAAGACTCGTCAGTGTCAGAAGCAGGGTGGACATAGCCTAGATAATCCACGATAAAGCTAGATGGAGCAAGGTCTCGCGCAGCAAAGAGACCATATTGGCCTACAGCTGGATGTGTCGCTGGAGAAGTGATGGCAGTAATCTTGACAAGCGGAGAAGGCAAGGTATTAATAATACCGGGTCCATTGACTGGGCCATCATTTTGCCTCAGCGCTGACAGCTCAGATGGACCCAATTGCGATGAGTACGCAGGCTCAGTGAGGTAGATGATTCCCGCTGGCCAGTTCTTGGGGGGCTGTTTGGCTGGCGCTGCTTTTGCGGTCCTAGCTGGAGGATGCAGATTATTGCGCGTTGCTGCCTTCTTCACCATGACTATGAGAGATTTTTTATATGGATGAGCATATATAACTACCAGGAGCGATTTTGATCGACAAAGCGGGGCTGACGACTTCGCTTGGTCTTTTGGGTGGAGATGGGAAGCTACAAGGGGGTGTATATATAAGCAGACTTGGTAGGGGAAGGGAAAAAAAAATCTCAAGTTATGTTCGAATCCGTCGAAAGAAGAGATGAAATGTTTGCGACGCTATAGAAATTGTTCATTTTCATAAAAGTAGTGTAAATAGAAATCATAATGATTACTGAAAAGAGCGATAAGCTGCGAACTCGGAGAGCGAAATTTTGTTTAGAGAACCGGAATTCAGAGGCTGCCATTGGTCAGAATAGGGTTGATCCGTTGGGGGCAGAACTGATGGATTGGTTGGTCCCGCGGGTTGTCGGCAGATCAGGATTATTGCCCCGCGTCATTCGATAGTGAGCTCTTGCTCCTCTGCCCATCTTTTTCCGCCCCATTATATCTATCTTTGCGTATCCCGTCTCTTGGAAGCCCTCTTTTGGTTGTACCTACATCATCAGCCATGGCGGAAATGCGAGGTCTCACGCGGATTGCCTCAAGGCTTGCTCGGCCAGGAAGCTTCCAAAGTATCCGAGCTATTCACAACACCCCACCTTCGGCCGCAACACCGGCCTCAACCCCTCACGTCTCTGTGCTGCAGCAGGCTCTCAACGCAGACAAACCGAGAAACAACTGGACCAAGGATGAGATCTCCTCCATCTATAACACTCCTCTGATGGAGCTTGCCTTCGCCGCTGTAAGTCTTTTTCATTGCAGATTTGGAGCTTCGCTTCAAGCTTGTTAGTCATACATGGTAAAGGCACCTTGACTAATTCCGGGCCGTAGGGCACTGTGCACCGAAAATTCCACGACCCAAATTCGATTCAGCTATGTACTCTTATGAACATCAAAACCGGTGGCTGCAGCGAGGACTGCTCGTACTGTGCTCAGTCGTCCCGCTACAACACCGGTTTGCAGGCATCGAAGATGGTCAATGTTGACTCGGTCCTTGAGTCGGCGCGGATAGCAAAAGCTAATGGAAGCACACGATTCTGCATGGGTGCCGCATGGCGTGACATGCGAGGTCGAAAGAGCAACCTCCGGAACATCAAGGCTATGGTCCAAGGTGTGCAGGAATTGGGCATGGAATCCTGCGTGACCCTTGGAATGATTGATTCCGCGCAGGCCAAGGAGCTCCGTGATGCTGGTTTGACCGCGTATAACCACAATGTGGACACGTCGAGAGAATTCTATCCCTCTGTCATCACGACGAGATCGTACGACGAGCGATTGAGCACCATCAAGAATGTCCATGAGGCGGGCATCAACGTTTGCACCGGTGGTATCCTTGGTTTGGGCGAGAAGCCCAAAGACCACATTGGACTCATCTATACCGTCTCCAACCTGCCCAACCACCCCGAATCTTTCCCCGTGAACGCGCTCGTTCCCATCAAGGGCACCCCGCTGGCAAACAACAAGCCCATTTCCTTCACCGGCATCCTTCGCACCATTTCCACGGCCAGAATCACCATGCCCATGACCATCATTCGTCTTGCCGCTGGCAGAATCACTCTGAGCGAGGAACAGCAGGCTCTCTGCTTCATGGCAGGTGCCAATGCCGTCTTCACCGGCGAGAAGATGCTTACGACCGACTGCAACGGATGGGACGAGGATAAGGAGATGATGGAGAAATGGGGTCTCTACCCCATGCCCAGCTTCCAGAGGGGTCAGCTCCGCCAGTTCGCAGGCTCGACTGGCGAAACCGCAATCCCTGCCGCCGAGGCTGAACCCAAGCTCAAGGAGGAAGCCGTTGCTGCGCAGTAAATAATATCTTGAAAAAATGTCTTGCTGACTTATCAACCCCCTTTTTCCTTTTTGTACATCTTTCACGACATGAGTATATAGCGTCATTTTCCTTTTGATCCTTTTCTATATATCTTTCGGACTTAGATATTGTAGATGACAGATTCCGGGCTTTTGAACCCGTATAGTAAATAAACAACTCGATTTCAGCATGCTTGGCATAATCATAAATGGCTTTTTCAATTCATCTAAGTTATCACAAATTGTCTCTGTTTCAAGACTAACATGTTGCAGCTTTCATCATCTGACATGTATACGGCAAAGTAATTTCCTTTCAGCTGCAAATTAGAATCGCGTTCTACAGTTTGATTTGATGTATCATTACACTGCATCACTTTTCCACTCGACGTCATTAAATACTGCATCAACAAAAGCATGGTTCTTGGGAGATGATTGGACGGCAAGAGATTTCCCGGCTGCGGTTCTACTATCGGCGCATACTGTGTGTATTTCCGCGGTGGTGGTTTCATGGCCTCTGGTTGGTTAGCTTTTGCGGTGGTGCTCCCTCGACCGAGCTGTCGAGGCGTTGGAGCTTAATCTCGTTTGCGCACGCTTGGTGAGTCGATACGAGCTGTCCTACCCAAGATCGTTGGTTGGCTGTCATTCATGTATGGAGTACTCGGTATGATTACAGTTGGCAGCCACCCTTGTGACCCAAAAACGTCAGATGCAGGCAGGTTCAATTCAAAATTCAGGTGGCTGTGTGTTTATTATTTCTCTCTGTAGCGCCATCTGTGTCCAGTAGGTAAGTAAGTACTCAACTATTTCGACCTACCACTGGACTATTGGTGAACAGAGGACATGGCAACAGAGTCAGCCGATCAGCAAGAAGCACGCCCTGGCACCAGATGCTGGAAAAGGGGAGAATTGATTCTATAAAAAGACCAAAGACTACATGCTCAGAATCCTTCACCACGCGTTGCGACGAGAAGGAGACGGCAACCGTGCTTTCATGCCGATGCCATCTCCTTGATACAGGTCGCCTTTTGCCCCGAGGGAAACCGTGGTGAGCAATTAGGCCCGAAACGAGAGCTCAAGGCACGTCCCCCTCGATCCCCATGAGTGGCTGGGTGGCGAGACGATCGAGCCTCTTTTTTTTTTCTTCCTCTAGAGGTCTGTGGATAAATCGAGATGGCGTTCTGTACCATGCGACGCAAGGTGTGAGATGAGAGACGTAATGGAATCAAAAAGGGGAAGCTATTACAGCTGTAATAAATTGCAGGTTCTTTTCTTTCTCGACCGTGTTTTACCCTTTGATTGCCTAGGCCATTTTATTATTCTGGATGGAGGGATACGGGGGGAGGTTGAAAGTGTGATGATAACTCTCTCCCCTTTGGCTGAGTTTGGTTGAGCCTTAACCCGAAAGTGGCCAAGTGCGTCGCGTGCAGCTGGAGCTGTCGCGGCCATCTAAACCATTTTGGGGAGATTAATAGCCATCAGAGACCCTGGGCCGGTTTTGCTTCGGCTGCCCCCTTGGGCCATGTCAGGTACACCCGTTTGTCATTTTACAGGGGGTTCCACCTATTAAAGTAGCAATACTTCTTCAAGTGCGACATGGATGCGATGCGTACTTGTCACTGTCCACAAGATATACAGTAGCTCGCGAGCTGTTTGCTGCAGGCACACACTTCCACACCCTAACTTTACCTGTCCCGATACGGTCAGGTCAAAATTACATGTGCGTTTTGCTCCGCGGTGGTTCATCTTGTTGGCGAGCATGATGATAGCGTGGGCTTTTGTGGCTCTACCTTAGTAGTATTATTACGCATGAGATAACACCAGTCAAATGTTAACTTACTCTTGCATGACCGTAACATCCACCTGCACCCAGTGTCATCAGTTGAACAAGACTGAGCCAGTCACTTCCACCCTCTTCTCGTCTTCTCGCTCATTTCTGCCCTCCCTCTCGTCATCGGTCGACTTGAGCCAGAGTCTCGGCTGATTGACTTCGCTCCCCTGGAACAGGAACAGCAACAGGAACAGGAGTTCATGACTCTAGATGGGCCCCTTCCTAGTGTCATCCCTCCCCTTGTCTCCCGTCGTCCTTACAGTTACCTACCCTTACCCCCCTGGTCCTCACCATGACACTCCCGGACCACTCTCCCAGAATGGGTTCGCCTTGCGCCAAAAAGAGCATCAACTCCTAAGGATCTCCTTCAAATCCCGCTCTTACAGCCATGGTTTTTAGCGCAACATGATATCGGCACCACTCTTTTTTTCCCTTTTATCCTGTGAAAATGTGGTACTACTGTAGCGTTGTAGTCGATTTCCCTAGTAAGAGAGGTGTAGTTAGTACTGTAAGTGCGGTAGAAGGCGACGCACGCGCACTTTCTGTAACGCATTTTCCCTTGTGAGCTCCCCCAATCTCCCGCCCTGGTGCATCTGGTGCGGCCCTTTTCTTCTCCTGGCCCACTTGGTATAAGATTCCAGCTCTGCCCCGGATTCACGCCTCTTTTTCCTGCTCCTAACTACTTACTCCCAAACCATACATTCTTTCACAACCTTACTTCCCGGTTCTACGTGATACCGAGTCCATTCTTTTACAAAAAGACCTTCGATTCGTTCTTTCGAGATACTCGACTTTTTATAACTCCAACCTCGAAAAAAAATCTAATTTTTCTCGAAAATTTTCGACTAAATCACACAAATCAATCAATATGCGCTTCACCATTGCTGCCGTCGCTGCTGCCTTCGTGGTTAGCGCCTCTGCCCTGGGCAACTCTACCGCCCATCCCGTCTACACGACTGAGATTGTCACTGCTTTCACCACCTACTGCCCTGAAGCTACCTCTGTCGTGCACAACAACCAGACCTACACTATCACCGAGGTGAGCCCTCCCCCGTTCCCTTCAACTCAATTGGGCGTATGAATTGGGTTTTCTCTGGAGTAACACTGAGCAAGCCCAATCGTTCATTCAACGGAGGAAGCAAAGGGAGAAAAAGAGCAACTGGACTCTAATACGAAAAATACACGATCCTTTTAAAAATATGACAAAGATGCTAACAACTCTCCAAACAATAGGCCACCACTTTGACCATCACCAACTGCCCTTGCACCGTCACCAAGCCCGTAAACTCTGCCACCTTTACGTACGTTTTTCCCCAGCCCATCACTCTTCCAGCCAGGGCTCGTTGCAACACGGCCAAAGAAAGAAGAAGAAAAAAAGAAACAATTGACTGACCTGTCTCTAGCTCCGCCATCCCCATCCCTCTTAGCACCGGCGCCTCTGGCTCTGCCGTGGTGGCCCCCGTCAGCACTGGCGCTCCTTACAGCAACGGCACCGTTCCCACCTCTGGCACCGCCTCTTCCACTGGCGCTACTGGCAGCACCAGCACCACCGGCACCGCTTCGCCCGTCTTCACCGGCGCCGCCAACAAAGCTTTCTCCGCCTCGGGCGCTGGCCTCGCTGGCCTCCTCGGTCTGGCTGCTTTCATGCTCTAAATGAGCTTGAATACTTGTTGATCTTGGACAATCCCCCTTCTCCCGCGCTGCATTCTGACTATGGCGCTCACGCCAGGTCGTTTTGCGTTGCGGGGAAAGTGGTTTTTTCAAAGAGGTGCAGGGAGTATCGTAAATAGTTGGAAAAAAGCGAACGGGTTTGAGCGGTTTGGATAAGTGGATAGTGGAATGTGCGAAAGGGCGAATGTTGAAGATGAGTTGGTTTGGAATAATTCTAGCTTTTTCATCAGCCATGGGCTCAGCTTTTCTTTTCAAGGATCGTCTAAGCCGTTGATTGCTGATTCGGGAAAGCGGACGATTCGTTGGAATCGTTCTTTTTATTTTCCCCCTTCTATTCTCTTTTTTTAGTGCGATCTGAATAAATAATAGATCTAGCTATTCAAGTTTCTAATATAATTCTTCTTCCGATTTTAGATTTTTTTTCTAGCTACGGAGTATGCTTGTTTTTGGTTGTCTACCATGCAGACGAAGCTTCGATATTTTTTGGAAGGGGTTCTTATCGATTAAGCGCGAGGCATGTTAAGCGCGTCGATCGTCAAGGTTCCTATTACCAACCGCCGCAAAAATGACGCAAGTTTCGACTGCTACAGCGAGGACCCTGTGTATCACGGCGCTCAAAGAAGAAGAAGAAGAAGAAATAATCTATCGCAATAATACCCATAAGAGCTCCTTCTCCACCGACCATTGTGCTTGCCAATACTTTCCAATGCTATGAATCTGTCACTAACCCCAAGAAAAGAAAAGGCCCTTCCTAAGTCGACACGGGTTCGCTTCTTGTCATTCTTACCGTGGAATTACATCTTCGTGTCTTTCGCGTTTTCACTTCTCCGACTTCTCTACCCTCTTTGCTCCATTCCTGCAAAACACTCTAGGTCGGTGAGACTTCAGGTACATGAGCCGGCGCTCTCAAAATTTCCGGTGCCACCGGAATATCGTCGTGACAAGTGGAGTGGGAATAATCGTTCCTGACGCATAGCTGATGGTGCCTGTTGCGGTACTGACTCCTGTGCCTGTGCCTGTGCCGGTACCTGTTCCGTAGGAGGTACTGGTAGAGGTACCGTTGCCATATGGCGCTGATGAGAGCGTCGAGGATATGATGGTGCTGGTGCTGGTGCTGGTGGTGGTAGTAGTTGTGTTGGATGACGACAGAGAAGAGGAGAGTGTCACTGTGATTGTCTCAAACTCAGTCGCGCTCGAGCAGTCTCCTGGGTATCCCGGCGGTCCCTTAAAGCCGCCAGCCTCGCCAAATCCACCGGGGAGCCCAGGTCCATCTGGTCCATCAGGCCCCTCAGGGCCCCCGGGAAAGCCCGGAAAGCCCGGGAAGCCGGGACCTTCTGGACTTCCTGGTTCCCCGTGTCCACCGTGCTCACCAAATTCTCCTCCGGGAAAGCCTGGTCCTTCAGGGAATCCGGGTCCTTCTGGAAAGCTGGGCTCACCAGGACCACCAGGGCCACTGGGGCCACTAGGGAAACCGGGAAACCCAGGACCTCCCGGTGCCCCGCCTGTTGGAAATGGAAAGGATACCGCACCAGTGGAGGGCCCAGTGCCCGTGGGACCAACACTGGTGGTGTCATTCGACAGGGGATAAGGTGCTGATGCAAGAGCGGAAGAAATGAACAAGGCAATGCGCAAGTGTTTGAGCAGCATGGCGGCTTCCAGGTACGACACAGGCTTGCAATTGACTTTTGAAGTATGAGAGATTTGAAGGAAAGCCTGAGCGTTCTGCTTTTGGAAAATATCGATCGGCCGCAGAGAGAGATTTAAGAGCTGCAGGTAGAGATGAACGAGCACAGGGTTCAAGTGTATTGCGTCCGACGGAAACGCTGTCAAGGACAACAATGATGATGATGATGATGATGCTGCTGCTGCTGGAATGCTAACAATCAGAGCAATGATAGGCACACAGTAAAAGTCAATAAAAGAAAGACTTAAGAAGAGATCATACGGGAAAGCGGAGGAATATAAACTTCCCCGGGTTTCTCCACGGCCGGCAGGGAAAAGGAGATTCCTTTCCATTCTCCTCGAGTCTTCTGCATGCACAAACTCATCTCCGCTTCGTCTCATAATCGGGCCGTTGTAGTAAGGCATCAGGCAAGATCCCATACGGACATCTTCCTGTACCACAGCAAGCCAAGGCAAAGGCCGGCTGCTCACTTATCCGGTGTTTGGTATGTGTGACATTTTCTACTCATAGCAAAATTATGCTGGTGCAGGGCGGGGCGACGACGGGCATATACCGGCTTCTGTTCCGTGAAATTAAGGGATCCTGCTGTAATCCGTTCCTGGTCGCAAGCTCAAGATACTGCTTCTTTCTCAGCCAGAACATGCAACATCTAGCATAGGTCGCTTGACCTTCTGTCACTATCAAGTCCCATCTAGACGACAAGAGTCCAACATTTTTTATACATATTGGGCTGGATATGTTAAGGAAAGTCAGGTCAATGGATGTCGTCTTTGGGGGGAGGAATATCAATATCAGCGAGAGTTCTCCATTTTTGACCGTCGGCACTTTAGACATCCGGGTCTGCTGAAACTTACTCTTTGCTCGCTCACTTCCGTTCAAGTCAACTTCAGTTTTCTCGTACCACTAGGCATTGAGCCTCGAACCGGGCAGCCATTGCCAATTGCGTGTAGCGCGCTAGTCAATTGTCACATTGGAGAAGGTTGTTCCGAGAAATCGAACCGTTGAACCATTACAGAACGAAAAGTCGTCTAGCTCCAACGAAGAATAAAGAGGACGGGTTCGGGGAGAGGCCGATGAAGCCCTAAGATCAGCCCTCCTTGGTCAGGTCGAGTAACTGCAGAAGGCTGCCGCTGATTTTTTCCAGATAGATCTGCGTTACCTGTGGAATAGATATCAATGCAGGGGCACCGGCTTCTGTGCCACTTCGGCGGCAGATATCCGCCTCTGCGGTATACTGGCTTTTGAGCAACAAGCTTTTTCCGCGAAGATGAAATCGCAGCACAGACTATAACCTGAGTCAACTTAGAAGCATCGTAAAACTGCAGATGCTTTCTTCTTTTGGTCTTCAGGTATCTTCGTGGTCTGAGTTGATACAGCGGATTTCCAGAGTGACATGCAGATCCTAGACGCCAGTGTTTTTAATGTAACAGGCACGTTCTTGTAATGCATTGCTTCACTCATTATAGTGTTGTAATTCCCATGTTCATTTGGACCTCATGATCTAGAGATGCGCGATGATTGCCATTGAGCAAATACTTTTATCGGAAGAGGCCCGTTTCAGCATATAAGAGCATGTGACGTAACTTGATCGAGACGGCTGTATGCGGACAAGAGTAACATACTTTACGAGAACGAGTGGATTTGAAAGGCTTGTATATCTTAAAGGAAGATTTGGGCTGAGAAATGCCCAATCGATTCGGGAGGAATCACAAACAGTGGTGCTGGTATTCTGTTGATGGAGGGCCGATCCTGTATTCGCTATTCATTGCAGGCATAGATCACGCGGTTCCAGGTTTGAACGCCCTCATATTCAATTAAATAATTTGTCAATTAAACCACATTACATCCTTGATGGAAGTAACGGAAAATAGAGCTCAGCCATCAGATAGATACGCCCGGTGTGCTGAAAACGTAGCACACCGACTTTCAATTCCAAAGCCCATTACATTAAAAATTGTCGAGCTTGCTTGAAAGATGAAATCGACAATGAGCAAAAGGCGATACAACCTCATAGAAAATCGGTGAAGAGATGAAAAGGTATAGACCAGACAAATGTCCCGTACAGCATATTTTCGTAGAGACAACCCTCAAATTCGTTCGTATCGAATGGGGCAGTCTGAGAAGCGCTGTCATCTCGCATCCATATCCCACCTTGTCTCAATTGTTGTCAATATAATTTTGGTGGGTAAGCTTTGCAAATCCCAAACCCATCAGAGGTTTTTACCACTCGCCAGTCGCCAGTCGCCGGTATCAGAAATGGGCTAATCATTGACAGCCTCTTGTTGGCGCCCATCTATCTTCGCCACATTGACTCTGTGAGAAACCCAAAGCATATTCTATAGTTGCCAAGAAAGTCATGGCAGGAGGAATGGCTTGGTATCAGACCAAGCCGTGCCGGGCCACGGAGCACTCGAGCCAGCCCAAACGTAACCAATATCACATAACGCCGTCATTGCAACACCTATGCCTCTCGGTGAAGAGAAAAATTACATGTCGTGTCTTCGTAATATGCCTCATGCATCGATGCCTCGCTAAAATGCCTCCCACACCTCCCAAAACAAGGAGTTAAATAGAAATGCAATGATCTGAGAGCAGAGAGAAGAAGCCAAAATGACATCGCATCGTGGCCACATACCCTTCTGCTCTAAATGTTGTCAAGTTCAATCCAGCATGTGCCGGATGTTATCGACAACCTCCTCGCTGACAGAGCTTCGTCTGCGTTTCTGAGCTCGAAGTTCCATTTCGGCATCCATCAACCGTGACTGGACCCAGCTACGGAACGCAGCATCATGCTTGACCGACTCGCAATTCAACAAGCCCGTCAGGGTCGTCTTGATTTGATGATTGACCCCGTAGAGCTTTGTCTCATCCAAGTCATATTCGGGTTCGTGGAATTTTGGCGGAAGGAATGAGGGTTGGCATGGCGAGGACGATTCTGATACAGCATTGGAGGAAACGGATGATGTGGAAGACTGGCTAGCAGAGGGTGACAAGACGGATAGGCGCAGCCGCTCTTGAAGAGAATCGTGCTGTTCTTGCAGAAGAGCGTATTTTTGCAACGAGAAATCCTATTAGGGATTAATAAAAGGGACTTTTTCCTCTTGATCACGATCCTTGTTATGAAATCAGGAAACTTACCCTTTCGGGGCTTGCTTCTCGGCTCATCATAGTTACGGATTTTATTGGGGAAATGGGAGTGGTTTTCTCGGTGGTACAGAAAGAATACTTCTTCCTTCAGTTGGCAAAGTATGCCGTATACTCTGCCAAACGAGCAGTAATTCCAAAGCCAATGGGAGGATTGAGCTTGGTTGGAGAGAGAGAGAGGGTCGGGAGAAGAGAGAGAAGACGGGTGTAACTTTCGAGTTATTACGGAATTTGGGAGCAGACGAACGAACTTAAGTGTTTCGTGGTCTGTCTCGATTGCGTGTACAATTATATGTTTTCAGACTGGTGTAATCCTTTGTTAATCAGGTTGGGGGATGACGCAGCGTTATGATGAATTGTATGGTGGAGAAACCGTAGATTCCATTCTATTTCAATTCCATCGCACAGTAGATATAGTTCCAAGGAAGGTTCGACACACATACCTCAGCGGGCAAGCACCCTCCAAAGCTTCACCTAGGGAACAGCTCACCACCCATGCGCGCACACAATCGCACACATAATCGCACCTGCTTAAGTTTGGGCCTACCTTCTTGGAATGGGGCGATACGTGCCAGTTTGCAAGGGTCAACAGCGCAACCAGGGAAAAGGATCGCCAAAACCCTCCCACTAGACTGACCGGGGGAAGCGAAAGGCTACGCAAAAGCATCATTCGTTCGCAGGCGAACGGCCACTGCTGCTCATGGGGGCGGGAAGCGCCAGGATAACCCTCGTTTGTGCTTCAGTCTGCAACCGTTCTGGGCCCCCATCAAGCTCAAAACTTTACGACTCCCTCCGGTCCACGTATCATGTGTCAGTGCGACGGGCGCCTAGGCGGTGGTGGGAAGAAGCCCGTGGGAAAGCAAACTGGAGGGTGACGCAGGGAAGAGGGATGGACAGGAGAGGAGGTGGCCAAGAAGTGGCTGAGACGGGGAAAGCGGATGGAAACTATTGTGGTGGATGAGGGGTCTAGTTCGACGCAATAATATGGCGGTACTTGGGTCAGTTAAACTAATCGCATTTCCCGTCTTGTGCGTTAGGCCAATCGTAACCCTCATTCCTTCATTCATCCTCGACGGATTCTCTCTATCCCATGTACCCGTTCCCTTTGACCCGTCCCTTCCGGCGTTTTCTTCCAGCAATGGTCCCACAATTCACTGAACCTCCCGTTAACTTTTCGTAGGGTGGTACGATTCCTACAAAACATGAGTGAAAGAGTTCCTGGGCCTTCTTACGGTGCAGGTCTTTCGACGCACACAAGGTCTCGACTGATTCTGAAGGCCTGTGACCCATGTGTGTACCCCAGATGCCGACACGGGACCTGGGGTCGATCATCCCGTTTCGATAACGATGAGACGATTTGGGGCTTTGCTTTTTCTTCGAGAGGGCCCGTGGTTGTACGGGACCAGGGTCAAGCTGACTCTGCATATTCCGTCCCCAACTGGATTTGAGTCTACTTTTCACAAGCCGAGTTAGATTTGGTTTATCTACAGCTAACTATTGGCTCAATTGATTCAGCATATCAATACAGACTCCAGCAAGGTAATGGCGGGAGAGAGGATTGTATTCTCGGCGGATGATAAGCGGTTCACAGCGATAACAGTTCAGTAAGCAGCAACAGTTGCTTCCAATTGTTAGCGGAAGGGCCTAAAAAACAAAAGAAGCGGTTGCGAGAGGGAAGCGGAGGGTCGTATAATCTCGATTGAGTTTCATCGAATGTCGCCGATCTTTACCGGATCGTCCCTAGCTAAAGGGGGGTCGCGAGGAGACGGATGCTTCTCCTTTAGTTGTGGTTTCTACGTCCATTTTCTGTTTGAAAGGGACATTGGATGATCACACTAGAAACTACCATCGAACATCTTTACCATAAGTTTAATTCCCCCCCAAGGTTGACTGGGTCTTAGCTAGGAAATGAGCCTGCCATCTTATGCAGCAAACCACGGCTGGGGCTTCTGTTGATCAGGCGGGTTTTCGTACTAAAGTTAGCCTAAGCTGGGGAAAAGGCGGGGGATAGGAACAACTCATTCCAAATCCGGTATAGTCTCTTGCCTACGTCAGCGATGAAAATGCTCTGCCGAACCTTTTTGTTCTGCCGATCAGTTGTTATTATTATCTTTTGGTTGGAATTGTCTGAGAACTCATCTACATTAATAAAGACTTGCAACCGCCTGGATTGTAATTCTCTCGTAGGAAGTGACGAAAACGGATTTGATTGCTTGTGTTGGCATGTCAGATGGTTGGGTTGGCCAAGGTCGTTGAAACAAAGATTCCGCGACATTGGCAGAATCATAGAGAAGTCTTGGATGACGCTATCTTGGTTGCCATTGTGAACAGCAATTTTTTGTTTCGAGATCAGAGATATCGATGCCAAAAGGGTGTAGGAGGGGTCTAGGATTGACGCAACTCAGACAAGCCCGAAATTTGCCCTTGCCCTGAATTGGGTCAGCACAGCGTCGACGAGATCAGAAAACCTGTCAGTTCGAAACCGAACATTTAAACTGGACATGCAAATAGTGGGAAAAAGCTCAATGGCAACCAAAAAGTCAATTGAGCCTTTCCCACCTTCCAAAATATTTTTCCTTATCCCTTGGTCACCCCCTTTAAACCCATTCCCTTTTGTTTCGCATTTCAGTTTGTTTTCGACCAGGCACGGAAACTCCCGTTGGCAATGGAGGGTCACGTCATGCCTCAAATTGTTTATTACGGTCACCTGCTCTGCTCGACCCAAGGACAGCATGAGCGACGGCGCCCTGAAGCGATGTGGTAACTACTGGCTGGCATGCCCGAAAACAGCTATCCATTCAAAAGGAACTTTTCCTTTTGTTTCAGTTTTGCCCATCTTGTCGCATTTTGCCACACGTCACGCCGTACCCTAAGGTATGGATCATGCGAACTGCAGGTCCCCCTTCTTCTTCTAGAGTTTTCTGTAAAATTAGTGCCCTTTGACCCTAAGGGTCCTAGTCGTGCAAACAATGGCAAGGGGAATAGAGAGGGAGAGAAAAAAAAGTTCCCGGAACAAGGACCCCAATTCCCCTATTGTCGATACAGAACTTGACGATCCTGACGATCTTGTTGATCGCTACTGTGTCATCCTCATTTTTTCCCTTCTAAGCAGGCTTTATTCATCCCTTGGGGGGCAATGCGCGCCTCTCTTCGATGAAAACTCCCTCCGTACCCGTAGTACGGGATACCTTGGTAGACCTATTGTATGAGTGTGATTTGAAACCTGATATTTCTTGTTCAACAACGCATCGAACAATGACCCAAAGGCCTTCGGTCAAAAACATGTTAAAGTTACGTTACGACAAGGGCCAGCAAATGAGACACTTGCACACCCCATTTTTTTTTTTTTTTTTTTTTTTCCCCTCAATTACGAAAAGGCTATACAAACCCTCCGTACCATGTAGACGGGTTGGAGAGAATGGGCAGCAGACAGACCACGTTTTCTCGGCCTGCATCCTGCAAGCGCCTCAATCAGTGGGCCCCTTGTTTTCTTTTTCTTGCGATATTCAATAGTTCCGATTTTTCCCTGGTACTGGGGAATTGAGTTGTCCCGGTTTTTTTTTGTAGGAGTCGTGCGTGTTGTGGCTGAGATATGGCTGAGACATTAGTGGCATGATGAGTACCATGCACCGCCAAGTTTCCACTGGTGGGAAACATTGCGTGTGGGGTCGAGAAGGAAAGCAATAGGTTATGAGTATTTTCATAATGCTTGCATTATTATTCATATCTCAGATGACTTTAAGCGTTGTGCAAAACCTGCGGGTAAAAACAGAGACAGCGAAGATTTAGCTGTTGCTCGGTCTCATGTCCTCTTACGTCGCTGACGCAGACACTCGATCGAGTGCCCATTGAAAGAAAAGGAAATGGCCCATCTAGTAGAAAGAAAAGAAAAACCCATCCCCTGATCGAATGCATACCAACAAGTCATAGTGCAATCTGAAGCGAATTCGTCGCTATGCAGGTCTGTTGTGTCTATATGTACAGCAAAATGTCATGTTCAGGCCTAGAAAGGTAATGCCTGCTCCAGGTGAAAAAAAAAAATGATGCAATTCCAATAGTCCGTTACCAAACGAAAAGGCAGAATGCTAACATGACAATAGCAGAAGGAGTATACATGATTCTCTCAGTTTCAGGAATTCTCTCCCGAGGAGCATCCAATGCAAGAGAATATTGAAAAAAAGAAGAAATCGTATCATGTCGTAGCATGCCATATCCAGAAACAGCACAACAATGAGACAAAGCTGATGTCTAAAACAAGAAACAAAAACTCAAGCTGACTGAGCCAAAAAAGGGGAGGGAATAAGATGCAACTTGCGTTATATGAAGGCACCAGTATCCGAGCGGCGATCCTCCCAGTCAGATGCGCTCCGAGTGCTTTGATGCCTGCTTGGACCCTGAGTCTCGCTGAGATCATGACTATCAGAACTAGCACGTTCATGGCCAAAGCTTTCATCAGAGTGAAGATCAATGTCGCGACCCTCGACAGCAACACGAGGAAGAATGAGATCACGAGTCGCTACACTAGAAGATGGGTCGCTTCCTCTACTTGTGCCAGAGCCTCGATGATCGAGGTTACTGATTGGTTCTACATTTCCGACCGTCCTCGTGGCTCCATAACCTGTTGATTCGGTATCCTCATTGTCATCAAGAACGGGTATATGTGCTCTGCCGGCGATATTTGAGGGATAACCGCCGAGCTGGTGCCAGTCCTCGTCTGAAGACGTCCGATCAGACATGATGTCATGCTGTTCCTCTCCATCGTGGTAGAGATCATCCTCAGCCAATAGATTCTTGGAGTCGCCTTTGACAAGCCCGAGCCGTTCTTCCTCCGTAGCGTTTCGCATCATGCTCTCGCTTTGATCACGACTATGCCTTCCACGATTTCCAAAGCCAAGAGCACTTGACGGACGATGGCCATCATTTTCCGAATAGCCATCATCTGATCGATGTCGGTGGAAGACCTTTTGGAAGGAGAACTGTCGCTTGGCTCCATGAGGCGGTGGATTTGGTGCAAGGCTGTTGCTATCATGTTCCGTTCCAGAGGATGCTGTAAGATGCGGCTTTTCGTCAACCCCAGACGCCCAGCGGATTTGCGTACTTGAGCTAGCATTACGAACGTCCCTGTCCCCTTGGAGAGCAGGCGGTAGGCCGAATGTGTGCGTCATTTCGGTCGACCTTAAGCTCCCAGCGTCGTCGTCGGCGCCATCTACTTTGTACGGCGTGACTGAAATCTCGCTCAATGGCACATAATTCGGGTTGTGTAAGCTGGAACTTCGAGAGTCCAAGTCGACTTTTGCATTGCCAAATGTTGGCATTGTTGATGTTTTTCGGCGAAATTGTCCGAAAAAGCTCCTGTCTGTGCTTTGACTCTCTGGCCGCCGCTCATCCTCTGTTTCATCGGGGAAGTACGTCAATCCGAGTGGCGGATGACGTGTTTTGGTTCGATGAAGGCTGCCAGGGCCGCTCCTAATGGTCTTACGACGTCGTATGCCATCCCATTCAACTTGTTCATTCTCACCAATCGGCTCAAGATCATGCATCCGGTCACTCTGAACTCTCTTCGCCTCCTCCAGCTCCTTCTTCTGCCTTGATTGCGAGAATCTTCGGACGATAGCAGACGCTCCGCGTATAGCATCGGCCTTTGGTTCAGACTCGGGCTGTTCCTGTTCAGCCACTGTCCGCACTTGATCCAGGTCACCTGTAAAGACAGCGGCATCTGGAACGTCCTTGGCCGATTTTGAGAGCTGCAGAAGGACTACACCTGAGCAAATCTGGAAAAATCCAAGCACCACTGTTACGATTGATAGTGCGGAGCCCTTGAAACCACGGAACAGGATGGCAGACGTGACAATGGTCGAACTTGTAAAATATACATAATACGTTGGCGTTACTAGAGCTGCATTGAAGATGTTGAGGGCTTTCTGGAGCATGTGTTAGAATAACGGATTAATTGTAGGCAGAATGGTAAAGCTTACATTGAGATAAATTATTTCAGTGATCAGTGTGGCTGCAACGAACACCAGCAGCACATAAAGAAACCACTGGTTGAATTGCGGAGTACCACCAATCTGCGTCACAATTGCCGCTCCGAGACCCTGCGTTGCGACAACGCTCAATCCGCCAATGAGACTGCAGATGCTCAAGTAGACCATCATGCTCTTTTTGCCATATCTGGGTCCAGCCCATAGAGCGACAAACACACAACCCACTATGATGACTCCTGCATAGCTGAGAAATCCCGGTGAAATCACATAGTGTTTCATCTCCTGGATATCGGCGGCGGATGATTGCTCTGGGGCATTGATTGCTATGACTACCGATCCAATGATGCAGGAGAAGCATCCGACCTTGCCTACGAAGCTTAGTCTTTCCTTGAGGAATATGGCTGACAATATCGTTGTGATGACGACAGAAAGTGCTCCGAAAGGTGTGACCAAGATCGCGTCGACAAATGCGTATGCCACAAAGTTGCACACTTCTCCAATAATCATTAAGATCATGCCAGCCCACCACCAGGCATTCTTAAGATACCCGTATCCTTCCCCAGCTTCCTGATCATATTTGACATTCGATTTCAATAGACCAATTTTCTTAAGGACGAAAGATGAGCCGATAAAAAGACCTGACGCCACTGCCAAGGATATGCCAATCGCCTTGTAGACTGGGGGCCGGCCCGCTGTATCGGCGTTTGCGCTCGAACGAGTGTGTAATGTATGGGCGGAGGACAGAATATCAGCGCAGATATCCATCGCGTATCAGGAATTGCGACACAAAAGCCCAGGAGGCAGAAGGGCGCTGCCTCCGGGGCAAACGAGATGTGGGCGTCTTGAGAAAACTCAAAGTAAGCAACGCTTTTAACGCTTCTCAAAACGGAGTGCTGCGAATTGGGGAGAAGGTCGGTTTAGGCCATCAAATGGCAATCCAGCCGATGCTTCGTGCGGATCTGAGATTCGTGTTTCTATGCGCTCATCGACACTGGTTCCGCCGGAGTCTCCTTGGTCACTATTGATCTCTTTGCGGACTATCCTCAGATATCAGCGTCGTTGAAACGGTGAGACGTTCTCGACAAGGCCAGCCAGGAATATGAGCGCAATACCCAGCGAGGATGGAAAAGAAATTCCTAACTGGGAAATATAATTGAATATGTGAGAATTGGAAAAGAAGTGCGGCTGCGCGCGAGGCACAAGGGTCCTCGGTCCAGACAGTACTGGTCGAGCTAATCGAGGTCGACGCCAGTTGGTTACGACCAGGGTGGCTCTCGGCTGTGGTCCCGGGTGAAATGGCGCCAGTAAAAGCAACAAGAGCAAATTGCTATTCGGAGCAAGTAAAGGAAAATGAAGGAGTTCCGTCGAGTATTGCAATGTGTGCGACAGAAGAAAGGAACACTAGTAGAGAAGTGGGACGGGAGAGCGTCGCAATGTGGCTCGGCGGAGAACGATACGCGCAAGCCAACCACAATCTGTATGGGCCAGTGGCAGCGCCTAGAGTGATAGATAGCAAAGGAGTCGCATTTTACGATTTTATGCTGACGGCTGCCCACTCGTCTTTGTCAGAAATCTAATATTTGTCTGCCTGTCTACAGGCCAAGTTTGCGACGAGAGTGTAGGTGCAGTATACGACAGTATTTGAGCAGGCAAGGGTTGTAACAAGTTGTTTTGGTGTTTCTATTTTAGCTGATCGGCAGGCCCTTTTGGGCTTTGGTTCTTTTAACTACTCTCTCCCCACAGCAACCGCTGTGATGTCACTTCTACACAGGGTGAACTTCATTAATTAATACGCTCAAGGCTAAGATTCCGTCGTATATAATTGCCAAAAAAAAGATGATGAAGTGGCTCCACCTTGCTAATATAGGAAAATGCGACTTATTGTTGGATTTTGTAGACTGAGTTGTCTAAGCGTAGGGCTTAAGCAAATTTTCACAGTGTCTGGACCGTTGATTATATATATTTTAAAAAATATCAATTTTCAACAACTGGATAGATGGCCGAGCGGTTAAGGCGTGTGACTCAAGATCTAGGATCTTGCTCGCTATCAAGCGAGTTGAATCACCTAATCAGGTTTCTCATGGGGCAACCCGCGTGAGTTCGAATCTCACTCTATCCAACATTCTTTTTTGTTTTTGGATATATGCATTTTATATATCTCTTGCATTGATATTATTTTCGTGTATTTTCGAGTTTAAAAAAAATTTTTTATTAATGGAAAACTATCTTCTAGTGCGCACTCGAGTTTTTCTATTCATTTTGATTTTATTTTCCCGGTGATGAGTTACGAGGTTTTAATTTTATTTTTCCGCTTTGCTAATTCCTCAGCACTCGTTCCAATTCTCATTTTCACCAAAATATGCACAGGAAACAAGTCCTCGGGGTTTCGGTCAGAGCTTGTGGTGATAAATATTTAAGTTCAATCATTATTCTACAGAAGCTACTCCTTCACCTGTTACAAACTGGGCATCTGACGTCTATACCTGAGACTCAATATGTCCACTGACACATACTGAGATGATGACAGTGCAATGATCTTGACTTGATGTTTCCTGATTTGGTTTCTCCATCAACTCTTGCTGATGATGGAGTGGGTATGCTCAATTTGTCAGTCCGGGCCAGTCTATGAAAATATATTAGCTCCGATATGGGTGTAGATTAAGGTTCATGGGGGGTGACCTGACCGAAAGTTGACCGGCTCTCATTTCGCTTTGCAATGGTTACTTCGTCGCCGACACGAAAGAAAGTATTTTGCTCAAGGGAACTCCCTATGAAACCATATCGACCAAACACTGGACTGTATTTAGTTCCTTTGTCCACACGGCGATCTTTCATCATGAGCTTAAGAATCTGGCCCTGCGGGCCATCCCCCGGCCGGCCCTTTGAATAATCTACATTAACACTTTTGCAGCGACCGCAATTGTGTGTGAGGATCATCGTTACGGGATCGCGGTTTGCTGGGTGGTATAGCAATTCACCCCAAAAGTCTTCCTCAAAAGGTGAAGGCGCGCCAGATACCACTATATTTGGACGGAATCGCGCCATGTCCATCTCCTCGCCATCCGGAAGCCTCCTTGAGATATCACCCAGCGAAGTGGTCGAAGTGATGTGGTAGGGTGCAACATCAGCAAAGGTAAGGACATCCTTTCCGGGGCTCAAGGAGCTCAATCCGGGAATATTAGGAATCCATGAGCTCCAGCCAGTAGGCTGCGGTGCCATTGTGCCGAGCGTAGAACGATTGCTGGACCCTAAATACACAAGTAATACTTCAAACCCAAAGTGTTTAGAGAACCAGTCATTGTAGTATGGTTCCATTTCATATGCGGTGGCTGGGACCGACCACAATGTCACCTCAATCCGAGAGAGCTCTGTTGTATCTGGTTTCAAAGGGACTGTCAATGTCTCCGGGTGCGCGGCCCCCGGCAAGGTATGCGTTACAGTTATGGAACCATCCTTGAGGTTATCCGCGGTTGGTAAAGTCAAGGCCGTATAAAAGAGAGACATTTGCGGCAAATGAGGAACCTGCATATTCTCCAGACGCCTCACGGTTTGCTCATCGTGATGGACACGCAGAAGCATAAACCGCCGGTCATAGGGAAACCCGGTCCGAGTGATTTGGGCTTCCTCGAGGTTGACGCCTCGCAAGGACTTGATGGGATAGGTAACGAGCTTTATCAATGGATCAGTCAGGAAAGATCATTCGAAGACGAGGCATCGCATCGAGGCACCTGATGGATCTTCATTGCGGCCGGTGCTAATAATTATATCCAAATTATGAGGCCTCTGTATTTTCTATCGATCAAATTGGGCGGAGATGGAAGGAAGAAAAGAATGTCTAGACCGGCTCCATATCGTATATCTCCTCATTCATATCAGACGGCATGGCACCCATATAAATACTACGAATTGACGCGGGTAGATTCAATTAATAAGTAGGCTGGTCAGCACTACGACGAATCATGAGATGATGCTGTTTAGATCGACCCAACGGATAAAATCACCCTGTCAGGCGAAGGGCGCATCAGATAACCGATTTGAGCATTAATATGTCGCACCGGGACCTGAATTAGCCTGTAATCGTTAATGATGAGGCTCGCTCCAGGTCCCTAAGAAGAATAAAAACGTTAATCAAATGTCAGAATCAAAAATACAATACATTGCAGAATTAAAAGAGCCGAAGCTCTTGAGAATGACCCACAATACTTTCATCTCCCCTTGAGAGACGAGGCGAGGCGGGGAAAATCGCACCTGCGCATTTCATCTCCATCTCGGACATTGAAGCGTTTTCACCGTTCTGCCTGATGTACCTTTGTACCGGAAGTGAAAGATAAAGTGTGGCGGTACATGCAACATCCCGAAAAATACCCCGAGCGTCGAATGAACTGCGTCATTGCCCACACGAGTAGGAGTACATGAACAATACAAGGTAGGAATACCTACCTACCTTAACTCACCTATGGTATTTGTAACCAAGGTAAGCAATTCCGTGAATATGCAAAATTGTATAAAAAAATCACAAGAGTGCCAATGTACAGTAAATACACCATAATCCAGGAGCTTCGTGAAGAGTATAAGTTGATCACCTGCCCCGAATTCGGTAGAAAGATGTGTCGAACGAATGGCATCGCGAACGACTTAAAAGCTGAGCACAGCCACCTTCGGCACTGACAGTATAGTACGAGTAAGTGACGGAGGTGTGGCGATCAGTTTGTCGTCTTCCATTTCTTTCGCCTTTCATTGTCGCTTTCTCAGCCGATAATATTTCTCTATCATTGGAACAGAGTCTAATTTACCTGGGATGTTCCTATTGCGGTCGAAGAAGACTTTCTGTTCGAAACTTTAACATCAGCTTTCCAACCTCCTGCGCGCTGGGCTTGCCCCGCCGCAACGTAACTTCTCTCTCTCATTCTCTCTCTCTTCTCTCCGCGCACATGAGGTAAGCGTGAGAGCGAGCTGCGTCTGACCCCCGAAAGAAACGTCCGAGGAGCCCTCTCGACGGCGAACAATAAGTCTCTGCATGCCCCGCCTTGTCTCAGCCCTATCGCCATCAAATCTGCTGCCTTGAGTCGGTAATCTACGTCGCTTTTTATCCAGCGATTTCCTTCGTACTCTCGCCATCTTACGAGATACATTTCCAGTGTCAATTCACCGCGTTCGAGAGGTCACCATCATATTCACAAAGTTCTTCCTTTTCTGCCTTGCCTTTCGGTTTGCAAAGAGCACACGAGGCCATGGAGCAAAGTTCCTTGCGCCGCAAAGATACCACAAAGGGCCCGCCGCTGCGGATCCTGTCCCTCGGTGCGTCGATGTTCTGTCGCACCCATGCGCACTAATTTCTGCTTACTGACAGAGGACCGCAGATGGCGGCGGTGTTCGCGGTTACTCTATGCTCATTCTTCTCCAGGAGCTGATGCATCGCACATATGTTGAAATTGAAGGCAAAGCCCCGAAGCGGGACCAGATCCCAAAACCTTGCGATCATTTCGACCTCATTGCCGGCACTGGAACAGGAGGCCTGATCGCCATCATGCTGGGGCGCTTGCGACTCGATATAGAAACCTGCAAGGAAGTGTATGTGCGCATGACGCGACGAGTCTTTGAGACAGACAAGACTTTCGCCGGGATACCATACCGATCAACTCTATTCAAAGCTTCCAAGTTGGAGGACGCAATAAGAGATTGTGTTCGGGAACATACTATATTCGAGGAGGAGGGTAACGACGGAGAACTCGGCACCTACTCGAATTTGCCCATGAGTCCTATGAGCGCAGTGAGCAGGTCGAGTCTTGGTCCGTCGAGGTCCGTGAGTGTCTCTAGCGGCACTAGAAGCGTCGCAAGTTTACAACTCTCAAATGGTGGCGTTCGCTGGGGGAATCCTAATGCGGCATTATATGATGCACGGGAGAACCGAACAAAGACGTGAGCTTCCTCCGCTTCTACCCAAGGTCCATTATATCTTTTTTTTTTCTTTTCTAACCGTGTTTGCAGAGCCGTTACCGCAGTCTACAAGGGCACGCCAAAAAATGGACTGCCCGCTTTGCTTCGCTCTTACGATTCCAGAAAAGAGCCTGCACCAGAGTTCAATTGCACAATTTGGCAAGCCGGTCGCGCGACCTGTGCAACCGGTTTAGCTTTCAAGCCTATTCAGGTGGGGCAGTCGGTATTCATCGATGAGGGTGCGGGTAAATATAACCCGTCGCCTGTGGTGCTAGACGAGGCTCTCTTGAACGAATGGCCCGGAAGAGATCTTGGGATATTTGTTAGCATTGGGACTGGAAAGAGGCCTGCTGGAACCAGTCAGCAATCACATCTTTGGTGGGAAGGATTTATGGGCGGACTAAGCGATTTTGCTGAAGCGCGGCGACGATTGATCTCCAAAATCGAAGGCTGTGAAGATATCCACCAATACATGCGCAAAGAGCATTTCAGAAAAAGAGGAGCGAATCCGGACAACTATTATCGACTCAACGTGGAGGTAGGAGTTGGCGAATTCGGAATGAATGAGTGGAATCGGCTAGCAGATATCAGTACGAGTACGCGGAGATACCTTGGCAAAAGCGACGTGCAGAAGATGAATATGGAGGCATCCGCGAAATTGGGAAGAATACACCGAGCAAGACAACGTTACTATGGCAAGCTCCACGCTGAGGAGCTGGATGGGACGGAGCTGGATCGACCGCTGCCTGATCTTCCGCCGCCTGAGCAGCCCTTAGCCGTTGAATTGCCTGCAAATGAAATTCCGATTTCCCCTACTCAGCATCCAAGCCCCAAATATTCTGCACCGCAGCATTATCCCTCTCTAGCTACCGAAGACGACAAATTCGCCGTGATATCATCTGACGAATATCCTCAACCTGTCGACCCCGCTCTCGCACCGAGGCCATTATCTAGCGCTCGAGTCAATGATTATAAACGGGGCGACTATCGTTCATCAAACGGATCAATTGTCCCATCACCCCGAGGAAGTGGTGAGCTTGAAGGAACAACAAATGCGCCACCACTCCCTCCCAAAACTCCCTTACCTTATCCTGACAGCCCTCCAGCTGTCGGTCGCAGGATAAGCGGTCCGCCTCGAGCAGGCCCTGGTGTCAAGTTGCCATATCCTGTAGAAGATGGTCCGCCGCCTGTAGTCAATATGGCTCGCAAACCAGAGTACGGCGGATGATGATGAATTCGGAAATTTTTTGTCCTTGCTCATGGAACTTTGGAAAGATTTCGAACGTTCCTCTTCTTATTATTTTTGATTCATTTTCTTTTTTTGGATACCTATGTCTGCAATATTCGTGGATAGCTATGATGGCGTCTACGGCTAACGATCATCTCTCAATTTGAGTTTGGATAGGGTTGCTCATCCTCTATTAAAACGACTGCTATAACTTTAACAGCGCTCATCCTATATTAAAACGATTTTTTATAACTTTAACAGCGCTCATATACTAACATACCAATCTGGGATTCTTGTTTGGTTGTCCCTTAACATTGAAATCTAGTAGCGCTCGATTCGATGATACCTGTTTCAAACGCCTCCAAACCAAGCTTTGCTAGTAATATTAAGGCTAGACCTTGGTTACACCAAAGGTTAGCCTTAGTATAATGCGCTTAGCAATGTAGAAACCGGGCGGTTTCTTCGTATTAAAATCCCACATTTCAATTGGAACCTCTTTTTTTCCGCTTCATCTTCGTATTAAAATCCGAGATTTCGTGAACCTCTTCCTTATTTTCTTCTCCTTCTTCGCACAACCTTTTAATTATCACCACCACCACCACCACCATCATCATCATCATCATCATCATCATCATCATCTCCATCATTCTCGATGGCGGGTTTTCAGTCCATGGAAACAATTGTGGCCTTAGCTGGCCTGTTAGCCCGCAGCAGCCGAAGCGCAGCAGATTCTGACGCACTGCCAACCTGCCAGACTGTCCAGAATCTGACACAGACTGCTGCACTTTTTGCAGTAGGCCTGTGAAGGGTTGCTGGGTGCCAATGATGGCAGCAGCAACCAGCCCGGAGGCGGGACACAAGCGGCTCTCCGGAACGTAGAAGACTTCCCGGTTCTTCGAGAACCTGGAAGTAACTTCTTACGCCATCCTTAGCAGCTCCGCTTCCAAATCCGGGCTGGCATGTCTGTTGCTCTGCCGGCACTGCCGTAGAACCTGCGGATGCCCAGACGCCCAAGGATGAAGAGAGCGCTTTTGGAGGTACCATGTGGTACCTTCGATGAACACTCCCTCGTGAAGGGAGTATTCATCTGAGGGCTAAGACACGCGACGCTGGCCGATAAGCCATCGTCAGCGACGCAGGTTCAATCCTCTCAGACGAGGGGCTCCATTTTTTTTTTTTTCGGGGTTCACGACCCTTCCAGAGAGACAACGGACCGCTCGGGAGCTCTGCCGCCGCCATGCAGCCAGTCTGCATGGCGAGCGGGAGGCTTACGCCGTATTGCTTGAGGAGTACGAGCGGACGATGACGACCTGGGAATGGGATTGTGCTGAGTTTGCTGTGCGAAATGGCATAGCATTACCTATAGATATCAGCTTGATTGAATTTTTGGAGATCCGGAGGCGGGCGGAGATTTAATTGCATTTTACACAGCTAATAGCTTTTGCTTTGCCGGCATAAAAATTGCTTTCATTGCCAGAAGCCAAATACTGGCCGAGTGAACTCGACAATTTTCATCATCGGAGAACCCGAGCACAATTCCTCTCATTATTCCGTTCATGGGCTGGCCAATTCCGCCGCCTGGCCCTTCGGAAATACCATATTAATAAACACGAGCTATGGGCTTTCATCAAACTCGGCAAGAAATATCACTATCTTCTTCGAACTCCTGGAAGCACCGCTGTCATCCACACAGACCATGGGCCTTAACACCATTATGGTGTCATCCGTTTATTCGACAATCATGTTACTATACGCCAAGGTATACATGGTCGCTCCGAGCAACAAAAGTTATACAAAAGGAGCATTATGACCACCATATTCGTCAGGTGAAGCGTGCGGTGGAGGATTTTGTTATGGTCTACGAAAAGGATAATGGCTCCTTGCTGGCGTGGTCCATTCGTTGTTACGGAGGTTCGAGATAGAGAAGTCTCTTATTGCGTCAAACAACTTGACAGTCGTCGCATCCGAGGCACCTTTCATGGCGACCACCTTCGTGCTTTTAGGCCTCGTCAAGGCTGCATTATCCCTACGCAGGAATTGCATGTTCCAGACAATCAAACACTCCGCGCTTCAATTCATTCATGATCTATCCATATCGCTTTGTTATATGTACTTCTATGTAGGTATACCAAATGGCTTTATTCTTTTAACACTTCAATTCATTCTTTGTCAATATATAATCAATTCAGTACAGTTTTTTTTTAATGCATATAACATGAGTGATTCATCCAAGACAGTTGACATGATTTCTGAGGGCAGCATAGCAGCGTTGGCCTCGACGATACGACGCTGCTGACGCTTCTTTGTCAAGTTGGAGGGGACCCCCGGCCGATCTAATTGTACCTCTATACCCAAGTGTTTGTACCGCTACTCCACCTTCTTACCAACAGTAGTAGCTTTATAGGTATTCACTACACTCTCGCTACCTACCTACCCATTTCATTTAGAGGTAGGCGGGCATACCTAGCACCCAGGAAATGATCAGGTATTCTTGTTCAGGCATTACCTAAAGTTACTTAAGGTACCTCACCTTTTGGGGCTGGTAACTGTCACCCTGATCCCTGAGGAAGAAGTATTGCTCTGCTTGGAAGGTACATATCTTTAAGCAAGGTCGAGGGGTGTATACTTAAGGTAGGTACCGTAGGTACCTGTATAGAAGACCCTCGGACCCTCATCTGCTTAGCTTAAGATCCCTAGATAGGTACCTACGGTACGTTTGGTAGCTTCTACTCCGTAATCATTGATCCGTTTGTTTTCCTTACTCGAGAGCCATGCAATCGTTTTGCTCTGATTCCTGTGATTGTTCAAAAAAAGCTTGTCTTTCTCGTAGGGCTGTTGCTTCCTGTATTTACCGTATGTAAATCCATCCCAATCTTGGTCGAACCCGGGCTCGGTGGTACATACATACCGTCAAATGGGGTTCGATTCCTAATGGCAGTGGTCCAATGGTGGAGTTGGTTTTTCTCCTGCATCTTATCCTTCCTCGCTCCAATGATAATGATTCGAGTAATAGTTACCCTGAACCATGCAAGTATAGAAGCGGGACAACAACCCCCTTTGTTTTCGCGCCCCTGTGGCTGTTGTTAACCCCCACCCCTCAATGTCGAATGATCTTTTTGTCACTGTCGTTCTTTTACTGGGCCGGGGGGAAACAATCTTCAATTTTGTCAAGATGCTACTTTAACGCTACGAATCAGTTAAACGAACCTGTTTGCTGCTATACTTGAAGTAAGTAGTGTCCTGGCTATCAACAGGCATTGCACTCTGAATCATAAACAAAGCTAACAAAGATCTACAGAGACGATACTTTGGATCGAAGAAAGAGGCTCAGCCATGTTCCCATTTTTCGCAGCTCAATTAGGTGGGTATATCTTTTCCTTTGATGTGTAGCTGCTCCTTCCCGGCCAAAATGGTGGATGAAATCTGGCGATCCCTCGACGAGAAATAGTCGCCCACGGGAATATCAAGTATCATTTCAATTTCGTGTTAAATCTCGATCCAAGAGTCATCATTTGCCGTTATATATTCCTCGGTTTTTGTGTCTGTACTCTCGCGGTGGCTCTGACCGTCTATGGTCACAATCCGTACAAGTGCATTGAGATTGATGCTTTCCTCCATCAATCACGATGCAAGTCAAAAATTCCCGTGTTGCACCGTGGGGTTAGGGAAGGTCTGCTATGCCGATGGGGAAGTTAAGCCCCAAGCTTTATCGCAGCTGCCGCAAACATGCTTTCTCCGCCGCGTGAATGACAACGTTTAAATCAAAACAACGGAAGGCACCATGCGCAAGTTTCAATGCTTCGCCATTGATGTTGTGCTTGCTTTTTGGAAACGAATCCTGCCACTTGCGTTCTGAAGGGTCCTCTCTGAGACTGTGTTTGCTCTTGAGCTCCATAAGCATTTCTGTTCCCTTGCTCCTTCCTGAAAATTTTGGGTCATCACCCAAGGTCATCAATCTAGTCCATGGAGGCGCAATCAGACTCGTCGTTAGAATCCCAACCCAGGAACTGTTGCTCTGTAGTGCTCTCCATCATATCTTGCCTCTGTTGCATTCCAGATATTGAGCCACAAGATATGGATCCGGATCATGCGAGGCGCTACCTCAGTCAAGAACTGACAACTGAATGGCTTCTTAAATGCAGACAAGGTACCTATGGTTTATCCGGCCATCCGATTCCGGACTTGTTCTTTAGATCTAGAAAGATGGGATCCGCCAGATAGCAGTCGTTCCTTTCGGGATTGTTCATTTACAGATTTCGCTGACGGATATCGCTCTTAGAAGCTTCGGATCCCACAAGGGAGCGGAAACCGCCACCATGTCCCACTCCAGTAAATTTCCCTTGCTATGATCGCATCCCTTTCGAGGGAGATCCTGTCTTTAAGGACCTTTACAAACTTTTTACGTCAATTCGCAAAGCATCCGATATCACAGCGCAACACTTCGAAGCACTTCATCTCCGAATACACGAAAATGTTGCGTTAGAGGATCTTTTCCCTCAGGCAGCGGATTTCCTACCTCCAGCGGAATGGGCTGTCCCTGACGGCCGTCCAAAAAAGCAGCATTCCGCCCAAGAAACGGCAAACGGATCGCAGACCGAAGAAACACTCAACGGTACAGGCCATCGCCCAGATTACAACCTCTTTTGCGAGCGCGTAAAGGAACTTCAGTTTGATAACGATGACGCTTTCCGTTCTATCCACCGTCTGCCACCAAGAGACGAGTCCAAACGCCAAATCCGGCCGGCATTTTTCCGAAAGTTTTATAATTCTTTGGACCTAATGTCTCAGTATTGGGACACGAGCCTTGATCAGTATATCCGCGATCCTGAAACTGCAAAGGATGAGGACTTTATGGAAGTGGATGAGCCTCGTAAACGAGCTAAGCTCATGGAGGGCATTGAACGACGAGAAGGCTACACATACAAAGGTCGTCGTCTCGGCACGGGTCGAGATATGCCCGAACATTTTCGCGAAGACGCTGTCAAGACTTTCGTTGAAGTCGTCGCATGGGCAATGGGATGTCAGGTTCTCATGCCCCGCCTCTTACCTCGTCTTATACTTCAAAATGCCCTAATTCCAGTCCGTTCCACCGCCGAAGTTTTCCGCACTCCTAACGATAGGCACCGTGCTCGTCAAGGATGCGTCGAGGGTCCTGTGATGGCAATCCAGTGCCGCCCGGACACAGGCTTTCGAATTGGCGACGGAGAAGGAATTGATTATGATGGGGAAAACCTCGACCTGATAAAGGAAGTCTCAACCATGCTTTTTATTGCGCAAGAACGTGCTCGTCAGGATCAGCCAGAGTTCCGACCGGGAGAAGGCAAATGGTGGACAACCACGCCTCGCTGGGGAGGGCCGCCTGGTGGCGTAGTCACAAAGGAAGATGCTGAAACAAATGTTGGTGCACGTCCACCTCAAGCACCCCAGATCTCGTCCAAGCCGGGTGACGCAACACGTAAACCTAGAATTCCCAGGACCAAACGCGAGAAACCCAAGGATGCTAAAATCGAATCATGGAAGCTTCTCCGCCCAGGGATGCCATTGTGGGATCCTAAGGTTACCTACCTACATATTGGTAGAGACAAGAATGACGAGTTTGATAATGTATGGTTGATTCTTTCCCGTTGTGTGGCTGGTTCTCTCTTCCCTAACTCTCCTTTTCCACACGATAATCATGTCTCAGGAAGCTAAATTCTTCACTTACACAGATCTACATGATATCCTCCTTGAATCACCATATATCCATTCTTCGAATGCGAGTGCACCCGCTTTATCTCCATTATATTCGTACGGGTATTCCTCATCCTACCTCAGCGGACTATCCCTTTCCAGCTGGCTCGGCATTATCAGCCGCCCCTTCTCCGGGTTCCCCTTCCTCTGCGTCCACTCCATGGTATGTTCTCGATTTGCAGCGCTCCAAGTGGTATGATCTGTTCTCCCGAGAGGACCGGATCGAGGCGATGCGTGGGATTTGGGGTGTTATGGCTTACATGATGCGCTCGAGCGAATGACGTTGATCACTGCTGAAAGGACTCACCTCTGCGGAGGAATTTGAATGGGGGGGCAAAGAGTTGGCGATTCTCCTTTTTTCTTTCACATAGTCTCTCATGTAAAAACTAAGATGAAACGGATTATTGAGAGATGGAGATTTGGACAGGCTTGGAGAGAATGCCGTACGAAGCCCAGCTTAGTCGAAAACATAGAATGAGCATTGATACTATCGACAGGCTGCACGTATGACGGCTTGAATAAGGGCGGACCTGCAGATGTCGATTCACGAAGCCACGCATGTAATGCATCATGGGAGATCACGTACGGGTCGTAGACAGAACATGACCCTTAGATGCTGGGGACAACATCACAGAGCGAGCATGTAGAAGAGATGGTAGTAGAGGAAGATGAAAAAGTTAAGCAGCAAATCAAAACAGGACACCTCGTGTTGATTCCGATGTACATGCAAAGCAAGGCCACAGAGGCCGCATAAGGCCCACGAGACCATAGAAAAGCTGCCCGTTCGCCCAACGACTCGCCCGTGCCCGAATCTCTACATCGCCAACCATCAACCGGATGAGACAATTTACTCCTTCTTGGGCTCCTCCTCCTCGACGAGAGCATTTCTCTTCTGGAGGATACGCTCCTGTCTCCGCTCGCGGGCGGCCTTGGTCTTGGCACGCTTGGCGTCCATCTCCTCCTTGAGCACTCTCTCGCGCTGCTTCTCGGCCTTGGCCTTGTGGATCTATTGGGTGGCGAAAAGTGTAAGCAGGTGCCAGAATATCCCAAACGATAAATCAAACTTACGTGCTCAACGAGCGAACGCTTGTGCTTGAAGGTGTTACCCTTGCTCAAGTGGTAGAGCTCGTGGTAGAGGTGCTTGTCAATCTTGCCGCTGGCGCGGTACTTGACCAAGAGACGACGAAGGACACGGAGGCGGCGCATCCACAGAACCTGGCTATATTATCCCATCAACCGTAAGCCCATGTTTCTCACTATTTGACCGCATCATCAAAGCTGATTCTCATCTCGTCGAAAGTCGATGGCGAAGAAGTCGGAGGAGTTGAGCCATACCTGGGCATACGCGCATCCTTGGTACCCTTTCTCTTACCAAAACCCCGGTGTCTGCCGATCCTTCGGGCCTCGGTCAGAGCTCGCGCACGAGCACGAGAGTGCATGGTGACCGGCTTCCGGATGATGAGGCCATCGCTGACGAGCTTGCGGATGGTCTGGCGGGAGTTGGCGTTGGAGATCTCGTTGACCTCGTTGGGGTCAAGCCAGATCTTGCGCTTGCCGCAGCCGGCCACGGAGGCCGCAAGACGCTTCTGAGTGCGGAGGTTGACCCTGAGAAGAAAAAAAGAGCATTAGCGTTAATGCTCACGAACGCCCTTTGCCTTCGAAAATCCCTTTCTTGACCGACACCACACCCTTCCCCGCCTCCCAAAACAAGATCTGCCAAGCAGCGTGCCGTTGGCGACGAGCGAAGGAGAAAATGACCGACGATTCGATTGAAAGGAGTCTCGAGGAAAAGACGACGATAAATGGATAGTCCTTACATCTTGATTCCGTTGATTGTCGATGGCCGGCGTAGGTTGTCGTCGGGGGCTGTCGCTGAGCTTATCGACGGCGGCGTTTGACGAAACTTGAGAATGGCGAATAGTATATTACCTAAGCAACACTATTGTGAATCTGCCCTCGCGGGACGGCTTTTTCTTCTCGCTTAGGTAGGGCAAGAGGCCACTCTTCGCGGAAGAGGGTTGCAAGCGAAGATATTTTCTGCGCCGACTCTGGACCACTAAGCGAGCAGTTGACTCAATTAAGCTGAAGCTTCCAAAAAAGGCAATCCATTTATACTCTGTACGAAGAGTGCTATTGACGTCACTAGCTTTTATGCACTATTGCCTGACGGCTTTCTGAAAGATGCTACCTATGCAGTACAATAAACGTCAAGGTGTAATCTTTTGAGGTAACCAAAACTATGCACTGTAGACACGTATCGCCTTTGAAGTACTCAGGCATCACCAAAGCCCAGGTCACCCCCTAGGTCGACTCTGCCTACGCTCCAAATCTCTCTCTCATCCTCCAGCTCATCCGCGGATAAGCCTAGGCCACCATGTCCACCTTCGGCCTCCTTCCTTTCTCTGGCCTGGTTCCCAAGCCTGATGGCAACGCGCTTGAAGTAGTCACCCATGCTGCGTTTCACGTTGGGTGGAAGCTCTGCGCCTGCTCCCGCCATGTACTTGTCGAAAACAGCGCTCTCATCATCGACCACAGAGAAGAGAGCTAAGAACGCCGCCTCCGCAGAAAGCTTAACGGGAATGACCATGTCACGAACGCTAGCAAATGTAGGTGGTGCAAGCAACGCTAGGTGGGGGCGGACAAGCTCGTTGTCCATGCGGCTCACTGTGCGAAGGACGACTAAAGCAAGCCGCCTGGCATCCGCCGGACTGCCAGGTTTAATTATTGGCGCGAGAACTTCGAATATAGACTTCGTAGTCTCAAAGCTCTTGTCTCCGCTCTCACTAAGAAGATATTTTCCAGCAGCAAGAATGCAGCCCTCGGTGATATAGGCCTGGGAATATGCACTTAGTTTGGAACCCTTGTGCAGGTCTCTGGTAGTAACTTACATTGCCGTTGCTTATACCCTGACAGATGAACCCAACAACCTCTTCTGTAAATGGTGCCAAGGTCAGAGGCGACTCTGCAAGAATCGAATTCAGCCCAAGCACTGAAGCTTTGTTGTGGTGAACCAAGAGGATCCGATTCCTGTATAACATTAATTGACGCTTATTGAATACCAAATAGGGGAACCACCCACTTTATCAGACTGCCAGCTAGTTCCTCCGGGAGATTCTTGATGATTGCACCCAAGAGACGAGCATTGGTAATCGCCATAGCATCTACTCAGACGTTCAGTAAATAGAGAAAAGAAAACACCAAACCCAATGCAAGATATCTTACCATCACTTTCATCGATCTCCGTGTCAATTAAGCCAAAGATTGCGTTTCGCGATGCTTCGCTCATATTGGCTCCAGCCTTGCTGACTACCTCATAAAGTGCCTTGAGCATAGCGTTCTTGACACCAGGATCAGGGGTTTTGGATCCAGCAACAAGTTCTGCAACAAAAGTGGTTAGGCGAGCTTGGAGCAGGCTACGCTGATTTCTGACATACCAGCAATAAGAGGATCTATCCTCGGTGTCAATGTGATTAGAGTACCCAAGGCTTTCGCAGCACGATTCCGGAGGTCTTCACTCGAAGCGTCTGCCAGTGATTTGGCAAATGTTCTCTGAAGCTGTGGAAGGAAGGGCTTCAAGAACGTTGGGATCTTCTCCAATAGATTGTTGAGCGTAAACAGAATGGCAGCTGTACGAGATTAGTTTAAGAACGCTGCATGAGGAAACTCAAATCTTACATTTGACATCTACTGATCGCTCAGAAACGACACGGATCAATGGACCAGTGATCTGCGTCACGAACGGCTTCAATGAATCCTCGCTTGTTCGTGCTACAAGATCCGAGATGGCCAGAGCAGACTGGACTCTCTGCTCGGTCGTACCATTCATCAAGCCTTGCAAGAAAATCGGAAGGATTGCGTTGATACCCTTGGGAAGGGAGAATCCAGTAAGATTGGCGCCCGGAACACCGACTTGCTGGAGGGTCTGCCGAGAAGAGAATACCAAAGACTCCATTTCCTCTTTGCGAAGCTTTTTGGTTAAGGCGCTTAGAGCTGTCCAAGCTGCCTTTACCACTTCCATATCATGATCATCAAAAGACAGGAGGAGGACGCGGATAAGATCAGGATAGTAGCGGGAGTAATCAACTTGAGTTTCGGTAAAAAATTTGGCAAGATGAAGATCCGCCGAGGCTCTCTTGCGATGGTCATCATGTTTAACTAGTCCGAGCATGACACTCATTGTCGTATTGAGCCCTTCGTACTCGTCAACGGATAAAAGCACCGTGTCGAAGGAGCCATCAAGCTCAGTGCGGAGCTCCTCATTTTGGCAATCAACAATATTGTCCAATAATGAGTTTATTATATTTGGCAGTCTTCGCGTTAGAGCTCCACTGGCTACCTGAGATAAGGAAGCAACGGCCTTGGCATTGAATGCAGAAATTGGCGATGTCAGTAAGGTTGGAATGAGTATCGGCAAGATGATGTTTGCGCGGGTGTTCTCCGTAAGCAAAGTCAGAAGAGCGGAAAGTGCATTGTCGGCCTCGCCTTCCGTCCGTAAAAGGCTGAGGAGATGAGGCAGAACCTGATCCACGGCTTTCTTGCCAATAATCTTTTGAAGGGAATCAAATGCCTCCGCAGCTGCTTCTCTAACATCCTCGTCAGTATCGACGAGAGCAGTTCGAACAATGGAGATAAGCGTCTTTTCATAATCTTCAATTGCCTCTGGTGAGGCAGATGCAATAAGCTCTCGCAACGCGATACAAATTCCTTGCCTCGCATCCGCGTCGGTAGAGGTTTGGAGGCCCTCCTCGAGGTATGGCAGCAGTGTAGCCAAGACACCCTCGCCAGCCTTTCGTATAAGCTCGCCGAGTGCATTTCCTGCTATCACTTTGTGTTCCATATTGGAGCTCGCCAACCGACGAATGATTAGTTGGGTCAAAGTGGGGATAAGCTCCTTCAAGATTCTCGGAGAGGCCACAAGGGCTTTCCAAACATTGACAGCGGCTGTACGAACCAAGCCAGAAGTGTCGCAGCGGCAGATGTAGAGCGATGACAGAACCTTGTTGCGCTTCTCTTCTCCAAGGACCTCCAAGAGGGAGTGTCCAGCCTCGAGGGCCTTCTCTTCGTCCTCTTCTTGTTCCCCAGTAGCAGTAATGCCGGTCAAGCTGAACAAAAGGTCACCCACCAGCTCTACTGAACTCAAACGGATGCGGTAACTATCATCAGCCAAGCCGCGCTCCAGCTCAGGAAGAAGAAGGTCAATTGAACGAGTCGCGAAGTTCTTAACTAGTAGCCGGCCAGCGCGAAGGGATGTCTCCCGAATAGAGTCAACCTCATCTGCCAATCCAGCCAGAATCGGGGGAATAATGCGATTGAGATATGCGGAAAAGCTGTTTCCAAAGCATGCAGGCAAGAAGATAAACAGAGACATGAATCCTTCCCGAACGGCCGGCTTGGAGCTCGAAACGTTCTGGAGGATAGTGGGCAGAGTCTCTTCCAAACGACTCGTGCCGAGTCCAGCGAGCACTTCACTAAGAGCTTGAGCGGATCCAAGACGATCGCCGGCACCTGTGTCTGACTTCAAGGTTGTCATGAGGTCCGGAATGAGATCAGGCAAAGCATCCTCGCCCAATTTCTCCATAAGGGAACCGAAAGCTTTTGAAGCGGTGGCGCGGGTTGTCGGCACAGGGTCTATGACCGCGATCTTTAACCCAGCAACAAGGATGGGTAGATGGGCAACAAGATCCTTTCGCTCGGTCAGATGCGCCAAACTGCCAATAATCTGGGATGACTTCCGTTTTGTTGCGGAACGGTCACCAAGGCCACGTTCAAGAATTCGTACAACTAGCGCAAGCGAAGGTGCATCAATGTAGTGTACAAAAGAAACCTTGATTAAAGCATCAAGAGCATCATCAGTGAATTTAGTAGGATCACTAAGTGCTTTGAGCAAAATGTTGACAACGCCTTTAATTTCTGGACTTGTGATGACCTCTCCGAATCTCTGCAAGCTTCGGTTGGCTGAAGCACGAACTTCTTTATGGCTGTCATTGAGTACGTCTGTAAGTGGAGGGATAATATCAGGCAAACTCTGAGCCAGCTGTTGAGGATCCAAATATGCCATCGCACCCAACAGATCGCAAGCGCCTTTTTTGCTTCGCCATTGCTGGTCGTCGAGGCCGTCGAGGAGCGTCGGCAGAATTTGCTTAACACCATAGGAGCTAAGGCTTGCGAAGCAGGTCTTTGCGGCGTCAAGGCATGCTTCCCGAACGTCTGCGGTGCTGTCGCCGAAGCCCGAAAGCAGATTCGGAACGATCTGGATTGTATAAGGTTCAAACATCCTCCCAAGGACCAGAGAAAGTAATTCATATGCAAATAAAGCGCCTTGACGGTAGTTCGGATCTTTTTTGTTTTCTGTGGCGCTTTTCAAAGTTGCCATGATTCGGAACTCACGCAAGGCAGAAATTCCTCGACCGCGGACAATGCCAGCTAGACCATAAGCTGCACCTCTACGTGTGGCATACTTTTTCGAATGAAATAGGTCATCCAACATTTGCTGAATATAATTCGGAATGTCAGAGGTGGAGGCGCGGATTAGGGGTGGCAAGCACTCCGCCACTGCATATTGAACAGTCTCAGACGGCGTGCTCAACGTAGCAAGCAGTCGGTGGGTAACCTTCGGTATGCGCTCGTCTCCTCGTTTGAGATGACCGGCCAAAGCACCATATAAGATGATGACCGCCTCGTTGACGGTATCCATCTCAGAGCCCTTGTCAGGAGCAGCCAGAGTGGTCTCAAAAATTTTCATCAGTTCCTCGAGCTTGGTATGACCGTGGGCTCCTATTATAGCTATTGCAGCATCAATCATTGCTTGTCGAACGATTGAGCTTCGGTCCCCTAAAGGTCCATTCTCAATGAGGAACTGAACGAATGATACAAGTTGAGCAGTATCAAAACTTGTTGCGAGTTCTTTGAAGGCTAATGCAATGCCATGCCTTGCTTCCCATGGATCAGACAAATCCATCCTTTTAGGCATGCCATATCGATCTAGTTCAGGCACCCGAGGTTTGGCTGCTTCTCGGTACTCGTCCTCTAAGCGCGCTAGTATCTCGGCACATGAAGAGGGGTTTAATTCGACAGCATGGGCAAGAGCTCTGGAAGCGGCTCTCCTGAGCTGTTTGTCGACATTCCGAAGATAAGGGATCATTTTGATGCCGGACCGCTGGTCGACTTCTAGTCCATTCTCGGCCCAAATGGCTTGAGCCAGTTCTCTATTTTCGGAGACGTCGTCATGATATGCAAGCCAAATTTCCTCTGAAAATTCAAAATCGGTAAGGTCAAGTTCGGAATGAATCGCTTGCAACAGGGCAGTCCTGACGGGTATTTCTGGAAGTATGACACCACGAAGTACAATCTGTAGTTCTGGCTCCGCTATATTTGGGGCCAAAAACCTGCAACTGTCTGTCAAGCAATCCTTCACAAGCCTGTAATGCTGCGTATATTTTTGCATCGCAAAAATCAGACTGGAGAGTAGTTCATTTCTTTGAAGAGATTGCCGAGAAACTATAATTCATTAGTACCATCAAAAGAGTGCATATATAAAAGCAAGATTCGACAACTTACAAGCGTCCGTGTGAAAGGAAATGAACTCAAGTGCGAGCACGACTTGCTCGTCTCCATCTTCCGCATTTGTTCTACCAACGCCGCCGTGTTTGATCACAACGAAGATGAGAGGAAGCAAATAGATGAGGGATATAGTGTCAAAAGGCCGTTGTTCGCCAGCAAATCGAAGTCGATAAAGCAGCCTGGTAATCAAGTCTATTAAAGGTTAGCACGGATGAGAAGGTTCCCAATGAAGTTCAACCTACCGCCCAGGGGCTCCTGCTCCAATTCCGGCTTTGAAGTGGATGATCCAAGTGCTCGTAAAGTGGCAATGCCGAAGAAAGGCCTCAATACGCCTAGTCGAGAGGAGACCAGAGAGGCACAAGCGACATACGCGTTTGCCGCGGTGTCCCCAAGAATCAGTCCAGCGCCGGCTTCAATGACTCCAAGCAGGTCTTTGACCGCTTCTCCCATCCATGCCTCAGCATCAGTGGGCGGTCCCGTTGCCAGAGCTTCCACGAGACCTGCACCACGTCTTAGCGTCGCCTGTGCATGAGCGACACTTTTGCGAATTTCAGCTTCTTTGTCCAATTGAGCATTGACTTTGGCGCGTTCCTCAGCAGTAAGCTTCTTCTGCGCACCCGCTTTCTGGGCAAGCTGGGTTCGGAGCTCCTCTTCCCATTTCATGATATCATAGTCCTTGACATTCTTGTCAGGTACAATGCTCTGTCCCTTCTTCGCAAGGGGATCGATGAAAGTCGTCCCCTCCGGAGTGCGGAAAATGGCAGCTTCAGTTGGTCCGATATCTTGAAGCAATTGAGGATCGACATAGGAGGCTACGCGATCCTTAAGCAAAGGCGTTATTACATCTGGAGCGACAAAAGCCAGCTCAGCGCTTGCTTTATAACCAGCATGGTTGATAGTTCCTCCGTAGGAATCGAAATGATCCTAAATTTTTAAAATGTTTTAGTACTAAGTTCGAGGTGCTGCGTGTTGAGGGAATCATTACCTGGTATACTCTTTCAATGGCGTCGAGATATTCCAGAGGGCGCTCGTTGACCAAAGTGCCAGGGTCCATTCCCGTCCTCAAGCATACTTCAATCCATGATGCGCTAGGGATGAGCTCAGGACGACAAAGGACCTGAAGAGCTAAGAGCTGATCTTCAAGGATATTTTTCTCCACCTTCCCGCTAAGCTTCTCCACCTCTTGCTTAGACGGGCAAATGGATCGAATAACGAGTAATAACTGGCTTATTCCCGTCTTGGCACTCGTTGCTGGGCTATCCTTATCGTCCAAAGAAACCTGTCGGTTCCAAAGCCAAAGACCGGAAATGATAGCAGGCCCAACGACTTCGGGTCGCTTTACATACACTAAAGTGAGAGCGTGAGTAGCCTCGCGCCGAATAGCAGGAGGGATAGAGGCAGCGCAAACAAAGTATATGAAGGCCAAAGCCCAAGACTGGAGCGTTGAATTTTCTCTCTTGGTAGATGGCAGATCGTCATAAAGTGCAGCGAGGCTCCTGATAGCCCAGATTGTATCTTCCTCACTTGCTAATTTTGTGTAGATTCGATGATACAGGAGAAAAGAAGGCTTTGGTTCCAGGGCTAATGATTGTTTCACAATGCTCGCTTTCTCAAAGAGATCGCTGAGAGCACCGTCTTTGATGAGGCGCAACTTCGAAGCATACAACGCGGTAACGACATATGCAATGGTAATGAGACCATTTTGTGCAGCGGAAAGTGGGTTCGCTACAACCTCCTTGAATATGTCAAGCATTTTAGGTAGAGTGGCCTGGAGGAAAGATATGGTTTCCGTGTTCCCAAAATCATGCTCCCTTAGAGACCATATTATCTCTCCAACTCTCAAGGTCCAGCCTCGGCGGACCGAGCCTCTCTTGTCCCCGATACCCTTGATGAACACATCCGTGACGGATCGCTCGACCTTCAATTGTTCAGAAAGTGCATACCTGAAATGTTTGCTAATAGCAGCCGCTTCAGCCGAGATGGCGGCTTCATTTGGCTCCTTCGTCGCCACCGGTGCAAGAGTCGCAGGAACGGTTTCTGCCAAAGCTTGGCAAGTTGGAATAGTAGAAATCATTTGCGCGTGCAGAACCCTGTGCTCGGCGGATGGAAGCTTAGAGCTTTTGAGCGGTCCCAGAATCTCGTTTGTGACAGCCACAAGACATTTCTCTTCATGGCATCGAGAAACAAGGAGTTCAAATGCTGAAAGTACACCCGCTCTGATGTTTGGATTGGATGACTTGACGTTTGAGAGCAAGGCTTTTAGAAGATTGCCTTCCAAGATGTCGGATAGGTCAACGTCAGCCGGCAAACTGCGAATCAGTGGTGTTATCAGGCCATTGAGTACAACCTCCGGGGCTCTTAAGAGGGCCTTTTCGATAGATGGTATAAGATTCTCTTTTAGGTCCTGCTTCGTGGCGAATGCCGCAAAGAAGTCATGGAGCCCATCCGCGATATGCTCAGGTACAAGTCCTCGGGATCCAAGGAATTCCCGCGCATAGAACGAATAGAAATCTTTGCGGAGCTCGTAAAGTACTGGTTTTAGCTTTTCAATGCGAGCGCATACGCCTGCAATTACTCCGAGAAATATCGCATTCTTCAAAACCGGTGCCGGGGCCTTAGCCGTAAGTCTACCAACAGAATCTTTTATCGCACTCTCTCCCAGTGCACCAGTTGTGAAGACTTTCCGAAGCGCTCGCCGAGTTACGACTAATGCAGAGTGCTTTACGCTATTCCTTGTCCTCGGCGTTTGACACAGTTCGAGCAACTGAGAATCGGCGAGAAGCAGGTCGAGTCCCCATTTCTCCCATAACGAGCTTTCGGTGGAAAACCGTTGCAAGAGGAGCGAACACCATTCCACCAGCACGAATGCATGTGTGGGCGCTATTGTAGATTTCGCCGCCTCATCCTTGATCAACTTTATGAGTGGCGATAAATCGAGACCCGATTTTATACCAGAGTTAACAATTGCCAACAAACACTGTTGTACCGCTTGCCGTGAAGCTCGATCAATGTACAAGGGATATGTCTCGAACAAGCTTGCTAATATCAGAGAGAACGACTTTTGAGGGATATCTTGAGTCTAGGTTTAGTATGATTCACAAGGCGGCAGTTAATCATGGATAGGAATGCACAGTACCTTGGTGAGAAATTCGTTCCTGAAGAGTGTGCAACTCAGCCTTACGGGCATTTGTCGAACTACTCAGAAGGCGGAGCGGCAAGGAATTGGATTCCCAGTTCGGCGCTCCGCCAGAGTCGTTCCCTTCCATCTGGATAAACTCCGAAGAAATTAATTTCTCCCTTGAGTTTCACGAAGTCGTTGGAGTCTCGTTGATGATAGGAAATCAATCACTTTCTCTAAATCCACTTTCTCTCGTTCGTTACTTGTGCGTCGGAAATTTCCGCGAACGAGTTCACCTATGACGCTCACCCCACAATTATTATTGAATGTTTTGAACCGCCCGAGGATTTTGGGTCCGGCACATCTTATCGACACAAACTTCACCTCGCTATCAACACATTGAGGATAGGTATAATTCCAGCCCGTCATCTACCTACTGAACTTTTCTGGCTGGAATTATGGCTCCTAACAAAAAGAAAAAGAAGCCCGCTGCAAATCCTGCCCGAGGGTTCGCGACTGTCTCGACGGCGAGCAAGCCAAAAACTGACAAAAAGTCTGAGAGCGCAAGTTTGTCAGAGGCAGATAGCACTCCAGCTGTTCTGACCCCGCTTTCAGATCAAGAAAATATATCGAAACCTGATGCTGCGAATGCCTCGAAAGCTAAAGATGCAAAAGAAACCGTGGAATTGTCCCCGGAGGAGCTTGAAAGAGAACTTGAAGAAACTGAATTACAAAATATCCTAGAGAAGTATGGTCAACGAGCCAAAAAAGACGCATCACGCCAAATCTCAAGGTTGCAGACCGATAGACGTGTTCTGAAGACTCAAGCAGAGCATTTGAATACAAGAAATTGGTTGCCAAACCGAATTATTGACGAAATCATGAACATGGTTAAGGATGAAGTAGATCACGGAAACTTCTACCGAGAATCAGATGGCAGTGGTAAATTCATATCAGAGGAGGACTCGATTGCCAGGCTTTGGACGTTACAGCAGACACTCTTCTTTCTAGGTTTCCCTGAAGGCCGAGTCAAGGAAGCCTTGTACCATATCACAGATGCATTGCTTATTGCCGGCCCACCCGCTGGCGGGAACAGAGACAACATTTGGGGTTTAGATGAAGCTATGGATTGGCTCGTGTTAGAGCTAAATAGAGAGGAGCTGTCTCTCATTGAAGGCCAGCCTAAGAGGCAGACAATGGACAAGACACCTACCGGTTAGCTCAGCCTTTTTGCCCGACAGCAAGCGTGATAAATACTATGAGAATAACAATACTGACTGAACTTTAATCAATGCTTGTAGAAAGCATACCGCAGACACCTGAGCCGACTACATCCTCGAACGAAGCCACGGGGAAACAAACTCCAATGACACGTGAAAAGACTCAGAATGCGAATGAATTAGTTTCATCGCGTACAGAAGAATTGGATGTAAGCGACCTCGATAGTGACATTGAGCCTGATGAGCTTTTGCCAAAATATCTCGAGACGAAGGCTCGCATCTACGAACTTCAACCAGAGACATTGCAGGTGAACAATACAAAGGGAAAGAAAAACAAGGCAAAAAAAGATAAGACAAATCCGAGTGGTCCGGAAGTAATAAAGCTACTGGATAAACTGAAGAAAATAGAATCTGATGTGCTGTTCGACAAAGACGAAGCCGAAACCCAATGGTCTCAGAGAGAGATACAGATTTTTCAGGAAGTAGCCTTGCAGAAAAAACTTGCCCCTAAAGATGTTGAAGGTCAGGTTTCCGAAGCCGAACAAGACCCGCAACAACAGGAGCAGGTAAACTCTTCTGAAAACTTGGACGAAGAGGACGAGGTTAGTCGCCAGGCACGTGAGGCTGGTGAGGCCCTCCTGAGAGAGACAGGTATGGAGGAAGATGGGGACGGTCTGTTCGGTGGCATGTTCACGGATCTAGCCGGGGCTGAGAATGGTCCAAATTCTACAACTTCAGAACCCGCAATGGGCGTCGCCGGCGTCGGGAACACAATTATGCGGGATTTTGGGCGATGGAATGGAATGAGCCCTCGACGTGTTCTTGAGGATGCCTGCAAGGCACGGTGAGTCCATTGCGCCCTTACCCCCAAACTGCCTTTAACGCAGCGAATTCAACTGATATACTCTAGGGATTCTGGATCACGCGTGTCATTCAAACCCATATCTTCTAGCTCCGTCTCGAAACGACATTCTGTCGAGATCTTTTGGTCGAAAGATCAGGAAACTCCGGTATACTCCATTCTCGACTCCGTCTCATCCACCTCAAAGTCGCGATTATCAGCCTTCTGGATGACCACTCTTGCCACACCTGATAGCGTACAATCGGAAGCCTTTATTGCAACTGCCGCGCTATTTCTCGTATTCTCATCATCTCCAAAGGAAGAGAGGGTACATCTGCGCCTACCAGCCACCTGGAGAGATCTTTGGGATGAATTTACCCGCAAAAAGAAAGAATTAAATGATGAACAGGATCGAAACGCATTGCGAGAGATTCGCGAATTGGTCAGGGACAAGCGAGATAGAGATGAGCACGACGGTGTTGTGCTCAAAGGGGGTTTTCGGAAGCGCAATGTCGCTGGCAGCGGCCGTGATAGTGGGGAGGACTCCGACCCCAACGCTCTCGACCAAAGCAACCTGGATAGTGAACTCCTGAAGGGTTTGTGGAACCAAAAGAGTTCCAACCCTGCCTATCAGGTGATGCTGAAAGGTCGCTCACAGCTCCCCATGTGGAACTTTAGGGATCAATTGTTGACTACGGCGGATCAACAACAAGTTATTATCGTCTGCGGAGAAACTGGATGTGGCAAGAGCACGCAGGTTCCTGCGTTCATTCTCGAACACGAATTATCACAAGGAAAGGATTGTCGAATATACTGCACTGAGCCGCGAAGAATCTCAGCTATTTCTCTTGCACGACGCGTCAGTGAGGAGCTTGGAGAGCGCAGAAATGACGTTGGCACGTCAAGATCGATGGTGGGATATGCCATTCGCTTGGAATCAAATATGACAACTCAGACTCGTCTGGTCTACGCAACCACAGGTATAGTTATGCGTATGCTAGAGCGGTCGAATGAGCTGGCAGATATAACGCATTTGATCCTTGACGAAGTGCACGAGAGGAGCATTGACAGTGATTTCCTACTTATTGTTCTTCGGAGGCTTATCGTGAAGCGGCCAGAACTTAAGGTAATTCTCATGTCTGCAACTGCCGATGCACAACGGTTTTCCAACTATCTATTCGGTGCACCGATTCTAAACGTGCCGGGCCGAACATTTCCCGTTGAGGTGAAATACCTTGAGGATGCGTTGCAGTTGACAGGATATGTGCCAAGTTCAATAAATGCGAACGGCCCAATTGAAGTTGGCCTTGATGATGCGGATACAGAAGAGATATCCGATCGAGAGAATACAGGTCAAGAAGGAGACTATCTTTCTGCATTTAGCTCCAAGACAAGAACCGCCCTGGCTCAGTTCGACGAATATCGGATAGATTATGATCTTTTGGCAGCTTTGATTGGAAGAATTGCTGTCGACCCTGAGTTTGAATTCTACAGCAAAGCTATCCTGATTTTCCTTCCGGGCATAGCAGAGATCCGTCAATTGAATGACATGTTGATTGGGCATCCTTCGCTAAGTCAAGGATGGAATATCCATCAGCTTCATTCAACGATTGCCAGCGAAGAACAAGAGAAGGCGTTTGTGGTACCACCGAAAGGGACTCGAAAAATCGTACTTGCAACAAACATTGCAGAGACCGGTATTACTATCCCGGATATTACTTGCGTGATTGATACGGGTAAACACAAGGAAATGAGGTAGCCTTTATCCTTTAAACTTTTCCAGCTTCTGCTTACACCAATTCTTAGGTTCGACGAGCGCCGTCAGCTGTCACGCTTACTCGATTCTTTCATCTCCCGCGCAAATGCAAAACAGCGGCGTGGTAGAGCTGGGCGTGTTCAGCGTGGGCTTTGTTTTCATCTCTTCACAAAGTCTCGTCATGATCGCCAGGTATGAGTGCAGTCTTGGTCATCGCTGTAGAACGTTGCTTACAGAGTTTTAGATGGCTGAACAACAAACACCGGAGATGCTTCGCTTGTCGTTGCAGGACCTTGTTCTAAGGGTAAAGATATGTGAGCTAGGAGGGATCGAACAAACTCTTTCCGAGGCGTTAGACCCGCCGTCAGCAAAGAATATCCGGCGTGCCATTGATTCCTTGATCGACGTCAAAGCCCTTACCAACTTTGAAGAACTTACCCCATTGGGACGTCAATTAGCCAAACTTCCATTGGACGTACACCTTGGGAAGCTGGTACTCCTAGGTAGCACTTTTGGGTGTTTGGATGTCTGCGCAACCATCGCGGCGATATTGTCTTCCAAATCACCTTTTGTGGTGACAATGGGAGCGCGGTCACAGGCAGACCTGGCCAGGTTATCATTCAAGAGGGGTAAGTTGATCCACGAAACCTGGATCTCCTCAGGACGTGCTAATTTATTAGGTGATTCCGATTTACTTACCGCTTACAATGCTTACAATGCATGGAGGCGGGTATCGAGTACCACAGGGGTATCGGAGTTTCAATTTTGCCGCAAAAATTGCCTAAGTCAGCAAACATTGTTTAATATTGAAGACATTAAATCTCAGATTCTGGCTTCAGTTATTGATGCAGGGTTTCTGCAACTTGACGGAACTTCAAGGGCCGCTTTGAATAGGTGATTTCCCCTTGGAAACTTCCTTTCCTCAGACTGTCTTTTTAGTGAACTGACGTCATTTCATAAGGTCCCGGTTTTCTTCAAAGCAACGACAATTCTTTAAACTCCCTGAGTCCGTAGATAAAAATTCGGAGAATGACTTGATCAGTGGTTCAGTCATAGCATGGGGCTTTTACCCCAAACTCCTGCTTCGCGAAGGAAAAGGCTGGAGAAACGTTTCGAACAATCAAACTGTCAGCCTTCATCCGACGTCTGTCAATAAAGGCACAACGTCTGCGAAATGGGTTTCGTTTTACCATATCATGCAATCTAGCAACAGGTATAATTTTGGAACTTTGTCACCATCATTAGATGCTTGTCTCGCTAACCATTCCAATCCAGATTTTACAATGCCCATGAGACAAGTGCCGTTGAAAGTTTCGCGATTGCACTCCTATGTGGAGATGCGGAGTTCAGAATGTATGCGGGACTGGTTATTCTAGATGGCAACCGTATTCGTTTCTCGGTCAACGATTGGAAGGCTATGCTTGCGATCAAAATTTTGCGGCAGCGGCTTCGAGAGATCATGGCCCGTCGATACCAACACCCTACCAAATCGCTCACCTCACCGCAGCAGAAGTGGCTAGATATATGGCAGCAGGTTTTCGCTCTGGACGACAAAGAAAACAGTTTGCCAAAATAGACGTTCAGCGCCGTCGTTGTAGATGATTTGAAAGCAGCGATATGTATTAAAGGGAATGGCATCATCATAGAAGGAGGCCATTACATATCATCTTGAGCATGAAGAAACAATCTTTGTTTTCTGCGATAAAAAGACTATAGATTCGGAGGATATTGCTGCATCGTAAAGCGTGATTCTGCTTCCCAATGGAATAATGCTTTTCAAGGGTTATCAAGGGTGTCCATAACAGTTTTATCCTCAAGCAAATGGCACTAGCAAGTATTGGAAGTTATCGTACAGCATGCTTTGCTTGGCGTTAATGACCAGGAGCTAAAGGGCAGAAGGAAGGAGCGGATTGTCAAGTAGGCGTTCATGCGATGCATTCATTCATAGCGAGAGAAACGTATAGCTAGATGGTCTTCAGAAGTCTACTACAAGTCAGAATTACGACAAAGAAAATTGCGATTCCATTTCCACATATTGCTCATGAAAATAGTCGTCATTCAAGGGAGTAGCGCGGCGAGATGCCGTTCTCAATCTTGACATGGGAGCTCCATCGAAAGTTATGCAAGTCGTGATGCGGATAAAATGTACAGATACATGGAAAAGCTCCATCGAGGAGAGTTAATCAAAGGAGAACGGGTGTCAACGGTTACAATTGCCTCACTGACAGCGGCGGTCGACTATTACGTCTGTAGATTTGACTTCCGAAGGACCTACCGGCTGAGCGTTTCTGGACCGTTCAATTCTTATTATTTGGGCACGATTGCTGGCTGTATTGTGAATAGGGCTAGGGGTAAATTACTCTTTCGTATCATTCAAAGATATTACGCAGGAAAGGGTTTGATGATATCAAGTAAAAATAGGAGTGAAGAAGCTGTCCAAATGAGAATGCCAGGATCTCATGATATCTTGACCAGAGTCAGTTATCAAGATCTTTGCTTTGGCCCATTTTTTCTATTGCAGTTTACGGTTTTACAATTCAGTCTTCGCGATTCAATTGGTTTCCCTGGTGTTAGACTGGACAAAACTTTTTATTTTATTTTATTTTATTTTTTATTTTTTTCGTTCTAATTTTTTTTGCGTATGTTTATGGTAACATTACCAAGTAGAAAGAGCGGTGAAGAGCCTTTCCGACTTGGAAATTGGTGGTTTGGCACAACGAGAGGCTAATTCTGCAGGAGCTATCTATTCTCGACGGAATCGACAATGGGCCTCAAGTCAGATGGCACGGCATTAGTCTTGAATTTGACGGAGTCCGAGCGATTGGTCTTGAGCATGACAGCGACGCACGCCCGGAAAAGCCACCTGGAAGCCCAGAACCACCAAGTCGAGTCTGTTCTCTTGATTGGCAGTCTGAATTCCAATCTTGTGGTATCCAATGGCTCAGCCATTGGATTGCGTGTGCTGTAAATCGGGATGAGCATAAACCGATGCATGGTTGAACATTTGAGGCTGTTGTATCAACGCCCCCGTCGCCTTACGCTCGGCAACTGAGGCTCATCAGTGATGAATATCTGCAATTCTGTTCGGTATTAATGTTTCAATTGCACCACAACTTCCATGGAGGCATGCAATTTTCTGGCTCCTTCCGAGAAGAGTTTAACCGTGCCGTGTATAAACTTTGATATCAAATTACACTCACCAGAAGAAATTTTCTTCCTCCCCACAATTTGTTTAGATAGCACTAATATTAGAAGGCGGGCAAACAATAGGGGGTCTATGCTGCCTAGTAACTTTAATGTCCTTCATTTTCCGCATCGGTTTGTTGGAATTCGTTGTTGCCAGACGGTACTCCGTAAGGGCTTCAACAGCAGTTCGATTCATTCTTGGTGAGATGCGTGGCTTGCCCTACCACGACCCCATCCCGGTAGCGGCGGTTGCCAACTGTCCGACGTGGTCGCGTTTGATTGGAAGAATTTGCGATGGGCATGGACTCGTGGCCGATCATCTGAACTTGCCGCGTCGAATCATGCATCGCCACCACGATGAACCTGACAACGATATTGATCATCGCACGATGACGCCCACAGCGCTTCAACTAAAGTGGAAATTTTCTTTTTCATGGTTCTTAAGCACGCGGGGTGTCTCATCCCTGGAGCTGAGCAAACTTTGACTTCGGGTGGATTACGGGTAGTTAACCACTGACTTTGTCTGAACCAATCACGTCCCTATTGCTAGGTGTCGAATTTGTTTCTCGCTTTGGGAAGAGGTATTTCCGTCCGATTCATTACTCGTAGGTGTCCTAACAACGGGATAGACAGGGTCGGTTGAAATACTACGATACATTTGTTGTACTCCGTAGGCGAAAGTAAGAAGCACATCGGGAAGAAGGAGGGAAATCTTTGGACGGCCCGAGGGTCCCACTCGCCCGCCCCTGCTAGCCAGATTAGAGATGTTAAACGGCCATTGAACAATACTCGCATATGCAGCGCGGCTTCCCACAGTTGAGACGCAGCCAACGAGAGCATGCTAGAATTGTCGGGAAGCAAGGGCAATGAAGCTAACGCCGGGTGCAGCTGCTGCAGGGACACGATGCGAGGGGGTTGGCACTTCCACGGAAAGATGCGTTTCAGCCGATTGAGAAGATGGTTTGCTTTACGGAGCACAAGCTTTCCCGTGACGCGAGAAAACTTGAGCTGTCCACACTACTCCGTACCAAGGGCATGTCGCGATCAAACTTCCTCCCATCTCCTGCTTGGCGGAGGCAACACCTCGTTCACCGCCCTCGTTTTTGACACCCCCCAACCACCTGTGAGACTCTCTCTGACAAGACCAAGAAGGGATGACTAAGACATGGAAACGCTTGGGCTGTACTACCTATTCGGTCGCACAGAGTCGCCCGGTGAGTCCTTGATAGGATATACAGGTACTCATTGAACTTCTAACCACGGCATTTTGCAAAATACATTTCTCGGGTATGTGGCTTGTTGACCAGCGGTTGGATATTGGTTCTCACCGCATTTTCACATACTCGGTATTTATCTTTTGCATGCCCTGATCGGATAATAGACAACGCTGCGCTTGACATTAAATTCAAATCAATGGGATACTTCAAAGAAATAGACAATGGAAATTCGGATCAACGAGGCAGAAACTCCGAGCCGTACGGAGTATCGTAGTGATTTGCCTCGTTACTTGCGAGTGTTTTCACGTGACTATGCAAGTCGTCGCCATTCTTGACCAATGATATTGTCCTTAGGGTCTGTCGATCATGGCGTCATGATGAGAAGCTGAGAAAGTGCCACGAAGGTAAGGGGTAGTAATTAATACCATTTCATTCAAGAAAGAGGGAAGTTTGTCCTTCTAGGTGTACTTCAGATTCTCCTCAGTCCCCATGACTGCGCTAGATGCTGCACGAATCCTACGATACTCCCGTATCCGAGATCCGCTCATCAACTTTGGAGGTCTCTTCTGTGCAGCGGGCACTGATGCATGCATAACATCTTCTTACGCTTACGACGCGCTGCGAGCTTAATTTCGCATTGCATCAAGGGCGGTCATACATGAGCGCCATGCTCTTGTCGCGTTGCCCTTGCAGTCCCAAATGGCGCGATCTTTCCTGCCCCCACAAACAATGGTCATCTCTTTTCACTGATCATCGAACTAATCTATTGCGACGTAATTATTATAACAAATTTCTGAAAGACTCTCAAAGGATTTTCTTTATCGCTGGGGTCCATTGAGAAGAACTGCCATCTGTACAACATCAGTCTGTGTCTGAACAAGTAATGACCAATGAAGTCTTGTTTCACACATGGCCTGGAATGAATATTTAGTCGGTAAGATATTATACGGAGTACTCGTACCAGTATGGATAATTGAGTGATCGGCAGTACGAACAGTTGAAGCATGCCTCTAGCGGTATTCAGCTATCAGTGCACTTGCTGTGGATCTACCGAAGTACGTAAGAAATATCTTCTCCGTATCAATTTCTACTCTTTCTTTTGTATGACGGAGCCCCGCAACAGGGAATAAGGAAGTGTTGGCAGATCGTCGCCAGAAGGCTGGTGCGCCGTTCAACATCTGAAGGTGTATGGCATTCTTCGCGGGGAAATTTCAACACTGTGGAAACCAGGAATCAACCACTCTCGCAAACTTGACAGGGTTCTGAAAAGTCATTTCATTGGGAGACTCAGCCTGTCGACTACTCATACGTATTGTTCGTGCAAACTGTCTAGTCAATTACCTCTAAGAGTGATGTTCTGCCATGAGCCGGAATATTGCCGACTTTCCGGAAACCCACGCCCAATAGCCACGCATACATTTGGTTACCTAGGATAATATTGTTCTCGATTGCGCTTTCGCCTTTACAGCAGCACTTTCCTTGTGACATGCTTCAATTTATTATTCGTTGTCATGCTGATATAGATAGTTTCCCTAAAGACCAGACAAGGGAAAGACAAGACGTTGTCAAGTGAAGGCTTGGGAGAATAATCTTTTTTTAATTTTTTTTAATTGCTCAATACTGGATCATGGTACGCGATGCACGTCTCTGAGCATTACTTACAGACACAACCACAGTCAATTTCTCATGATGTCATCGCCAGATCTTCATTGGATTTCCCTTTTCCAGGAATCTGGTTTGGGAGTCAAAATCACACCGAGTTGGCCATCTATATTCATTTCTTGCATAATTATTGTAACAATAGCAATGTTCACAAAATCTTAATCAGGCAGGAGATGCTCCCTCTCGTCGTTTGGTGTGCGGAGTTATTAATCTCCTTCCGAACCTCCTCTTGGAGAAACATCGCACCATTTCCCAGTGAAGCTACTTCCTATGGCCTCGTGTCATGACTTGACTGACTCGTGTAAAAAGTTGGTGTAGAATCCGGTAACCAATTGGCTTCGGGAAAGAGGGGGGAATTTCAGAACCCACTTGTACCATGCATGGCCTGGTTACTTTCTTTGAGAACCAAGGTAGGATCTCGACCTCTATTCCTTTCTCAGAATACGGCAAAGCCTTAGCCAAAGGGTTAAAGTACGGAGTACCGCAGGCCTCGCCCGCACACTACTAAAAGAGCAGTGCTTTCATCTGTGGTTTCCCGGCCACGCTAGTTCAAACCCCTGAGCCCAGGGGATCCCTGTCTAAATTGTCGGTCAGAAAACCTAACTGGCCAGTCACGGCGCAGGAAGCGCAACTGTGTAACCCAAAAGGTCTCGCCCACTGAGCCCGACCACCTCTCCCCTCTTCACTATTTACGCGACCAATCTGTCCAGCGGGTCGTGCGGAACAGAGTGGGATCGTGGGCGTCAGCATTGCGGATCCGCCTCTTTCCGCCAACTTCGCATCCTGCGAACGGTTTGACAGCCTGATCTAGAGATGCAGTCCCCATCGCACTTCGTCTCCAAAGTTCCGTGCTTAGGTTGTCGAAATAAATAACATCTCAGCCGTTCTGTTTACCGCTGCGCAGTATAAGGTAGTGGTCCAAGTGTTGGTGATCCCGTCATTGATCCTTGGCTGCTCCCCTTGATCATGATGAATTGAGCTGATTACGCTAAATTTGGTACTTCAATCCTGGATTCACAATTGACCCTTCACTTTAAGCCAAAGAAACAAGGGAGAATCTTACCGAATTGCGAAGATTACAAGGAAGTAACTAAGGCTACGCCGGCTTCCAAGCTCCTTGGTATGGTGAATTCCCTTTTGGGCGTTCTCTAAAAAGTGCCACGCTATCACCACTACTAAGTCCGAGACAAGTAATCGACCGCCCAACTGTCCCAAGACCGAGATGGATCATTTGCTGCCCCGTTATCGGGGACTTTCTCTCCTTGTGCCTGACTGTCTGCGATTTTACCATTCCGGCTACAATCGCTTCCTTTGTCCCAAACAGATGGGACTATCGAGACAATTTGGAAAATTATGTAGTAGAGGTTAATGTGCATCCAGCTAATGCCGATGTGGTAGGATTACTCTCATGCCATGCAGCTCGCGGAAGATTGAAAGGTTCATGACCGAGGACGGGGTACATTGGATTCAAATGCTGCAGACAAGTCTAACAATCTGACGCAGAAAGCATGAAAATATCGTGGCCCCACGGCTACGCTAGTATGGCTGGAGCGTGGAGATTGTAGCCGCTGCACGCAGGAAGAAGCATCGACGGGGTACAGAGGTAGAATATGGGGAGTTGTACTCTGTATGCCAGGGCAGGTATAAGCTGGCTGCTTGCCGACTGAGCAAATCCCGTGTCGGTTACAGTTGCGGCATGAAAGGGATGCCGGACAACTGGCTCGAAACGTCCCTCGTCGTTACGGCAGAACCACCCACATGGGTTGAGCCACTCCGAAGGGTGAGGGGCTTACATTGGCCATTAGCTGGTGCTCACGATTGGCTACGAATCACTTGCTCTCATTCATATCGGTACTTTGTACAAGTTTTGAAACTTACCTTACGAAAGAGTATGACTAGCCTGACCGTCACGTCAGGAGTACTCCGTAGTAAATATCTACCTAGGTACCTACCTACCTATCTAAGGTACCTTATGCAAGCTTGTTCTCGTGAGAGCCGAGGACATGTTTATGCCGCGGGAGTACGGAATATGAGCGGCGGAATTACAGTGGCAAATTCTTGGAGAGCAGCCAGCCACTGTGGGAAGGGTGGGGTCTTCAGCAAAGCGGTTCTGTCCGTACAGCGCCTCAGTAGAGTGCAGTACAAGTAACACCCCGCAGAAGCCCTTTGCAAACCAGGGCCCACCCATCCCATTTCGTTTACCTTGGAACCGATGGGTTAAACTTACAACGCCCATCGGCCTGTTACATTAGCTGTTACTAGGCTCGATTGCCTCCTCGGCAGGGAGTATCTGTACTGCACCGTTGTTGTCCCGTGCAGACTTAAATCGTGCTGCGCCGACGAGGAAACGTTATAGTCAACAAAGCCGTACGTTGAAGGTCCATATAAATTGGTCAAGGTGAAATTGTCTTCTCGTATCGGAGTAGGAGCATCAAAAACTGTGCCAGATAAGGGGAGCCATAGTTATGGTCCTCTTTAGCAGCTCCATACCTTGGGTTGCCTATGGTGCCACCATCCAGTCATCAATTTTACTCAACAACGCAATCTTGTTCGGTTGCTCATTGCGCTCCGGATTTGTGAAATTAGGTAAGTATCAATTCGACCTTCGACCCCTGGATAGGAACCGAAGACTTTTACCGCTTTTAATTGTGATTGAACAATCCCCGCTCCTCTCCTCATCCAAGCTCACATTCTCCTTGATCAGCTCCCTGAGGGGCCGTCCCTCGGTCCGACCTCCAATACTCATACCCAACTGGCCTTCAAAAACCGACTAAAATTACGGCTAAGTAATGCCTTCAATCCTCCCGCTGCTCTAGCAGATACTGTTGACGGGGTTTGGGTTAGAAAGCGCGTTCAAAATAACGGGCAGCTGTACGCGCATCTGACGGATAGAGAAGAGGTACAGTATGAATTATGCAGCACGATATAGCCCGATGTGCAAACGTTCACTCAAAAAGTACTCTTTCATTCCCTCCACAGTGAGAGAGGGTCTCCGCTACTGCAGCCCAGAAGCAAGTTCAACCGGCATTGCGCCCAGCACTCATCCCACGTTGATACGATCTCGCTCCACATTGCTTCCTAGTGACTTTCGCATGCCTGCTATATCTATCCAGTATCCTTGACACCCATAAGCCATCAATACACGACCAACATGCTTTTCCATCACCCTTACTAACCCCAAGATTCCATTCATTCTTTTTTCCACGTATAAAATTCTGCTGTAGACCTGTTTTCGCTATGTAGATTTACGGCAGGGAAGACCTTGAGCAAGATGGATGGTACAATTGAAACAGGTCATCGCAGACTGTATTTTGAACTACGAGGTTATCGACCGGAGAAAATGACTGAAGGTGGCGGGAATAATGGTTCTTCAAGAAGGCTAATGCTCTAGCATCTGGAAGACAATGGTCAGAAAACTTCTGTGATAATACAATGATTTGATCAGCGGCTAAGGCAGCTAGGCCACTGATGGCAGAATAAATCGGCTCTTCCGCCCTTTACGCGAAAAAGGAAGACGATATATAGCCTTTGCCCTTCCTAAGTAGGCAGGGATACGCTGCTCGAACAGACCAAGAAGAGAGTAAGTGAAAGAGGTATGGTGACATAGCACGATTTCCGCTTACAACGCTCGAACACTAGAGAGGTTTCCCCCCTCGAGCCTCCAGGTGACGATCTCGTTATCTAGGACCGAATGGGCACCCGCTGTATGGCCAGTGAATTGATCCGTCGCTGATCTGGCACCCAGTCAGCCTCCACCCCTGCCACTTGCGCCGGCCCGCAACGCATCCTGCGCTTCTGTAAAAAAGTCCGCCGACCACCACGCAATCCACAATTGCCGTTATTCAAAGTTCAAGATACGTTCGTCGATCTCAAAGCAAAGACAGCCCTACCCTTAATCTCGGTTTATCTTGCTTGCGTGCATTCAGTGGGATTTTCTCTTCCAAATGTGGGCGAGCAAGAGTAGAAGAAGAGTCCAAGGCTCTCTCTGCTCTTGGCAGCATTCTGTGAGCCTGTCGGAAGTACCTTACTCCCTCAGAAGCGCCGCCAGGAAAATCAATGCCTACTTAAGCTGCAGCATATGCTCACATTTCCAGCGCTTTTCTATACACTAGTAGATATCGCCAGTTTTGATCCTCTGCAATTCCTTCATTTCTATACATTTTTAGGCGCGTGCCAATCAGTGTGTGGGGGCGAACAAAACGAATGAATCTCTCTAGTAATTACGTGCCAAAACAGACGGCGACTGGGAAAAAAACAAAAGGAGGAATTGCATCTCCGAGATCGCAAGAGCGACGTGTCACCAAAAGGCAAATTAGAAAACTAAAATTTCTCTCACATAAGCTATTGTTTTTTTCTCGTCTCGACTTGGCTCTCTTTCGACTTGCTTGCTTCTAATTTCCTCCCCCCAACTCCTCCTCTGGCGCCCTTGCTCCCCTTTGGACCGGGGTTATCTGGACGGTTCCGTTTCGGTCCCGTGTCTCGCGCCCGCCAATTTTTGCGCTAAGGTCACCAGCGCATCCCAACCTCCCACAAGCTATCGAGCTCTGGCGCTGTGGACCGACGACGGCCCTCCGCCTCTTTTCCCTCAGGGTGACACCGTCCCATTCCTCTATCTGGTGGATCTCTGTCAGTACGCTGAGTGCCTGGACTTGGCAGGTAAGTTCCTTCTATCATCATCATCATCATCATCATCATCTTCACTACAACCGTCCTCATCTGCATCTTCATCCTCTCTACTTTCCCCTTCTCCTTCTTAATTTCGCTTCTCTTCTTTATTGTTATCATTCATTGGCACGTACCGCTCCCCACATCGTTGCAGCCAACCTGAATCTCTGGCACAAGGCCTGTATAGCTATTGCACGCATCAACGTCTGCTGGTACCTGCACAAGGAATCGACGCGTCTTAGAATTGCGTCGATGAAAGTCCTCTGTGATCTTTTGGCGTCCTCTATCTGACACATTGGGATAGACTGTCAGTGAGCTCATGTTGTGGAATTGATCAACAAAGCTCCTGCATTTTCGCCAATCTTTTCACCCGCGGCAGGATAGTTACGGTCTGCTCAACCGCCAGTGTGGATTTGCATTGGTTCTGGATACTTCTTTATCCTCACTTATGCCCATTTTATCATTTGACGACCTGAGACGATTCGACGATCCTGTTCTAGAGTCTTTTTCCACGCAATTCAAAGTTGACGACTCCTTAGCCAACAAGCTCGTCATTGTTCCACGATTGTCGCATCCCATACACGCATTGCTCTCTTTCTTGCCAGCGCGCTTTCGTACAAAGCTGTTCACGAGCTTACCTTTCAATTTCCGATTCAAGAAAATAATCGATTTCCGCGCGAACCCTACTAGTCCACCACTCGCATTACGATTGTCTCGGCGTAACTTTCAATACCTGCCGCCTTTGCGCGTCCACCTCCGTACAATTTGCTTAGACTGTCTCGAAGCCAAATCCGATTTGGATTCTCGAGTCAAGTCTCTATAGAACGGCAAGGCCTTGGCTGACTCTGGTTGCATTGAGTGCATCTGTGAGGCTGTGTCTGCGCTGACCGTGCCGGTCTTAAACGCGCGTTATTTCTAGCAGGGGCATTGTACTCGTTGCCTCTGAGGGTGTTCGTTGCTTTTGTAGAGCCTTTGTCCTTTACCAGTCGAAAATCTGGAGCTGCCGTCGATTTCTCAGGTTCAGACCCGAGGTCCAGTGGACGTGCCGTGGTACAATCACCATTACGTTCAACGGCCCACGCTGTCGAGTGAGCGGGTCTCCACGCTCCCGCCCCCGCCGCCCTCGCAGGCAGGGAGTACCTCATCAGGTACTTCATCGCCTCGGGTCGGGACACTGAGCTCATCCTCCACGTTCAACGACGGCCAAAGCTCTCAGACTTCAGTCTCTTCCTTTCCAAACGAGAGTTCTGCTGGTTCAGTCAAAGCCTCTTCGCCAACAGAAGCTTCGCAGCCCATTGGATCTCACATCCGCGGATATCCCGTAGGCTCATACTCGCAAGTAGCGCACCACGCTCAAGCTTATCCGTACAGCACGGCTGCAGCGCCCAGCATGAATCAACCACAGCATTATATGGATGTGCACCAGTCACACATGGCGGGAGCACAACCTCATCCACCATCATCAACTTCTAGTGCCTTGTCGCACTACAATCAATACCAACAGCCTCCACTGCTGCAACCTGGGCCTGGCAGCTATTCCCCTGCGCCGCATCAGTATAGCCAATATGGATATGCCAACAGTGTCACATCTCCCCAATCAGCCACGCACCCGTCTTCTGCTACTGTAGGGTCTCAGATGAACACCCAAATCTTACCGTTGCCTGGTATGAAGTGCCTCTGCCTTTATTTTTTCCCCTAAAGTTTGCTAATTGCATCATTCTACCGTACAGCGATGACTACGCCTCAGCCCCCGCCTGGGGCCGGACCACAAGGTTATCCGCAACATACATTTGATACGACTGGGCAGATCGCGCCCCCGGGCATGAAGCCTAGAGTTACTGCTACATTGTGGGAAGACGAAGGCAGTCTCTGCTTCCAAGTTGAAGCGAAAGGAGTGTGTGTTGCGCGGAGAGAAGGTCGGTCGACTATCTAGGTCTAAACACAAATTCGTACACGTGTAATACTCATCAACTATCATTCTACAGATAACCATATGATCAATGGGACTAAGTTGCTCAACGTGGCTGGAATGACTCGCGGTCGACGCGACGGCATACTGAAGAGCGAAAAGACCCGCCATGTTGTTAAGATTGGTCCTATGCATCTCAAGGGAGTCTGGTACGTATGCTTCTTATGCAATGCTCGTTTTCAAGGGTAATAACATGAAAGTATAGGATCCCCTTCGAGAGGGCTCTTGATTTCGCGAATAAGGAAAAGATTACAGAACTGCTATATCCGCTTTTCGTTCATAATATCGGCGCGTTACTCTATCATCCGTCCAATCAAAACCGGACCAATGCGGTCATGGCGGCTGCGGAGCGTCGGCGATACGAGAGCACTCAACAGCAGCAGCAACAGCAGCAGCAGCAACAGATGCGCAGCTCGCAAGGCCCGCAGCCGCCGGCGCTCCATCATCACCATCATCACTCTATTAGTGGATCTTTGGCACCGCAGTTGGGTCAGCCTGCTCATTCTTTGGCTCCTCATCCAGGGCCAGCCCGACCCATCTTGGACCGGGCACATACTTTTCCTACCCCACCAACTAGCGCGTCAAGCCTGATTGGCATAGGAGGCCAAGGATCGTCCTACGAGTGGAATGGCCAGCCTTTGTCAAGTGCCCAAAATACGCAGCCCCTTTCGATTGACACTGGTTTAAGTAACCCACGGTCTATGCCTACAACACCAGCCACGACACCCCCGGCAAGTTCTATGCAAACCCTCCAGCCGTATCAGAACAGCCAGGGCTACGATACTTCCCGGTCACTGTACTCTGCTGCACCGCCGCAGCAACAGACCCAGTACCCTTCGCAAACAAATGTTACCCAGCAGAATTTGGCTCGTTTTGGACCGCCTCTCCAATCCAGTCACTACATGAAAAGCGAAATGGGACCACCGTCAGGCAGGGCGCCGGGAACGGGCGGCGAATACGATCATCCTCCTCAATCAAAAAATCACGATCCCAATCTCGGGCAACATCAAGGAGCTGAACAAGTGAGCCATACTGGGAGTGCCGATGAGTCCGTCAATGACCAAGAGGGCGACTATCATGACAATGGCGCCGCTGCCGCCGCATATAATGCGAACCGTAGTCACTATAACTATAGTTCAGGTGCTCCTGTCGGCACGATAGCTGACCACTCTCATCTATCTCCGGAAATGACAGGCTCGCCCTCTCATCAAAATGGGTCCGGCCAGGCAACGCCCCGCACCACTGCTTCGTCACAGTCTCATTGGGCTGCCGGTTATAGTACCCCTCCTCGGCCCCAATTACCACCATCAAGCAATTTATACAATGTCATGAGCGATGCGAGAGGAAGCACTGCGAATGGAAATGGCGGAGGTGAGGGCTATTCTTCCACGACCGGTCTTGGAGCGACGATGCAAACTGGCTATACATCACAGCCTCATCCACCGTCTTCTAACGGCGCCGTTGCATCGAACAAACGCCTTCGAGATATCGACGACGATGATCAAGATCCCTATGCCCGGCCGCCTGGTCGTGACGTCAGCGGTGAAGTGGAGGTTGAAGGTCTAAAGCGCAGGAAAACAATCCGAGAAGGTGACATGGGTGGCGCCGTTGGGGCTGTCACGTTTGATAGAGATATAGGCAGGCCATTGAATAGGGCGAGATCAACGATTGTGCAGCGGCGCCGATAAATTCCCCGGTGAATGCCAATTTCTGTGGGTATAGGGCCGGATCGCTGCTCTTTTGGCAATCGAGATATCTTTTGCAAGAAAAATGAACAGCAAAGCTGCCTACCCCACGACCATTTAGAGATGATTGACGCAGCGAAGTCATTTGCATTTCTGCATTTTTTTTTGTTTTATTTTCAAATGGCCTTGATCTTGTCTGCAATCATTTAATTTTTCCTATCTGTTCTTGTTGGTGCTTTTTCTTGAACTGGCTTTCGACGTTGTCAAATGTCGTAAAATATTGCGGAAAGAGTTTTGGGGGACCTCCCAATCAGCTTTTTTTCTGACGAATTTTGCTCGAAATCCTTTCTCCGTTGCATTTTATCGCATTGTTTGTTTCATTTTCTATCATAACGACCTTTTCTATCATGTTAACGACAGTTACGACACGCCCTTTCTTATGTTCTTTGATGGCAAGGTCCTCACTGGTCGAAAAATTGACGGTGTGGTACCGACGATTATTGAATCATGACTTTCTGTTCATTAAAGATGGCAAGCTTCTTTTGCGTTTAGCGTGCTATTTCTTTCTTCAATATGGCTGGCTTGTTTCTTGGCACTCTTCCTGTCCCTCAGACCCGCATCCTTGTGCGCTGGTCAAGATTATCTGGATACGAATCGTGTTTCTACATGCCAGTGTACAATAATCTCTCCCTCTTGAAGAGTAGAGATGGCTGCCGAAAAAATTGAAAATGCCTTGTTATGACCCTCAAGGCAAGCGTTGGATTTCATGTATTTCTGCATAATATTCTAAATGGTCAGCCAGATAGCATCGAATGAAAGAAGGTCTTTGAATTACCGGCGGTGACGCGAAGCAAACAGAAGTATTGTAGTTGGACCGCAACGGCCGGGAAGAGAGATGGGAAGACAAAAGCGGTTCGAAGCGAGAGCAAGAGGGATTCTTTCTTTTCCCTCGATAATTGCAATCTCCTTTTTATCTTCGTTCTTAGGCGCGTTCTATATACGAAAATTGATCGAGCTGTTTCACACTCCACATTGATCACATGCTGCCCTCTCAGCGTGCGCGGACGCTTACGACATTTTACACCTTACACTGATTTCTCAGCCGTCCCTGCTCCTTGCTAGGTCCGGTCCATCTATTCTCTAATGGTGAGACAATTGTTATAACATAGCTCGATCGTATAATTACAAGAGAGATATACAACTTAGAAGACAGAGACGATACTGCCTAGGGATCTGACAGCTTAAATAAAAATGCAAAATTACAAAAGAAAGTATGCATGTTAACGACGACGGCGCTGCACTTCCTCCATCTCTCCACCTACCTTCAATCATCTTCTTTTTTGACTGAGGTCAATTGAATTGGAGTGTGAAACGCTTGCTCCTATAGCTTCTACTGCAACATTGTGCCCAGTCTCTGCTCATGGTTTACTCGGCCACTATCTCTACAATTGGGCTCATAAGTGCACATTCCACGGAAACCCTACTTGTCAAGCCCCAAAGTGTTATTGTTTTCCGAAACGGTGGTAAAGAAAATCGCTGAATAGTATATAGACTTTCTCGCGCCCACAGCCGTGCCTCATCTGACCCATGATTGACACAAGGATGACCACGTTTGCATCGATCTTATATTGAAGACGGGAAGGATGAATATTATACTTGTTTGCTGGGAAACTAGAATCACTAGGAGTTTTTAGGACAGCAAAGTGAGAGCAATTATAAGAAAAAATCGCAAATGCAATTACTGGTCAGATCAGCTTATAGCAATTAAGTGCGAATAATTTTTAGATAAATACTATACAATCCTGATGCGGTCTCAATGTCTCAGAATGGCACACGCTTCACAGAAACAGTCATTGCAACCGCCTCTGGACCTTATTAGGTTAAAGCAAAGCATAAGTTACCGATTTGGGCAACGACGCGACACTTGTTGCGACTCGTCTCCATGTTTTGGCCACCAAACTGTCTCCGAACCCTAGCGCGCACTGCTATCATACACTAAGACTCCACATGCCACAGCTTAATTTGACGTCAAGCAAAGTGGAAGGAGCTTGTCAGTACGCCGTATTGCCACCGCAGTGCTATTGATGTCCTCACTGAGTATGACATGGCGTGTTGACGGGACCAAAATCCAGCAAACGGAAGCGAATGATTGACGACCTAAAATGATGCAGCGGACCGACTCCACCGTACTACACTTTTACATTGCTGGATGGATGAGGCCTGGAACACGTTAGAAGCAAATACCGAAGAGAGAAGGAATAATCGAATATCCCCAGCCCATCACCCTCAAAGCGTCCGCCTGAACTACCTTTCTCTCAATAAGCTATCATGGCAGAACCGATCACGAATGGCATTCCCTCTACTGCGAGTGATGCTCCGACAAAACGATTTGATCCATGGAACTCTTCCTCTACTGGGCATCAAAGAGCTGAAAACCGCCTTGCGCGATCGACCTCATGGCGTGATTCGCGTACAGCAAAGTTAGGATCACAGCTTCGCGGTGGCTATAGTGGTGGTGCTAGGGTATCAGATACTGTCGGGGCGGGTTCTGCGACGTTCAATCATGACGGAAGGAAAGAGAATGGAGGGTGGGTTAAGGGCGCTCCTGGACTAAGAGCCCCAGGCCAACTGAGTATGAAAGACATGCTTAGTGGAATGAGAAAGGAACATAACGGCGTTTCTTTCGAATCAAAACAACGACAACCGTCTCGCATGACAGGTCACTTGCCTACCCCAATCGTTGGCTCAACCAGCGTCAAAAGTCCGCCTATGCAACCGGTCGGGCAACGAAGTTCGTCAAGAAATGCTCCATATGGAACCGGCGAAGAATCGTTAGATATCGGTACACAACGGAGGCTGGAAGATCACCTGCCCCAGATACGACATGAAACAAAAGAAAAATCCGCGGTCGGCACCAAGATCTCTGAGTCGAGTGAGCGGAAAGAAATTTTTCGCAATCTTGTGTTTTACATTAACGGCTCGACATTTCCAGTTGTTTCTGATCACAGACTGAAATACCTCATCGCCGAATTCGGGGGTCGTGTTTCCATAGCCCTTGGTAGACGATCAGTTACGCATGTTATTCTTGGAAAGGGTTCTGGGAGTGGGCTGGCCGGTGGAAAGCTACAGAAGGAGATTGGTCGCGTTAATGGATGTGGTGTGAAGTACGTTACTGCTGAGTGGTATGTCACGTCGGTGAAATTTCAATTCATCTTAAGCATCACTCCATTTTGGCCCGTACCCTGATAGCTGCTAGTAATTGCATCTCCTATAGATTACCGGCTGACTTGTATCGAACTTAGGGTTCTTGAAAGTATTAAAAGCGGCAAGCGGGTCCCGGAGACAGCATTTGGCCCGTCCAAGCTAGCATCAACCGGACAGCAAAGTGTATATGAGATATATAGTACCAAGTCAAAAGATACAAAGCATTGATAAACCAATTATAAGTCGAGTCATTATACCCTTAGAATTTATATGAGTACAAATAGACGATATATCCTGCTAGTTTAAATGTTTCAAATCTCGTGCAATCTACAGGTTTTGAAGTCATTAATGGTATTAGAAAAAAGAATTATAAAGTTGTTTTAAAAAATTATTTTGTATGGGAAAAGCAAAAGGGTGTCCATGGCCCATACAACCCACACACCCGAGATGCTAGCCCCCAGCGTACCTTGGGCTGTGGCCACCGGTGGTCCCCCCAGCGTGGTCGGCCGCCCAGGTGCTGGTCGGGGGTGGTGGAAGGCCATGGGGCCTGCCTGCATCGATGCTTTGGTGGATGCCAGCTCCTATGTATGGTCGGGACCAACCTCTATACCTGTCAACAGCCCTTCTGTCCATCTCTTTCATCCATCTACCTGTAGGTAATCTAGTATGTACATGGAGGTTTTATTTCATAACTCTTTCATATATAGAGATATACATAGATATATTGAATAATATTTTT